GCACGGCCAACTCCCGAGCAAAGCACTTCGGTTCTTTGAAGCAAAAACACCGTCCTCTGTCGGCCATCTACCGAGTATGTACTTCGTACAGTACTCATGCCCTCATGTACAGCTACCTCCTCAACCAGGCCTGCCTTTTTATTCAGCACACGGCCCTTCACCCTCAGTGCCTCTTCCCATCGAATCTGACAGACTGCAATCTCGCCTGATGCCATGGGCTCCGCTCACCCGCATACTGCTGCAAGCATGTGACCGAGGTGTGAAGCGTTCCTGAGGTGGCGACGGCGATGCAAATCCCACCGATACAACAGTCTCCAGACGTGCCGATCGATCAGCCTTTTACCTTCAATCTCCAACCAGGACTCCTGACAGCTTGGTCATGAAGGCACCAAGGGCACTAACATCGAGAGGTGCTGCCACTCGACGGGCTTGACGCGGGCTTGACGGTACGCTAACATCAAAGATGGCGCCACAAAGCCGTTTGCCGCTCATTTCGTAAATCTGACTCGTCACTATTCTGGGTAGAAGAGTCTCGACATTTGAACCCCAGCTCGAGGAGAAGCCGAAAAGGGCAATAAGAGGAAAAGGGTTACATCCATCTCCACAGCCGACCACCTCTCCGCCTTTCGTCCGCTTTGCCCTTCACCCCCCCTTGCAAGACATTCCGATTGGTGAGCTTGCGAGTGTAAAACGGCAGTGCTTCCTTTTCGTTACTTTTCGAGACTCAGGGACCTGGCACCGAGTCTTAGAGCCGATTTGGCGCCTCAAAGGTAGCTGAAGCGTCGTCTTGCTAGCTCGACGGCTTCATCGTCCGGAACAGTAGGCCGCTTGCGCTATCCAGACTCGAAGGATGGCGGAAGCGAGGATGACTTTACGCGGACGGCATTCGAATCACATACAATAGGTTAGAGACGCGCCGTCTTGCTTTCTCGAGACAGAAGCAGCCTTCTCACCGGCACCACCCTTGGAATCCCGTGAGCAGACGCTCATGCAGGTCGCTGCGAGGACCCCTGGCTCACCGTGTGCCCATCCGGCCAAGGCTCAATCCGGTCGACTCACCTTACATACGCATACATCCACCTTGAAACCTGCTTTTGCCTTTCCTGTCGTCCACTCTTCTGCCCCTGATTTGCCTTACCGGGAGTACGTAACGTGTTGTAGGCTCCGTTTCTCGTTCCACTCTCTGGACCGTATTATCCGTGAGCCGGCAATTGCAGTATGAGTGCTCCACGCATGCTCGATGCTACTCCATACGGTGCTCCGCCGATGTAATCAAGCATAACTTGGCTTTTCTGCCAATGGGAATGGAGGACAGGCATTCCTCAATGATACGTGCTGTTGTATTGGCACATATTGTATGGGGCCCTGGCCTTTGGCAATCACCGTTTACGTTGCCTCTGCTGTCTGGGTAGCATCTCGATCCAGCACTGCCTGGTTTACGACACTTCGTAGTGCTAGAAAGAATGGAGGCCGGAGCGCAGACATCGTTACTCTGTCAATCTGTGTCATCAACATGCAAATGCATGTATCCACAATTCCAGGGGTTGGAATCGAAACGGTGATGCACCTAATCTGCTCTATGATCGGCCAACTCCAATGACTGCTCCAGCGTCGATATTGTAGGCGCGTATCAATCAAGCCACGGGCCTACAATTGGTATGTGTACGAATTATCGAGACATGAATGGCAATTAGATGCTACTCATGCTTTTCTATGTCTACGTCAGTATGCTCCGTATCATCGGTTGGCTTTGCACTCAGGAGTAGGTATACCAGATGGGGAGCATGATGCCCCATCATCATCCATTGTGACAATGTGAATGCACGCGTGGGTCCCTCCTGTTTCGATGGGCGTCTGCACCATCTCAGTCACAACTCACAATGACGATTCATGAGGGAGAGCCATCGGCAGACTTGATGACTGAACCCGATCGGTTGAAACAGCCATGACGACCCTGCAAGCGGGACAGGCAGCAAGTTTCGCAAGAAGAGGAACCAACGGGCTAAAAACAGGTGCAAAGCAGGCCTTCGATATGCACCAATACACGCAGAAGCAGGGGGGGCCAAACGAGCTGCGGCTTAATGTCCGCAATATTCGCATAGCCGTGATATGAACCTATAGCGGCAAGACAGGGACAGGGCAAGTAAGTGCACGGATATGGGCGATGGGATAATATGACCTTGTTGCTATGAAAGCTATGTATCGGTTATGGTTATAAGCAATACGAAGCGGCGAGAGTTATCCCAAGCAGACTTGACGCCAGCATCCTGTTCAGTCGGGCAATCGCCAGCATCTTGCTCTAAAGCCGACGCTGGGCCCGAGAACTTGGTAGATCTGATGCACGAACGGATCCCGGACTATTGGCCGATGATTAGCATACTCGAAAATCAGGTGATTTTCTTGGTTGGACATGGAGCGCTTGGCAGAAAGGTGCGTCTTGCCCTGTCACGCTTGTGAAGAAGAGGAAAAGGCTTCATCAAGGGTGCAGCGGTCGTGTCTTGTGAAGGTGCTACTAGTAGTACTGGTGGAAGTCCTATCTTACCGCTAGCAAGGTTGGAAGCTCTACAGATAGGCAGACGGTTTGAAGCGAGTGTCGCTTTGTTTCTGACGGAGGGACACGCACGCTGCCTGCGTTGAGACTCCACGGCAAAGACATGTCACTACTGCGTCGTAGTAAGTGGCTTTTGGTGTTTGAGATTTGCTGACAAGCCAAGCGAGCGAGCTGGAGGTAGCATCTGCTACAGCTGGACGAGGATGTATGTACACAGGTGCATTAGGATGACGCCGGCGTGTGTTTATTCGCATAGTATTCGTAACCCATGGGTTTAGCTGGGGCTATGTGCTCTGCGGGCGCTGGATCGTAGCCGAAGAGCGTAGAAAACGATGAAGCCAATGGCGGTCCGTTCAGCTCAACCCCAACTTCAGGTAGGTACACAGAATGCTACCAAGACCATCACAATGTCCTGACACCGACTTTCTCATGAAAGATGCTTGGTACACGGACCGAGTTATTCTCCATCTTTCCGTCAATGATACGTTATCCGGTACGCGGCGGACCCGGCCGGCCCGTAAGAGGATATTAGACGCCGTTTCCGCTTGGGTTTCTTGAGCGCGGTCCGATGGGCCTATTAAGGGATGAAATACGACGCACGGTCTTGGACATGGGACAGTCCGCATTATCATGACGATTCAGCTTCCAGGCATGAACAAGAAACACGATGGGGCTGCTGCATGCCACTGTTGAAGCAGAGAGCCTCCGACATAGTCCATCCCTTCATCTATAGAAAACACAAGCAAATCGTCAGCGGCCTGATATGACAGGTGTTAGTGGACGGCGTGGAAACACTATGACTCGCTAGGGGCGGAAGACGCGAATAGTATTGGCAAACGGTCGCCAATGCTGCCAGCTAGGATGGTATTCATTATTAGGTCGTGAGAAGCTTAGTACCTATGGATCGATATGAGCTGCACGACAGGCATCAAGGTTAACGGGCTTGGCCGACTTTGATGAACCAGATGCCTGGCGAGTGTGGACTTTGTGCGCCTAGTGTACGATGAGCGAAATGAACACAACAGAAGCTTGCAGACGATAACTCTGTCGAGATATTGTCAACTTTGACCAGGTCCACGCCAGTTCTTTGCTACACCGCCCCCCGCTGTCCATCAACATGTTGTGAGCAGGGCCATTGCCCGTATCGTGATCATGCAGCAAAGATGTACAATCACCCTGCGATAAACGAAGAGCCTCAAATCTCCACGGATCTGACAAACACAATCTCTCGCTCAGATTGCTCATTTTCCGCCCCGTAGATTTTCGAGCTGACTGCATCGCAGCCCTACAGGCCCCCTCGGCATTCTGCCCTATCTCATCGGAGCTGTCTCCGTGTTCAAACAGCCTCTTGCATTCTTCCTGGCTTGTCGGAGCTGTCTCCGTGTCCAAAACAGCCTGTCAGCGCGCGCCTTTTTGCCGTTCATCGCGCCAACTTCCTTTTAACACGCGGCCCATGTGCGAGGCTTGGCTAGGGGTGCTTCACATGGTGCAGTGTTAGCGTAAGGTAGCTAGTAATAGTAATGAGTACTGCAGGAGAGTGAAAAGTAGCCCTCGCATGCGCCGAGATTCGTGGGGCGGCTCTAGACAAGTCCCTAGAGCCCCTGGCTGGGCCATCGCGATTTCTCGCGACGCGAGCAGGTCATGGGGTGAAGGTGTTGAGTCACCCTCGTATCGAGGAGGAGTTAGCCTACTGAGCTGTAATATGATAGACCGAATGCCCTTGGGATGAAGGAATGGGGAAGAATGTCACCATGTCACCATATGTTGGCCGCCAATGATGATGAACGGGCCGCAGTTGCGTCTAATCAGACGATAAGGCGGGCGAAGTTGAGACGCGCAGAGTCTTTTCGACGATGATGCGCTGGGTAATAGTTCTTGGAGTTGATGCATGCCAACTCATCTGTGTTGCTATATCTAATACAATAAGAGCTGAGTTTGAAATTTTATGCTGCCTCTCGGAGATGCTCGCCCCGATGGGCTCATCGTCGGAGAAGAGTAACCTACTTGGAAGGATTTGCCCTTCATTGTCCGAGTGCTGGCCTTTAACTATATCCTGAACACTGTTCTGTGTAGCTAGGCACGGTAAGGGCAGCATCAGATACACTGCGCTGTGCTGTATGAGCATGTTGATAGGATTCACGATTACTTGCTGTGTGCATCTTCGCCAGGCTTCATCAAACTGTATCCCGGGTCCTTGAGATCAAGGCTCTTGAGATAGCTGACGGAACAAGCCACTGAGACGAGAGCCAAGATACATGATGTTCAAAATGTTTACAATTCTATACCGATACTCTGCACGAAAAGGATGCTCCCGAACAAATCATTCAAGGATGAGATGAGTTGAACCCACCTCTCAAGTCCAACACCACCAAAGTCATTGTGCCCTATCCCCGTTCCCATCTCCAACTGTGTAATTCACCCGATGCAAACATTCATGGGAAAACAAACTTCAACCAGACCAGCTGGCAATAAGCTTCTCCTCCACAAACTCCGCCAGCGTACGCAAAGACTTTTGCGGACTGACAATGTCAAGAAACGGTACATCAACCTTGAACGTATTGAAGAACCAGGTCCTGAACTCTGCGGCAAGCATACTGTCGACGCCGAACGAAGGCAGAGGGGCGCTGTCGTCGACCGCATCTAGCTGCATCAAAATCAAGTTGCTGAAGCGCTTCTTGGTGAGGCGCAGGATAGCCTCCAGCATAGTGGGTGCACTGGCCTCGGGCATGAGGATAGACAGCGCGCTTTTAGGCACATCTTTGACCCATTCGGAGGCAGCGAGGAGCTGGCCCACATCAGCACCCTTCTCGTCCTCTTTCGCATCCTTCTCTGAGAGCAGAGAGGCGGCAAGGATGGATGTGCGAGACTCATCCATGACGCCGTTGTTGACTTCGAAGCCCTGGGCCATGAGCTTGCGGACGCCATACGACTCCAGACCAGTCAAGATGTGAGCAGACTCGCTCGTCATGGGGGCGCCGCGGATAAACTCGCCGTCACTGCCGGGGCCGGAGATGCCATAGTCAAGCACTTGCAGGAACTCGTCCTCGTTGAGCGGCTGGATTCCCTTTCGAAGCAGCATGGCCTCAATGTCCGGATTCTCGTGGAGGTAGCCAACCTCTGATATCATACCGAGGCCAACAGAGACAGCAGGCTTTCCTTGAGAGCGTCGCCACCTGGCAAAGGAGTCGAGGAAGCCGTTGGCCGAGCAGTAATTGCTCTCCGTGGCCGTGCCGCAACTGCCGGAGATGGACGACGTCAGGAGGAAGAAGTCAAGCTGCGAATCATGGCCCTCTAGAGCGTTGTGCAGATTCCAAGAGCCCTTCCACTTGGGCTGGATACCTGTATGCCATGCCTTGTTCGTCATGACAGAGAAGAGCGCTTCGCTGAGACCCATGGCGGCTTGAACAACGCCGCCAATGGGACCATCCTTTGCACAAGCCGCAACAGCCTCACGAACATGATCCTCGTTGGAGACATCGCCACGGACGACAGTCACGTTGGCGCCGGCATCACGGAGACGCTTCACCAACTCAGCGGCACTGGGCTTATCGCATCCCGAACGTCCGAGGAAGCAGAACTTGCGTGCGCCGCGAGACATCATCCATCGACTGAGGCTGCGGCCGAGGCCACCAAGGCAGCCCACGAGTAGATACGTCTTTTGAGGATCGAAGACGGACTGATATGATGAGGGAACGACTTGGACCAGGCTGTTGGGATTCTCCAGCGAAATGACAACTTTGCCCACACGGTCCTTGTTGCCAAAGTATCTGTAAGCTTGGCCAATATCGGCAACGTCAAACGTTGCAATAGGCGAAGGCTTGATGATGCCGGCGCGATACATGTCGATTACTTGGGCAGTGTAGCCGTACACCACGTCCTGGTAATAGCTCTCTTCTGCGTAGAAGAACTCGGATAAGTCAAAAGCCGTAAATGTCGCATTTTTCAAAAAGACACGCATGTCAAGCTTGCCTGCGTCGATGAGTTCTCGCTTGCCAATCTCGACAAAGCGTCCAAAGGGCGCAATGCAAGACCAAGAAGCGTGCATGAGGTCGCCGACGAGGGAGTTGACAATGACGTTGACGCCTCGACCACCGGTGGCCGCCAGTATGTCGTCCATGAAAGAGGCGTTGCGCGAGTGAAAGATGTTTTCAGACGGCACGCCCATCTCGTTGATGATATAGTCGCGCTTTGCTTGTGAGCCGACCGTTGCAAAGACGGTGGCACCCATATGCTTGGCCATGGTGATGGCGGCAAGACCAAAGGCACCGGCTCCAGAGTGAATCAGGATGGATTCGCCAGCTCGAAGATGCGCTCGGTCTTTGAGGGCGACAAGAGCAGTGCAGTACACCGTCAGGAGAGTCGGCAAGACGGTAAACTCCTCCTCCGGCAGCATCTTGTGTACAGCCTGCACAGGAACGCGCTCCGTCGTGCTGAAGTGGTTGGGAACAAAGCCAGCGACTCTGTCTCCCACTTTGAGATGCTCGACATCCGGCCCAACTGCGGAGATGACGCCTCCGAAGTCGAGCGCCGTCGTGGCGGAGCGAGTTTCCGCACGGCCGTTGAGGGCGTATATGTCCTTTGCGTTGAGGCCCACGGCACGGAGCTCAACGTCAACGAACCCTGCCGGAGGTGTGGTTCTCCGCTCAGAGACTTGCTGGAAGTGAATGGTATCCGTCATGCCAACTTGGCCGATGGATAGCTTTGCCGGACCAACTTGTCCAAGGGGGACGAGCTTCATTGCGTCTGGACTCATGCGCTGGCGGAAGAGAGCGTTGAGTTCGACATCGGGGGCGAAGCGGCTGATGTAGAGGACTCCGTCCTTCTGGATGAATTCTTTGTCGTCCGTATCATACCGACATGTCAAAACCGCTGTAACGCTTTTGCAGATGGACTCTGTGTGGTTGAGCTTGGGCAAATCCGCACCAACGTCCAGAATAGTATATCGCAGCGCTGGCTGTTCGAGCATCAGGGCGCGAGAGAGGCCACTGGACAATGTGAGGTCCGGATTGGGAGCAGAGAGCATATTGGCTCCCGTCAGCCACAAGAGACAGCCAACGTTATCCGTAATCTTGCGGAAGCGGTCCATGTCCTCGCTGCTCATTGTGGCGAGGAATTCATGCTCCATCTCTAGAAAAGACACGCAGGTGACGTGCTCGTTGAGGTTGACCGAGTCAATGCTGTCGAGGGTTTCGGTACTCAGTTTCACAACGCCTGTTTCTCTCAGGTGAGCCTCCACGGCCGTTGCCAGAAGATCTATTGATGAAGAAGATCGGTTGGGCTTGACAATGACCACCTCCTTGGTTTGCTGCTCTGTTTGCTTGGGGCCACGCACGGCAATGAGAGTCTCGTTGGAGAGTTGCACAGAGACAAAGCCCGCAGCATGCAAAGCTGAAACGGCGCCTTTCGTCTTGCGGGTGATGATAATGCCATCGTCAGAAACCAAAGACAGGATGTTGGCCGCCGCTCTGGCCCAGAGCATCCTGGAGACTGAAAGATGAGGAATCAGAACGACATCATAAGGGCCAGGGTATCTGGTGTCCTCGACGGTAATTCTGCCGTCATCGCCAAACTTTCCATCGTTCCATAGTTGGAATCGTGGGAAGGCGGTATCTTTACCCAGAATCGACTGACAATCCTTGGGAGTCCAATGACGTTCTTGACCCAGCTCCAGCACGCTCATGCGAGGAACCTTGTGACCGTAGAGGTCGAGCAAAGCAGCAAAGACAACAAGGGCGCCATTGTCGTTCAAATCCTCCGATTGCTCAGCTGCAAAAGAGGCGATGTATGCTTGGATAGCGTTTTCTGATCCTGGCTGAAGACGTAACACATCGGGCTTCCATTGGACACGAAGACAGGGCTGACGCTGGAGGTAGATGCTCGACTCAGGCTCAACAGGAGCCTTGCCTGTATATGCATTCATGCGCAGATGGGGCATATCAATGGCCGGCGTGCCATCAGGAAGTCGAAGTGTGAATGCAACTGCTCGAGTAGAAATCCCCGTCTTTTCCATGCGTGAGTGGATTCTGACCTCCTCAGTGCCGAGGCTGGCAGAACCGCCCTTGGGGATCTGGATCGAACAGCTGGAGATGAAGACGGGAACATAGGCCCGTAGGGTGTTGATGTTCCCGGCGGTACCTCCCATGATGGCAGCCTGGAAGCAAGCGTCAATTGTAATGGGATGCATGGCGTAAAACATGCCAGGGGAAGCTGCAGACGGCGGATCAAGGAGCGTCGTGGCAATAGAATCCGTTGATACGCGGTTACCGTCAGTATGAAGGCTGGTCAGTGACTGGAACGAGGGTCCAAAGTTGAGGCCTTCTTCCCTTGCTTTTGTATACCAGCGACTCATGCCCCAGACCTCATGCCCGTTGTCTTTGATAAGGACAGCTCCGTCTTCAGGCATCAGTGTTGGGTTGACAACTCGAATGCTGCCCATGCAGTGCAGCGTTGCAACCCCGGATACCCAAGAAGATATCGAAAACTCGTGCCAGTCAGCAGAAGTGTTTGCGGTTGAGATCTTGCGTCGAGACATGACCGTGTGAAGCTCAGTACTATCAGCACTGGAGTCGCTCTCATCAGGCACAACAAATGCTGCGCTGATATTTACGTTCTCAAAGTCAAAAGAGAATTCTTCTCCAGCAATCAGCTCGCCCTTGATATCCTGGACCTGGGAGAGGGCTTCAATTGCCATTGCCATGTAAGCTGCCCCTGGAAGAACAACCTGCGTCTCGCCGAGCTTGTGATCGCGCAACCACGACATCTCGGACATGCGGGGGATGTTGCGCCAACACCATTCAATGCCGTTGCCAGCCGTCGCCCGCGTCCCAAGCAGCTCATGGCGGATATGTTTTCGAAGACGATGCTCAACACTGGCTCGGGGCTCGTGCCATGGCAAGGGCTTGGAGTAGTCCCAGGGATAAGAGGCCAGGGGCGGAGTAGGGAGCGCACGATACCGCACGACGCCGTTCACAGCGTGCCAGTCCAAGTTGTGGCCATACGAGAAGAGCGTTCCCGCAAGCTTCTTTAGGCACACGTAGGCATTCTCCTTTCTGACCAGAGTGGGAGAGTAAGGAACAGCTTCCTTGTCGAGCTTGGTACTGCTGCGAATCTGCTGGATAGGGCCTTTGAGAGCCGAATGAGGGCCAATTTCGATCAGGTGATGCTTCTGACTGGTGATCATGGTGGCCAGTCCCGCGCTGAACTGTACCGGTTGCTCAAGGTTCTTTCGGAAATAGGATGCCATGTTGGTCCTCGGCTCAATGACTTTCACGCCGCCAGATGAGTGACCAACAGTAGAAAACATGGTGACATCTGATTCCGCAACAGACTTGGTGGTGAGATAGGGAGAAACCAGCGCTTCATACATGTCGCCAATCTCAGCCATCATATGAGAGTGATAAGCGCGGCCTCCAGTCTCAAGCTTGCGAGCAAACTTGCCCTCTGTCCGAAGCTCTGACTGAAGAGCATCGACATCCTTGACAGCACCGCTGAGCGTAACGCTCTCCGGAGCATTCACGCAAGCAACTCGTACTTCCTTTAGGCCAAGCTTCTCAATCAATGCATTGGCGCTCTCTGGTGTGATTCCTGCGGCCATCATGCAGCCACGAGACTGCAGCTGTCCAACAGAAAAGCCTCGGAAATACGCCGCCAGGATGGCCTCGGACGCAGTTAGATGTCCGGCGCTGTACGCAGCAGCAATCTCGCCAGAGGAATGGCCAATAACACTTGTTGGAGTGACGCCCCAACTGCGGAGCGTATTGACAAGAGCAATCTGGACGGCGGTGCAAACCGGCTGGCTGCGAGTCACGTCGTTGATCTTGCTCTCTGATGGTTTATCAAGGATCGTCTGCTCTAATGTCCAGGAAGGCTTGTACTCCGCAGGCAGGCTCTGCAGGACTTCGTCGAGATCCCGCATACTTGCCAAAAACCCGGCGTCGTGCTCAACGAGTTCCTTGGCCATGTTGGCATACTGAGCACCTTGACCAGTAAAGACAAAGCCAAATGGGAGAGGCTGTGCGCTGGGGCTGGCCTTGTCGCCAACGTCAGCCATCTCTAACGGGGTCGGTTGAGAGCCGGGCTTTGCGGAAGCAAGAATGTAGTCCCGAAGGCGCATCTTGGTCTGCCGTTTGCTTATTGCAATAGCGAGTGGCTTCAAACCGTTGGCCTCGGTCTTTTCCAACATCTCGATGGCCTGTCTGCGGCGAGCTTCTAGCGACTTGCTTGATGAGGCGGAAAACGGCAGTACGAACACCTGGTCCTTGTCTGATTCATGGGGAGGGGGCAGGCTCCTCAAGGTAGGAGATGAGACCAGTGAACCGACAAAGTAGCTGTCAATGGATTCGAGGATAACGTGGCCGTTGGCACCTCCATAGCCGAAGGAGTTGACGCCGGCCCGACGAAGTGCCCTGGGCCATGCCTCAACCTCGGTCAGCACCTTCATGTTGCGCTCTTTGAGTCTCACTTGATATTGTCAGCAAGTACGATTCGTTGAGTGATCAGGGCAAAGCGTGGCTTACACTTGGGGTTCAAGTTCTTCACACCATAAGTGGGTGGAATCACGCCGTGCTCAAAAGCAAGAGCAACTTTGATGATAGATGTCAATCCGCTGGCTGCTTCACTGTGGCCCATGTTCGTTTTGACCTTGAAGATTGGCCAGTCAGTAGACGCAACGAGGAGGAGGGGGAGTCAATCGCAGACGCACCGATCCAATTCTCAGAGGCTCGCCCTCGCGGCCTGCAAAACAGGCCGCGATTCCATCCACTTCGATTGGATCGCCAACCGGAGTCCCAGTTCCGTGACACTCAACATAATCGGTGTCAGCAAACGAAAGCCCTGCGTTCTGGTAGGCCTTCCTGATAACTGCTGCCTGCATCTTGGCATCCGGTAGAGTAATTCCTGGAGTCTTGCCGTTGCTACGCCATGTCAGTACCGGCCCCCCACCGATAGAAGGAGTAGTAAGAGAGCTTACGCATTGATGGCCGTTCCACGAATGACGGCATGAATCTTGCGTTCACTCTTGATCGCAGATGAGAGCCTTGTAACGTAAATCGCATTGAGGGCTTCTGCACGAGCATAGCCATTTGCCGATATGTCGAACGTGTGACAGGCGGAAGTGGGAGAAAGGAAGCCGCCTTTTGCTGTTCCAAAGTGCTGTTCAGGAGACGTAATCAAATTGGCTCCCGCAACAACGGCAGAGTCGCAGTCTCCATTCTTAATGGCATTGACGGCCTGGTGAAGAGCGTAGATGGTTGATGAGCAGGCAGTATCCAGAGTGAAACTAGCAGAATCAGATTGAGTGCGGTCTTTGAGAGAGATATGTGCAAGCAAGAGAGCAGGGTCTCACCTCGGGCCATGGAGATTGAAGACGTGGCTGATGCGGTTCGACATGATTGACGTACCGCCACCCGTAGCGGCCAAGCGGTGCACATAATCTGTATCACGAGATTGCATGACCGAATAATCCACCGTAAAGTTGCCCACAAACACCGCCGTGTTCGAGCCGGACACGTCTTCCATCGACAGACCAGCATTCTCAAAGCACTCATACACAACCTCAAGCAGCTTCCGCTGTTGAGGATCCATATATGAAGCCTCGAGGTTGTTGATACCAAAGAACGAGGCATCAAAGTTGCGGACATCTTCTTGGATGAAGTATCCGCCGTCTACGTTCATCACACCAGCCCTGCTGCCGTCCTTGTGGTAGAAGCCTTCAATATTGTACCGATCCAGCGGTACAGTGCATTGAGCGGACTTCTTGTTGTAGACATAGTCCCAAAGCCCTGATGGCGAGGTGATTCCACCAGGGAGATGGCAAGCTGTAGAGGGGCAAGTGATGTCAGCAAAGCTCATACATCTAAACACAATCTGCACAATACTGACCCATGCCAACAATGCATACTGTATTGTCTTCAACTGCAAAATCACTCGAAGGTCCAGAGGTCTCCTGTGCCTCATCGCTCAGGTAGGCCGTCTCAGTGAGGACAACGGCATCCTTTGCACCACGAAGCGCCGAGTCCGAGTCGGAAAGAGCTTCTAGAGCGGGTTCAAGAGTGAACATGGTGGACAAGTGATGATCAAGGTTTGATATTTGAAGATGTGTCTTTACAAGACGAAGAGTAAAAGCGTTGTGATGAATATCTTGCCTCAAAGCCCAATGATCAAAAGAGATAATGCCATATTAATACTCTATGCTAAGTGAGGTTTCCTAGATCTGACACTATCTTCCGTCTACTACACTCTACTACACACATTTTCTCATCCAGAGCTTTAGAGCCTTGATTGCAACAACGCAACCCGCCCATCCTATTCGTTCTCACAACGCCAAAGGGATTCTAACTAAAGCAAGCCATCGTATTTTGATGATGCTAAGTGAAGATATCAAGATCCTATTACGCCTTGTCATATTCCAGAATCAGGAATCACACTGAAGTCTGACCAACCTTCCTCTTAGATGAAGCACCAGTCAAGCATGTGTGTAGAGGGGAGGCGGATTGGGAATACCTGGCGTCCCCAGCGTATACGAAGACGAGCCACCAGCACATGATAGAGTCTAGACTCCAAGTTTGCTACGCATCTTTCACTCTGTCATTACCATATCCGGAAACTGAAGATTGTTCTGCTTGGCCATGACCCTGTGGCTGCAAGGTGAGATAAGCCTTGCAGCAGACAGGGTCATCGGGCAAAGTGTCTGGAGTGCCTGCGTCGAGCCGAATTCATGCATACCGAAGATCCATTGGCAGGGCCAACAAGGCTGCAAACAGTAGTAACGATCCGGCTTCTGGGGTTACTCGAGTTGGGGTAAATGCGCACAATATGCTGACTCCCGAGATATCACCACATAACGATATGTCTCGGCAATTGGACCGTTGTTGTGGGTTCCGGAGCCTCGCCGTATCCAAGGTGTACGAGCAGATGTCGTGAGACCCATGAGATCCGTTATGCGAATCCTCACCGTGGGATGCACGGGGATGAAGCCTCTCTCTGCTACACATATTTTAATCCATCATGCAGCAGGGATTTCGGTGCTTTGACATGGCTTTTCTGCCAGAAAGGTTTCTGCGGAGATTCCAACTTTAAGCATTGATCTTCGTATCGGCGTTTGTAAGATGGACATATTCTGAAGCATCCTTCTTCGTATCATGTTGACGAGGAGCTTTGATCTCGAAAACATCACCGCGTGTACTTGCGAGCTGAATCATGCCGACTTTCGAACTCTATCGTAGGACAGCATTGAGATACCCAGCAGCCATATTGAGCTTGCCAACACAGCAACTCACAGCTGTTCAACGCGAATTCCCCTTGAGGTGGAAGAAACGATGTGTATTAGGGATGGGGAGCCCTTTCACAGATAGCACGTTTGAGACTGCATGCAATGCAATGTACCCAGGCTTCATTATACATCAAACGTGTATCTGGCTTTAATGACTCTACGTTGAACGCCCGCATGCATAGCTGATTGGGTGGCCATCTGTTTCTTGAAGAGTTGTATACAGATGGACATATATATATAAGACTGTTCGATCTATTTCATGCCTGGACAGTCCACAGCCCTTCGTCTTCGCTATTCTTGCCATTTCAGTCCAACATTGCGCTGGCTTATTTGTGCTATTGAGGCTTGTTGGCACATGACAGAGCACATCCTCGTATCAGGCCATGAACATCACCGGAAATGCTTTCATCGTAGGGGGTGGTAAGCATAACCTCTACCCCCAATGCTTATCTAGGGTCCCCCTTAGCTAAGAAGTGAATAGGAAGCGGAATAGGTAGAACATGCGCTCTCGGCCTAGCCAAAGATGGTGCAGTTGGCATTCTCATTGCGGACTTGAACGTTGAGGCCGCAAGCCGCGTCGCTGCTGAATGTAGAGCCGTTGCAACAGCCGCTGGCTTTCGTGCCGAGGCGTGTCAGATTGACGTCTCGCAGGAAGTATCGGTGGTAAACGCAACCGGTTACATGGTCGAAACCTTCAAGAGAATCGACTACTGCATCAACTGTGCAGGGGTAAGTCCCTGTGTTCTCTGAGGAAGAGAAACTCCGTCGCCTCGATGTGGTGAGAGCTGATTCATGTGCAGATCGGAGTTCAATTGGCCCGGCCCATATCGGAGGCAGACTTTGTCGAGTTCAGCCGGTTCCTCCGTATTCACGTAGAGGGAACATTCTTGCTCATACGAAGCGTCTCTATCGTCATGCAGTCTCAGGAACTCAAGCCGGTTGATCCTGAAAGTCCGGGCCGAGGGGGGACTCGCGGTTCGATTGTGACGCTGGGCTCGGGGAATTCATTTGCTGCAGCTCCTAACTTGGTGCAATATACGGCGGCCAAGCATGCCGTGCTTGGTGTCACCAAGAACGCTGGTATGATGGCCCCTTTACCGGCAATTGCCGTATTTGGCATTTTTGCAATGTTCCGCATTGACGCTGATTGTGACCTCTCCAGCTCTTGACAACGCGGGCCTGGGCATCAGAGTCAATTGCGTCTGCCCGACGTGGGTGGAAACTCCCATGATCCAGGATGCCCGAGACGGGGGTGTGGACATAGATGGCTGGGTGAAGGGAATGGTCCCTTTGGGTCGTATCGCCACTGCGGAGGAGGTGGCAGATGCGGTGATCTTTCTCTGTAGCCCCAGATCAAGCTATGTGACGGGATGCGGATTCATTGTCGACGGAGGGACTATGCTAACCTGTCATGCTTGAAGGGGGATGGGAGATTATGCAATGGACGGTGGGCAGCAGATCCGGTTGGTTGATAATCCTGGGGGCATCTCAGCCCCAGCCTCGTCTTCTAGCTTCATGCGTGTCGATCAAACTGGAATACCAGAATAGAACTTGATGGTGCTCTAAACAATGGGATTGTTCATGTAGGCTCGCATCGATTACGGGCCGGTCCCTTTTTGCTGCACGCCGAGCAGGTCGAATGTCAGCAAGGCGGTGATACGGGAGTGAGGACAGTACTGCGCTTCCTCTACATCCAGGTAGAGGCATCGATTCACTGCCCAATTGACGATAATGATGAAGCCTTTGTACGACTGCTGATTCAGGACACCAAGGCTATTTAACAACTACAATATACTGTCCCTTAACGACCAGAGTAATACCTGCCATTACAACTTATTCTATTGTCTCCCAAGCCAAGACTCTGACAGGCAACATTCCCCGACGCAGCAATGGCCGACCAGCAACAAGACCAGCAAGAATCTGAGCTTCTGCTCACAAGTGCCGGCTATGTGAGCACCTTTCCCGCCCCAGGCCTCCGCCGCACTGTTCGACACATCACCGGCCATAACGCCGAGGGCAAAGGCGTCTTCATCCAGACCGATTGCGGTGACCATCACCGTGTCATTGGCAACGAGCAGGCGCTTGCCAACATCATCTACTCAACCAAGGAGACTCCCGTTGAGATGAATGGTGATGTTGATCTCAAATATGCCAAAGAGAATGAAGTGAGACCCCCCATATTACCGTCTGACCTGCGAGTGCTAACTACCTGCAGCCTCCCCTGCACATCCACAACGGTTCTGTTTGCCGCATGATTGACTTTGCACCCGACGTAATTTCCCCCATGCACCGCGCTGTCTCACTCGACTATGGCATTGTTATTGAGGGCGAGTTCAAGCTGATCCTCGACTCTGGTGAGTCCCGGATCATGCGTCAGGGCGATGTCAGCGTCCAGCGCGCGAGTGCTCATCAATGGCACAACATCACCGGTGGGGGCACTCTGCCGGGTCGCATGATGTGGGTTCTGCTCGACTGCAAGCCTATCGTCGTTAATGGCCAAGAGCTCAAGGAGGAACTGAATGAGCTTCAGCCATACTATGAGGGTCGATAGATATGTGGACTCGTATAGATTTGAGACTCTGTATCGCTCAGATATAAGATTTTTATCAAAGTGGCAGAAGGCATATTACTACGCTACATGTGTTCCAGCACGTACTCATAGATGTAAGGAAATCATTTATCGTATTGTCCTGTTGTCTTTGTAGAAGTCCACTTGAGCAACTACAAAACGCGTCATTACTATACTCTAGAAGATGTCATACTTGAAGGTACTACTCAACTTAGTCGCAAACGCCTTTTCCTAGGTAGTGAAGTGCGAAGCTATTACATATCATTCTCGATTTGACCCTCTTCGTGGCCGAAAAGCCTTTTTTTTTTTTTTTTTTTTTTTTTTTTTTTTTTTTTTTTTTTTTTTTTTTCATTCTTAGAAACTTCATCATGCAAACCACACGAGTTGGGGACATCTTTACATAGAATGGCCACAATGTTCTCAGATGGTCTCTATTCGACCTATCGACTCTATATATCATGGTGAAAAACTTCCCATGCATGTTATTCATGCGTTCTTCTTCTTTGTAAGATGAGCTTCCCTCACTTTGTTCAAATTGAACTCACGATAGAAGAGAAAGTCCTGCGATGAATAGATGTTAGTCAATCACCATGTGCTTTAACAGACTCCAAAAATCTCGAAGCAGTCTTACCCAGATGGTGCGCCATGCGAACATGTCTAAGAAGCGGATAATGCCAGTAGCACTGCCAGTCCAAAACCACGGGGCCGGAGACGGCCTCAAGCTCTGAGATACGACCTTTGAGGCGTACTCAAATCTACTTGTAGTCTCTACGTAAAACTTTTAGCTTATCCAGTCAACTATAGCTGAAGCTAGATTATGACAACTCACTGGGTGTTCTTTGAACGTGATTTCGGAAGTCGTCTGCCAGAGGCTCGTAGTATGACCCTAATCACAGTTCGTATCTTGTATAGGCATCTCTTGATACTAGGATGATGACGTACCTTCAGGTAATTCTCGGTGAACATCATTCTTGAGAATGTTTGTGCCAACTTCCCCGGAGATGACCTATCGCTCCAGTCAGCGTTTTGTTCAAGACTCATACATTCGACCATAACGAGCTTACGGTCAGCACTTTGACACTACGAAAAGTAGAGATTAGCAACCCGATCCTGACGCATTCTTCCCGTCAAGAAGCCTTACTTGAATGGTGACATTTCAAGTCGTAGAGTGTTGGAATAATGGTGAAGGGCAGCTTTGGAGGCGTTATATGACGCTTCAAATCGTGAGCATGTATATGGCCCAGAAACGGTCGGGGAAGACGGTCTTACCTCCATACATATATGGTACAACACCGCCGATGGACCCAATATTTACAATAGTCCCAGCGGCCTCAATGAGCATACCGTGAAAGTGACGAACCATCCGCATTGGGCCAAAGACGTTGACTTCAAACATTCGTCTGACCGCCTCAACATCCGTGTCAATGGCAGTCATCGTGTAGCCTAAGAGATCCCGATATAGAGTCAACATAACGCTGTTGTAATCCACAGATCATGGGTCTTCATACATATGCCACTATTGTCTGTCAGAAATGAAGTGAAGTGAACAGAATATGTGAAGCGTACTTACGCGTTATTCACCAGAATATCCAAATAGCCATCAGTAAGTGAAGATAGTTTTTCCTTGAGGCTAATGACGGACTCCTCATTAGTCACGTCGAGAGGAAACCAGGTGATTCCCGTGGCCGTTAGATGATCGCTGTTCTCGTTGGGAAGCACAGTCGCGATAGCAAAGATGCCACGGCGAGTGTATTCTTGAACAAGAGCTTCGCCAATGCCACCTTTTCCGCATCTGTTGACAACTTTCAGTGACATACTCATATACTCCAGCGGGCGTGGTTATCGAGTGTTTACCCTGTAACGAGCGCGAACTTTTTGTCGCGACTCATGGCTTGGACTGGGCACTGAACGCTCAGAAGGGCTTGAGAAACTTCATGAGAATTGGAGACTGGCGCTGATGGAACGAGCGAATATCGCGAGTGAACTAGAGAGTTGCTATGCGCTGAGATGACAGAAGTTGCCCTACTATTACACCAAAAGCCCTGGACCAGCTATCTCCCATTGCGCACTTCCATATATCGCATCATTGCACGGCTCCAATCTGCATATTCTTACTCTCCTTGGCCATTGAGCAATCATGATTCTAAACCCTTCTTCCTCTACGGCTGGGGTGGCTCTGACAGGAGGAAGTGCATCCGTGGCCTGGCCCTTCAGGACCTTGTACAACGTTGGAGATGCCTAGAGTAGATTTGCTCACGGGCCGGCGAATTTATGGCGAGCTCCGAGTCTACAGTGAGCTTACCTTATGCAACGAAGGACTGTCTGATTTTGGCAGGATTTTGTCACTGAAGCATGTCATCTTCTGCCATTGACGAAAGTAAAGGGAGAATATTACGCCCAGCGTAACACCACATGCTGGCATCTGTCATACAGTAAACCGGAGTATTTTCACCGTGGGCTCATGCAAAGCGGATACGGATCTGGGCAAGCATAGCATGAAGCTGTACTGCTTACCCACATAGAAGAGTTACACATTCCTTTAGCTGGTCAAGCCAAGGATTACAATGATGCCAATGCTGGCCAAGTCGAACATGACCCTCATATTCGCATACTGGACAACCGCGAGAGTGCTGTTGCAGCATCGGGATATCTCATGGTTGGAGAGTTGCTATGTGTGCTAAGTTTCTACCTTGCCTCTTCTTTCTCTTTGCTAAACTTCAACATATTACCCTTATCGAATAGCACTACTCCATGAGAAGCTTCATACCCAATGCGATGAGCTCAACGACAGAAAGTATGTCCAAGACTTGGGCAGTGCTGGGCTTGGGTGCCGTGACATTTCTACTGTGGCGCCTCAGCAGAATCGGTCGAAGGCCTAGTAACTACCCCCCTGGGCCGCCGACTCTGCCTTTGATCGGAAACCTTCACCAAATGCCCACCAAGAATGCCCACCTACAGTTTCAGAAATGGGCACAGGAATATGGGCCCGTGTACTCACTTATGCTGGGAACCAAAGTAGCCATTGTCTTGTCGTCAGATGTGGCCGTCAAAGACCTCTTGGACAGACGTAGCTCGATCTATTCAGGGCGGCCAGAGCTCTATATGGGGCAGGAGATTATGAGTGGCGGTTATCGGCCACTTTTCATGGTACAGTATCTTCTCTGATGCCCTTCAATTTGATGGGTGAAGTAAAATAACTGTTTGTGGGTTGCTTGATTGGCTAACATAGTTTTAGGGAAACAATTCTGTGTGGAAAATGGTCCGAAAGCTTGCACACGGCCTCCTCAGCGTAAAAGTCTCCCGAACTTATGTCCCGTACCAGGACCTTGAAGTGAGAGCCATGTTGATGGGCTTACTTGAAAGCCCAGGCGACTTCTTGAACCATATTCGTCGATATACAACCTCTCTAACCACGCAAATGGCTTTTGGATACAGAACCCCAGAAAGTGATGACAAGAATTTGCTGGAGATGTTTGAAGTTTGTTCAAAATTGCAGCCAGATCAAATGGAGACACCCACTAAACAATTGCTTGTAGAATTTCGAAGAGCTGTCAAGGCTGACTGGAAGTCAGGTAAGTTACTTGTGATGTCTGAATGTCGCTTGCCCTGACCGAAGTCGTCGCTGCAGTCTGCCGCCATCCTCGATCTATATCCAATCGCAAGGCTTCTCCCTGACTTTCTCCTCCCTGTCAGACGAATGGGGAGAGAATACCACAAGAGAGAGTTGAAGCTATTCATGAAGCACTTCATCAATGCTCGGACCCAGTTGAAGAGCGGTACTGCAAAGGCAAGATTCCCTGCGCCTAGAAGTGAAGAAAGTCAGCATGCTAACAACATAGGCAGCCGTGTTGCGCCATTGATCTTCTTCGCGCACAAAAGGAGTATGGATTCTCCGATGAGCTCGGCTGTTATCTGAGCGGCTCTCTCTTACAAGCTGGCTCCGAAACGACGGCCATCATCCTGGTTGGGTTCTTCCAAGCGATGCTGGTCTTCCCCGAGGTCGCGAAAGAAGCCCAAGCGGAGATTGACCGTGTTTGCGGAGATCGCATGCCTGATCTGAACGACTTTCCAGATTTGCCATATGTCCGCGCCTGTATGAAGGAAAGCTTGCGCTGGATGCCTGCTACTGCTTTGGGAGTCCCCCATGCTGTTACCCAAGACGATTCTTATATGGGCTATCACATCCCCAAAGACGCTGGCCTCATACTGAATGTCTGGTGAGTCTGAATACTCTAACATGCTTCCTGTGAAGTCCTCTTTCTTGCTGACGTACGTAAGGGCCATTCATAATGACCCAAAGCGACACCCCGATCCACGAAGGTACAATCCTGCCCGTTGGGCGGGCGATAACCAAAACTCTGCGCAAGCAGCAGTCAACCCTGATCCAGCCAAGCGCGATCACTTCGTATTCGGCGCCGGCAGGAGACTGTGTCAGGGGATGCACATTGCCGACCGGTCGCTCTTCTTGGCCATGGCTCGTACGCTTTGGGCCTTTGACCTGAAGCGACCGATGGATAGGCAAACGGGGCGGGAGGTCATCCCAGACGTGGACAACATCAAAGACGGCCTGTTTATATCGCCCATGCCTTTCGCAGCTGATATTGTCCCCAGAAGCGAAAGCAGAGCCACAGCAGTTAGAGAGGAGTGGGACAAGGTGGCAGGGTTGCTTGATGAGAATATGCAGTGGAAGACTGTCCCGGAAGGTCTGAAGTGGAAGGACTATGAGCCTCTGGACGATGAGAATGAAGACATACTAGACTCCCTGTCATGATCATGTTCTTGTAGGGCAAGATGAAAATGGAGCTCTTTTCGTAGTATAGCGAAATAACATGTCAGATGTCTCTGAGCATAGCCGACGTTTGGAGACCCGAGATTCAGCAACATTTAATTACCATTGTCTGAACTTTGAACAGCTTTAATACCAATATGGGGATTATCAACCCAAACTCTATACAAAAGAACAGATTCCCTCTCATATATAGAACATCTACCTGAGTCAGAGTCTCTAAGCCCATCAACTTGGAAACTCATCCCGTCCTTTTATTTGTCTTGTCAAACACAAAAGTGCCTCTGGATGCCTCATGGATACTGTGTTGGAAGAGGATGGTTGTATGCAAAAAGATTTGACGGATCATACTTCTTCTTCAACTTTGCCAGGCGAGGTAGCTTTCGTTTGCCGTAGACATTCTCGATAGACTCATCTCCGCGGGCGTAGTTTACGAAAATCGCCTGCTCGGAATACCCTGACGTGGCAGAAAAGTCATTGCGCAGCTCCTCCCCGAGCTTCTCAGACGCTTTGGCCGTGACTTCATCTCCAGCCGCCCAAGCAAAATTTGTTTGACTATGATCATCAGCTTCGACAAAACAAAGGAGAAGAACGTGATGGAAGTCCAAGAGTTACTTACATGAAGCCCTTGAAATCTCTCCACGGAAATGAAGTCGCATCATCAGGCACAGCAGCCACTGCCTGGTTGGGAAAAATCTCATAGACCAGAGTCGTATCTCGCCCACCAGGATAGTCATGAAAGTACTTCTCAATCTTCTTGAAACCCCGCTGGTAGCCATCCGCAGAGTAGATCTTCTGATTCAGACTGTAGAGAGAACGCGGCTGGTTCGGCTGGCAGACAAACTTGTCAAAGCCGCCACCTGACCTGTTGATGATTTGGTTCCATTTGACCACTCTGGTGACTGATGTCGCATTAAGATTGAACACTGGAGCCAGTTCCCTACGCGCCTCCTCCTCGGGTCCGTAATAGACCCAGTTGCCACCAACTTGGACCTAAGTTTCGTCAATATCTTCTGCTGCCACTATTCAACCCTCATATTCGGGTGTGTATAAGACGAGACTTACCGAGTTGGTGGTTCTATTCCAGCTTCCAATGACAATTTGAGCGACATTGGCAGAGGCATTGCTGTAGTACGTCTCTACCATATCAAAGTACTCCCGACTCCTAGACGCAGGAAGAAAGAAGTCGGCAAGAAAAACATCCCCGTTGTTGACCAATGGATGGATCTTGTACGTAGCAGACGTAATGACACCAAAGTTGGCGCCAGCACCGAGGACTCCCCACCACAGATCAGGGTGAGAAGTTGCCGAGACGGTCTTCACCTTGCCATCAGCTCCGACAAGGCGGACAGACTGAAGTGCGTCCATCAAGAGGCCATATTTCCCCTGTAGTGGTTGCAAGATGCATGAATACGAGAGCGTAGCCCGGTTGTAGTTGTACAGAGTAAGAGGGAAAGGGTCATACCATTAATCTTCCAATGCCACCACCGATGGTAACACCAATCATTGAGGGGCATGAGCAGCTGCCGGTTTCTATCCAATTGTCAGTTCTCGAGGGTCTGGATTATGCGTCGGAGGAGAAGTTGTGCGTACGAATATAGAATCCGGCGTTGAACAAAGGGTCGAAGATATCAGCAAAGGTAACACCAGGCCCAACGGTGAGCGTCTGGGCCTTTTTGTCGATCTTGAGAGACTTCCATTGACTCAAGTCCAGAGATAAGCCATGCTGGAATTTCCCCAAGCTGGCGGAATAGCCGTGGCCGGCTCCACGAGTCAAGAATGGGAATCTTCTCGACCTGGCAAGATTGATCTAGATGTTGTCAGGGAATTGACCGTTCATTGACGGGTTCGTACTCGAGTTGATTGCACACCACTTACGACTTTGCTAATATCTCCTTCGGTCCCGGGCCGTATAGCAGCAATGTACGTTGGCGGGTCGGCGATTGTCCAGCGCTCCGTAGAAGCTTCAAAAGCAGGCGAGTTGGGGAATGAAACGGTTGTATTGGCCGACCATTTACGGACAGGGTCAATCAGTAGAGGCTTCAGATCGACTGTAGGCAAATCACCGTAGTCCTGAGGAAGAGCAACAGCATTCGTCAGAATGCCGATGAAAGCAATGATTGACAAAATCCACGGCCTTGCCATTGTAATGAGGGTGAATAGCGAAACGAAAAAGGTATGTAACAATACTGAAAGAATGTATCTGGTCTGCTCTTTATCCATTCTCTATGGCTCGAGCTATTCGTAGCCACTATTTATCTATACTCTATACGAAGAAGCTTGCTCAATATCATCACGGCTGACACACACTGCGATTCTCTCTCCTAGAATAGCAATCGTAGGAATTACTCAAATCATCTAGACGCTCTGATGGCAAGAACGCTTGAAACGCCTGTAGCAGATCTTCTCAGCTCGTTTACCTCAATGAGGCAGGGGTATCGAATGTGCCTTGTAGGCTCCAGCTAGATCCTGCATCCTCATATCAACATGTGAAGCTCGACATTACATGAAGGAGGCTTGCAATTACGGTGCCTTACTAGACAAACTATCTGTCTCCCGTTCTACACAACCTCAGCCCGACCTAGCAGAAGGAATCCGATAGCCCGGTAAGCAACATCTCGGATATGTGCCTGATCGGCAAGGGGCTCAATGGAGCCTTTGCTAAGGCTTCGGGATCCGAGTAGGTGGTGGGGGCGTGCTGGCACCAGCCGGAGAGATCTCATGCGGCGTAGGCGTAGTAAAGCCCGAAGTCCGAACTGCGCAATGCAAAGCGAATGATGGCATGCATCGACTCGACGGCAGTGTGCGAGTAATCTGGCACAGCAGGATGTACGTGGGTATATCCGGAGTGAGGATGCGCCAAACAGTAAAGGCAGCACAGGTGCTTATTCTTGGATATCCGACGCCAGCAGCAATATCCGTCCACACAACGCCTCTTTAGCTATCTCCACGCCGAGTCTCTTCACTTGTGTCAGACTTGGCCTTTGCAGCTGGCTGTTCCTCCTATGTGCTTTCACAGGTAGTGCAACGCGTGTGGGATGATCGAGTACTGAGTGGTTAGCCTTGCTATTTGATGTCAGTGCTCGATGGATGGCGGCAATACAATACTCTTAACGATGGACCAAGGTCCTAAGGAATCGCGTTGCTTCAGGGGGATTGGTGTAGAGCCTTGACCAGCATTGGTGCCTGCTTCCTCCTCTCATCAGAGCAGGTTCACAGCACCAATCAATGCCACATCATCCATCGGAGCTTCTCAGCTGGTAGGTGCTTCTCTTTGTTAGGTAGGAATCTTCACATTACATCACTTGTGTCACCTGTACAACCGCATTGTCCAACTCGACCTCGCTCGGGCACGCAGTTCCCCCGCTCTTCCGCGCTTGAGGGCACGCCCAAATCTCAAAGCTGTTGGCCCCAAGCACATTTCCTCCCTCGCCATTTCCAGGCGTTAGCTGGCCAAGGTAGGTAGGTGGCTGAAGCAAGCAAGACCTCCCACCATCTGTCCCAAACTTGTCAATCCTCGTACCCCAAAACAACAGCATCCTCTCGACTCCCAGCTATGGCGCCTCCTCAATTCTCCATTACGCCTGAGAAAGAGGCGAGCAGGTCGCAGTGGCTGTATCGTCAGCTGCTTGGGAAAACGCTGCCCCTAGCCCAAGATGTGACTCTCTCCGGCAAAGTCGCTATCGTCACCGGCTCCAACAGTGGCCTTGGCTTGGAGACAGCTCGCCAGCTGTTACGTCTAGGACTCTCCAAGCTCATCCTTGCCGTGCGCTCTGAGTCAAAGGGCGAGGCTGCTCGAAAAGAGCTACTCGCTGATACGGGAGCCGCGCCTGAAGAGGTTGCAGTCTGGAATCTGGACCTATCGTCATACGAGTCCATCACGCAATTTGCGGAGAAAGCAAAAGCGCTGGACCGCCTGGACATTGCCATTTTGAACGCTGGGTTGTTCCAAGCCAAAGAAACGTTCAACCCGAATACCGGTTACGAGCAATGCGTCCAGATTAATTACCTCTCTAGCATGCTTCTAATGACGCTCCTCCTAGATGCTCTCAAGCCAAAATCAGGAGCTTCTCCAGGCCGCCTAGTCCTCGTCTCGTCCGATACGGCGGCCTGGGTCGAGTTCAAAGAGCGAGAATTGCGGCCCATTCTGTCCAACTTCAAGAAAAAGTCGGAGAAGTGGGACATGCAAGAGCGATATGGAGTAAGCAAGCTTCTTGGTCAATTTTACCTTACGGAACTGGCCAAGAGGGTACCAGCGTCTATCGTCACGATCGATGCGGTAAACCCAGGCTTCTGCTACGGAACGGCTCTCACGAGAGACGGAGATGGCACTCTTACGGGCGCCCTCATCAACGGCTTCAGGCGAATAGTGGGAAAGCCGAGTTCCGTCGGAGCACTCTCTATAGTGCATGCTGCTGTTAGCTTTGGACAAGATGCTCACGGGCAATACACCGAGGATGGCGAGATACGGCCGTGAGTATTGCCTCTGTAGTGCGTAAAGATGGACATTGCTGGCTAACAGAATACTAGGATGGCTCCGATCATCTACCAGCCCGAAGCCCAAGAGATAGGCAAACAGCTATGGGATGAGACAATGGCCGAGCTGTCGTTTGCTCACCTGGAGAAGGTTATACAAGAAGTCGTAAATTAAACGAAGGATTGAGATCAAGACTTGGAGATCTCCTCTTACACACCAGTATCAAGCGTTAATGGATGCTCTTCTGTTGTCAACATTATCTAGATTGTAGTTCCAAAAATGCCATTTTGCCATCGCCATCATACTCTCTTTCGAATTACCTCCTCTTCCTTCAAATCCTCGTAGTATTCGGGATATGACGGCTTGTACCTACCGCATGGTCAGTATTAGTGTATGGCAAACGACAGAAATAGACCGCGAATTGGCAGACGTACCCTAGCAGATAGCCCCCAACCCAGTACGCAAGGATATACTGGAGCGATCCAAGAAGCCATAGTGGCATCCAGAATGGTGGTGTGGCCAGAGTTGCGCAATCATAGCATATCAGCATGAGCTGAAACACTGATGGCGCCAACTGTGCAGAATGACAGTCTCTCTGGTACCCGATGAGGTTGCGGATGAATCTTTCATCAAAGCTGTTGTCTAAGCCTTGAGGTTCAGCCCAAACCTTGAAGACTAGATCCTCTTGGTTGGAAGGATGGGACCAAAATCTGTGCCTACGGAGTATTATGAGACACGAGGCTGACTGAATATCAGGGGGAAAGGGATCTGAAGGTAGCCGAAGGCTTGAAGGAATAAAGGAAGAGGAAGAGGAACACTCACCTCGTACCAGCTGGCACCTCAATGACGCCGTCATCCTTTGTGGCCCTGATTTCCTTACCATTCCTATGAATTCCAATCACGCCCTTCTCAACTTGGAAGTACTCAGACTGCTTCCAGTGTATGTGCCTATCCGAGGTCAGCATCCAAGGCAACAAGATCGACTGGCTAGGGCGTTTTACAGTGGCGGGCCAGACAACCCCTTTTTTACCAAGGGATTATCGATGTAGTGAGTCTCTCTCACCACCCACCTGCCATCCTCTTCCCTTAGGAACTCGAAAAGTGCGGCGTCGTCGTTGGAGTAGATGTGCGAGCTGGACGCAATCATCGAGCGCTGCGGACGAGGCGAAAGCCACAGCTGCCAAGCACGGACCATTGTTTCTTGGTGAAGGTGAAATGACTAGTGTGGCATCGGCACAATACTCAAAAGGAGACGGAAAACGTGATTGTGTGAGTAGGGGGCTTATCGGGAAGAGTGTTTAATACTGCGGATCAGACGCACCTTAGATATGCGCTGAAAAATGGACGTAGGATGGAGAGACAATCTTGCTCGTCTATTGTTTTTACTCCAGCGAGGGCAATTCGGCGTAAGTCTATCAAGAAGGCATACAATATCGGGCCGTGCAATAAACAGCCACCACCTTGGGGGCGCACAACCAGGCGTGGGGTTGTCTGACTGCTTCCTTGACATGGTTCAGCCGCCACATTACTTGCCCTGATCCTTGGGGAGCTCCTTTATAGTATTGTCCTGCGACCTAGGCAGTATTCCAGAATTCTTGGGAGATTCGGGTTTAGAGCATGCAGTTCCTCGATTGAGTCAATAGAAATTGAGTGATGGTGAGGCTGGCCTTTAGACAGCCCTGGCGTTCTCGTTCTAGGCTCCCAGCACGCCACAGCTCCCCCTGACCATGAAGAATTAAGTCTGACGGTTGATTCCCATTGTGCGTCCTATGCCTGGCAGCTGACACTATAGGCTTGCAATATTCGTGCCGCATTCCCGGTGAGTCGCGCTTTGATGCGTGCAAATACGGACGTCGTACAACAACATGTCATCTATATGGTATTGCAGGCTCGATATAGCGTCTTTTGCTCGTATTCAGCCCCGGGAGCCTCTAGGCTACCTGGGTTGTTGGCCATCCTTGACATAAACCTTCAGCCCCAATGGATGTCATCCTGATGCTCAGCACCGGATATGCCTGAAACTTCGAGGAGCGATAATGGATTCAGAGGATACGGATTGAGAGTCATGATAGCCCTGAAGCATGGTCTCTCGGAATGAAGGCGTCTTCGTTGACTCCATAGTCGACGGTATGCTACAATGGCTGGAACTATTTGACTGATTCGTCTGCTCGCTCTCTATCTGCTCGCACAACACGCTTCGACAATCTTTTTCAACCTCTGAGAACAGGCCATGCATTCAAGAGTTTGTAGCCTGTTGGCATCTGGCCTGGCACTTCTCCCAAGCCTTGTGTCGAGTAGCCCAATCGTTCCTCACTATTTCCGAGCAGTGGATGTCTCCAGAGCCGTGTCTCCAAAGCAAGTCCAGAATGACCTTGGCAGGACACTCTCCAAAGGGGCCCTGATATTTGGCCCTTCCAACCCTGCCTTTGCGGAAGCCACAGAGAGATGGAGCACTCGATCTATGCCGGCAGATATCCAAGTGGTCATTGAAGTTGCCCAGGAGTCAGATGTGGCCAAAATTGTAGGTTGAACCTCTGATTTTTCAAGTGTACGCAAATGTCTGACTGCCTTCCATAGGTCAAATATTGTTACCAGAACAGCATTGACTTTCTCGCATATAGCAGAGGCCATGGTTCTTCTAGCACAATTTCCAAGTTTAGGGGCATTGAAATCAACCTGTCTAAGCTCACTGGAATCACCATTCAGCCCGACAAGAAGTCTGCACTGTTCCAGGGTGGCGTGTACGCTGATCTGAGTATTAAGAAGCTCTGGAACGATGGATATATTGCGCGTAAGTGACCTTCTTCTTGAATATCTCTCAAAAGACACATTCTGAGACGTGGATGCGTGCCTGTCCCAGCTACCGGAAGCAATGGCTGTGTCGGTCTCCTCGGACCAGCTCTGGGGGGTGGTCTCGGTCGATACCAGGGCCAACATGGCCTCATCTCAGACAACTTTATCAGTCTTAACGTTGTCCTCGCCAACGGAACAGCAATCACCGTCAGTGCCAAGTCTAACAGCGACCTCTTCTGGGCCATGAAGGGTGCTGGCCATAACTTTGGTATCGTGACGAGCGCCTACATCAAGATTTACCAGCGGAATGCCAGCACTTGGCACTACCATAACTATGTCTGGTCGCAAGATAAGCTGGAGAAGGTCTTTGAAGCCCTGAACAAGTTCCAGGGGAAGGGGCAGATTCCGGCGCTCATGGGCGTCAACTTTGGGCAATTTTCCATCGAGCCCGATATTAGTAAAACTGAGGTGAGTAAAGCGGCGAGATTCGGGTCAGGTATGTTTGCAATCTAAACTTTCTTGGAACAGGCTGTTATCATCTGGTCTTTTGCCTACGATGGTCCTGCTGCAGACGCTGAAAAGCTGCTGGCTCCCTTCAACGCTATTCCCGCGATATCAAGCACAAAGGACGACGTGTCCTACCCCGATCTCCTTGTGGCCCAGCAGACGGACATCAACAGCGCTTCTTGCAGCTCGCAGCCATATGTCGGAAGCACCACATGGCTTCAGACGTACAACGTCAGCTCTCAGCGCGAGATCTACAAGCTCTTCAACAAGCGGATCGCACAGAACCCTGGCCTTGCACCTGGAGCTCGTGTCTTCTTCGAGGGCTATTCGTCAAAGGCGACCCAGGCAATCGATCCCAGTTCCTCGTCATATCCCCATCGAGACGAGTACCTGCTCGTGTAAGTGTTGTCCAGGACAAACAACCCATCCTCGTGATAGAGCTCCAGCCTAACAATAAGCCACGTAGCTTCTTTGCAGTCGCCGCTCCACCACCACTGGAGGGCTTTGCTCGAGCTTGGGCAGATAAGACGGTGGACATCTGGTATGCAAGCCAGCCCGGTCGTCGACGCGCAACATATGTCAATTATGCTGTTGGAAACGAGCCGCTCGAGTCCATCTATGGGTATGATGGGCAGCTGAGCAGGCTGAGGGCTCTCAAGGCCAAGTATGACCCTCGCAACAAGTTTAGGTGGTATAACCCGATTGTCACTTACTGAAGGCACCTTGGGGCTTTTGTACACGTTCTCTCTTGTCCGGTCATATCGTCTATCTACATTGTATCGCACCGGTGTAGACCTGCTAGTTAGATTTTGTAAATGTATCGTTCGCTTTGTTTAGGAGTACACGTACCAGTCTCGCTCTTTTTGCCTGACGATGAACTTGGCTCAGCCTCATGCTCGGATAGACTCGTTCTCATGTGCGTCAATGCATGTCGAATCAGAGTTCCAGAGGTTGGAGAAGATAGGTACAGTCATCGTCAAGGGGCTTCATGAGTCACATAGTCACTTGACGGTTGGCAGATAGTTTGGCGATATTGACCTGATTGTTAAACCGAGCTGGTAAGGCCCAAGCACCCCTAGCAGCTTGAAAGGCCGGGCTATATCGCACCAAAGCGGTATGGCTGAAGGCATCCAGCTCGAGGCTTTGGCCGCAACCAGCTTGATATGCGGCCTGGAAAGAATAAGATGATAAGCGAGACCACGCAATTGATTACATAGGTACGAAACAAGAGGGAAAGGGAAAGGATAATACCTTAGGTAGACGAAGCCGAAATTGAGGCTATCTCGCCTCTTCTTTGAGGTGCCTTATCTTTCTTATCGTGCGGTGAGTGAGGGGTGCACGTGCCCCGCGGCGGGGCAGCTTCTCTCTTCTTTCATCGCTTGACTCACTCCAACCGAACAAATTGATTCTATATCAGAAGCAGTCCAACGAAGCCTCAACCACACGACAAACGACGGTTTGAAAGCCCGAGCAGCTCGAGAGAGACACGAAGAACACAGACACACACACTCACTCACACACTCTCACCAGCCACGAGACACCCACCGCCCGCCATGGCTGACGCGGTCGACAAGGTGGCCGACAATGTCGCCAAGCTCGTGCTAGACGAGGAGACGGGCGACATGGTGACCAAGAACGAGCTCAAGAAGCGCATCCAGAAGCGCGCCAGAAAGGCCGCCGCCGCCGCCAACCGCAGCAACGCCCAGCAGGACAAGAGCAGCAGCGCCCAGCCCGCGGCCAAGCCTGCGAAGCCCGAGGAGCGCGTCATCGACCCGGACGCCATGTTCAAGCAGGGCTTCCTCAACGAGGTCTACAAGCTGCGGCCGTCCAAGGAGGTGGTGACGCGCTTCCCGCCCGAGCCCAACGGCTATCTTCATGTAATGCGACTTCTTTGACTGCCTGGACTTGTCGATCGATCGATCAGTCACTGACATTGTGGTAGCTTGGACATGCCAAGGCGATTGCTGTCAACTTTGGATTTGCCCGGTATCACGGCGGCCGAACTGTGAGTATCCCTCCCTTGGGACATTGGTGTTTGTTGGAAGCGCGTGTTGCTGACAGGTCATAGATCCTCAGGTAGCAACGCTCATCAGCTCTTGGCCAACATGGCACTCTGCTGACATGCTCGCCCTAGATTCGACGACACGAACCCCGACGCCGAAAAGGGCGAATACTTTGTTGCCATTGAAGAGACGATCCGATGGCTAGGCTTCACCCCCAGCGAAATCACCTACGCGTCCGACAACTACCAGCGAATGTACGACCTCGCCGAGAAGCTCATCAAGATGGAAAAGGCCTACGTGTGCCACTGCGACGATGTCGAAACAAAGAAGCAGCGTGGCGGCGAAGACGGCTTGAGCCCCAGATACCGATGCGAGCACGCGAACCAGGATGTCGAGACCAACCTCAGGAAGTTCCGTGGCATGCGCGATGGAGAGTATGAGCCCAGGAGCGCCTGGTTGCGCATGAAGCAGGACATTGTCAACAACCCCAACCCCCAGATGTGGGATATTGCCGCCTACCGAATCCCCAAGGACCAGGAGCCGCACTACCGAACGGGTACGAAATGGCGGATATATCCCACATACGACTTTGCGCACTGCCTCTGCGATAGCTTTGAGGGCATCACGCACAGCTTGTGTACCACCGAGTTCATCATGTCCCGGGAGAGCTATGAGTGGCTGAACAAGTGAGTCGAGTTGCCGGCAGGATTCTCCTTAGTGGCAATCCTCAGCTAACCTTGAGGCGCAGGCTTCTGGTGGACTTCCAGCCCATGCAGCGCGAGTACGGCCGCCTGAACCTCAGCGGCACCATCATGAGCAAGAGAGGACTGAGAACATTAATTGAGAGCAACGTTGTTCGCGGATGGGACGACCCGCGCCTGTACACCATCAAGGGAATCCGACGACGAGGCATCCCCCCCGGCGCGCTGCTTTCTTTCATCTACGAGCTTGGCGTCACCACCTCCATCACCCAGGTCAGCATCAAGCGATTCGAGCAGTCCATCCGAGTCTATCTCGAGCGGACCGTTCCCCGCCTCATGCTGGTCCTAGACCCGGTTCCGGTCGTGATTGAAGACGGCGAAGAGCAGGACCTCGACATCCCCTTCTCTCCCAAGGACCCCAAGCTGGGATCTCACACCGTTCGCCTCACCAAGACTGTGTACATTGACCGCTCAGACTTCCGCGAGGTGGACAGCAAGGACTACTTCCGTCTGGCTCCGGGCAAGACCGTCGGCCTCCTGAACGTTCCTCACCCCATCAAGGCTGTGTCTTTCACCAAGGACGAAACAACAGGTGCCATCAAGGAGATTCGGGCCGTCTACGACAAGGAGGGCAAGAAGCCCAAGACGTACATCCAGTGGGTGCCCGAGGGCTCGCTCCCGGCCGAAGTCCGCATCCACGAGGCGCTGTTCAAGTCGGACAGTCCCGGCTCTGCGCCTGGCGGGCTTTTGAGCGATGTGAACCCCAACAGCGAGACCATCTGGCCAAACGCGTTGATTGAGACCGGCTTCCACGAGGTGAAGCAACGCGCGCCGTGGCCCGCAGCCGAGGGCGAGAAGACGGGAGAGGTTGGCCCCGAGACAGTGCGATTCCAGGCCATGCGTGTTGCCTACTTTGTGAGTCATTGCCCACTACACCACAAAGCGTGTCACTGATGCTAACCATTTCTCTTCTTTTGACAGGCTCTCGACTCGGATAGCACTGATGACAAGATTGTGCTCAACCGCATTGTTGCTTTGAAGGAAGACTCTGGCAAGAATGCCTAAGAGTCTTTGGACAGAAAGGAGCTTCAAAAAATCATGTTTGGACGGCCTGACTGCAGATACAAAGGGACAAGGACGAAACAAACGGTAGAGAAAAAAAAAAAACAGAAGAAAACATACCACATCCAGAGCATGCTGAGCTTTCCTTACTAGTAGTGAATGTGCCTGACTTGCGGTGTCATGCAACCAGGGACGTGACAGCCAGATAAGTATGGCCCTTCGATGTCTTGCTATGTCTTGGGTAGGTGCCTTTAGGCAGAGTCGCCTGGTCTAGATGACTCGGTTTACAGCCACTTCTTGTTCCCATGATGGGACACGTACGAACCACCGCTGCCACCCTCGATGCTTGCATTCTCCCACACAGAAATGACACTCCTGACAGCATCCTCTGCCTTTGCCGGGCCCTTGAAGTCGGGATTGTTCAGCACAAACTTTTGAAACATGTCCCCCAGCTTCTCCATTTGCTCCGGGGTCGCTAGAAAGTTCATCAACTGGTCAGCCGGCAGTCCACAAACAGGGCCATCACAGAAGCGAGGGGGGAGAGGAGCATTTCATACCATTCTTGTAGTGTCCGGTATCAACCACGCCCGGACAAATACTCATAAACAAAACCCCCTCCTTCTTATACTGCGCATGAAACTTGCCAACCGCCACATTCATAGCCGCCTTGCTGATGGCGTAGCCAGGCGCAACGTGCAGCTCGTACTTGTTCATCGAGTCGAGATCCGCCATGCCCGTGGACAGGGTGATGACTTTCTTGGTGGTGCCGGCGAGGATGAGGGGCATGTAGAGGTTGAAGAGGTGGACGTTTGCTATGACGTTTACTTTGAAGGATTTGAGGAGGTCTTGTTCGAGGGCTTGGGGGTTTTCGCCTCTGTTGGGGGAGAAATTGTTAGCTTTCGACTGTTGGGAGGGTGAAGAGTGAGGGAGGAGGGGTTGGCTTACAGGACGCCGATGGGGTCGTAGGCGTCAAATTCAGAGACATATGCTGCATTGGCGATGAGGTAGTCGAGCGTGCCGCCTGTGATTCTGGCAGTCTCTGCTACGGCATGCTGCAAGTGTTTTTGTGTCAGGAGGTGAGGCTCTGAGGCATCAGAATTGGACTGGTTGTCACCTTGATGGCCTCGTAGTCGGTAATGTCAGCTTCCAGGATGTGAATGTTGGAGCGGCCTGCGAGCTCGTGGGCGACTGCTTGGTCGGTTGCGGCTTTGTTTCGGACGAGGCCGATGACGATGTTGTTGGAGTCGCTGGAGAGCTGGCGGAGAAACTCGAACTGTATCCATGCGATCAATGAGGTCTCTTTCTTGAGGTTGTTTTATTGAGTTGATACGCACGCCCAGGCCTCTAGAGGCGCCAGTGATGACATAGGAAGGCATCTTGTTGAGCGTCGTCAATGTTCAGGAGATGTAGGACCTAGAGTGATATATATCAACAAAAGTAAAAGGACGTGTGTTGGCGAACAGAGTTCTTTTATATAGCGAGTCCGGCGTGATGAGGAAGAAGAGTGTTTAAATAATTGGGGATATGAACAGAGGGGAGCTGTGGGTGGGTGAGTGACATACATACCTACACGAAGAGTCGTACGTGCGTAGGTGCGCCCAACGCTCGCTTTCCGCGTCCCACCTAACAGATATCGACCATGGACACCCTGTTTTCCAGCGGCCGTGTAACTAAGTATTCTGCGGGATTCCATGTTTGCATTCGTAGACTCGGCGAAGGCGGGATGTCTTGCGCTGCCAGAGTGGGAAACCCCGGGACTGTGAGTCGAGAAATTGAGCCTGTATGAGATGAGTCTGTGGAATTAACCATGTTTTTGAAATACAACTTTATTAGGCTAAGGATGCTATTCATTCATATCTAAGGCCGTATTTAATCTCATTGGTGCTATGATTTCTCTGCAATTGTTGATTTCGGCCGCTTATATCATTCATTGCATGCTGCCTGTTGAGCTCTGCCTCAAATCACCCAATATCTTCGAGGCGCCCACAAAGCTCAACTCTTCCATTGTCTCCTCCCAAAGCCTCTCTGTGAAACTTCTTCCTTGCGGCGTATACCAAACCTTGGGATATCTACGCATGTCTCAATCGTCTACTCAAACATTCGTCAAGGCTGAAAGGGGGGGGGAGGGTGTCACTTACGGCTTAATCGTCCAGTCACTCGTAAACGACCCATGGCTCTTCTCTCCCTGCACCAGAACAGCATCCAGATACGTTGAAGCACCAACATCCACCGACCTTGCCAGCATCCACTGCGCAATTCCAAACAGCCTCTTTGCCCAGGTAGGATATCCGCGGAAGAAGTCGGTGCCATCCGTCATGCCCGGATTCGACACATTGACAATGACATCGCGCGGACTGACAAACTCAGCCAGCTTGGAGACAAACAGTGCCTGAAGCAGCTTCGTCTTTCCATACCACGCAAACTGTGTAAACGTGTCTGCCCGTTGGAACTGTGGCAGGATCGGGCCTCGCAGCTCCATCTGGTTGTGATACATTGCATCCGAGCCAACAATGCTGAGAACAGGCGGCTGCGACGAACCAGCAATCTTCTTCGCTTTCAGAACTGGCAGAAGCAGGATCGTCAACAGGGCCGTTGACAAGTAATTGACCTGCAGCATGAGTTCATTCCCCGTTGCCCTTGCAACAGTGTACGGCGCCATAGTCAGCCCAGCATTCAGAATCACAACATCGATCCTCTCCAAGCTCTCGCACCGATTAGCAAAAGCACGCACGGAGTCATACGACTCCATGTCGACGATCCAGACAGATACAGTAGCGGAAGCAAAGTCCGTCCGCAACTGAGCCGCCGCCGCATCGCCCTTTGCTTGTGACCGAACTGCCATGATCAGGTGGGATAGTCCGAGCTGGAGCAGCTGTCGGCATGCTGAGAGCCCGAGTCCGACATTGCTGCCGGTGACAATGGCGACTTTGCCTGCGAGAGACAGGCCTGCTGGTAGGGGCTTCGGACGAGTGAATTGGCGCCGTAGGAAGCCCAGCGCGGTGGCTTCGGATGGAGCCTTGCTTTCGAGTTGGCTGGACATAGCAGCGATACGGTTCAGGGGAGACTTGCTGACTCGACTTGAACTCGTTTTTGTTTCGAATTAGCAGAGGAGGAAGAGGTAAAGTGATACAGAAATGGCAAAGCTGAGATAAGACATATATCATCTGCCAATCACTGTATACCCAAACCCCCCCTCCGCTCCTCAGAGGAGGATGCTATATATACGTCGTACAAGCTCTCTGGCCTGATCCACGGCCCGTTCCCGATTAAGCATCACACCGGTACAACCCTTGAAGTCCAGCATTGAGATGGTCAACATGAAACCCACACAATCTCACAATGATAAGACATTCCCTCCTGAAGGAATCCGAAGCACTTCTCAAGGAGCTCCTGATGCTTGACATTTGTCAGGCTGGAGATGCTGCTGCTGATCCCTGTTCGGCAAAACGCTCAGGCCGACCCGCTGCTGCCGAGAAGCATCGACCAACAACCGCGCACTTGACGGATTGCCGAGGCGGCCTGTATTGGCCCGAAGCCTCTGTTGAATAACAACTCCGATGGATTGCATTCCTCGCATCGAAGCGGGCTTCCCGCATGGTCAGGCTTTCCAAGGGAACCTATCATGCTCTTCTCACGAGCCGAGTGCTTGCTTCACTTGCTGACGCACATGGCGTTGGGTGATGGCCAGATGTCTACAGACAGTGAGTTGAGAATATCATGTCAAACGGCTTCCTAGCCATGGTCCGTCTCCGTTCCGGACTGTTCGGGCGTTGGTCCCTGCGGACGCTCGTTGCGTATTATTATGAGTCTCTAAATACGCTGTCGGCTGGGGTCGCATTGCAGGAAGATTACTCTCCATATCTCAGCTCAGGATCCACAGCCCCCCTGTCACAAGCAATCGAATAGTATCACGATTCAGTGACATCTGCAACAGTCATCTTAAGGAAAACATGGAGAGATCGACTCCACGCTCATTCAGAAGTGGCGGTAGAATTCATCAGCCCAGTAGCTTCAGCTTCCTGGAGTTTAGCGACCTGGAGCTGTTTCCTGCCTCTCAGGGAGATACATGGTATCTATCTGCCAGCAGCACTGAGGACTTGAGCGTGCCCGTTAGGCCTGCAAGGGCAAAGAGCCTGCCACATGGCTACAGGACTCCTCACTTTCTGCAGCCCGAAGGCATCGCGGGCCATGATTTCCAACCCAGCGACTCGGATATGCCCCTGAGGGCGCTCAACGATGAATCAGAAAAGCCTCCAGATGAAGAAGATTACATGTCCGGCTTCAAGCTGTGGCTCATGCTCGCCTCTTTGATCTTCAGCATCTTCCTCATCGCCCTAGACATGGTAATCACACTTCCAGCTTCCCTCAAGCATCCTACTCGGCTAACGCCTCTCAGACCATTGTCGCAACCTCCATCCCCGCCATCACCAACGAGTTCAACGGCCTCGGAGACCAAGCCTGGTACAGCGCAATCTATCTCATGACGTCCGGTGGCTTCCAGTCCACATGGGGAAAGATGTATCAGTACTTCCCTCTCAAGATCAGCTTCCTCAGCGCAATGGCCGTCTTTGAGATTGGCAGCCTCATCTGCGGCGTGGCCCCTTCGTCTGTGATTTTCATCATTGGACGCACGATTGCTGGTGTAGGCGCCGCGGGCGTCAGTTCAGGAGCTTACACGATATGTGCTTACATCTCTGAGCCCAGGAAGAGGGCGGTGCACACGGGGATACTGGGTGCTGTGTTTGGGGTTGGGAGTATCCTGGGTCCTTTGCTCGGCGGTGTCTTTTCCGAGGAGTCCACATGGAGATGGTGAGTGCAGATGATAACCCCCAACGCTCATGCTCTGGGGTGATTCAAGCTAAACTCCCGCCAGGTGTTTCTACATCAACCTCCCCATTGGTGTCCTCCCTATCGTATCAACAGTCTTCTTTCTCAGCACGCCCAAGGCCGCAAAACCTCGAGAAGCACCAATTAAAGAAAAACTTCTACAGCTGGACCCCCTGGGAACAGCCGTGCTCATGGGAGCCATCATCACCTACCTCATGGCCGTCCACTACGGCGGCCAGATCGACCCCTGGAACTCTGCACGCGTCATTGGCCTTCTCGTAGCCTCCGTCGTCTTGTTCATCGTCTTTGCCTTGATTGAGCGCTGGCAGGACGAAAGAGCCATGATCATCCCGCGGCTGTTTGCCAAGCGCGACATCTACGTCCCGCTCTTCTACACCGTCTTCCAGGGTGGTGCGCTTTTCGCCATGGTGTATTACCTTCCGCTGTACTTCCAGGCCATTCGCGGTACCGATGCAGTCATCTCGGCTGTCCACAACTTGCCGTTTATCATTGCGGCCATGCTCTCGGCTCTTGGCGCCGGCATCTTCATCTCCAACACGGGCCTGGCCACCCCTGTGATGATAGGGGGCTCGGCCATCGCCACGGTTGGATGTGGTCTCTGTCACTTGTTCGACTTGGATACAGAGACAGGAGTCTGGATAGGGATTCAGATCGTCGTCGGCCTCGGCCTTGGCTGCGCATTTCAAGTCCCCATCATGGTTGGCCAAGTCAGCGTCGACGTCGCCGATATTCCAGCCGTCACAGCCATGATTCTATGCTTCCAGACGGTGGGGGGTGCCATCTGGGTGTCTGCGTCGCAGTCCATCTTTGTCAACAGGATGTTGATCGCGGTCCCGCATTTTGCACCAGGGGTTGATCCCACTCAAGTCGTGAGCACCGGCGCAGGAGAGCTGCGAGAGGTGTTTGGATCCGAGCAAATTGTGGGCGTCCTCACGGCGTATCTCACCGGTATCAGAGCAGCGTATATGCTCTCTTGCGCTGTCGTCGGAGCGTCTCTGCTGGTGGGGGTGTTTCTGCCTTGGAAGAGGCTGGACACGGATGCTTTGAAGGAGGCTGGAGGGGCTGCAGCATAAAAGACGATGTCTGGTGCTTGATATTCACGGTAATCATGTTCACTGTGTAATTCCCCTGCTTTTCATATGCCTTAGTTGGGAGCTTTGCTCATATAATAGGTACATATCTAGCTTAATTAAGATCGAGTATTTAATTCCTGCGGTGATCTGCTCCGAGCCCCTGCCATTCCCATGATCATGCACATTATCCCACTGAAGACTCTCCCGTTGGTATTACTGTTCAAATGGGAGTATCTCATGCAAGTGACCGTTTGATCGTTCTTGTCCCTCATTGAACCACCCCAACTAGAAACGTTCAGAGCTGAGGACAACCCAGATCATACATCGTTCTAGAAGAATGGAGGATTCATAAAACAGATACCCACCCCAGTGCCAAGTTTCTCACAACAATCGCCATCTGCGAGGGATCTTTCTCTCCTCCTTCCTCCGCGATAAACACCCTCAACTTTACTCCGCTTGTCCGTCCCTAGTGTGGCAGATGCAACGTCCAGGGTAGCATTCCGAAGCATCTCTGGAATCCCCTCCGCTAATCAATCCTCCGCGTATGCTTCGAATCATGAGCTGGGGATCGGCTGCCGTAAGAATGCTGTGACCAGGTAACCATAGGGGGTGAGGATCCCCAAAGGCCCTTCTGGTCCAATCTCTCGAGGTTGACTGTGATACGGCGTGTCTTTTGTACTACTCTTGCCCTTGGCAGCTGAAGAGTCTCGGATGTATACGATGAATCGGACTTGACAGTCTCAAAAACTGGATTGCTGATGAATCACCCCTGAGACCTCTATACGCTGCGGGTGCCTTTATCAATTCCGCTACAGATAATCCTCCCAGCCCTTCAACTCCTGTATGATTCCGCCCAGCCTCTGCTCAACACCGGGCAGAAGCACGTCATTGACGCCGTGCTTCCTCAGCCGTGTCACCGCGCCCAGCAACTCCCTGCACCGCACCAGCAGCGACACCCGCAGGATATGCGCCCACTCATGCTTCGACTCGACATGATAGTCCCCCACGCTGCAGAGCCTCGCCGCAAGCGCACAAGTGCCGCTCTCGTCATCATCCTCCTCCTCTACCTCTTGTCGCATCTGACGGACGCACCCCGCCACGCCTCTCTCCAGGTACACCGAGAGGCCCTCGATGACGAGCACAATCAGCTTGGTCGTCGCCCGTGGCGTCTGGCCGTGGTCGCAGGACAGCCAGGCGTTGAGGCGCGCCAGGGCAATCTTCTGGTAGCCGAGGATGCCGTCGCCGGAGACGTCGAGCCTGGTGTGGAACTGGAGCTCGAGCTCTTCGAGCATGTGCAGCGCAGACTGGGCGCAGGTGCAGAGCTCTCCGTCATTTGTCGAGGGGCTGTCGCTCAAACACGGGCCTTCCGTGCTTGTCGGGGTTCTTTGTGGCGCTACACAGAACGGATTGGTCTGTGAGGGCGAGATGCTGCTGCTTGAAGCCAGGCTGCTGAGGTCTCCGAGCGTAGAGTTGAGCTGTTCGAGATCTGTCACGGCAACGCATAGCCCACCGAGGAATCAGCCAGCCAGTCGATGTACAATTTGTCGATGTACCCTTTGTAGAAACAAGGAGCCGAAGCTGAGACATACCAAGAGTAAAGTTCTCCGCCAGACCAGCGCAGTGCAATGAAAACTCAGACGGACTAAAGTCCAGAGTCGGCGAAAACTCAGAGGTCGTGGCAACGGGGGCAAAAGGGTGCGAGTCGCGGGTAGACGCAGACGAGATAGAGCTGCTGGTCCCTCTACTCCTGCTACTCTCCCCATTGCTGCAGACCATCTCACTGCCCGCAATGCTCTTGCGTCCGTCCTGACCGACGGTTGGCGCCGAGTTCTTTTGCCTCTTGGTGCCACGCTTTGTTCGCTCCGGAAAGACGCAGGTTGTACCGGTCCCCTGACATCTCTGGCAGCCAGTGACTTCTCCCGAGCACTTAACCTGTTGGTTTTGCTCAAAAATCATGGTTCACTCTTCGTTATTCTCGCAGGAAATGGCAGATCTGGGGTGGGGAGAGGAGTCAAGTCTCACCTTTCGTGCACGGCATTCTACACACGCGAGCCGTGATTGTCGATACTCGCCGAATGTGTGGTTGCTTGCCAGCTTGGACACGCTTTCGGCTTCTGCCGAGGTGTTTTTGTACGAAATTGTATAGAACATGGGTTGATCTGCTTTCACCTTTTAACCGTTGTCCTTTCAGACCTATAGATCAGAGAACAGTGCCTCAACAGAGGACGAGAAGGAAGAAGCAGCGACAAGGCAATGATGTAAGAAAAGCGAGCCCACGATGTTGCAGTTGGGAGACCTTACGGATAGCACACCGAACTGAGGTCAGTGACACGGGAAAAGCCAGCTCGTAAAGCATCCAGACCTTCCGTATCACCCAGGCAGTGGACAGCTATCTTCTATAAGAGATCTGGTAGGACACCACCATCGTATAGCTAATCTGCGAACTCTTCCCCCTCACGCATCTTCCGTCCCTCTCGTCTGGGCATGCTTCCAACAAAAGCAAGTAGTGACGACGCCAGCCAAGGTTCCCCTCAAACTACAGCTTTCAACTCCCACAGGAAGACGTGCCTTGTCCCACCGGGCTTTTCCTCCATTTTCCCACAATGGCCACCTTAGTGCTCACCTGCTCGCCTCCACATGCGCACCCCATATCAAGAATTCCATGTTCAAGCTGTCCCCCGGTAGCTGTAGAGCCACGTCGTGTACCTTCATGATGGACGCGGGTAAGGCCCCAGTAGGGACGCACATGGGGGAGAGAAAACAGCCACGGAGCAGCAGTGGCCCTTCCGGCGTTGCACGACGCTGCCAAACCGGGGCCTAGATCCACGGTGCTCCGAAGCCCTTGGAAAGCTACGGAAGGTTATCAGCAATGCCCAGCATCAGAGGGCATGGTGAAGAAACTGGGTTGGATCAAACATTACTTACCGGGCTGCATTGACACCATATGAGAAAACTCCTTTGTTCCTTTTGTCCACATAGCCTGGAATGCGCGTCAAGATGGAATCCTGAGTAATGACGCAGGATGTGAACGCCATATGCAGTCAGACGAATCCTCTTCGGATCGTAGATGAATTACCAGGGGCTTTGGTAAGGCCAGTCCTCTCACATACGTCAACTGACATCTGTAACGTTCCGTATGAGTGCATTGAAGAGTCGGAAACGCGCAGCTGTTTCACGCGTGGTACCTTACCGCATGAAGAGGTGGCTGAAGGAGGAGACCATGGTCAGCCAGCAAGAAAGGGGGGTGATGTGTTTTGAAGTTTCTCTCAGTATAGCTCATGTGACTCTCTGCATCCAAAGATAACACATATAACTCTTTCAATGGAGGTGTATTACGTGTCGTAGAGAACTAAGAACAAATCATGGAACAAAAGTAAATGCAAGGTAACCAGCCATCACACGCGACGCCGTTCCCTCAACGCTGCCTTTAAAAACAGAACCTCGTATATCTGCACTCCAAAGTAACTTGTCGTTCGTTACCCGACTCCTCTCCTTCGCCGCGGAGGACGAAAGCCCTCTCAACTCCGCCAAACGCTGTGTCACGGCCTCTTGAAGACGCTCTCCAGCCCGCCCTGCTCCTTGAGTCTCCGTGACACCTCGTCCAAGCCCGTCCTGCTCTTGTAGACGCCATCCAGGGCGCCCACGGGCAAGAAGGAGCCGATCCGCGCAGCCATGGCATGCCTGCCTCGCCAAACCCAGAGCGGCGGCCTCTCCCTGCTGAGGTCCTTGACGACGCCCTCGGCCCACTGCACGGGGTCCGCGCCCGTGGCCGTGGCCTCGGCGCCCGACATCCACCTCTCGACCGCCTCCTTGGCCACGTTGTAGATGGAGGTCGGCGGCAGCGAGACGCGCGGCGCGTTGGCGTGGAACGTCGACCGGACGGAGCCCGTCACCAGGTTGGTCACCCGGACGCCAAAGGGCGCGAGCTCGAGGCGCAGCACCTCGCTGAAGCTTGCCGCCGCCGCCTTGGACGCGTTGTAGGCGCCCGAGAAGGGCATGGAGGCGTGCGGCAGCGCCATGCACGACGTGTTGTTGACGACGAGGCCGCCTCCGGGCGCCTGCGACCTGACGAGCAGCGGGAAGAAGGCCCGCGTGACGGCGAGGAGCGAGAAGACGTTGAGCTCAAACAGCTGCCGCGTCTGCGCCAGGTCGAGGTCCAGCACGGGCATCGAGTAGCCGGCGCCGGCGTTGTTGACGAGGGCGTCGAGCGAGCCGCCGGTGAGCTCCGAGACGCGGGCCACGCAGGCGGCCACGGACGCGTCGTCGGTGGTGTCGAGCTGCACCACCTCGAGGCCCGATGCCCGGGCTTGCTCCATCTTGGACGGGTTGCGGGCTGAGGCAAAGACTCGCCAGCCCTGCCGGTGGAAGGCGAGGGCCAGGTGCGAGCCCAGGCTGCCGTCGGAGCAGCCAGAGATGAGGACGGTCCGCTTGGCGGCCATTTGGGATGCTTGTGGCAGTTTGATGGTTGATGATGCCGGGGATGATGCTGTGTATTGGTGACTTGTCGATTATCCTGTGGTTTTGCTCTTGATGGTGGTTTTGTGGCAATGTTCTTTGGTGCCTCGAGGAGAGACGGAGGCTGCTCTTGGTTGAGTAGGTAATGATAGAGTGTAAAGTTGGTGCCACCGGCCAATCCTCCGGGACCCAGACTGCACTGAAACAGACGGTATAGATGGCTTTTATGGCGATAATGCCAACTGTGCGTCCATTGTGCCACTCGGCATGTATAACAGTCATGCCTAGGTATCTTAGGTATAGAGGTGCTCGTCAACCCAAGGCGCATCAGATGTACACGGCTCGCCAACCGCCAGGCCACGCTCCCGTGTAAGTCAAGATGCTCGGCATCGTAATTGCCCCGGTCCACGTCCCGAAACCCCTGTCAGACCCGTCCTCCGGACAATCCACACTCAAGCCTCTTGCGTCCCAACAGCGCGCCCTGGTTGGCTGCATCTGATCGGAGCCTTATAAGCACCACTTGCCTAGCACTTTTAGTCTCCGCGAGGAGGTCCGCTCCCGTTTTCTGGGCGTGTTGGTCAGGTCTGGTCCGACGAAGCTACTACTACGTCAAACCGTAGGTAGCACAGGTAAAAGAATTTCAGCTTTGTTCCGCTGTCCGGCGGGAGGCGATACAGGGCCGATACTGTACGGAGCTTGTGCGGCCTGATGCGGAGTGCGAAGGACGAGATTCTATGTTTATTGCTTGGACTCGAGCGCTTCAAAGACGTGTTGACCTCAACAAGGTCGCCAGTCGCTCTCTTTCAATTTCACCGCTTCTCATTCCTGTTCCAGTATTATCGTCCTAGGTCAAACAGTGCACAATGTTAGAGGCCCGATTCTGCGCTGGGATGAGTTGGAAAAATGAGAAAGAATACGCATCCTCTTCTATCTGAATATAATCATTTAGAGGAAAAAAAGAAAGAAAAAAGAAACCAAGAAATCTACGTAGGCTCTCACGTCTAGCCTAGATTGTAGTCGTCGTCAATGCATTTTGCTCTCTTATAGGAATCAACATGACTGCGACTCGGTAAGAGCTATTTTGCAAAGTACAAACCCGTACTCCTTTCCTCCGTGTCATGCTTCGCCTGGCTGTCTCTTTTCTCGCCTGGATTCTCGAAACTGCTTTGGCTTGGAAGACTGACTTCGTCCACATTCTTCAGAGACATCCTCGTCGAATCAGTTTAAGGGTTTGACACCGTATCCCAGATGCGCCACCGGCAAAGCGGCGTCTGCGACCGCTATACGTAAAACTCCCTTCCGAGAATCAGCGGGTGGAACTTCTTGTATGCGGCGCGCGAGGCTGCCCGGTAACGAAGCTTGTGATCTGACGAATGCTCGATAGCTGTCATCATCCTCGGCTGCGAAGAGTAGTAGGACCTGATCTAATAGATTCATGGTCTCAGCTTCATCACTCCAGCAATTGACCTTCTCTAATGTCAATGATGATGCGTAGAGACTGCTATGCAGAGCATGAACTTGAGCGAACTACCTTATATCTAGTACCGCTCACCTAAGGCTTAGCTGTCTAGGAGATCTTATAAGTTCATGATATGTAGCAGATTGAGGGCCTGGAGGAGTGCAACAACAGAGGACATCCAGTTGGGTCTTTGAGATGTGGGAGCGAGCGGATCAGCCAAGTGACTGGAGCGTGTGAATCGTGCACTTTTCATTGCGCAAACGCAGGAGTAGAAACACAAAAAAACCTATTAGGACAAGAAAAAGAAAAACAAAAAAAAGACAACACAATTGGAAGCAAATCATAGATAATTGAGCTTCTTAGTAGGAGAAAAGAGCAAAAAATTGAAGCCCCCCGCGGGACTCGAACCCGCAATCTTAAGATTCTCTTCATAGAAGTCTTACGCCTTAGCCATTAGGCCAGGGGGGCTATCGAGCCAAGCCCAACTAGGGCAGGCTCTTCGCTTAGCGACTCCGCTTCTCGGCCGTTGAAAGTTGGAGACATGATTTTCATTATAAACCTAACATCAGGCAGTGCTTCCACTTCGATGGCGGTGATTGAACAAACTCGGATCATGGATACCTACAGACACTGAAAACATACATTCGATTTCTTCTTCTACTTCTGTAAAGATTGCGTGCCCATCAATCAGTAACTGCGCCCAGCCTCAACGAGTGTGGATTTGGCACTCCCGCAGCCAGGGCTGAAAAGCCCAGCGAAACAAGCAGAGTTCTCTTTTGAGCAGGTATATCAGATCAAGCTGGATCATAACGAAGATACCTTGGAGTTGAAACGGCCGCAATTCAAGCAAAGAAAAGAGAAGTGGAACAAAATAAGGAAAAGCAAGGTACTGGCTATAGCTTCTGCTTGAAAATGTTAGTCTAGGATCGCTATTTAAAGTAGTGCTATTCACCACATACCCCTCCGTCTTGCATGTGAAGACGTGTATCCGGACCAGTTGCCACAAAGGCCATCTTGTATTTGCAAGCACCAAAGGGTAAAGAGCGGAATTACTGCAAGAATGCATTGTTCTAATCCACTCGCGATTGACACCATCTGACCGAAGTCGATTGGAATGGCAACGCCCAGGTCTAGGGTGGCCCTCAGTGACTTCACCCATCTCCGGCTAGCTGAGCAAGACGATGAGCTCAAGAATGTACAATTCCGAAGGGCTCATAATGATCTGACTTTGGGCTTGAACTTGACATACAGGCTTCTCCCTTCTTCTAGACACCATACTAGGAGACATCGTCTTGGCATTGAGCGAGACAGCTTTATCGACACCTCCAACGCCTTGCTGACCGAGATATGCCGAACGATTCTCATCACTTCGTGATGAAGCTCGGGAAACCGCAATAAATGCATTCATGTGGACGCATTACTGCAAAGGCTCAAAGACCTAGTGCATGACGAAATACCCGCCTCAACATCGACTGTGAAACTATCGCCACTGTTCGTCAAGAGGCCGTCCATGATAACAATCTCCAATTGCCTGTCCAGAAAGACTTCACCATGAATGCTACTTTCGGTGCAATACGTAGTGAGTTTAGTGCGAGTGCCGGCAACGCTACATAACCTTCTTCGATAGTAAAGATCTGGGAGACACCAACCGGGACTGTAATATGGTGTCTGCCTTAAAGTCACCCCCTAGGTATGAAGCCATCACTGCATGTAAGGTAATCTTTGACCATTAGAGTGCCTTGTGAACTCTGGACAGATGTAAATGTCTTGTACGGTGAGAGAACAGGTCTTATATACTGCAGAAGGTCTCACAAGCAACACACGATCGTGCCATTTCCTCTACTAGAGCATAAGAAGGTTTCACATCAGCCCCATTGTCATTTGCCCGCGACAAAACTACACGAATGCCCTGGCCAACTACCTCCCATAAGATCAAGTTGCTAGCAAGTGGCATACCACGAAAGAAGAGAACACATAGGGTGTGCCATCTAACACAACAACAACTAAACTACCTAATGTACCCTCAATGGCCAACTCGATATATAGTCCTCAATTACGAATAACGGACGCCATGCGATGCTGAGTTACACATAGTTGACAGAGAAAGAATCTATAACAATCAAGTTTCTTAATGGTGCCCCAGAGTCAATGAGCACCCAACTTGACAACAAATTCGAAAACACGGCTTGGAGTTGTTGACGTGAGGGAGAGCAGAGCTACTCAGTGTCAGTTACGATTCACCAAGGCCAGGCTCCCAGCATCATTAAAACCATAAAAGACAACAAAAGTTCCAAGGGTAAGAGAATAAAAAATGAGGAAAGGAAAAAAAAAAGCATGTAAGAGTGATTGGTGCGCAATCTGACAGCAGCTCCACCACTGGGAAAATTCAGAGGAGACCTTGGATCCATAAGACGCGTGGCTCGAAGCCATCAACCAGGAAGCTGAAAAACAGGATACTGAACAAGGCCCCCCACGTACATGTAGGCAGCCAACAGATCATGAGGCCTCGTGTCCCCCAGAAATTATTACTGTTCTGATACCGAACCTGATCTTCAGATATTCATAGTATACCTGCCCTCATTCTTTTTTTCTTTCCGTGATATATACATCCCTCTTACTAGCGTCCTAGTACTCGTTAATGCCCACGCACTTCCATAAAAGCCAGAGGCATCAAACACACAACTCCTTGCAAAAGCACCATCCATTCCCTGCTCGCAACCATGCTGAAACCCGCAAACCACATCAAAGAGGCTGATACCGCCGTCAACGCAATGCATTACCAAAACCGGAAACTGCTTCAACGGGTACAGGAACCGTACGGTGACGGAACTACGCGTATGCGACCAAAATAAGAACGACAAGGGGAAGGGGGCGGGCTTATACAAAATAATTGTTAGCCACTTGTCGAAATGGGGAATACATCAGCCCCCCCTACGACCTCGTATGTGAAAGGGTATATGACCAAGTGTCTTTTGCTGCCCCAGTCACGATGTCCTCGTTGTCTGCAATTCCGTATCCAGCTCGCTCTTTTCAAACCTCAACCTCTTGAGGGACCAAAGCCATCACGGCCATGGCCCTCCTCTCAAAGACTTTCCCCGTGCGTATTCAGCGTCGGGGACTGAGAGTCACACCACGGACTTTGTTCTTGTCTACCTTCATACTTGTTGTATCTGTATGGACGTTGCTGTCTTACAAGCCTGGCCAAAGACGGATCGTGGACGAGGCTCAGTTGTGCGAGCGGTTCCCCCTGACTTACAACTACATTCACACCTTTGATAGGGGCAAAGGAGGAGGTAAACATGCCTCCCACACTCTCTATCAACATTCATTCAAGAGTCATACGGGGCCCTATTTAGGTGACTGGAAAAAAATATCAATTAACTGACATACTTTTGCTTCCAGCGTGGTATATCCCCCCAGAATGGCTTCCCGCAAACCAGGCGCCACCAAGAACCATCATCGAAGCGGCCCAGCTAGCCTCAAAAGCAGCCGCATCAAACCCCGAGCGAAGAATCCCGTTTTCAAACATCCCGCTCCTGGTTCATCAGAAATGGGATACGACGCAACTCAACGGCACAAAGGAGTCGATTCTCACCTATGTGGAACAATGGCTGATGTATTCCATCACACCTCCGGCTGGAGCCAATCCCATGGCCTATTTTCTCTGGGATAACGAAGGAGTTCTGGAATTGATGGAAGAGTATGAGAATGACCAAACAACGGATTTTATCGAAGTCTTTTCGCCAGTGGAAAAGGTTGACATTTTCCGAATCGTTGCTTGTAAATGGTTTGGAGGCATTGTGAGTCCTTCCGCAGTACCTGTCAATCCTTGTTTATCAATGCTAACTGGTGAAATCAGTACGGCGACATAGACACAAAGCCACTCCAACACCCCTCCCAATGGATTCGTTCGACCGATCTCTCAGAATGGACTGATGAACTCACTGGGAAAACCTACGGAGCAGCAGCAGCAGCAGCACAAGTACCCCAAGATCCCTCGCAAGCCCAGCCCGTCAACGCAATCTGGGGCATCGAATGCGACACGGACCCCGACACAAACACCCACTGGCGCTCCTCCTACACGTATCCCGTCCAGCTCACAAACTGGGCGCTGGCGTCTGCTCCCCAACACCCTATCCTCCAGTACTTCCTCGACCGTATACCCGAGAAGGCGGCAGAGGCCAGACACAGGGCTGCGCATACGCCAGGTGTCAGCAGCCTCGCAGAGCTCCATTACGACCCAGTCACACGGACTGGGCCGGTAGCCGTTACGCAGGCAACGAGTTGGTTCCTAGAACAGCATGACGGGCTGAGATGGAATGCGCTCACGGGGCTCAAAGACGGAGGCAAGAACAAGGTTGTTGGCGATGTACTGATTCTCCCTATAACCGGATTCAGGTGCGTCTTCTCTTCCCCTGGTTGCTCTTGATGGATTCAGCTGAGCAAACATTGACTAACTTTGGTTTTACCTCAGCCCAACAACAAAGAAATTCAACCGAAACGGTAAAGGAGGCTGGGACCATCCCGATGCCAGACTCGCCCATACGGCCATGGGCTCATGGCATCACACAAATCTCATTGTCGAGTATGGAAAGTTTTGCCGCTCCGTCTTTGGCTTGTGCAAGGACTGGCAGAAGATGTGGTGAAAAGAGTATCTGGATAAATGACTGCATCTCTGGCGCCGGGGACAACTGCAGGGAGAGAGCACCAATCGAGCGTTTCATCTTTCCTACTTCTTCTCTTATAGTTTCATGTTTACCCATCTTTGCATATACGGGTATATGCCACGACTTTACAGCAAGCAGTAATTTGAATGACAATAGAACGTACATAGTAGTATTCACGCATCATGAACCCGAAATCAGTCGCATACCGAATGTGTCCGCCCTCCCAAGGCCAACCGATAATGACAAGGAACGCACAACTCTGCGTGATTCACAGTAGTAATCGCGCAAAGACTCACGGCCAAGTTCTCAGGGACAGGCGTGGAGAGCCATCGGTATGGAAACTGCTCTCATCCAGAAGGATTACGCGTACCATTTATCTGATTGGACAAAGTACCTACCTAGGCATAAGCTGACAGTATAAGCTTAGGTTCTAGCTTGTATCCCACCGGTAAGATTCCATGGCTTGTTATCACGTGTGATAAAGTGGACGACAGACCGGCTAATTGTCGATTCAGATCATCGCAAGCGTGGGAAGCATCCAGAGTTTACCAGGTCGGATCCGAGCCCTCGATCCGGTCACAGATTGCAATTCTGTAGGTATTCAGGTACATAGGTAGGTAGCAGTGGTGAATACAGCCGAACTCAAGATTAATATTGCTAGTAATAATTGTATCTCAAACAACAAACAGAACAATGTCTCACGAGAAACAGGCAAACGATAAAGATGTCTTAGATTGTGTCTCATTCATCCATTCAAGTAAATCATGACTGGTGCCTGTGGGGCTCCTCGTTCTTCGTAAAGTGCCAGTAACAGAATACACATATGTACACGCAACTTCAGACCCCCGCGCCATGCTGTGGCTAAAGAAGAGAAAAAAAGGAAATGAAGCAAAGGAGAGAAGGTTGGAGAACGGCTGTGGGCCCTAGTCTCCTAGGAGATGGAAAAGAAAAAAAAAAACCGTAGAGGTGCATGGACAAGAACAATGATGCTTCTGTCCATAGGTAAAGAATGCGCATCGTATGTTGATACACGGACAAAGAAAAGGTCTTGGTGGCAGACGTGCTGCAAGTTCAGGTCACAGAGCGCAGCCTCTAGCTGGCCCTGTTCCTCAGGCTGCTACCGGCCCTTGAGAAGCCGGGCAACCACTTCCTCCGGGTCCCAATGACCGACGGCGCAGGCGGAGCCGGCTCGACCGCCTGCTTCCTCGCGCTTGGCGAGTCTCGCCCACTGACAACCAAGTCCGAAAGGCGCACCGGAGCACTGGTCGACGAGGGTATAAAGGTGGGTGCGGCGTCAACGCCAATGGTGTTTCGCCTCATGTGTCGGGGCTTGAGCATGATGGGCGGCGGCGTAGCTCCCGCGCGGTCATCGAGCTCGCTCCCAATGTCGCTGTTCAACCAAGGCTGCAGGCTGACGCCCTGGTTGGCCTTGGTGGCCTCGGCAAAGGTAGCCTCTGTAGCGCTCGCCGGGGTGCTAGACGGCGACGAGGGAACCACGGAGCGGCGGAACAGTCTGTTCAATGCAGTCCGCGGTCCGGTGATTGGGGGATACTGGCCCCTCTTCTCGCTGTGCGGGTGCTGAGGAATGGACGGAGACTGGGCGGGCGTGTGGACTTCGGCCCTCATCTGGACACTGTCGCTTTGCTGCCTGGAGTGGCCCGAGTAATCGCCCGAGTACTCTTGCTCTTCCGGCGTGCTCGTAAGAGTGAGCGTCCTGGGCGAGTTTCGCACGGACGAGGTAGTGGATGATGTTCGAGCATGGAGACTCGACCGCCTGTCTGGTGGAGGCGGGGCCGTATTGGTGACGAGAGATTGCCGCAGCGAGAACAGCTCCTGGATGTAGTCGGCATCATTGTCAATCCCTTGCGACTTTTTAGTTGAGGGAAGGCTAAAGAGATCCGACGATGCGGCACCTCCGTTGGGGTTGGTACTCTCGCGCATCCATATATCGAGACTGGAGCGATGCGAGCGGGCATCGGAGTGATCGTCCGAGTCGGTGCTGTCCCATCGGTTCTCCTTCTTCTGAGAGACGGTCTCGCTGGAGGCTCGTTGATGGCGGTGCATGGGCGCGGAGCCCCTCGACGACTTGTCTGCGTCTCCGCGAAGGTGGCTGGGCTTGTTCCGGAAGGAGACCTGGAGGGGCTGGCTATCAGAGTCGCTGTATACCCCGGAAGATCTATCGTTGCGACTGTCCTGTTTGGCAAGGGAGTCATTGGAATTGCGCATCCGGTGCAGTGTCGAGGTCGAGATCGTGTCTGGGGTAGGCGGGAAGTTTGGATCGTGAAGCCGTACGCTACCGGGTCCATCGGTCATGACCTTCCGCAAGGTGGGAGGTGGCTGAGAACGTCGTCGATCTCTGCCCTGGCTGGCCACGGGACGGAAACCCTCCTGCAGCACGCTCTGGGATCTACCCAGCTTCTCAATCTGCTGCAGGGGCGAGACATGGTCCACCGCACCCGAGACGGAATGGCGGGTTCCCAGCGAGGAGCGGCTTCCGCCGACAAAGTGGTTGGCGCTGGCCGCTCGGGGCGGATATCCAGACGGGGTGATTTTCCTGGAGGCGTCTCGGCGGCCCGTGGACAGAGACTGCAAGTCGGCGTCGGCACTATCCAGGCTGAGGGGCTGGTCGACGGGCGGCGGGAAGATGCTGTCCTGGCTCTTTTTGCCATAGACGCTCGCAAAGGAACTCTCGCTAAGGACGCTCAACGTCGGACTGCCCGGGGCGTTAGACGGGCCGTTATCCGCATCGGGGGCTCCCTCGGTGACGCGCGCAAGGCTGAGCGCACTGCCCTTGACTCCGAGATAGACGCTGCGCAGGTTCTCCGTGTTTTCGCTCTTTTCAGACAGAAAGCTGGGCACGCGGTTGATGGACTTGAACGTCTCACTTTTCCGGCTTGCGTCGTCGCTGGGGACCTGAAGAGTTGGGCGTAGGTATTTCTGGTCCATGTCTTGGGGACAGAAGAAGCCCTCCTGCTCGACTTGCAGAACCATGTTGCGTTCTTGGACGAGCTGATCCACCTTTGCCTCGAGCATGACAATCATGGCAACGGCCTCCTCGACGGCCTTGTCACGCTTTTCGAGCTCATCCAGCAGGGTCTCATTCATCTCCTCTGTTTGGCGCTTGTCCCGCTCCAGAGACTCGATGGTTGTTTCCAGCAGTGACTGCTTTTCGCGGCGATGGTAGAGTTCGAGTTTCAGGTCGAAGTTTTGCTTGTGAAGGCTGGAGATGACCTGTTGATGGATTAGCCACGACTGAAGATGACACTATGATGCTCAAGGATGTCTCATATGAGAGTTGACGTACATGTTCCATGTCCTTGACGCCCAGTCCGGGTTTCTTGGCGAGCTCGATGCCGGCGCCACCACTCGACTTGGGCCGCGATCCATCTGATGAAGCCGCCACTGACCTCCTCCTGGGAGAGCTGACACGACCGAGCTCGACCGACGCGCCGAGATCCTCATTGACTCTCGACAGGGGGCTCTGACTCAGCTTGTCGCTCTCGGCCCGGCGTTCCCGCTGCAGTTTCTCCTGCAGGAAGCTCGAGACGGCTTGGGTGCGGGTTGGTTCGACGCTGCCCTCTCGAATGGGCGGAGGGGTGTTCCTGGGAGTAGACCGAGGTGAGAGCAGAGGCTTGTTGCAAGGGTTATGGTGGAATCGATGTGTCGGGTGGTCGGAAAACTGAGGTGCAGCGAAGTGAGGAGCAGGACTCCTAACACCCTGAGATGCCGTCCGAGCGTGTGATGCCGACCTGTTGGACGTTCGAGATGAGGCTCGAGGGTAGGCCGGAGCCTTCTGATAGGCCCTCGAGGATGAGTCCATGATGCAGATAGGTGTAGGACAATCCCTGGGTGATATCGATGGTAAAGGAGGCGGCCGGGGCGATGGTATAGATGTCCGTATGGTACCTAGATATGTGCTAACCGATGAGGATAGAGGTATATAGCGGACGCGCAGTTCAAGGATGCTGATGCCCGCATCAAAGTCAAAGTAACCGGGTCTCGATGCTTAGTGCTTAGGGGAAGCCAAGCTCTACGGTGAATTGGCAGAGTAGGTTTCCCGGCAGCAGGACGCGGTTGCAAAGTTGTCGCGCAGAGAATCAGGCACGCGAGGCGGCGTCGTGGTGAAGCATGTCGCTGCGAGCACAGTCCAAGGGGTCGGCGTCGCGAGATGCGCGTGCGAGGAGCCGGCCAGGCGTGCGGATGTTGGTGATAAACGCACAGGGTCCAGGTGTCGACGGTCCAGTTCCAGCTCCAGGCCAGATGGTTAGGTGAGCAGAAGCAGGCGCCCTGTGCCGACGGAGAGAAGGAAACAAGGCAGAGTTGCGAACAGGGCGGCCGCGGGCAGTGGCAGCTTGAAAAGGCGAGGCAAGGGGGGTGTGGAAATGCCGTCGTCCTGGAAACTCGCTTAAGGGCTGTTCGTATTATGGATTTCCACAATTGTCGCAGGGAAGAGAAAACGAAGGAAAATGGTCTGAATAATCGGTTGAGGCAATGGCGGCGACTCAGAGGTAAACAAGCAGTTTGTGTCTGCAGCAATTGGAGGACTGTGCAGAGCGGTTAGGAATGCGGCTGGATGGCGAGAAATGAGGGTGGAGAGGCGAGTTCTGGCTGAGGAATGACGAGACGAGTGACGCGACCACAGGAAGTTAGAGAGAGACGAGAGAGAGAGACGGAAGACGAAAGGCGACAACGGCACAAAGGACGAGAGCAGGTAATTCAGGGCTAATCAGGAGACGAGGGCAAGGCAATGCAATTCACTGCAGTGAAGACGAGGCTGGAAGGGACAGCGCCGTCCATGCGGATTCGCTGGCTGGGTGGTGAGGCAGAGAGAAGTAGGGAGGGATAGATTGGAGGGAGACAATGTTGGGAGGTTGAAGCTGGATGAGGTGGAAGGGCAATCGAATCAATGGTGGAAGCTCCAGGTCAGGTCAGGTACCTACCTAGGTACTGTACAGCTTGGGGCTCCGGGGCACCTTTAGGGCGCTCCAGCACGCTGAGCTGTGCGGCTACTCCGTAAACGGGCGGTTCCTTGGGTGGGATAGCGCCTGTAAGTGGCCTGCGAGACGCCTGCAGGGCCGGACAGGGGTCGCGCTAGTGCCTGGGCCGGAGCCTGTTAGCGCTGGACGGTGCAATTGAGGTCCACGGGTACTAGCACAGAAGCTGGATGGAAGCACGGGGACATGGAAGATGGAACATTGACGGGAATCAGGCGCTGAATGAGGGTGATTGATTCGAGCATTCTACCTATCGATAATTGGGCGGAATCTCTCTCTTGGGTTGTATCTGCGTATCCAGGCACAAAATAGCAGCCATCCATCATCTGCTGCGGTTCATGCGCTGGATGATTGCAGATGAATCTGCAGCTTCGGTGCAGCAAGGACATGTCACCCGGTACCTCGCTACTACTACTAGCACCGCCATACCTTACATGTACCTTATCCACCTTTTGCCCGCCACCTCTTTATGCCACTCCTCGTCTTTATCCGACACGCATCAATCACTCCTACGCTCCCACGGATCTCATCATGCCTCCAGCTCCCGCGACCGCAGCCCCTTTCCATCGCCATTGAACGAGACTGACAGCCGCATGAGAGAGAGGCCGAAGCTGCAGCTCATCTCTCAGCCCACCCGCGGCTGCTCCATGTCAACCCTCAGGGCGCTCTTCCGACTGCTCCATCCCGTCCAGCCCAGCGTCCATCTGCAGATACTACAGACAGCACAGCCGATTCATCGCAAACCAGAGCCCTCCAAACACCGCTCGGCACCCGTCAGAAAAGGGCAATCTGTGGGGAGCTGCTGCATGCATCCTGCAGGGCCGCCTCGGGCGTCAAACGCGCTCTTCCGACTTGCTGTCCTGTCCATTGACTCTCGCTCTCCCAGTCTTCTTCTTCTTGGTAGTTTGTGTGGTATACAGGCTCACGATGTGATAAGGTACCTACCTAGGTAGTGTTCAACTCTTCGCTGCCGAATCCAAATCTACCTACATCCAGTTCGGTCCATCCAAAACTTGGCTTCCTCTCTCTCTCCACCCCAAAAAACCACCACTGGATCTCCCGAGCCCGCGGGTTGGAGCCTCGTCCGGCCCTGCGGCTCCCGCCTAGTGAAACTCCATCCCGAGGCCCCCGCCATCTTCTCCATCTTCTCCATCAGACAACGCAGACGCAGAGACGCCACGCCCAACGCCCGAAGCGTGGCGCGCCGGCCGCGATGATTCGTCGCTCACCACCAGGGTCCTGCTGCACATCTGCGTCAATCCAATCGTGTCTCGCTCGCTCTTTTCTCTTGTCTCCTCTCTCGCCTAAGCATGTCGCGATGATGTGATGTCGCTTGCTTGTCAACCCATGCTTTGGGAGCGGTTCGTGGAGGTGTGCGTGATAGTACGAGTACATGCAAAGCGAAGTCGATTCACCCTACTACCACTACGACATGTCGCATGTCCGGGAACTGCTTCAATCAGCAGACACTCAAACAGACGGTCAGCGACCTTGGAATCGTCATGCCATACCCGCCAGTGGCACCAATGTCGTCCCAACCTTAGGCCTCGCCAATGCAGCAAACCGACAAAGCTCTGCTCGCTCTCTTGTCACGACGGCTCGCCCATCGTCTCTGTCATTTCATACAGATGCAACGAACCTTGCAAGCTCGGCACCGCTTGCCCTGCGCTGGCCGCGGCAATGTCGCAGAACTGGAGACAAGGGCCGCATTTCATCGCCGCGCACGAACCGTAAGCAGGCAAGAAAGCAAGTCACACCGATCATTCCCCTCTCCTCCACCGTTCCCTGCCCTACTGTACTGTATTGTATGTACGAGTACTGCTGCGCCATCTCCGAACGAACAAGGGCCGCGGACAATGACGGCGATCGAGGAAAGACGGTCAAAGAGCCTTGGACGGCTCGACTTCACCATCGTGTACTCGTACAATCCCAATTGACATCCAGACACCGCTTCATTGCACACACAAAGACACACAAACATCGACGTCAACACCATCAGCAACGCCACTCCAATCCCTCCCGTCCATTCAGTCAGCCCTCTTTCGACACCGCCTTGCCCAACGGTGGAAAACACCCTTGTCCGTAAAAGCGGTAAACGCACAAATTCCTACCCAATCCATCGTAGCGAGACGTCGCCGATGAACTTGTGCACATTGACTGGCTTCCTCATCTTCTTCATGCCCAACAGAACAGAACAGCTGTCCATTTTTACCAATTTAGAACAATCCACAGACGCACGGATGCATTTGGCAGAGGCAACAGCTGGCTGTGGCTCCATGTCCATGCACGATCTAAACAACGCATCATCAAGAAACCCACATGTCTGCGAACCCCGGCCACAGCTAAAGAAAAGAAGAATTACTACTAGAGAAAAATAAAAGAACAAAAGGGAAAGGAAACCAAAAAGTAAAAAGGGTTACAAAACTAGATGCGAAAAAAAAAAAGCAATTCTATGGACCAAGCATTACAGGCATGCATGAAGGTTCTACAGCGCGTGCCACGAATCCGCGTTTTCGGAAACCTTCGCGACGATTGGGAATTGCCTAGGTCATGGGCAACTCGTCTGACGCGCGGACCTCGCGATACACGATAGACATTACTACACGACACACGTGGATGCGGCTCATCAGGCGAGAGGCGAGAAACAGAACTGCAGTGTATGGCTTTCTAGTACTACTAGTATCGCGCGAGAGGAGTTGACACTCTTCTCCCTTGCATATGTGTGACATGCTACAATGACTGAATCTGACTGGGAAAACAAACAGGGACAAGACAGGTGCTGCTGTAAAGGAAGCTTACAAGTATTGTCTGTTCAATGTGTCAGTCCATCACAGAGCGAGGAATCAATTCGAGGGTCAAGTATGAGTGCTATCAAACCGAAATGCCATTTGACATTCAAGCCTCATCGACGGCTATATACCTGTCATGACACGCTGCTGCGCAGACAAACAGCAACGCAATGGACCTGCTCATGTAATATCCCCAACGCCATAAAGAAGAAGAAGAAGAGGAGAGAGAAAAGGAGGGAGGCATCTCAAGTCATCACTTACCCGTCAAGCAGACTATAAACCCTCATTGTAGAACTTCTCCTCGCTCCCTTGGTCATCCTCCTGCTTTCCCTTCCCGCGACCCTCATTGGCGCCGCCATCCTTCCTCCTCCCCTTCTCCTTGGCTCCCTTGCCCGCAGGGGGCTGCTGCTGCTGCTGCTGCACTTGCTCGTCACCGTGGCCCTCGTCCTCGTCGTCCTCGTCCGTCCATCCCCGGAGGTGCCTCTTTACGTCATCCACGTCGCCCACAATCTCCAGCTGCCACCCCTTGTCGCCAGCCTTCTCCTTCATCTCCTCCTCCCATTTCTCAAGCATTTCCGGGCTCAGGTTCAGCTGCTCCAGCTTCTCGTTGCTGAGTCGCTCAATCTGACCGCCGTCCTGCTTGCTGGCTGCCCTGATGAGCACCTGGATGAGTTGCTCCGCAGCTTGCTGGCCGTTGATGTAGTTCCGGGGAGGCGCCAGTATGAGGGGTGACTGGCCGTCCTTGTCGCCCGCTGACAGAGACCTGCGTCCCCCTACAACCACGCCGCCAACTGTAAGCGGGGAGTTATTATGGCTGGCGAGCAGGTGCTCAGCTTGCTCCGCTTCTCCCTCCGCATGGGCATGACCAGAGGCTTGGTGCTCGAGCAGCGGGGGGGTTCGTTGTTCATCGTCGTCATCGTCGTCGTCGGTGATGAGCTGGCACGTAATTGCATCTGCCTTGCTTTCTTCAGGCGGTAAGAACGCAACATCGTTGCACAGCCTCGGGGTGTTGACGACCATGACGTATGAGCAGATGGTGACCTCCTTGATCCATCCAATCCTGTCGCTTTGCATCCCCGGGACACAATGGTACTGCACCTCAATGGTGCGCGGCCTCAGGGTCAAATCGCAGATGGTTCCCCCTCCCAGCCTCTGTACCAGGTATCGCTGATCTCCCTTCACTTGGAGCTCGGCCGGCACTTTGGAGCCGTCTGATGCCGAGTCCGTTTCCGAGTCTTCGGGCAGAGACGCCTGGCCCAGGATGTATTCGGCCGCGTGGGGATCGGGCTGGGGCGGCTTGCCCATGGGCGTCGAGGGAAGGGCGTGGAACTGCACAATCTCGCGGTTGTTGCAGAACCTGTAGCTCCACCAGCCGGACATGAAGTAGAGACATGTGTCTTCCAGTTCGCTGAGCAGGTTCCAGCCGCTCGCCGCAGCTCGGCCCAGTTCCCGTGCCTCTTCGGCCTTGGCCAGCTCTGTCGCGGTCTGGTTTTCGGGGGACGGAGGCTCGATGACGGGGATGGCGCACAGGTAGCGGTGCGGCGGCATGTTCATCAGCTCGTAGGTAAGGGGCGAGCTGTCCCGGGAGTGGCGGTCGTCATGCTGGTCGTGGTCCTGGCTGTCGCTCGAATCGGTGATTGTTGGCTGGGAGAAGTCGGCCGAGTATGTAGGATGTTGAATGTTGTATTCGAGCAGCGATTGAGCGTCTTGCTCTGAGATGAAGCGGTCGGAAAAGACGACCTCGAACTACTCTTTTGGTCAGAAGCTCAATTCCAATAACATGCTGTCGCCCATTGAAAGCGGGACACCTTACCTGGGGAAACGCCTGGAGATCCTCGTGGATGCTAAAGGCCCTTGATTTGGCCCTGCACAGCGGCAGGGCTGCCAGAAGCGACAGCTGTAGACGGCGCATCATGCCATAGCCTGGCCTCGTAACTGACAGACGCAGAGCCTCACGAGCAGACGCGGCTGTTGGATGTTTGGCGTCCTAACCTGCTGAAATGTCATCAAGTTGAGGTCACAGTGTCATTGTCGGGTGTTGTGCCGGGCTTTTGCCGACCATTGCCATCGCCATCGTCATTGTCAGGCCACCCGCACTTGAGCTGCACTTGAGCCATCACCAGAAGCTTCATAGCACGCATTGGCGAAGCATTACTCAAACAGAGCCGCATGTGTCATTGAGGTCTGTCCAGATTACGAATTGACCGAGTTTGCCTCGCGAGATAAGAACTCTACAGGTTTGTCAGAGCAATTCATCATTGATATTTGTCGATTCTACTCGTCACTTGCGGCCAATCGCCTCCAGGGTCATGTGCTGTCAGATGCGTTAGCTTCGCTCCCAATTGACAATCCAACAGGATGTTCAGCTGTCGTGAAGCCGTCGATATCCGCTGTTCTCCTCGTTATGCATCATGGACAGCATTTCCGCGCCATGGCAAGGCTATCATACGAACCGAGGACGCGGCTGATTGCTGATAAGAGGCCAGGAGATGCTCTCTAGGCTGCGTGTCTACATAGCCAAACATCCTTCTGCCAGCCAATCGACAAGCACTTGATAGCCGAGGCTAGGATATCGGCGAGATGCGGTCCCAGACAGCAAACCACACACCATCATACACTCACAGCCATCCGAGCTTCCCCAGATTGCTGCCCTCCAGAAGGGGGCTGTACGTATGCATGTCCACAGCCGGCTAAACCGCTCTCGCAGTGGTCAGTTGACTGCCAACATGGACCTCCACGTCGTCAAGCCAGCCCCTTCCAGCCTTGTGAGGGCTGCACCCCTGCGTCAGCGAGCTGAGCTCGAACTCCAGAGCATCCACAGATGACGGAAGGGGTCGACGGTTCCTTCATACAGTCGAGACACGGCGAGATGGGGTGCCCGACGGCTGGGGTTGAAGCTTGCGGGAGTGATGCGGCTATGTACTCTGATTTCTTGAAGACATGCAGACAAAGGGTCCTGAGAGTGGCTTGCCATACTTCCACGTGTTTGCTCTTGAGAACTTGCCCGGCCAATGCAAGACATCCGTCGTGATGGAGCATTTGGACTTGTGAGAGTAGCAAGAGCAGTAGCATCATGTAACTTGACGGCAGTCTGAGGCACAGCCCGGTTGAGCGCAGGCGAACTTGACTGAGCCCGTGGAAGACGTGCAATTCGCCGACCTATGGACTGAGAGGCAATGTCAACATTCACATGGCCGATGAAGTGAATCACCTGCACGTCCATGGCATCAAATACACATTGCGCCGAAGCTAGAGGCCTGACCACAGCAACCCCAGAACCTGATTCATCCCGCGTCCTTCACCTCTAGCGACGGCGAGATCGCGATCGGAGAGGTTTCCCGCCGGGGCTGAACTTGGGGCAAGGGGAGGGTTGGCTCACCTCGATTCCTGGATGAATCGCGGTGGTGACGTCCAACGTGACGATAGCAATATGGGATGACGACGAGCAGCCCCCGTGTCCAGCAACCTACAGCTCGGGCGCCTGTTCCTGCACCAAATACGGAGCAGACGGCACAACAATGCCTCGCGCCATCCACTGTTTGTAATCATTTCTATACTATTGATGATATCAATGATCGCAGGATTTTGGGGGCCCTCCGATTGCGCTCGAGCCATCAATGGGATCCAAGGACCAGGGAGGGCTGGCGTCTGACGGGCTTCTAGACAGCTTCTAGGGGGCTTCCTCGAGTGCCACTGGACCGTTTCTCCAGGCCAAGGTTGCTGTCAGCCCCGCGGATTGGCGATCGCGTACCTTGTTGGCGGATGAGACACGGCTAACGCCAGCTAGTGAAAGGACGGGAGGGAGGGAGGGAGGGAGGGAGGGAGGGACTGATTCGTGCAGTCGTGGTACTACTAGATAGAGTACGGAAGAGAAGCGGCAGGGTCACAGATTACACGTGCATGTAACAATTACACTTGCAGTATCAGTCAATTGGCTTGTGACGATGATAGATCACCAGATGCTGGTGATATGTCATCGCAAGAGGCAAAAAGGAAAAGGATCTAGCCATCCACACAGTCTTTGCCTTATCGTACCTAGTTCCTGGGGAAAATACGTGTACGTAAATTATTGATGTTGCACGATGAGTCCAGTATCTGTGCTCTTTCGTACCTGTACACGGTGATACTGTACTGCCATTGACTTTCTCGTCATTTTTCGCGAATAGGCTGCGTGTAAAACGATACAGGATCGGCAATTGACAGGATTGCCATGATCCTGGCGAGGCAGAAAAGAAACCCGCCCCCCTACCTTTGCCGGTGACCAAGTTGGGCAATTGTAGGAAGCATCCGAACATTGCGCGAGTAAGTGGCCAAGGTGGCATCCCTGGCGATCAAGCACGTTTTTCTTCTTCCCTTCCTGATCCTTCTTGTGAAATGGAAGCTCTGAGGAGATTATTTTAGAAGGCTTACTGTCGTACTGTAACTGGGGAATCGGGACACTGGGGTTGTACGAGACATCGTCCTTGGATCCTAACCTAGACTTTTGTGTATCTTCAATTCAGGGCCAATGCTGCACAACAAGGCCGCAGTAGAACAGGCATTGTTTGACATTGAGGGCTCTATTTTGGGGTCATCTGATGATGACAGGACTATCCTGTTTCTCTCGCCGACAGGTGCGTGGTTTTACGGGGATTCGGGAAATATCTGCCAGCATCTCCAGATACGTACGCGATGTGGCATAGCACTCTATACAATGCCTCCATTCGGAGTAGCGGCTGCTTTCTGTCTCATCTCACAGGGCTGTTTTGCCGCTTTGCGAACCATCAGGATCATGCAGGCTTGGGGGGCATTCAGTCGATTCTGACTGGCTTGGAGCTCATTCAAAGGGTTGGCTGCTTCTGTAATGGACTGGACGTGTTAGCCGCTGAATGACCACTCGTGACAGGGTAGCGCGAATGTACTATCGAGTCTGTCGGAAAGATCCTGCGAGCTGGAATGGCGTCAGGGTCTTAGAGCAGGGAGACGGGACGGGACAGGGAGACAGAGTCAGGGTCCGAGCCCGATCGATGTTTATTGTTCTGCCTACGCAGCAGGATGAGACACTCCCCACAATCGAAGAGGGAGAGGGGGATTCAGCTGGGCGAGGGTTCAAGGTTGAATCAACTCAGCGTGTCATCTCATCATCCAGGGCAAAAAAGTCTTGGCAGATACACTGCTGCACCACCGAGCTCAGGCTGCAACATTCTCAAACAAGCAATAGAAGAAAAGAACAAGCAGGGAGAGCATTGCAGTTACACCCGTTGACCCGAACCGCCGCTTCCTTGCAGCAAAAGTTGCCCAGAACAGCCACATCGATCGTCCCCTGGAACCCCAGCATCGTCATCATCATCGCCTTGGCACAAATCGCACAGAAAAGCGAGGCCGCGATTAGCGACTGGACCGAGCCTCTGATCCTTGCACACACATGCCTTCATCTCGCCTCTTTTTCGCTTCTTGCGTCTGCTGCGGCCTGTCAGGTCGTGCCAGCGAATCCCACCACCCTCCCTCTGGCATCCCCTCCAGCCCCCCCTCTTCTTCTTCTGCTCAACAAATTGAGAGGCGCCTATTTAGACTGTACACTGTACTCGTACGGGCTGAGTTCTTGTGAGATAGGCGTTTCCCAGGTAAGGCACCTTACTCAAATAGACGCGATGTACTGCATTTAAGTTTACAGAAGCAGAGTACATGGATGTGAATCCCTCGAGCCGTACCGAGTACATGAGCATGTACTTGCGTCTACGGGCAGATGAGCGATCCCCCCCCCGGTCTTTGCACAGCATCCCCATGTCGGTTCAAGCTGGCGACGCTGCAGGTTGCAAAGTTGCAGGTTGAGGCTTAATGTCCCAGGTGCATCAGCTGGCCTTTCAATCCAGGAACCCGAGCGACACAACGCACCATCCGTGTTCCCCGGTCACACACACACACACACACACACACAAGGCCATCAGAGCCCAGTCACGAGATCCAGACAGAGACATCCGTTCGTCCAGCCAAGTGTCGGATGTGAGGTGAGAGAGTTTCACCGCCAGATGCTGGCCGCAAGAACTGGCCAACGGCTGAGGCAGCTTCAGGTGAGGTAGGCACACGTACCAATGGAGGCGTGCTTACATGTAGCAGGGAACAATGAAGTGGTGTAGTTGGGAGCCGGGCGAGTTGCGGTCTGTACCCAAGATGACTTGAGAATCTTTTTCTTCGCTCTTCGCTCTTCTCCGTGACTTACACGCTGGCACTGAGAGAACAACCGGCGTTTAGACTTTATACGGACTCACCAGAAGTGCTTGCAGTGTGGCGCCGCCTCGCCCCATAGCCCTGCCTGAAGCAGCAATTCTTCAGGGTCGCCTCGCACGGTGAAGGGCTTATCAGGACAGCCCTCTTTGGCACTTCCTAGCCTCCGTAGCGGGAGCCACCGTCTGGAGCCGGTGCCAAAAGCTCAAGCCCCATTGCCAATCCTGGACAATTCAGGTGTTGATACTGAACCTTAACGTGGGATCCGCGTGTCAGTGTTTGTATCCACTTTGAACTACTGATCAACTTCAGCTCTGCTCGCAGTTGCAGAGGATCCCCCTTGGGAAGTCCACAACCGTCGCCCGCGGCAGGCAGCGCTGTGTTGTGCTGCTATTCTTGATTTCCGTGATGATCGTCAATTTGGTCAGGAGGATTTACTGACAGACGACTGCATCGCCCGAGCGGAAAACAGAGCATGTGCTACATGTAGATTGGAAAAAGAAAGGGCACTGGGGATCACCTCAGAATGCATGTGCAGGCCCCCCCGCCCCTTGGACCAGCCTTCTGTAACCCAGATCTGCACTGCCCGCAAAGAATCTCGCTGCCTGTGAGGTACCCAATCCTTCTCACTGCAGGCCGAACAAATGCTGCTCCCCTGGTTCCTCCAGCATCTCACCGAAGACCCAATTCGGCTCGTCGGTGCGCGCCAAAGAGAGACAGCCGGAGCTCTTCTCCTGAGGCGGCTCTTTTTCCCTCGTGACGTGAGACAGGCTTATTCCTCTTGTGCTTCCACGCAACTCTCTGTAGGAGAATTTGATTCCTCACCTGTGACATGCGTAAGACGCTGTGCATCTCTACACCGCATATACAGAGGGCGGGTAGGACAAGCAGGCCTCCTCCGTCCGTCCCAATTGCTCCGTTTGGCGCCTCGACCTGCAATTTGCAATTTCTTCTCAAGCCACGCACAGTAGACTGGCTAGCGCCGATGCCTCTTGCTTTTTTCTGACTTTTGTGTATCGAGACGATGTGACGATGAGAAACATGTGCTAGCTTAGACGCGCAGACGATGTCGGAGTCATCGGAGCAACGCATCGTGAAGACTCACTTACACAAACTCTCTTTGGAGGTCGCGCCTAGAGTAGGCGCAAGAAGGCCAATCGTGAACTCTGGCTGCATAGCCCCGAGTCGGTGCAGCTGTGGCTTCACGGAGCGGAGGCCGAGATTCAGACAGATTGCTGTGTCAGGCGGGCTCTTGTAAACCGAGAGCGAGATATTGACTTTTCCCACAATTGCCACACATTCTTGAAAAAAAAAAAAAAAATCAATGATGAAGAAAGTTCCATTGGTTGCTACGAAGTGACATGTCGATTGTCCCTCTGTCCCCCTTCCGAGGATCCCCAGGATGCTCACGTCCCGTGCCGCCCACTTTCTGGGCTCGACAGCTGTTCCCCCCCTGAACCCTGTTGCACCTCGCTCTTAGCACCGATCCAAGCGTCGTTGTTCTTGGCCAACTAAGCAGCAGCAATACCTTGCTCGAACAGCGTCTTAATCTGCACCGCGTATCTTCCGCGGATGAGCACAGCGTTTTTTTTCTCAGTGTGTTTTGGAGCAGGCGGTACTCTGCTCTGCACCGAATGCACGGGAGACGAGGGCGGCCTTTTGCTCTCTGACTCTCGCTGCGCCACACATGACTCTTTCGGGAGGTTCCGCAGTGCGCACTCTTCACATGTAGGCAGCGGTCTAAGTGAGCCACGAGCGATCGTGGAAGCCATGTCAACGCACAAACAGAAATCCATGGACGTAGTCCAAAATTCCCCCTCTCCCGCCTCGAGTTTGCTCTTTCAACTTTAATGTAGAGCATCTGATAGGCTCAGAGACAGCAGAGGACCTTGATCAGTGGCTTTCAAGTGCAGACGCCATTTGCGTCCACAGCAAGATAAACACATGGAGGCTCTCGGACAAACCTACTTGGTGGAGGCTCAGGCCAAGCCTTATCATGCTAACCAATGTATGCACTTGACAAGAACGGCATAGAGAAACGAGAACTTACACGAACTTACACGCACTTACACGCACTTACACACTTACACACTTACACGGCAAATCTCGGCAATGTGCAAGGCAACCAGAGACTGCAGACCCATGTCGAAAGCTAAACCTCACTTGATCATTCAGGATCTTCTTGGCTTGTTCTCTCTTGTTGCTGCCACACCCCCCACTCACTCACTGATGGCCACCGATCCCGATACCGCCAACGACAACCTGCAGCCGGCAAGGCGTCCTTGTTTCGATTGCCTTACAGCCAAGCAGGCTTGTACCTCGACATTCAGAGACCCTGGAGGGCGGTTCCTCTCAGCTAATGCATGAGCAGGGGGGGCCTGTGTGCTTGCTGTCTTGTCCCAGGCTGTGTGCTCTCTCATTACCTAGTGTCTATGATGCTGTCTGGGCCAAGCATATATATGCCAGCTGTCTTGCGGCTTACACCACAGACTGCCGGCCGTCTGATCCCCTTCGATGGCCTTGCCCAGTCACGCAAACGCAACGTCCACCGCCCATCAGCCCCCCTTCCCACCCAGGCGTTCCTGGTACCTACAGCATGTGCTTGTCTTCCTTTGCCCCCCTCCCTCCTGTGTGTCTTTCTCTAGCTCCCTCCTTGCGTCCTCCTGTGTAAGAGAGTTTCCATGCCGGACCTGCTCGGCCAAATGGGCGTTGCCTGGCTTACGCCAGTCGAGTGATCACGAACGCCTCTCGAGGCTCATATCGTGGCTTCGACTTACAAGTTCCTCACCTTTCCTCTTCCACTGATAATGTTCTTCTCGCAACTCCTCTGCTCTTGGTTAGACCTTGTGATTATACTTTGTTTTTATCAAGTTCACTCGGTCAAATTCCAACCTTCTCTGAGGATCTAGACAAATTGCAGTGCCACGGTAGTTGGAGTACGTTGTCGAGAACGCCTCCGTGTTGTCTTTAGGTCGTCTGTGATCCCTATAAAAACCCTCCTTCCCTGCTATCTCCCGGTTCGGATTCCAATTTCCAGTCATCAGTCTCATCTTCCATAAATACTTGCAGCCCAACTCAATCTTCTAAATTTTATAGGCTGAGCTATCCACCATATCAAACACCTTTTCAAATATTACAATACTTCACCTTACACAAACTCGACAACACATATACTTCTTCCCATATTGTCGAAATTTACACATCATCACTCAACTCTAACGATGTCTATCTCCAACTTGTCTCTGTCCGCCATGTTCCAGGTATTTTTTCACTTGACCTTCGCTTACTGCCTGACCCTGCTAACACTCGATACAGATGGTCTCCGAGGCCATGGCCACTTATAACCCGGAGTTGCCTACAACCCCGGAGGATCTCTACGACACGTCCATGTTCCCAGAGATGGACGTCAATGATGCTACGACTTTCTGGAACTTTTCCGAAGGTCAGATGGACCAGGCCTTCAACATGGCCGTTGACCATAACACGGCCATGGACAACAACATTGCCCTTAACCACAGGGCCGTGAATAACAACATGGCCTACAACAACATGGCGTACAACAACATGGCCAACAGCAACATGGCCAACAACAACATGGCCTACGACAACATGGCCTACAACATTATGGCCACCAGAAACTCCCAAGTGGACAACTCTCCACTGGACACCACACCTCCGAATGGCCACATAACTGAGCCTGACAGCTCAGAGACTCGGGTATGGCAATATACCATCTTGTATATACAAGGAGCATCTTGCTAACTCTATTATCCTACAGTCATCTTCATCTGTGCCCAGCCCCAGGCTGATTCAATACCAGAGGACCATGGCCGAAATGGTCGCCCGGGAGGCCCGAAGGGCAGCAAGAAAGACCAAGAGGGCTACCCAAAGGCCTCGAGGTCCGAAACTCCGTTGCGGCCAATGCAGCGAGGATCACGAGGGCTTCCGCGGCCGACACGAGCTGGAACGCCACAGAAGGGCGAAACACAACCAGCAAGTGGATCGATACCACTGTGTCGGGCCACTGGATGGGACGGCCATTGCCGGCGGGCTCACCCTCCACCAGCCGTTCCATGGCTGCAGGTACTGCAGGGGCCAAAAGCAGTACAACTCCGAGCAGAATGCCATCGACCATTTACGGCGGCGGCATTTCAGCGCCAAGAAGGAGCGCGGTGGCCCCCCTGTCCTGGTCAATGTCCAGGAGCTGACGGTCGAGAAACTGCGGCCATTCGTCCAGAGGACGACGATTACCACCCCTGCGCCAGTCCATGGCAACAACTCGGCGGCAGCCGCACCACCGCCTGCAACTGGCACAATTCCAGCGGCAGTCACGCAACCTCCTATACCGGCAACCAACTCAGCTGCCACGACATCGTCAGCTGCCCCGGTAAACCCACCACAGGTGCCGGTGACTCTCCTGCCAGACGACCAGGACTCAGATCACGGCCCTGCGTTGCTCGAGGACGGCGAGGAAATAGATTCCACGCCTACGTTGTTCGGTGATGGCGACGGCATGGTCAGCCCGCCTATGCCATGGGAAGGTGTACCCGGAGAAGGCACAATCGATCCGTCCTTCTTGACGCTCTGATAGCTGGCATGTTGGCCTCTGGGACAGAGCAGGTGACCTTGGCCGACTTGGAATTCTGGGATTGGACTTGTGATGGAAAAATTGGACACTAGATGCTTAAATTGATAAATAAACATGTCTCATCACGATTTGTGCATTAATTCCGATTCAACTCGTGAAATCATTCGAACCTCAGTGATGCTCCAGGTGTATGATGTGGAATGAAGTGTCGTTTCTAGTGGCTGTAAACAGTTTCCCTCATATCGCAGAACAGACCTGCAACAACTTGTACATGTATCTAATTGCTTTCAAAATAACCTACATAATGTGATGATCTTGCTGAAATTGTGCACACCATGTTGAGTTTCCTGCGAGGCGGTTGACGTGTTTGATGCTTGATGGGCTTGATGATCAACTGTATGTCTCAGCAGGCAACTACATACGAGCAGCCGCCTTCAACGAGAAAGGCAATGCATAGTAACAAGAGACCACTCCGTGCCCTCTATATGTTGTTTGTGTCGTTTCGGGAACTTCAACAGCAAAACTTCCGCATACTTTTGGCCAGCTCTATTTGTTCCTCGAGCAGCCCCTATCACACTGCCATATCCCATCTCCATTGTCTTGTCCCTGTTTCACATGCAGGCCTTGTTTCGAATTTCCACTCAATTCTGAGTTCACAAAGCATCCATGCCAACACTAGGTACACACTGACTGGTCTCTACAAATTGCCTTTCATACATCGCTCCTGAACCCGGCATTCTCAGGACAGCCTCCCTCTTTCTTTCCAATAGCGCCTTCATTCCTTCTCCAAACAATTGCATCGCACAGATATCTACTGCTTGGCCGTTGTCTAATCTTTCGCCCTGATAATACTTCATCCCGCAGCTCATTTGTGTCATGGTCGTACATGCTCTGTTTGTCAAAAGACCCAAGCACAAGTCTGCCATGATTCAATAATCTGGAATGTGTGATAGTCCCTTTGCCAACGGCTCTTAGCTCTCATGATTTTCCCTTCCTAAAAGGAAACTAGTTACGGCTGTGCTGTCTATCGTGGATGAATTCAGCAATGCATGCCCGCTCCCTAACAACATCACAGTACATGTAGCCGCCTACGGCCACTACCTACCTACAGCATTAAGGTGCCTAGTGGTGTGTCCGCGATGCTCGCCCCGCTTCACGTATCAGGTCTCGGGAAGGAAGACTGGCGAGTAGGACTATGTCCATCGGAAACATTGTGCTCTAAGGTTGTTGAATCCGAGCTTTTTCTCCGAAGAGGGCCCAAATAGGCACCAATGGAGAACTCTATTGCGTCTTTGCTTCAAAGGCCTCCGTGCCATCTTTGCGTCCTGAGTTTTTCCTAAGAAGCCTCCATCCCCATTTTCTGTCCAAGATTCTCTCCTATCTGTCAGTGCCAGCTGGAGCCCTCCTGTTCCTCCTGCTTCCTCCACGGTGCCGACAGGAACTCAGCCCTGATTCAACTTGATCGATTGGTAGCTCATCCAGGCTCTGTGGTTCGCTAAAATGTTTGTATGCACAGGATGGATCACACAGAGATTGCTTTGATTGATAATTCTTTCGGGTTGCAGGACACATCGGGATATATAGAGGTATGTGCCATCTTACTGTTACCTACTCCTCAATCCGGCTAATAGTTAATCTCGCAGTACGTCTGGGCCATGGACAACTGCATCTCGTCAATGGTCTTTGGCCAAGGCATGACCCCAAATGACAGTCGTTGCGATCCCGACCTGCAATTTCGTATAACTTTTGGACGTTCACCAAGTCTCAAACAAGCTTCTACCAACTCCCACCATCAATCTTGACTTCATATTAGTCAACACCTGAGCCTCTCAGTTCCAACTCTCTCCAATATCAGGAGCACTGACTTTCTTTTCTCCCACTTTGGCCGACTCCAACCAGGTACGTGCTTGCTTCGATACTGCTTACCGGCAAAACCTGCTAATAGTTTATCAAGGACTCTTGCCCAATGCCCAAGCGACCCACGATGACGAAGATATGAGCCTAAGCATGGCAAACAACAGCAACATGCCCATCGGCGATTGGATGGTCATCAATGGCATGAGAGTCACCCTAAATATGGCTGTCAACGACGCTGGCGGCCTCGACAATTCGCTCACGGATTGCATGAGACTTTCAGCTGATTGGACCATCAACACAAACAACATACATGTAGTTGACAACAAGGCCGACGAAAATCACGAACCAGTCATCATCAGAGGCTGGACCCTCTTCCGTGCTGAAAAAAGATACCGAAGTCACATCGCACCACCCGCGATCACCGGTGATCCGGCTGCAGCAGTTGTCAATGCCCAACCTACGGTGCCCGTCAACAATCCGCCTCCGGTGAACATCGGTAACATCCCTACTGTGGCAAAATCCAAACAACTGCCTACTGTGACACCACCTGTACAGTCTCCCAATACAGACGCGACTTCAAGCACGCCGGAGGTCAATACGGCCTCACCAAACCCAATGAAAGGAGGGCTAGACCCAATGATACCGGGTCAAGATATGGATCTTCCTGAGCTAGACCTAGTCATACCTGGGGACGGTACGGTAAACCCAGCATTACTTTGGCTTCGTTGATGGACGGCATGGGGTAAAGTAGGTAGCTGAACTGGACTTCAGACATGCCACGGCGTTTGACCTGGATGTCTTCCATCGACTTGACCAGTTGACTGCTGGCCACAATCTGATGACCATGGACAACACCACCGTTCTGGCCTCGCCAGCAGCTTAGGCCTCCCCGACAGCTGAACGTACAAACTGCGACTTTGATGCGCAAAGGGCGTTGAGGAGAGGGCCCAGCAATACCGTAAACGTCGACATGAGATCCACCAACAGTTTTGTGAAAAGCCGCCACCAGGATGGCCACCGAAAGCCGACCATCTATTACTACTCTTCCATAATTTACGATAGTTTACCTGAACAACTTTCAGCTTTCGGCAGACATTACAGCTTTACATTTTTTTCTTCTAAACCGCTTTGCCCGATCAATGTTCGAGATGTCCGAGAACATTGACCCCACGCCCAGTAAATACCGCCACGCTCACCACGTACCCTTTAGCCCTGCTAACAGTTCACCTCACAGATCTCTTTGGCAAACGGTATGCCACACTCCAATAGGCCCATGAGAGGCGGGTGGCTGAAGATGTCTTGAAGGAACCTTGTCTGATGGCCCGGGCCACACAAACGAGCTTGCAGTGGTCGACAAAACGGCTTTAACCATTGCATGCCATTGTGGGTGCCCTGGCCCTCAACAATGAATTGGCATCCATTGACAACATCAGCACAGGATGTGCCGCTCTCCTTCTTTCTTTGGACTGAAGCCGCACCGTTGTGGATGGTCTGCTCGGAGTTGGCCTTTTGGCTTCCCTGGATCAAAACCTCTACGTAGTAATCGCATTTGATGATGCTTTGTAAGGCACTCTCCTACAGGGCAGCTGTCTATCATTTCGTTGTCTAGATGTGATCAAGATGCGTATCAGGGGCATGGAGTATGAAGGCTGGAATTGGGCAGTGCTTCCTTCTATCTATAACTTACAGCCTCTCATCCTCCAGTCTTGAAAGTCTCCTTCCGCAGCTCTTGCGGTATCCTGTCCCCCTGGATACAATCGTATACGCATCTTCTTCAGCGCCGGCACGCTCTTCCTCTCGCGTCCCTTTGCCGAGACCTCCAGATTCCCATAAACCCAATTCAACCGGATGCCCCAACAACGACATCATGCGGCAGACGACCTCACAATTCGTTTTGACGTACTTTGACCCCCGAAAAACAAAAGCGGCCTATTACTGAGACACAAGCGTTTCAGAGAGGCGTTGTCTAGCAACACTGCGCCAAACTATACGCCAGCGGACATTAAATCGTGCGGGTTCACTAGGCCACAAAGTCCCCGAGAGTAACTATGAATGGCAAGCAGGATCAACCCTAACGGACACTTCTGTAGATCAGAGTTGTTGAATCCAGTTTTTCTCTCCCAAGAAGCACACCAACAGACTCGTGTATTCCCAGCATATCTTATGTGTAGCACTTATAAAAGACTCTCCCCCCCCCTCTTTCTTATTCTCTTCCACTTTCCTTTACCACATTCAAATTCCATTTCACTGTTTCGTGTTCACAGCGGACTTTTGCACTGGATGCGACGAATATCTCGGGGCACCAAGACCTTGACGCCTTCATGCTGGCTGCCAACCAGACCATCGCCTCCACCGATGGCAACATGGCCAACCTCCTGAATGCCGACATGGACGACTTTTTCCGCTTCTTGGAAAAGGAGACTGGAGTTCTGGCGAATAGCGGAACCACGGCCGCAGACAACACCATGGATCACATGGCTTTCAACAACGAAATGGCCTTGAACAACCATATGGCGTTCATCAACCACACGGCCTTTGACACCCAAATGGCCTATGACAATCAGATGGACTTCAACTTCCAAATGGCCTCAAACACCGATATCGCCACGGAAGACCTTTACGACGTCATGCTGGCTTTCGAGCAGACAATCGCCTCCAGCCATGCCGTCGAGGACAACGGTAACATGAGCAACCTCCTGGATGCCAATGTGGACGACTTCCCCGGCTTCCTCGAAGAGGAGACTGGAAAGTCGAGGGAACACGGTATCTCATGATCCCCTCTCGATGAGCAACATCCTGCTGACGTTCTTGTCCTACAGAAATCTCGCCCATGAACTCCTGACACTCTCCCCGTGGCCTTGGACTTGTTTCAATGTTCTCGCGATGAGTGCCCCAACGAAGAGACACGAGCTGGTTCGTCATCTGGTAGGATAGCCTGCGGTCAAGCGGGGGCCCCAACCAACATCATGCCCAGCAACTCTGGCCTGGGGTGTAATCCGACAATTTGGCCATCGATGAACGGAATCTCGTTCACCTCGAGCAACTTCGCCAGGCAGGCCACTCTGGCAATCAACAACGCCATGAGAGGAGTTGCCAGACTGGTGGACAACGACACGGTCGCCGGCCCTGAGAATATGGCCACTGATGGCAATGCCTGGGCCGAGACCAACGACATGGCTATGAACACCATCATGCCTGTCAACTCTGTGGCTGGCCTCCATAATACCGGCAATGAGAGTGGTTCAAACCATCGCCATCAGAAGGCGAAGTACAGATCACAGTGATGGCCAGGGGCAAGAAAATCGCAATTCCCTTCCTCCCGAAAAACTTTGCCAGGCAGACCACTCTGGCTATCAACAACGCCTTGAAAGGATTCGCCGAACTGGTCGACAACGACACGATGGCCGGCCCTGCGAATATGGCCACCGATGGCAATGCCTGGGCCAGAATCAACGACACTGCGGTTGGCCAAGATTCGGCTATAACCAACGACATGGCTATGAACACCATCATGCCTGTCAACTCTGTGGCTGGCCTCCATAATACCAGAAATGAGAGTGGTACAACCCAGTCATCACCCGAGGCTGGACTGCCCATGTTGCCGAAGAAGGCACCACGACCACGTCCCCTGGGCCCAAGAGTCCTTTGTGACATGTGCGAAGAATACCCTGATGGGTTTCGAGGGCCTCATGAGCTTAACCGGCACAAGGCCTTGAAGCACAATGGGCGGGTCACCGGGTACATCTGCCAGAACGCCGGGCAGACGGTCACTGCCAGTGGCCAAAAGCTCCTTCGGCCTCTGAGCGAATGCTCACGCTGCAAGGAAAACTGGCAGTATTATTCTGTCCAGAACGCGGTGGAGCATCTGCGAAGAAACCACTTTGCAGAGAAGAAGAAGCCACATGGTCTGCGGGTGACGCTGAAGAGTTTCGATGACCGCGTGAGCTTGAGCCACAACCCCTGGGCAGCTTGATACCTGATCTCACGGCATCGCTGGAGCGTTCACAACGGCTGTCGATAGCAAAACGAAGGGCAACAGTGTCCTGACCGGGGCTTATCATAACGCCAGCATACCGTAACTCAGTTCCTCAACTGCGAAGCTACCGTGAGACCGCCTCACACTTGGGATGACACCTTCATCCCCGCGAGGCAATCAATCCAGCCTTACTGGTGCTTGATTAACCGTCATTTTGGTTACAGGGGGGCGTGGACCCAGTGGCTGCCAGCTCGAGTGCGTGTGTTGTGTTGCAAGAACTGGAGGCTTGGCCTGCCAGATCCGATGTCGTATGCATCTCAGCTAACTCTGCGTTGCATAGGACATCAAACGCACAACCCACATTCAGACCTATGCATCTGAACGATATTAAAGACGCCTTACGTAGGCATTGTCGAGCCACGTTAGCTGAAGCCGCTCTCTACCCGCTCTCGTCTCGCTATCTCGAAAGCCTTCGTCTCAACATGAGCTTAGCTCAGAGTTGGTGGATCAGAAAGCCTGGCGAAGTCGGCGAAATCTATGAAGGACAACGACAAATCATACCACTGAACTGCCGCTTGCTTAGCCCGACTAAGAATACTATTGCTATTCGGCAACACGCATGACGGCTTCAAACAAAGCATGAAGTCAACGCATTGAGATGGCAAAGCCAGTTGCAATACATCTGTCCAACATCATTAATGCAGGCGATCAGTGCAGTTCCACTCTTCTCACAAATACTCTTCTTCAAGTCTTCCATACAACTTCCCCTCCTTTGATGCTGCTTTCAAACCAGACAAGTCCGATTATCGAGGGTTGGAAAAACGCCCTGTTACTGCCACTCCTGCCAGAAACCCCAAGATTGCTGCGGGCTTTGTGACCGACTCCAAGGCTCGTGCCAGCTTTCCTAAAATCAGCTCTCCCAGCACTTGGACTTGCTCGGTGTGTACCATTCATCTGCATTTGTTTCCCCTGCAACTTTCTGACAGCTGGTTCCGTAGTCATGTTTCTTCGGCGTCGCCTGTCTAGTGGCGTGTCTACCAACGACGTGGGTATGAGCAATTGAGCTATTGTGTGCACGGCTGTCGATGACTTACCTGTCGCCCGTAACACATGAGCAGCACCTATCCCTGAGATCAGTCGTGGACAGCAACATACCTAATCACAAACATGAACACACACTTTCTCGATGGACGGCTTTTCAGAGCTTTTTCTGGTGGTAGACTTGTAATACTTGGGCTCTTCTTTGGTTCTCTTACACCTCGCTCCTTCTTCGTCCCTTACTCTTTATCCATTTCCTGTTTCCACACAGATTCTCTACACATCCCCCATGATACTTTGATCCGAAGTTCTACACGCTACGCGTTTACTTTACTTCTCCATAGTGGTACAAGTACACCGATGGAACTATCTTCAGCTGAGAACATGAAATGAGACACTGAATTACTACCGATCGGTGTTGAGGCTGGTGGGTTCATTGTCTAAACTGACTGATCACGGTGGAAACTACAGTACATGGGCTGGGGAAACCGCTGAGGCCCTGGGGATTTGCCCACAGTTGAAGAGGGCACTGAGGCTTGCCTTCCGATTATCAAACATTGTACTATGAGTTGGGAGTGTATCATGCGTTGGTAGTTCGTCTCATCACGTCGGTATACAATCAATAGCCATACCATGCACGCACTTTGCCTCTTCTTGCAGAGACAAGGAGGAAGATGCATAGAGTCTCCTTACCTAGGTAGACGCGTCCTCCCACTTGCCCTCCTCACCGTATCTTCTACTCTTCCCTCTTTTCTTCCCTCTGTCCCCCCCCTCTGTCCCCCCTCTCTGTCCCCCCCCTCTGTCCTACCCTCTGCCCCCCCTCCCGGCATTCACTTACAATACTAAAAGTTGAAACGCCTCGTCCAGATAAGGCAAAAATCCGGGACAGAGCCTTAAAGTCAAAACATCAGGGAGTAGTCCAGATAAGGAAGTTGTTAGTGTCCGAGAACTGCCCCCCTGATTAAGCTTTAGCTGCCGCCGGAATGACGGAGTCAGGGGGGATCGGGGATCTACATCAGGAGACTACCTACAGAAGGCATGGGACTCTACCCGGGTAAATGTATCCAAGGTTGATTTTATGCTTCTTGATGTAAGAGTGAGAGAGCGTCAACGTCATGGGTCACCGCTTTTCACGGATCTAGATGTGAAGTTCACCCCTCATTCGACTTACACGGCTTGATGGACCTCCTCAAAGATACGTGTAAGTGGCTCTTTGGTGACACTCTGCTCAGAGGCTTGGTGTACGGGCATTCTGGCTCGGAACGCCGGAAGCTGAAGATCAGAGGTGGATACCTAGGTATCAAGTTCTCCTCGGAGACATATTGTATCCTCGCTTAGAAGCTGAAGAAGCTCATAAGGTTTCTCACGGAGACATTTGAAACCTTCATTCGGATCTGATACTCCTCCTCATAAGGTTCTTAACGCCATTGGGGGGTTGCAGAGCCGACCTTCGCTCTGAGTACGTAGAAATTTCCGATGTCGGATTTGGAGGGTGAGAGGGGAAATTTCTGAATTCTCCATGATTATTGATGTGCTTCGAGGATAATGCTATGCTGACTCGCAATCACAGCGATGTCTCATGATGATGGAGTTGCGCTACATAGAGGACAAAAGAACACTGCTCTCTCTGTAGTCTCAGACGTTGTTTTGCAACAATCACTTCTCCTTCCGTCCTGCTTCGAGTTACTTAAACGTTCGTCACAGCTCTTGCTGTTGTCCCTGAGCACCGCAATGTAGGGTAGTGCCCACATTGGTCATCCTGTGTTCTTGCCTACCTGTTGCCGAATTGTTCCGATGGGAAGTTGTTGCTGTGATTGGTGAATTGGCAGGGCAGATTGCAATTCTTACCTTGTGATACCGGAAAACGATACAAAGCCTCGTAGGCAACGGGGTAGTAGAAGGGCTACTCATCCCTTTGAGAGAGCGTCAGATGCCATGGATTCCATTGGTATGTGACGCTTATTGCTGGCGATCCGTCTATAGCAGGTTGCGATGGCACCATGAGATCCTGCTGTTGCCATAGCAGGGACCGGCTCTGTCAGCGACAACCCAAGACCAAATGTGGTGAGCTAGGTATAATTCCATTGGTTTTTGAGGACTAGTATAGACAAAAAAGAATATGGAAATTCCATATATCAACAAAGTTGTATCTTCTCAACAGTGATCCACGTACTCACAATCTACCCGGGGTATCATAGTCATTATTTAGTTCCCAGTTCATGACTTCTTCACATTGTCCGTCCACTCTTTCGCTCCCTTGACACCCTCATGTCCTCTCCGGAACAGCCTTCTTTCCCACTCATCCAACCCCCGCAGAAACTCCTCGCCCTGCCCTCCCAGTCCAGTCTCCTCCGCCTTTCTCGCGTGCAGTCCCACATCAGCTGCTCTGACGACGAACGTGTTCCGCAGAATGGCACTCAGTTCCTTCTCATCAAAGAGATCTAGCATTCGGACGGCCACGCCGTAGAAATATGCACTCTGGTCGCGTAAGGGTACGGCTCGGGGATCGGCCTTGAGCGCAGCAAGGACTTGTTCGGACAGGCACGGCGGGAGGCTCAGTGTGATTGGCGGCGATGCATCTTGTCCTGCAGAGGCGAGAGCGAACATTTCAGCGAGCCATAGGGGCAGGTTCAGGCGGGTGCCTGCTTTGAGGCCGCTGGAATTGTCGAGATGGCCGAGATACGGCACGTCGAGCTCGAACCGGCAGGGAACTTTCTAGGAGCGCTGGATCAGTGTGTATTCGAACCGAGAAAGAGAGATGAAGCAGATTTCATACCTCCCCATCAGTCAGAATCGCGTCAACGTCGTAGTAGGACATGGTGCCTCTGCATCGCGGCAGTTGGCAGCGGTTCTGGAGGGCTTGTTGCTGTGGCTCTGTGTGGTTTGCAGTTGAAGTTGTCGTGATGGCGTCACGCTACCAAGCGCCCGACGCGTTAAGTGGCTGAGCAGCAGCACAGTGTCAGCTCAGCGAACCGGACTCCGGGTACGGCACGTCTTCTCTGCGCCACAGCGCCACTATGCCAGTCTGCCGGGGGAGCACGGCTTATCAGATGTACCGAGCTTTCTGTATACAGTATAATTTCAGAGCTGCGCACGGGCTCAGATATGAAGCCAAACCAGAGACAGTCGGAACTTGACGATGTCAAATGATTGGATCTCTTCATAGGCAATAGGAAAGTTTATTATCGTAGCAAAGTGTTACATGAGAGTACATACGTTCAGTACCGGGATGGAATCCAAGAAATATTTGCCTCCTGATCAGAACCAGAGATGTGGTGCATCGATGCAAGCTTGTCGGTGCCATCTCGCAATCAAGCAAGTGTCAAAGAAGTCAAGATGCCTGGGACTACAGATATTTTAGGTGATAACTGAAGAAACTCTGGGGAACTCAGCAGGAAGAAACCTCTCAGACGAGAATGGTCAGGATTACAGTGCCCTCTTGTTGACATGAAAGGACAGAAAGATCTCCACAGATGTCGAGGAAAGCACAATGCAGACCATTGCGGATTGATGAATGTGCATTTGAGCTGTAATGGTGAGGCTTTCGTTCGACTTGGAGGCAGGGAACAGTCAGAACTTGACAGGTAGGATGCTATTGTATATGGCTCGCACGCCTGAGTGCTGGTCCAACATTAGAGTGACCCTCTACCCATGTCCATCTCAGGTTTCTGCTTCTTCCACCAGAAAAGAATATTCCACTTGGTAATTGAACGCGAAATGCCAATATTTTCTGACTATATTCAAGTACAGGCTGCCTAGCATCGGAGCACCTTTACTGCGCAGCGTGCGTCTGTCCATTTGTCACGACTCATGTTTCTTCACATCGTCTGTTTGTCTATTAGAATCATATTTCTCACATTGCTCTGGTGGCATGAAGACAAGACTCCATTGATTATTTGTATGCTTTCTCTATTCGTCCGCTATATTGCTTGCTACCCACCGGCACATGTTGTCCTTCCCAATTGCCAAGCCTCGTAACTGGTAGCCAGCTGTGAACAACAAGACGCCTCTGCTCTACCAAGGGCGCGGACGCGCCCCTGAACTGAAACCGTCTATCAACGTTGATACTTACACCAGCCCAGATACTCCCTCAACATGTATCTGCCGACCTCTCATCCGTCGTGCCCAACTCTGACGCCGTCCCCTTTGAACAGTCTGGGAAGCTGGAAGAAATGCCTGACCGTTGGAAGTCATCGTCGCCGGCTCTGTGTCGTTACTCGGCACCCCGCAACACAAGCAATGACGTATCATCGTCGAGATATTGTGCAGATGAAGAGAGTATCAGAACGGCTCATGCAACAACGCATAGACCCCTGAAACTGAGAAAACTAGACACCGCCAGAAAATCACGACAAACCAAACGACTTCCCGCCTACTCGACGGCATCCGGCATCAATACGAAATTATGCCGCCCTGCATGCTGCCTAGCGAAAAGGGCGGGAATTTACTGTCATCTGGGATGCTTATCAGAACTCAGGGTGGAAGGAAACAAATGACTCCTTCGTTGCTGGGGGAAGAGCAGAGAAGGTGGGAAACTAGCGTTGGAAATAGCTAGCACAGACGAGGACGTCATGAACCCCCTCAAGAGATGAACCGCCAGCAGGGCCAAGTCACAGTGGCATAACGATGTTGACAGGGTCGTCACGCTCTCTAATGCATCTGGTAGCCGAGACGCGTTCATGTCAAGGCAAAGCTTCGGGAGAGGGCGCGCGATCCATACATGTGTGTTGGCGGCGACATAAGAGTTGCGTGAAGAGCGGTCTCTGGACTAATTAGCTTGTGGGCGACGCCAGCGTGAATAGTATCGATTCTGGTCAGATGCAAGCGTCTGAGTGTGGGCTGTGAACTCGCCTTGACAGAGAGTAGTGTAGAGATCCACCTGATCGCGGCACCAGATCTCTATATCATTTCCAATCCCCAGTACACGTAGCCAGAATATGAGCTGTGAGACCATCAAGAGGGCCAGGCCTACTGTGCCTTTCGGCACAAGCGGGTAGACCGTACCGTCGCCTTCTTCCCATAGCACAGGCGGGTACGCCAAACCCCTTGCCGTTATTCCACGGCAAAGGAAGGTGGACAAATCCCAGCCCTCTTCTTAGGCGTGCTCACGGTAGCTTCTAGCTGGTTCGCCGAGCCCGACGGTGCCGTCAAAGCGGCCAAGGTGTTGCCAGGCACTGTCGGCGAAATGGCGATTGTTGGCTTGCGGACATAGTGGGGGAGAAATAGGTGACGAGCACAAACCCCTCTGAACATTCATGACTACGTAGGTAGTTGTTCATTGCTGTCTGGGTTATCGGCCATGGTGTTGTCTATGGCCAAATGACCGCTATTGGCATGGTTTGCAGTCTTATTTCTGAAGAAGCTGAGGCATTCCTCCACATCCACATCCAGGAAGCTGTTCATTTTACCGTTATTCTCTACGGCATTGGTCGAGGCGATGATGCGGTCAACGGCCAGCATGACACCCTGAAGTTAGGTATCATTAAGATGGCTCAGCAGTAAGCAAGATTAACGTGAAAAGTTACCTAGACAATCTCGGTCATGGCGAAAGTGGAGAATAATATGTTGATGATACCTAGTGTCCATAGGCTGTATACATTTATTTTTAAGAGGTGAAGTGTTGTGACATCAAGTATTAGGTACGTCAAAAGTGAGCATTCTTGAGCTAATATATCTGGTTCATGTACTTGACGTGCAAGTATAGTTGGGAGATAGAAGTAATAACTGGAAACTGGAACTGGGCAAACAGAAAGGAAAGGGGGGAAGGTAGCAGGAAAGGCGGGTTCGAATAGGAATCAATGAGGGCTTAGAAACGATACGGAGGCGTTTGAACACCACCCTAGGATTGACTTTTTGTATCCGTCAAACTCCTCTTTGGGTGAGGATGTTTGAATTAAACATGTCTAAACAATGAATTCTTCGGTGGGAGCTGGTTCTGCTTGCCGGTTTTGCTCCCCAGAGACCTTACGCGTGGAGACGCGTACCTAATGTTGTGCAGGTGTATAAGTCATCGCCTTGTCGCTAAATAAAGCCTAGGTATCCAAGACTTTTGGTACCATAATCCGTAGGATTCTCTTTCCATACCTAGATTAGATTCATTAGGTACTTAATCAGTCAGAGCTTTTGGGCACCCAGACGGAGATGTCTGGGAGTGTGGTTGAGTTGGGGATGAGTATGGGGCTGCTCTTCGAGGACTGCGAGGCATCCGCGAGGGGAGGCGAGAGAAGTAGTGCTCTGGCACTGGTGAGAAGGCAAAGGCCACGGCTAACAGGGGGGGGGGCAACAGAATGGAAGAGATGCTGATGAGAGAAGCATGAAGTAACAGGGGAAGAAGAGTGTTCGTCAAGGATAAAGGGAAGCCCCTCTCTGCAGAGCCACTATATCCTCTGCCCCTGATACGCAGCGTTGTACGGATCGGAAACTACCTCTAGACACTGCAACCATCATCAAATGGTGCACAGAAGTAACATTATCATCCAGGAGAGCCACGTTGTAGAGATGTCCAGCAAGGAGCACAGGTTTTTCTCGGGTGCCACACTCAATGATGAACTGGCAATTCAATTGGGCCTTCCATCAACTGTTGTTCCGTGAAAGCAATGCAAAGTGAAATTCAACGCTCCTATGAATATCATGGGAACCCACTATCATTGTATGACATAGCATCTAGTATAATAACATTTGCACAAGGCTTCCAATTATAAGTGACTTCCCATTTAGCCAAGATCAGCTGTCCTACAATGCCTCCCGGCAAACCAGCCAAGATACCAGCCAAGACAAGTTGAGAAGAAAAACCAACCGCCAGAAGGGCCAATTAAGCAGCAATTGAGAGGTGTATACAGAATTTGCGTCATGGTGTCGCCAAAACTCGTACCCTTGTGGTCCATCTAGAGGCCAAACCGCGTTCTTGTCGAGTCAATGTATCGAGGGGAGGCGCGCGACAAATGGGTATGAAGCGACATAGAGATTGATGAAGAGCGGTCTTGGCCGACTTGCTTGTCGATGATGCCAGCGTGAGCGGTGTCGCTTCTGGCACAATGATCAGTCTAAGTTGCTTCGATGAAGAAGCGCGTGGGGACTTACGCGACTGCAGCATGAGATTTCCTGACGAGGTCTAATACGAAGTGATATTCCAAGCCAGCCAAGGTCAATTCTTCACCCCAGTAGCCAGTATACCGGCCAGAAGAGACTTTGATCGTCGATCTGGTTGTGCTTCTTGCGGCTCTGGCGGGCGGGTATGCCAAGTTCTGGTCCTTTTCGCACGATCTCACGGCGTCCTGAGGCTGGTTCGCCAAGCTAGTTGGTGCCGTGATGGCGGCCGAGATGTTGCCAAGTCCTGGTAGCTGATCGTAACTGATCATCGTCTTGATAAGGGTGGAATGTTCGTAACGGTCGGAGAAAACGGATCGGTAAACAGGGCACAGGGGCCACGCCGTGTCTGTCTTGGGACGGAAATGGGGCGCTGTAGATGCTTCGCCGCACTCTGCTTGAAACCACACGTTTTGGAACCCCTACAGTCACCGCAGCCCTCATTGCTGGAAGCATCGCATGGCCACCAGCGTGGATGTCCTCCTGGAGACAGGTATAGTCGAAGAAGTCAAGTTTCAGGCTGCGCTCTTTGTCTTTTGGCAGGTCATGTTTGCCTTCGAGACCGTTGGGGAACCCGTCACAACGGTCGCATTCAATCCTTTGTCCCCCGGTTCTTGGTGACCTCCTCGGCCTTTGCGTAACAGTATGTTGGTGCTGGGCGTGGGAGAGCCTCAGTATCGAGCTCTCACCCATTGCCTGGGAAATAAACCTACGCTGTCTCCCTGCCTTGGAAGACTTGCTTGACGCATGGGCAACTGCATCGAATCCTCTTGGCGTGCTATTCCCTCCCGTCTATCATCGTCATCGTCACCGTCCGCCGCTGCCGTCGTTATCAAGCGAGGAGCGAGGCCCGGCCTGCTCGGGCGAGTCACACAAACAGTAGAGCTGTGTCCTGACAACCACCCCCCGCGGCCTGCGTGTGCGCCTCTCGGTAGAAGCAGAGATCGAGGTTGACTGGCGACGATGACGATGAAGATGACGACTCACCAACAAGGGAAAAGGAGTCCTTGATGCTCTGCGTAGCCGGCGATGGTTCGCTAGGAAGGGGTGACACGAGGTACGTACGGACGGCATCTCGCGGCCCAAGGAGCTGCTGCAGGACCTCGAGCAAGTTGGGGCAGTTGCCGCCGCGACGGATCTCGAGGCGGGAGGCTCGCTGCTTTGCGTCTTCGGCAGGGAATTGCGGGACGGTGTTTGCGTGAAAGAGGTATGTTAGAATATGCGATGCATGACAGGCGCGAAAGCACAATGCCGGTGACGAATAATCGATGGTTCTTCCTCATCGGACTTCCGCTCGTCTCTTCAGCAAGCCGACCGCGGCTAGAGCAGCACAGGAGACGACCCAAGTACCCCCAAGGACGGTCGCTGGTCCTCGATCGGGATTGTCGAGGGCCGGGTCAATTCATTTATCCTTCAAGATATAATTGCCCTCCCCATCAATTTTTTAGCAGTCCTCCACCGAAAACACGTCAACCCCCGAGTCAGGCGGTGCTCGTGGACACCTCGCCTTCATCAGTTGGGCTTCTGGTGCTCGGACGCTGCCCAGACGAGCCAGTTGAAGATGCTGGGGTCGTTTCTGGCGTCGTTTCTGGCGTCGTTGATGGTGGTGGTGGTGGTGTGGTGGAGGCGCAGTCGGCTGGGTTGGGATATTGACCACGACCCTCTGAACTGTTTCCCTGAAAACTCCCATGTCGAAGTATGGCAACACTCGCACTCAAGTTGGCCGCGACTTGATTCGCCACCCCAATATCCCAACACCGGCTACCCCTTGGCTGTCACCCCGGGTCAATTTATTTATCCTTCAGGATATAATTGCCCTCCCCATCATCTTCCACGGAAAGGAAGTCCTCCACCGAAAACACGCCAACCCCCGAGTCAGGCGGGCTCATGGGCACCTCGCCTTCCTCAGTTGGGCTTCTGGTGCTCAAACCCTGCCCAGACGAGCCAGTTGAAAGTTCCGGCGTCGTTGCCAGCGTTGTTGGTGCTGGCGGTGCTGGCGGTGGAGGTGCAGTTGGCTGGGTTGGGTTATTCACCACGACCCTCTGAACCCAGCGGCGCATTTGTTCGGCCGGGAGTTGCCTTGGGTGTACCCGGTTCTTGTCCTCGAATCCTGGATGCCACTTTGGAATGAAATGGCCGCGGCGGAGATGGTCAATGGCGTTTTGCTCTGAGTTGTACTCCTTGGAGCCCCTGCATCGCCGGCATTTCTCAAAGGGCACTTGGATGGCCTTGCCACCCACGGTAGCATTGTTGCCAGGAGAACATGAAACAGCGAAACTGAAATTGAAAGTCGAATTCTTGAAGATGGTGGGAAAGAATGGAATAATGTAATGGGAAGGGAACGTCTTTATATACAGCTACCTAGATTGCAAATGTTGGGAAATCATCTTTATTGAGTTGCGTTTGTCTCTGTGCTATACTCCAAAAAAGCTTAGATTCAACAACTCTACTCTCCGAAAGTCTCCGGCAAAGTTGATCCTGCTTGCCTTTTGACTTCTTTGAGAACTTTGTGGCATTGAGAAACCGCGCGATGCCTACGGGAAAACATTTTGGCGCCTTCTTGTTGGACGACCGTCTTTGTGGAAACTAGGTTCTGGGCATTTGCCGTGATCGCTGCTTTCATGTTGTTGAGAGTTTGACCTCGTATTGTTGAATACACCAGACACTGCCTCGAACAACCGCAACCACCAATTGTTTTGCGGAAGATTACCTCAGCAGAATCTCAGTATAGCACCGCTGTCACGAAGGATGATGCCTATGTAGAATGCTTGAGAGACTTGACAAAATCACAGACTATCCATCCCCTGCCCTTTCATCGCGAAAGACATGTTGATAGACCGGAGCATCAAAGACCTTAGGCTAGCCGCCGTACCTCAACAATTATTCTGTCTTGAAAACAGAAAGCCACCAAAGCTTGTATTGCAGATCCCAACGAAGTAACTGATACCGCGTCTCCCGACCTTCACGTTGACACGGCTCTGTGAGTGAGCATGGTCGTGACCCCGGCCAAGGTGGCGTCCGCTGCCATGGTGTTGTTACCACGGGGACGAGGCAGGCAGATAGACAGAAAATGGCCCGTATTCAAACAACAACAACAACTACAAGAGTGTCGGGTCGATGGTTCTTTCCACTGGAGAAATGGCGTTCTTTCGTGAGAGAGGCAGTTGTTCAGCCATGTTCACAATGCACGAGAAGTTGTCGGTTTTATGAAGGGTTGACTGTGACCGCTTTCATCTGAATGCAAGACCCCGTTTCATCAACGTGAAAGCCTCCAAATTTTGTCCCGGGAAGAGCCGATGCTGCAGCTGCATGGGCAAGAAGTGATATCCTCCGCAGATGTTCGACCAAATTTTACACTGAGCTATGTTGCCTCTCGTTGAAGCAGCTTGATTAACTTTTAGACATGTCCTTAGCAACCAGGGTACATGATGACAAACTCGCGATGACTGTCGGTCCCATATCATTGGGGACGTGAGTGAATACTTCGCTCCTGTGCTTGAGAGTTGTTCAGTATTGATGGTGGCTATATGATAGGACACAGTGAATTCATTGCTTCTAGCTGTTTAATATTGATCGAGACGTAACGCTGCTGCTGGCCGCCGTGTAGTTATCGGTTGCCGTGTTGTTGCGTATGACCATTGTGTTGGCCATGCCACACACCGCTCATGCCTTCATCCCTGGACTCCTTACAGCCGAGAATGGTGGTAGTCATGTGTATGTCGCTGGCTGTCACAGATTCTCCAGTGTCGTTGCTGTGCTACGGTTGTCTTGCGGCTACTGTAGCAAATGCTACTCAGTACCTAGATGGGGAGAACAGTGGGGGCATAGGAGATGGTCAAAATGTCGGTACCATCGAGCATTGCTTAGCTGATCGCGCGACAATGATCATTTTGTTCAGCGGCATTGCTCAAGGCCGCATGTCCTTCAGAGACATCTCTATAACATTGCTTCATCTCCAGTGGCCAGTTTGCGAACCTGAGGCAACGCGGCCTCGCCAGGCATGTGCAACTAACGGTTCGCTCGGAATGGTCTATTGTAGACGATCTCAACTACTTCGACGACACCGCTGTGCTTCGCTTGGTAGTGGTGATCCAGCTCGTGCTATGCCCCAAGCCCATTGGCCTTCACCGGCAGAAGTCTCATACCTTAGACTTTCGCATTTGTTGCTTTCGGTGAGCAGTGGTCTGTCCCATCGCTGGGTTGCTAGATGAAGCACCTGCTCGAATGCCAAGAGCAAGAGATTTGTCTGCCTCAGAGATATTCTTCGCTTTCCTGTCGCAGGTGAATCTTTGAAGAGTCAGAGAAAAGAATTAAATTGTTGGAATAGAGGAAGAAAGAAAGGTAGTGAATGGGACGGACAGATGTTTCACACCGTGGGGTGCGTGTGTTTGGTAAACACACATACTACGCCGATATGATAGAGGCGTCCAAGTGTTTCATCTAAGAGTGCATATCCTGACCAAAGTCTTTATATGCATATTCTTTCATACTTGAACCCGTGTGGCTGCTGCTTGGGTCGGAATTGGTCTCGTCGTAGATGCTCCACGAATGAGAGCCGATTCCATGTGATAATTAGGGGCATTTATGTAGCATCTGCACCAGTCTTCCAACGCAGAGTGATCACTCCAGCCGGCCGGGATGAGCCGTGCTAACCTGGACTTGCGTGAAAGGATGGCAACAAAAGCAGGTTGAGCATTTTAGGCAGCGATCTAGCTTGTTCGACCAGAAATTGTTCAGATGCATGTGAGCCAAAAGACACGAATCCTGCAAAGATGTATGTAATGCACGACTACACCTGGGCATCAAAGCGCCAGCGTCAAACGCAAATTCTTAGATGAAGGAACAATTCTGACCATATCGACAGCACCAAACTGATACAAGACTTCTGTTCCCAGGCTCTTGGCCCTGAAACTGTGATTTAGCCGATCACCGAAGTCTATCCTATCCAAAGCGCCATGGGTAGGAGATGTCATATTTTACCATTTGTGACTTTCTTCTTGCTATTCCCAACAAAATCCGCAGCCACCTTTTTCATCGTTTACCTACAACAAAGACCATTTGCAACTAGGCATCTCAAACGTTGAGCTGCGCAGTGGTCGAGTGAGCGAGGTATTGCGCGTAGGGAGCAAGCGCCTTCTCGACGGGACCACCGGCACCGCAGTACCTCTCAACAATCTCGATACTACGGCCGACGTACAGCTCAGGCTTCATCATGGAGTCAAGCTCGTCCCAGATGGGCCTGAAGAACTCGGTGTTGCGAATACGCTCGATGAGGTCGTTCGGCTTACCCTGAATTTCACATGTGATGAGCTATGAGCGAATCTATGTGGGAGAACAAGACAACTTACCTCCAGCTTGACCACGCTTGCGGCTTCACGCGAGAGGACTCGGATCTCCTCGTGTGCCCTAGTCCGGTTAGCAACAATTTTTTTGAGACCGAGTATGTCACGACGTACTCTTGTCTTGAAGCGCCCTTGGCGACAAGCTTCATGATGATCTTGGAAAAATTAGCGAAAAGTTGCCGCTGTCGGAAACGTAGACACTTACAGCCTCAGTCACCATGAATGGCAGCTCATCGAGGAATCTGCTTCGGATACGTGCCGGGTAGACAACGAGACCATCCGTGACGTTGTCCAGTCCAATGAGGACGGCCTCGGCGAGAAGGAACATCTCGGGGATATCCATTCCTGTAATTTGATCAGCTTTACCCCTCCACATCACGACTAGAAGGACACCCCAATCTCGTTTTTCAAGGTATGAAACCACTTACGTCGAATTGCAGAGTCGTCAAGCGTCCGCTCCATCCACTGAGTAGAGAGCGTGTTGGCGAAGGAAGCCGGCTTGGCCATGAGAGCACGGGACAAGGAGCAGATGCGCTCGCTTCTCATCTACGCAAGGGGAGGTAAGCGACATTGATGGCATAAGAGAGATGGTAGATTTCTAGACGTCGAAGGTTCAAGCAGCAGGGAACATACCGGGTTACGCTTGAAGGCCATGGCCGAGGAACCAATTTGACGAGCCTCAATGGGTTCCTCGACCTCCTTGAAGTTGCTGAGCAACCTGATGTCGTTGCCGATCTTGTGGGCAGTAGCTCCAATGCCGGCCACGGCCTGAGCGACGACGAGGTCAACCTTGCGAGTGCTATTCAACAAATTAGCATGCTAATCACCAAGATAAGCTTCCAGTTGCCCTGAGTAAAAACTCACTAGGTCTGGGTAGAGATGTCCTAGAAGACGGTTAGCACGCTGTTGCTATGAGAAAAGCACAGTGACAGCAGAAAAAATAAAAGTAGACATGAGACTCTGCAGGGACGGGGGAATGAACTTGATGATTGAACGTACGTAGCATGCGGGGAAGCCAAACTTCTTGCAGAGCAAGACGTTGAGCTGGTCACACTTGGCATGATCGCCTTGGAAACTGTGAGCTTGGTGTTAGCGGCGCGATTCCCACCCCTCGTCTGGCAGGCGGGGCAATTGGCATGGGCTCACATCTCCAAGAACGAAGCCTGGGTGCCGGTAGTGCCTATATTCCGTCAGTGATTGATCAAGATGAGGACCTTGAAGGCATGTTGCGCATCAGGGCGGGGCAAGTGACTCTAGACGTACCCTGAGCACCTCGGAACTTGAGGTTCTTGCGAACATTCTCAAGGTTCTCCAAGTCAAAGGTCAGGTCCTGGAGCCATTGGGACGCTGTTCTCGTTAGAAGTGTTAAGATCAACCAGACATTCGGCGTTGTAGACTTACAGCGACGTCCAACGGTGATGGGCCTACGAGTATTGTTAGCAACGAGAGACAGAGACAGAGGGTTTGATTGCAATTTGGATGAGCAGGTTCGGAAGGCTTACTGAGCGCTCTGCAGATGAGTGTAGGCCAAGGTCGGCTCAGCTGCAAGCTTGGCAGTTAGCAACAACTCCCAACTCGCTCGACGTAAGTGACGTTGCTTCGTTACCCTTCCACTGGAGAGAAAAGGCCCTGAGGTTGGCGATGACCTTGGACAGCTTCTTGATCAAGATGTCGAGAGCATCACGCATCATGATGAGTTCGGCGTTGTCAGTGACGTAGCACGAAGTGGCTCCGTAGTGAATGACACCAGCAGCAGCCGGGGCAACGAGGCCAAAGGCGTGGACGTGCTGTGCGGAGCGTTAACTGGAGTACAGCATGCATGACATGGTCTCGGAAAGGCTTACAGCCATGACATCCTATGAGAGGCAATGTTAGCATATGAGAGCTCAGGCAGGATTGAGAGACGGGGGATAGCAACGGCAGCTTCCACTCACATGACGTCGGATCTTCTCCTCGACACGCGCCGCCTCAAAGTCGTCGTCGGTGACGGTGAGGTGAGCCCGCATCTGGGCCAGAGCCTCGGGCGTGACAACCTCAATGCCCAGCTCGTGCTCGGCCTCGGCAAGGCCCAGCCAGAGGCGGCGCCAGATGGAGTGCCTGGACCGCTGGCTGAAGAGCTGCGTCATCTCGGCGCTGCAGTAGCGGCTGGTCAGGGACGTCTGGTAGACATCGTAGGGGCTCTTCAGGGGGCCCTGCAGCTTGAGCTGCTCAATCTGCTTCTGCAGCTCGAGGATCTGGGCCTCGGGGTCGGTGATTTGCTCGGCCATCTTGGACGTCTCTCTGTGCGTGCGTTTCTCTGCTATCAGGGCGTCGTTGAGGTGCGAGAATTTTAAAATTTTGCCAGTCACTAGAGGCACAGCTGCTGGCTGGTGAGTTGGGCGGTTTAGTGTCGTTCAGCTGCCCGTCTGTGCTTACATAACATACACCTTTCACGCACCCTTTGTCTCAATTGACTCAATGGAACAATTAGAAAATCAAGTCAATTGCAATTCTTTCTTGACGAAGGACAATACAATCAGATATCTTGCAGCGTGTTTTACTTGTTTCTTCCTCTTCAATGCGACTGCAACTTTGGGGGAAATTCTTCATCCTCGCACCAGCCACTCCCACCTCACCAGCCACCCCCACTACGATTCAAGATCTTATCTATCTTATCTAATCTCTCCTGATGTACCCCGCCATCTTCCTTCATCGGCCTCTTAAGCAGCTCCTTTACCGTAAGGTAGTTGCGTAGTTCTGTTTCTGGAATGCATTTCGGCATTGGCAGAATGTCCTTTCCTTAAAGAGCTCGTGGGTAATAGTGAAAGAGAATAGACCAGTGATGGCCTATCAGTGATGTTTCTCGGTGAATTTTGCGTGCCTTTGGACCTTTATGACGACTCATCGTCTCGTTCCAAAGGCTACCCTATGTTCATCATTGACAGCAGCCATTAACGCTATGAATTGATTTGGTACTCAAGAGCATTATAGGAAGTGCGGATGATTGCTTCAGCAGCGAACTCGTGCATCTTGAAGGGAAGGGCTGAGACTTGGAAAACCCCTCGAGCCAATGGATGGCGTGTTCGAGGGACCGAGTCAGTCACTCGCACTGCCCCAAGGTTTAATTCCGTTTTCTGCTCAACGGGACTACCAAAAAGGTTCTCTTAATCATACCAGGTATGTTGTGTAGGTGTTGGATAGACACCAACGTGGCCAAATTCGAGCCATCTGCGTTATGTGACTGACCCAACGAAGTAGTACGCTTCTATTACATGTGTCTCCAGAGGCCAATATGCCGGTGCTTTGACATCGGCAAGACAACACTGTTCACTTGAGGAGCAATACCGTATGCTCAATCTCAGGCCGAAACAAGGCTGGTTGAGTTCAGCGAATCATATGTCTCCATGAAGGATTTCTCAGGTATAGGTATGGGGATCTGTGTACACCGGCTAATAGCGTATGTGGCACGTACCTCTTAGCCCGCGGGGATAAGCGTTGGTCGATGGTTGCACGTTGTAAAGAGCCTGCGTCCGTTGTGTTGATACCTAGCAAGACAGGAAGTCTCGGAAAGAGGTCATGCATCTCGCCTCGGTACGAGGGACAAGAGTGTTCCATAAAACCACTCCCGCAGTAAAGACTACGAAACATACCATACGTATTACATCCCACACCATGCCGACTTTACGCCGCAACATCTGCAACGACGCCGCAAACGAGGCCTCTGATCGAGACCCAGGTGGATACTCGTGGCGGATGTGAAGCATCCGACGAAACAACGTTTACCGAATCTGGAAGCACGACATCCTGGCTTGCATTTGCATTAGCTCACGGCACTCTATGATCGGAGGGGCTTCTATTCAACTTTCTCTACCGATTGGATGAAACCTTGGTCCAGCGATCGCCTTTGTCTTTTCGCCGCGGACTTTGACGGACTGGGGTTCTTCGAGGTGGATCAGTGGATTCAGGAGAACGGGAGCGGGAGCGGGAGAGGCGCCGTGATGCCGCGCGGCATAGGAACTGGCGTGGAAGATGCTTTGCCTAGATTCCTCTTTAATCCTTGTGATATTTCTCAAGGGGATCCATGGTACAGCTTTTGTAAACAATGTCCATGTGAAAACAATTCTGTAGATTCATGATTTACAAAAATACTATAGCTGGAGCAAAAGATCCACCAGGTTACAAATTCTCTGGCAAAATTCTTATCATATGGCCGTATACCAAGCCAATGGTCTTATTCACTTTGCGTGGCCCTCGGCTTGATGAAGACGTTAAGATCCGGCTTCTGCCAGAGCGTAAAAGCCTGTTGCCTCTCCATCCAATCCGCACTATCCGGATGCAGCGTGAGGTCGAAATGCCACATGATCTTTGCGAGAATCAAGCGCATCTCAGCATACGCGAGGCTATTTCAGAAAGTTAGAATAATCATCGAGATGGTGCTAAACATGAGGGAATGACTGACTTCTTTCCGATGCAGTTGCGAGGGCCAAAGGAGAAGGCCTGGAGGACATCCTTAGGGTCACTGGAGAATCGGGCATCGCCGAGCCAACGTTCCGGGATGAACGAGTCGGGCAATGTAAAGTTCTTGGACAGATGATACATGGGCCATTGCCAGATGCCGAGGATAGTCTGTTTTCCGCGTCAGAAACAAGGGCCATTGAATGGAGCTGGGTACACTCACGTTTTCGGGAACGTATTGTCCGCAAATGACATCGCCACCTGGCTGCGCCCTCCGCGGGATCGCGCTCGGGACAGGAGGATACATTCGAAGTGTCTCTTGCAGAACGGCCAGCATATAGTTTAGTTTTTGCACACTGATGAGGTCAATCTGGTCTTCACTCGTGAAGCTCGATCGTACTTCATTCTTCACTTTCTCCAAAACTTCCGGATGGGTCAGCAAGAAGTAGGTAACGCCTGACAGAGTCGTCGCGGTCGTTTCCGATCCAGCAATGATCAAAAGGCTTGCATTGTCCCAGAGCTCAGGGAGCGAGAACTTCTATAATTGCGAGTATTAGTAGCCATAGCCACTTCGAGACTTGTAGGAGAGACATACCTGGTCACCCTCCCGTTTGGTCATGACTTCCATAAAATCCGGTCGCGAGCTAGGCAGCGCCAGCCTCTTGTTGACCTTTTGTTGCGTAAGCTCAAAGTGTTCCTGGAACCTTTTGCGCTCCCTCTTTGTAAGGCAAATCTGAATAAGTTTTTCTCCAAAGGGAAGGCGACGCAAAGCAATAGACTCTGCGCCTACGCGGATTCTGTCGAAGATCAAAGAGACCCAGGGATGGTAGTCAGAGTTCTCCAAGCAGCCAAAGGGCTCTCCAAAAGCGAGGTCGCCGATGACGTCGAAAGTTGTGTAGTTATACCACGAAGTCATTTCCACAGGCTTGCTGCCATCGGCGCAATTTTCGCGTAGTTTCTGAATGAGAAGATCGACGTAGCCTTGGATCAGAGGTTGCTGCTCCATCATGGAGTGAGCCGAGAATCCATGGGCTAGAGTTCGCCTCATCCGGGTGTGATTCTCGCGATCAGCGGAAATCACGCTGTGCTGGTTGGACTTCCAGAAGACGGGGTCTTTGCCGTTTTCTCCCTGGCCACGCTTTCGGTGACCCATGATGTCTTGCCAGGCTGCGCCATCACTGAAGGCCAGTTGGTCGGGTGCAATTCGGACGACGTCGCCATAAGTTTTGTGCAGCTCGAGCATTTTCTGATGGGATTTGCCAGAGAAGATCATGCGGACAAAGGGAATCTGTGTTGCAGCCCATAATCTTGGACCGGGATACTTTCGAAGAGGATGGAACCAAATATTATAGATGGGTATAGAGACGAGATACACCGTTCCCTATTAGCACTGCATTAGTGACATTGGAGCTTCTCGTCGTTGAGGCGACAGGAGAGATGAACGAGAGATACTCACAACCACGACGAGCCATAGCGCCACAGCGGCTTCAGGCCGTAGCGAGAAAAGAAGAGCCTCGAGTGAAAGCATCGTAAACGTCTGCGAGTTTCTCGACTCGGTTCCAGGGCTTGGAACAGAGATAGACCCCCCTCAGCATCAGGGCGGGCGCTTCTTCTTATAACCTTTCTAAGCGGCACATGCCGTAAACTGCAACGGCATATGACTGCCCATCATGCGCAGTTTCCGATCTCCGCGGACCCGCTAGTCAAAGGCTGTTGGACATTACGGATCTGCATACGACCCTCGGTGCTTTGTAACTACATACATATCATGATTGAGACGAGGTCGTATCGTCTTTAACCGGAGGGGGCGCCTCGGTAGGCGGGGTTGAAACGAGTCGTGCAGGCTTCTGGCATGTCTCAGACGACGCCAGATCGGCTGACGGAGGGTGTTCCGCTTGCATGCATGCATGAATTACGGATATAGCTGGCAATTATTACTCGATCGAACCCAGGTGCCGACTCGTTCCGCTTAGAAACCAAGTTCCAGGGTTGACGTACCCTGACAGTGCCAGCCCTGTCAATCGAGGTTTATAGATCAACTTACCTCGGGAAGCTCGAATTAACTTGCTATCCGAGACATGAAGATGATTGTAGGTTTTCGAAGACCACTCAGGGTGATCATCGAGACGTCGGCGAGATATGGTCTGCGTATCTTAGTCTGTATGTTAGTCTCTCAGACAGCCAACTTTGTCAGCGCAGGCGTGGTAATACGGCGATGAGAAATGACAACTCTCCAACGCTTGGAGTCCAACATGAATCTCACACAAGCTCATGAGAGGCTCTTCTAATACGCGGAATGGCTACGGTAGTCGGTACCTTTGTAGCTGTGTAATGAGTCGGCCCACTTCTCGCCGCACGGGAACTAGGGGGTAGCCGTTCAAGTGTACCAAATGCTACGATTACCCGCCCCTTTTTTGCGCGGCTTTCCGTACGAGGAGGAGGCGGACGCCGAAACCTCCGACACTGTAGCATAGCAGAGGGGTCGGTTGCATCAGAGAGACAATCGACTTCGACAAATGGTTCCGAGGTCTCTATAGTAGAAGAAGCGTGGGCCGCTGTATCTTTGTGGTGTCTTTCCATTGCATACCTAACTATTGTTCTACATACTCACTAGTCTAGTATTACACACTTCGTAGTTGGACGAGGAGGATGCAGTTGTCAGAAAAAAGTGCATCACTAGATTCGGCCGTTAGCATCGGTGATAAGTTATCAAGCTACACTCAAGACTAGCGGAGTTGGTTCCTGTTAAGTTGAAGTCCTCACAATTGAAGCCCATATTAACTGCTCCTGCTAGCTTCGTACGCAATGAGTCTACACATAAATGACCAAGTCTCTAGGCGGCTTAGAAAAGTGAGCGTATGCACTCGTACTTCTGAACATTACGGAGAATTGCGGTCCAATCGGATGCTGGGTCTGGTTCAACATTGGTAACGATAACAAAGGTTTGCTCGGCTTCAAGGCTCGCAGGCTCAGAAAAGTAAAATTTCCGAGGATTCGGATTCTGATTGTTTCGCCTCGGCTCAGTCCAGATGACGGTTGAAAAATGTCGAGTGTCTTATTGGACAGCATCCATGTCATGGAAATCCCTGCGAAAGCCCCTGCGAATTCACCCCCTTTTGTCCCAGTATTTCGGAAGCAATCACCAATCAGATAGTGAGGGCCGGTCAGCCTCCTAAAACCATCCGCAAGTTGGACTCAATCAGATGTGATACATACTCGTGCTGGAAAGGAAAACCCCGTCATCTTCTGCCACTATTATAATTCACTTTGAGAGCTATTCATGTTCTTTAAACTGGTGCAGTTCTCGACAGAATTAGACCCATTGAAGCCTAACTCGTCTTTGGCGTCCTTCGCGGGTCTGACGTCCCATTCTTACTCTGGGGGCAAACTATTCTTTCGTATTGCTCTTAGCAGTCTTTGTGGAAAGTCTGTCAGCAAGTTCCCATTGCCCCCATGCCAGCTGGCTGACCGCCTGCAGAAGATGGATGGAGAGTCGTGATGTGCTCGTACCCAATTGGTGGATTTGTGTGTCATCACTCTGTTTGCTCACGCTTATAAACTAGAACCTCATGCTATGCTTGAACTTTCGTACATGATCTCGATTCTGCATTCTCCATTGCGCGGTCATGAGAGCTAGTGTCGCGCACTCCGTCTGAACGCAAAGGACAAGAATGGTTTGCAGACCTATTACGGAGAGACCAGTTTGATGCTGACCTGAAGGAGACAACAGCCCGTTGCTTCATGTCTTTGGAGAGACGACATCGTGTCATGACGCTCTCTCCACACGCCGCCAGCGGTACGGACCGTGTCTTCTGAGCCAGAAGGGGAAACGCTGCTTATTATTGCTTCTCTTATTCTTGTCGGGCCGCGCGATTCGCAACGTCATTCCAGCACTCACACGTGGAAAGCTTGATATAAGCTCATAGTCTCGTGAATGAACCTGTACTCATTTGCAATTGGTGGATTTGTTTACCACTGACTATATTTTTCCGCCTCGTAGGGCGACCTGAGCTATGAGCTGACTCTGCCTTGCTTGATGCAGCGATTCAAGATTATAATAGAGCTTATCCTGCAGCAAAGAGGACCGGGGACGCCCGCACAGCCCACTGGTGGAGATGTGCTAGACGATGCATATCCCACATGCTTGTTGTCACGAACTGAAGCCCAATTGTATAAGTGGCTACTATAAATATATTCTGCTGACGAGCTGACTATATAAGGCTTCTGGGGCGCCTCTTGAAGCATCTCCTCTAGTTGAAGGCGGGCAAGTTCCATTAGAAGCCATTTAGACTCCTCACATACACACCAAACCTTCACCATGTTCCAGCCCACCGCTTTCCTCCTGGCGGCCGTCGCCCTCCTTGTTCCCGGCGCTCTCGCTGGCGAGTATGTCCTCCCATACCACACATCCTCTTCCCATATTGTTCCCCAATGCTAATACTGTCCAGGGGTGTGCACCTTGCCAACTGTGGCCCCAACGTCAACTCGGCCATCACCTCTGTCATCGCCTACTACCCCGATGATTCCCAGTCAAACGTTGCACCGCGTTCGCAGGACATCGCCTTTGCTTCAAGCTCACAACAAGTCGTCACCTGGGAGGGCCAGGCCCACACCGCCAGCTTCGCAACTGGCAACACCTTCACGTCTCACATCAACGGCGGAAGCTTCAGCTTTGGCCAGTATGCGGGATCCGGCAACAACCAGCAGCGGCAGTTTGCTTGCTTCCGCGACAACAACAGGCAGCTTTGGCGATCAACGGATGCGTATGCTTGCTTTAGCATTTACTACTGCCTTGATGCGTAAAGCCAGGGCTCTCATTAGATAGACAATGGTAGATATATTCTAAAGTCATAATCATGCTTCAGTTGTCAGCTTTGCAAGTTCAGTTGCCCGGAAAACTCAGGCCTGAGGAGAAAGTACGAGGTCTTGGATTAAAACCCTGTCTATATGCGCTCAAATGCCCCTCTAAGCTCTGATGGACCAGCAACTTTGGTAGTTCTCATATCTTCTACGTACAGCCTTCAGCTGATGGCTCTACCAGTTCCTCATTGGCTCCATGCACTTTGTATCTCAACACCAATGTCCTTCAGATGGCCATCCTTGTCCACCCATAACAAGTCATACACGTTCGCGTTCGGAGCATCCCCATCTGTCGATCGTAGCACAACCACCTCCATCTTCCTCGCGCTCCCACTCTCCTTTGACGGTGGATAAGTCCGTACGTCCCTCACTACATCGTCCGGAAGCATGCACTCAACCCACTCCTTGTAACTGTGATCATCCGTGGTCCGCGCAGCCCGCAAACGACCCTCCTGATCGAACCAGAGGAGATAGACGCCATGGCCACCGTCTCTCTGCTCAGCGCTAACAAGGCCTTCCGGGCCGAAGCTGTCCTGGTCCTTGGCAATGACGGTAAGCCGCGAGGCTGTCGGATGGGCCGGAGGCGTAGGCCAAGCAGGGCCATTTGGAGTGACGCAGAACTTGTGATACGTCCAGTGCCTCAGCCCCAAGAGATCGTCGACTTCAGCGGACTTGCCCCAGATGCGGCCTTCCTGACCGTCGACCCAGAAGATGAAGAACCGCCGCTGCCCAGCAAACCTCGTCGCCAGGGTGACCGGGCCACAGCCGGAGTTGCTGCCGCCGCCATCGGCAATGCGCGCGTCATCCGTCGCTTCCAGAATCTCTGGCTCTACAAAGTCGTCGGGAGGCCTGGAGATGGAAAAGCCGGAGAGGCTCTTGGGCGAAGTGGTGTGGAAGAACTTCATCCATTTGATGCCTCCGCCCCTGGTCACCCAAAAGAAATACTGTGGGCAGGCTCCGTGATGTCCCGAGGCGAAGATGGCCTTGTACACGTCCACGGCGACTTCGCCCTCGCCCATGACAACGTTGGGGGTGTGGCCGGCAATGGGGATCGCTGTGAAGGGCCACGCGGGCGTGCCTCCCCATGGACTGCCGAATTCACTGAATGTCATGCGCAGGTCACCCTTTGGTCCTGCCCAGAGCATGTGCAACATATTGTCATATGTGCGGGTAAAGGCCATTGCCCCCAAGCTGTGGACTACGTCAGTCCAAAGCTCCGGCCAGCTGGTGAGCGGTCCGCCATTATAATATCCCATCCCGTACAAGGAAGATACCGGACTCCAGCTATGATTTGGTTTGTCCTTAACGTCCGACACGGTTCGCTCGAGCCCATTGAGTCTACCGTCCGACTGGACCCAGGCAATTGTATGCTTTGAGAGCGAAGTATCTTGGGGGAACATGGCTAATGTGCCCACTGACTTGGCCTCTCCTTGATCCGTATTAAGCTGCACGATATAAGGATAAGGGAGAGTTGCGTTCTCCTGTGGTTTGCGTCGACAACGGGCACCAACGATCGAATGGTCGTCTGCGACATACCAGATCTCGCTGGTCTTTGCCCACGTTACAAACTGGCTGCGTGGGTGAACAGGCAGCGCTTCGGAGAGATTAAAAGGAGCGAGGACGTTAGATTGGACCTTGGTGCTGAGATGCAACAATGCAAAGTCATTCACACGTTCCTCCACACAACCCTTGACTCGCTTGGATTCGATCCTCAGCTGATGAACAATGTGGACTGTCTTCTCCGGTGCAAAGTCGGATGCTAAAAGATGAACGTCTCTTTCCAGAAATGCCTTGTTGGCTTCGATATCTACCTCAACGGGAGAGCCCTGTCCAATGCTGAAACGGACCTTGCACGGCTTGTCAGTGCCGCTGAACTCGGGCAGATTGGGAGGCGTCTTCCACGTGGCGTAAATACCTGCGTATGAAAAGGTGAACATGATCGGGCCAGGATAGTCTGGGAGAGATGTTCGAGGAAAGGACATGGGAGGCGTCTTTGGCCCCAACCGCCTCCCGGAGGCTGACTCTGCATACAGCCGCACGGTTACTGGGCCTTTGCTCGTCCACTCCTGGAAATTATAGTCATGCTTCTGATTGGCCGTTGTTAACTGACATAGATCGCCAGGCGACAGAGCAAAGGTCATAGACAGCTGCTCAGTGGTGGTGCGCATCTCTGCTTCCCAAAAGACCTTGTCGGTTGGTCCCAAGACGGTCGATGTGTGCACGGTAAGGTTCAAGCACACTTTTTCCCTATTGAAGATCTCAAGGTATGATGGATCACCTATCTTGAGCATGATGCCTCGCTCAACGATGACTTGTCGAGGGTAGACCACGTTCTTCTCCCACGATATGTCAAACTGCGTCACGTAAGGGGTGGCATAAGCGGGCTGAACGACTCTCGCCTGGTGCAGCATAAACGACCCGTCAAAGAGGGCGTCCTTCATCCGACCTTTCCCGAAACGCGGCTGGGCCGTGATGACGAGCAAAAGACATTTGTCGGGGTATGCCTGCAGCGCATCTCCCTTGTTCGCGCCATCTCTCGGGGGGTAGAATAGAGATCCGACTACCAGGCTTGTCTTGTATGACCACAAGCCACTACCATTGAGTCCCTCCACCTTGGGGAGCACGGGTGCTTCTGCTGTGCCGGGTATGATGAGGAGGGGCTTGAACTCCTCACTGCCGCCACTTGTGGTTCGTTCTTGAGAAAGCACCACGGGAATGCGAACCTCCAGGCGCTCTGGATACTTGCCTCCAGCATCAGAGTCTCTTGGAGATTGCCGTAATGCAAATACCACGTCCGTTGGCCCGCGAAGGGCGACGACCGTGCTGCTACCCGCCTTCCAGTCCGGGCTTGTCTCGTTATGCAGGTCCGCATCAAACAGGGAGAAACAGGCCGCCTTACTTGGCCATGGGCACCACGTGGTCTTTTCGTCGTAAGGAACGTGCGGTAATATGACCATATTGGTGTCTTGGTGCTGCAAGCCCTGTGCTGTGATCTTGTGCTGGGGCAGCGCTTGCTCCGAGGCTACAGCCAATGTTTTTGTTGTCATGGAAGAAGAAGCATTCGTTGGCAGCGGAACCCATTCTAGGTTGCCGACTGCTGTCTTCTGGCGTTGTTTGACCGCCGTCCGGACCACCGATGCTGAGGCTGGCTTGCGAATACTGGTAGTCAAGGCCTTTACCCGTGGTTCAGCATCCAGTTGGACTCCAGGCGTTGTCCATCGATTGTCATCATTTCCGTCATCTCCCGAAAGCTGATCACCTTTGCCTAGAGGGAGAGTCAGCTGCAAGTTTGCAGCACCCAGTTGCAGTGCCAGAACTGCTGATGGCACATCATCTGGTGCCCCTGTCCACTTCCACACTTTGGTCTCGTCTCGCTCTGGTCCAGCCACAGCCGCGACGTATTTCTTCGACAGGGTATCCGGTCGAATCATCCTTACGTCCCAGTCATACACAGGTTCGCTATCCTGGCCTGACTCACAATTCCTCTCAATGGGAACAAGCATTTGCTGTACTTTTTTCTGCTCGTCTTCTGGCACAGAAGACAGCGATACTCGCGGAATTGGACGGAACCAGCCGTTCAGAAACTTGTCTGTGAGCTTGGATCCTGCAGCAAAGGTCTGCTGATGGGATGGCTGCGAAATGCGAATCTCCTTGAAGTCGTTGTCGCCCGGCATGCGGTCGAACAAACAGAGCAAGATGTCATCCGCAAGGACTTGCATATAGAGCACCTCACGAATGCCATCGGGAACAGACTTGCCAAACTGAGCCTCCACCTTGAGATCGGGAAACGCAGTGACGGCTACGCTGCGGAGCAAGAAGCCCCATTTCGGCAGCTGCAGCGTCGTTCCCTTGCCGGGGCCGTGAGTTCTCACTTCGCCCATGTAGCGGTTGAGGCATCTCTTGATGGCCTGTCGAACTACGTCGTCGCCGTTGGCAAAATGGTTGGCCGTGCTGAGCCCGCCGTCGATGGCGGCGTCGAGCCACTTGGGGTCTACGCAGAATGTGCGTATCGACTCACGCGGAAGCATGTCCGGGTCGGGGAGGAGGTTATGCAACGGCACGCCGGCGAGGTACAGCTTGTCCACCGCCCAAGCCCGAATCAGGACAGCGTCGGGGTCGATGTCTCTCTGGGCAATAGGGGGGATGTCTGACTTTGCGTCTGACTCTTCTGGCGGATAGCTAAAGAAGGCGTTTACGACCGCTCTGAGCTCTTCCGCATAGTCGTCTCCGTCTAGCTTCAGCGGCGCACTCGCAAGCGATAGCCGCGATACAAGACTGTCTTTCTTTTCGTCGTCCGTGCGGAGCCAGCGTGACTGGCCGCCGAGTTGGCCCAGTACACTCATATCGCTTGCCTTCTCAAGTTGACTAAGTGAGTCGTCGAGGGATGCGAAGGCTGCCGCCATTGTGAAGACGCCGTTTGCAGGGTCGCTGCCGTTGCTACCAGCCTTCAGGGTTTCAGCGACGGCTTTCCGGGCTTTGAGGCGCTTGACGGCCTCGGCATGGACGTGACCGCGGAAACGGAGCAGCGCTGCCATGAGCGAGCGGTCGCCGGTGGCAAGGGCGCGGCCTAGGTGCCATGCGACTTTATACGATACATCCTCGAGACCCGTCTCATTATCGATTAAGACCAGGTCATCTCCTGTGGCTGAGAAGCAGTTGATCGAGTCTCGTGCCGGTGGAACGGGGATGAACGGGCCGCGTAACAGGCACCTGGTTATTTCGCCGGTGGCGAGTGTATGAGGCTTCATAGTGTAGCCGGCATGCGTTTTCTGCCACAACCAGTCGGCCATTGGATTCTTCTCGGTTTTTTCTTGTCCGATTATTGTACTGGGACCGTGTTCTGGTTCAGGGGAGATGCCCGTATGTTGAGACTTATCTTCTGCAGTCGTGGGCTTGTCATCTCCTATGGTCGACTTAAACTTCTCTTCGGCCTCATCCAGCTGCTTCTTATAATCTTTCGGTATATCAATGCGCAATGGGTGCACATTGTTACCCAAGCCTGCCATGGTACTCCTGAAATCGACATGGTCATTTGGGACACACATCCAGTCCCAGCTGTGCAACGATATCAACGCTGCATACTCTGCTTGAGGCTGCAAGTCGCTCGTCATCCTGGATATGCCCTCTAGAGAGATGAGATGAGAAATCACTCGGCGTGGCTTATCTTCTCCGGGCGGGCCAGTCCTGGGACTGACGACGACAGAGTACTGAGGCTGCGGATTTGGGCCGGCGCCACTGTCGCTCATGAGATTGACTGTGCTGGCCATGAAGCCAGCATGCGTTTCTCGCACATGCGCCATGCGAGAGAAGCGGGTCAAGTCGGGCTTGAAGGGGGACTCTCCGGACTTGTTGTAGCTCGCAAAAAGCTGTTGGAACAGAGGTCTGGCCATGAGCAAAACATTGGCTTTGTCTCTGGCTGTGTAGCCCTTGTCGTCATTAGATAAACCAGCATTGCCGCTGAGTGGTGAAACCACTCCTGTGAGGGTTTCCAGATGTCCGGCAGTTGTTGTGATGGTTCCTTGACTGGATGGCCGTGAAGCTTCGTCGATAAAGCCAGCAGCCTGGCATTTCGCCTCATCAAGCACAAGCTCATCCTCCGTAAAGCTCAGGACTCCCAGCCACGGCATTCGGTTATTGTTCATGCCACAGTTATCCTTGTCTCCCTTGTCGTTGAGAAGGAGCCTCTCCCACGGCGTCGTACAACGACGAAAGACAACGTGAGCCAGAGTCTGTGCATGGTCACTGTGTCCCGGAGCCGGATATACGCTGTGAATGTCCACTTGAGGATCAGGCAGCTGGAATCTGGGACTCGACACCCGCAGCTGCGTGTCAGGAGAGTCGAGGTCTTTGGAGACGTTTTGGTTGAGATTGTTGTCGAAGACTTCGATTTTCTGCGACACGCTCAAGGTGTACTGGCCGACAGCGAGTGGAGGCTCCTGATATGACCATACGCGCAGCTGCTCGCGCGAGAGTTGTCTGTCTTCGGGGATGGAGGATGTTGATGTGAGGACGCGGTCTGGCGTGCGATTGAAGAAGGCTGGGTGCAAGGTGTTTGCAGAGGCGGACAGCATCTTGATCCTCTGACTTCATACAGAAAAGGGAGGTTTGTGATGGACTTGGTGACGGTCAATATGGAGAGAACAATGCGGGCGTTTTACAACAAACCATACAACAGGTGAGGTTGAGCGAACAGTAGTCACATGTTGATGTTTCCCAAGAAGTGAAGCAAGCATGTAGATCACTCAGCTTTTCTCTCGCGACAGAACATCTCATCACATCCATGACATAAAAGCCTGGCGATGATCAGTTTGGAGGCCAAAAAAATGGTCAAGTGGACTGCGGAAACTTCACCAAGGAAGCGCCAATTTCACGTCAATCGGCCAATGAAAGAGGCAGAGTAGACGTTCTAGGCCATGGAAACTGCATCGTGCAGTAGAGTATTGACAAGTATTGGATTGGGGTCCGGAGGCTGATTTCCAGTTTGGGTGGTTCAGCTCTGATATAGACCCCGGCAGCTCCACTACACACAGTATCAAGGACTGTACGTGATGGACAAGGTATCTCGAACCCATCAAAGGCAGATGTATGTAAATCAAGCTTGTGGTTTTCCTGAGCAAATGCTTCACAAACATTGCTTCATGTCATTCTTGTAGGGCAGAAGTGAGATACGCAACTGCAAAACACGATGGCATCTCAAGACCCTCCTCCTGCCAAGGCCGTAGCAACGGTTGTTGTGCCCATGGCCGTCCAGGCCTTCATCGCCGCCGACGACTTTGGAGACACGGCCTACCAGATGGCACCGATTGTCCAACCTGATCTTCACAAGCTTCAGAGGCTCCAACAGCCAGAGAGATATTCCAATCTGTCCGCAATTGAGGGAGGAGGAGAATGGGATCACCTCGATCTGATGGACTGGGTGGACACGAGCTGGTGGCGGCTGCAGGCTGAGTACAACCAACGGTTTCGAGATCTGGCAGCCGGAGGGCCGCGAAAGAGCCGCTCCGGAGTCTATCTCAGTTGGTGCTTGCCAAATGTGTATCGATCAGCCATTACGGCGACTGAGAGTGCCATCAAAACACCCCAGGACCGGCAGGATTTCGAAGAGAGGAAGCTGCGGAGCGGATATAGAGTAACGGATAACGACGGTAACCCAATACCGAGTGAGAGTACTCAGGTGAGTAGACTCTGAATAAATGTCCGCAATATGAGGGCTTGCTGGCTAACTCGGTGAGATAGTTCCGTGCTGTTCCTGACCGCTGGATGGTCTTCAGAAAGCTTCGTGGCGGAGGCAATGGCGAAGCAATCGGCAAAGAGAAGTGGTTCATGGTCGAGAGCAATTGTCTGCGCGCCATCGACGACGACGAGCTCCTTGACCCTGACGCTCCAGACATTGAAGTCACAACGTCTGCAGGGATCGATCCAGATGATCTGCAACTAGCCACTACGGAGGAGAAAGAGCCTCCCAAGCCTATGCGTATGGGCCGTCAGGTTGAGTTGAATCTCAAGAGCCTGACCGCGAAGAATAACAGAAAGCATCGAGTTCCTTTCAACGCGTTTGACATGGGCCACGAATTTAATGTCGATTATCAGCCGCACAATATGGGGGTTTTCTCTCTTTTCGACGACTTGAAAGACTGGGTCAACGATGGCGGTTCTGCCACCTTTGATTATGCCGTCGTGGGCTATCATGCAGACCCTCGGGACGACCCTCTGGTGCTTGATCACTCTTTGCCGGCGGGCAAGCCTCCTCTGAAGAACAAAGACATCATGGCTGCTCTGGAGCTTGTGCTGGACGATCGCAAGGATGATGACCCAGGGAAAGATGGGGCCTTGCAGTTTCTCAACGCCGAAGCCAACAAGGACGGCCGGACTTTCACGTATGGCGTGCTCCGTAACGTCCTTTTCGACCGGAATAGCGTACGGCATCTTGACGCTCCGTCTGTAAAGCTCCAGGAAGACGTGTACTCTCATCAGCCGGTGGCTGTTGGACTGGACACGCTGGATGCATTGGCGGCGTATCTGCATGTTGCCCTCAAGGGTAATACCTCGAGTCACGCGCAGAACCTCTTGAGCCAGATTGTCATGCTGGTCGCGCGAGAAGACGACGTCGATACTCAACGCAAAGCAGCCGATCAAGTGGCAAACCACTCTTGGGTTGCCCAGAAAGAGGGCACTGTTTGGCATTTCCCAGAAAAGGACCAATGGGACCAAAAGACGACCGCCGTCACGGAAGAACACCGCATAACCTTGGCCAAGCTGAACAATATCCAGGCCCAGCTTGATGCCTGCGTGCGTGAAGAGGAGCAGCTTCTTCAAAAGCTGTACGGCTGCTGGTGGAACGCAATGGGGATCCGCAACCTCCCTGCGAATGTCCTCACAATTCGCCGCGAGAGGATTCAAAACGAATCAATGGCAATAAGCAGTAGACTCCTCCTCTTGTCAGACAAGAAAACGGAACTGCAGTTAGAGATTGCAAAGGAAAAGGCTTCCTTGGAATGCATGCTCGGGGGGGAGAGTAAGAAAACGAAACTTATCACGGTTCCATCGCCTGGATTTGGCAGACACCAAGATCCGGTTGTCCTCCTTGCTGGTGCCAAGTCTGGATGGCCAGCCAACTTCTCAAAGCCGCTGCCCGTTCGCCTTGCATCCGAAATCGCCGTTGGCGAGCCTCCGTGTGACTGGCACGAGTGGATTGACAAATTCATGGCGGACGTCCGAGAGCCTCTCCAGGCGATCCTGCGAGAGTTCAGCGAGGCCGACGACACAAAGCGACGAGAAGGCAATTGGCGCAAGAGCCCATATGTCGGCATCGAGAATATGAACAACACACAGGGGTGGTTCCCGCTCTTTATAGAGTGGGAGATTGAGTACTACCACATTCCCTTCTCCAACTGGGACTTTGTGGCGTCCGACGACGAGAGCGGACGTTGGCGATGGATCATCCCAGACGACAAGAGGCTCGCTTTGGACTCGGGGGCGGCAAAGGACTGTCGCAGGATCCGGGGACGCGCGCCATTTCTCCCACAAGCAGCACTGATGCTGCGTGCACGATTGGAGCAGCTTTTTGCTCAAACAACGGACAAGGAGATTTTGGCTCGAAAGGATGAGGTCTTGAATAAACTGTCTTCTTTGGAGTACTTTTCAGCTCCCTTGGCTGGATTAGCGGACCATCTCCTGACGCTTCGACACGGAGCAAATCATCGCCCAAGTGCTGCGTCATGCTCCAACGACGATATCATCAAGAGTATGCTCGGCCTCGGCCCCGATGTTCTTTGTAGGATCGAGAGTCTGGCACCAGAGGTGGCCCCTTACGGCGCATCCGCAACGGCCGTATCCCCGCCTGATTACTGGCTCAACAACGATACCGCTTTCAAGCCCGTCATGCATGGCCAAGCTCGCTTCACGCGGCTGGTTGTGGTGGACAAGTTTGGGCAGATTGTCTCGGGCCTTCGTCCCACGGTATACGGAGACAATGGCGAAGGAGAGTCCTCAGCGCTGTACCCTTGCCTGTCTCCCAGCCTGACATGTGGCAGCTATCAGCTGGAAGACGGTCCAAGGGGACACTACTGGCCAAACACTGTTGTTAAGGCAGACAATGACCCCAACTTGTGCCAGTTCTTCCAGCTTCCCCCTCGCATCAACGAGAACGCTCGCCTCAACGTCCGCTACATGATGCCAGGGGGCGCGATTCGTTCTTCAGCTACGGAATGGGACAATCCCATCTGGGCATGGCTGGTGACCAACTTCCAGAACCATTCCATCCAGGTATATGATGGCGAGGGCCACTTCATGCAAGAAGTTGTCATCATCGACAGTGATGATACCGCCAAGCGCCGCGTCGTCTTCTCCATGGGTCCCAGGTCTGGCGGCCATGCACCCACGGCCACAGGCCAGCTCACAGAACTGCTGGAGTCTCTGAAGGATCACGGATTTGCGTATTCCATGTTTGACATGATTGGAGGGGCTGCGGATGGAAACTGGCGCTCTTCAAGTGCAAGTCTTGACGACATGCTGCCGGCTGCGTTTGGACGCCCGTTTTGTATTGCCGACGTGGGCATCTCAATCGAGCTGGCCGCCCCGGCACTATCTGATGCGTCGCTCCTTTCAAGGCCTTCTACCTCAGGAGAGCCAGCAAGCATTCTAGACTACGAGTTTCCCATTGCCATGGGCAACCACATGGCTGCCTTCGACGGGCTTGTCGGAACGTTTCCCTCCAGCGGTCCAATCACTACAAGCAATATCTCAACCGCATATAGTCGATGGGCCAGCCAGCAAGCAAGCACCCCCAGCCAAGGTTACACTGCCTCAGAGGCTCGGCCTCAGCCATTGTGGGTGAAGCCCTACTTCGTAGCAGGAGACGTGGGCGGCATCGACGGCCAAGGGTTCGCCGAGGCACACAATGCGCAGCTTTCACAGCACTGCGTCAGCGCCATTATCGATGCCAAACTGCCGATTCACTTGTACTCGGGCTCGTTGTTTCCCATGGTCGAACTGAGTCTGCCTCGATGGCCAGTTGACCAGGCGATGAGCAACATGCAAGCGTTCTTTGCTGTTGGGCCAATGCTGGTGCCGGAGAAGCCCGTGATGGAATATCGCATTGAAGCTCAGCCCGGCGGTGATGTGAAGATTCCGAAGGAGCTTTCTATACAGCTGCCGGCTGCTGGCGATGCTGATAACTCGTGGCGTTGGATGCAGCCGAGACTGGATGGTTTTGACCCCAACGCCGATGACGACAGCGACGCCGATGACCATTCACTTGTTGGCAATACGGAGTGGGATCCCGCGCTGATCAAGCCTCTGGACAAGACTTTGAAGGTCGAAGATGCAGCGTTGAGTGAGATCGTGGAGGGCTATATCATGGTAAAGTCAAAGATATCAGCCTAAAGACTCTAAATAAGGCAGTCCATAGTGATGGACACTGGATAGATCACCGGCCTTTTGTGTCAATGTTCATTCATGAGATGATTATCTAGAGACCAAGGCCATTTACAGGATTCTTGAGACTCTATCAAGGGCCAACACAATGAGATAGGTAGATAGAGATTCGAGAGTTCTCGCTCAATGCTTGATCCCTTTGGCAACATTTACACCATATTACTGTCGTACTTCCAGGAGAGCCCTCAATATTAAGTTGTGGTCTTTCAGCTCTCCCAGTATGTTGAACGGCCATATATATGCGCTCAGAGAAGAAGATTTTCCGGTGAGCTGGAAGCCCATTACCTCATAGACACATGCCTCTCATCTCGCTCCAATTATCATCTACTACCAAGACCACTTGACTTATCAATCTCTTCATCGCCCGTTTCTTCATCAGTGAGCAATCAAAAGCTCGGCAGAGATCAGCCACTCAATGTCAAGACGCGGCTCAGCCCGCACAGTGCGCTCCGCTCTCCTCGTCCTACTGCCGCTATCAACAATAGTCTCCTCGACCCCTGCATTGTTTGGCGTGCTTTGAGAGGCGAGGATGATCTGGAACATCTTGCTGCAGGATTCAGGTGGCCACGAGAGCGCGAGCTAGCCAGTGAAGCCAGTCTACGGCAGAGGCGGCAGCCGTGGAGTGCTTTGGGACAAGAGCGAGACTCCTATGAGGTAGAACCATGGTGTAGTTCTTCTTTCCAATTATCACATACCTACGCCTTGCTCAAACTGTTCGATTGTTACTTTACGAGACCAGCAGCGGATCTGCTTCGTGACATGAAGCGTTCAACACATGGCTTCCATTTCAAACCTCATCTTCCCTGACTGATCAACAAACACCCGCTGTGTAGCTGAAAGGCTACCATTTCCACGACAATCATGGCTCATCCATACCTCGACTATGAGGTCCATTCCAACTACATCAACGTCGGCGCCGGCGACGGCTGCATTCACTTCTTGATGAACAAGAAGAAAATTGAAAGGGCAATAATAATCGATGGCGGTGACGACGACGCAAAACAAGCCACCTTCCAATCTTTCAAAGCGTTGAGGGACGCCTATAAGAAGCTGGACCCAAGCAATGCAGACTTCAAGCTCGATACCATCGTCATCACGCACTGGGATGGTGACCATTATCGTGCCTTGACCAGCGTCTTATATGATGATTTCGTGGACCACAACGAGGAGTCGACACTGATTGGCGAAAATGCCGTCTTCTATTGTCCCTGGACAGCCATGGGCAAGATTCAGAATACAAGATGGAGGGTCGATAACGAGACTCTTTATTTCCTTGTCGGTTCCATCTGGCATGAGATATGCCCTGCCGTCACAAGCACAAACTGTCTCGGATATGACCTCTTCACCAATAAGCCCGTGTACGGTAAGCCATCAAAGAAGTGGACGAGTATTGCGTCCCTCACAGATGTGTACAAATTGAGTACCCTCAAGAAGCTCGAGAGGCCCATATTCCTTGTTGTCGGGGTTGACGACTACTTCATTAACGAGAGCCCTTGGACTGCGCCTGTCAAGAGCTGGATAGCTGCTAACAAAGGAGCGCGTGTGATTAACGGGGCGTCACTGATGGCCACGGTCATCTGGCCGAGCGCCATAGGCGAGTATCGTGTGTCTCTCTATACCGGCGGTGATGCTGAAGAAGCGTGCGAGAGGTGCCTCCTGGAGTGGATGGAAAGGGGTCGCAACCTGCTAAAGAAGGAGGTTCGGCTTGATGTGGTCAAGATGGGCCATCATGGCTCTCACTTTGCGCTCCCGGAGAACATAGTCAAGTTCCAGAACAAGGCCTTCGTTGTATCAGCTGGCTCAAGGCATGGACATCCCAGTAAGCCTATCTTTCCTTTGTTGACTTGCACGCCTTCTTGTTGAGCTGAGCTCAAGGGCATTGCGTTTGGGGTTACTCAAGGTTACTATATGTAGCCACCCAACACGACATTCTAGATGCGCGCACTAACGAAGGCGTTCTATCTTCCAGGCTATTCTGTGCTCTTTTACCTTCTCGGTATTGCCGACATGATGAAGAAGGCCGACAAGGCCACAAAGCTCAGCCCGTTTCGAATTTACGGCACAAGGAAGCCTTACTGGATGGACATGGGCGCCGACGAGTTGAGCAGAGTTCATTTGAATGTCAACACCATCTTGAGCTATACCGGCGGTACAGCCGTCGTGTGGAACTCCATGCTAGATGTTCTCAAGTTCACAAAGAACGGTCAAGGTGATCAGGCGGCGCTCCGGGAGGAACTCAACAAGATGCTCCAAAATGCCGTGGGTGAAAGCATGCGGCATATGAAGAACCTCTTCTGGCTCAAGAATGCGGGAGATCTCAGTGGGCTGGCAACTATTGCAGACGGAGATACGATTCTCAACCAATACAAGGGCTGGAAACCGCCGAAGAAAAGCGTCATTCTCGACCCCGAGGGAGAATACGCTGAGGCTGTGAATGCTGCGCAGCAAAGGATACAACAGCAGTGGGCGGAGCATAAATGCGAACCCGGTTCTGGAGATGCAGACATCCGCTTTGTGGCGATCAAGGCTACAAGCTATGGTGTTGAGTGCAAAACCGTCGAGCGAAAAGCCAAGGCAATCTGGGATGGCGTTGTCAAAACCGCAGCTAGATCTGGCGCTTCCTCCCTGCCACTGGCAGCTGATGCTCACAAATTCGGAGGCAACCAGAAAGTTTTCATCAAGAACAAGTTTCTCGGCCTTGTGTCTGCTACGGCAGTTACTGATGATGTGATTGAAGAGTGGACTCATGGACTTCTCTTTAACGACATCAAGAAAGCCCAGGACCAACCTGGCAGCAATTTCCCCAAGACAGGCCGCTTTGACCGGCATGAGCTACTGGGCAACTCCTCGGATGTAGCACTCTGGCTGAACCAGTGTTTTCCCAATGCTGTCACATTGAAAGTCAGCGGATCAACTGATGAGGCTGAGAAGATAGTCCTGGATATGATGGACATCCTCATCTCCCCAAGGTTTCAGGGTACAGGCACGCCTTCTTCCGAGCCAATACATCTCGCCTTCACGACGGATCAACAGATGCGAAGCATCCAGTTTGGCCAAGTAGCCACCTCCCTGCCACAGACGATCCACGGATATGATAGACGTCTACAGGGTTTTCTTTTCGCCTTGGACAATGCCCAGACGAGCGGCAACATGACTCTAGCGCAGTTTTCGGAGCTCATCAACTTTCCTCTCCCTCCTCTCGTGAAGGGCATTCTTTCTATGGTCAAGCTTCGTCCCGCACCTGCGCGTTCAGCCTCTGGAACAGAGGAATACGGTGGGCCCGACTGTCGCTCCGGCATATGGTTCATGCCATGTCACGATCTACGAGTCATCTTCCGGATGGCCATGGAGCTGGATCATGGTGAGAGTTCCGAAGTGAGCGCTTCTGCGAGTACTTCTGCCGTTGAGAAACTATTGGAAGAGAGTGGGTTCGCATGCACCGTCTCAGATGTCCTCATCACCGGCACAAGTGTGTCTGAAGCTCTGTTGGCTGAGCACAAGAGGACGCGATCAGTTCTCGGCTTCCAGGCAAAGTTGACAATCAACACGAGCAAACAAGTCTCGGCCTCCCAAACTCCGCTCAGTGGAGTTTCCGTCGCTGCGGGCATCACTTTTACGGACCGCGGCTTTGAGGTCAAGCTTGTTATGCATGATAAGACATTCGATATATTGTCAGCATTGCTTCAGTGGTGTCAGAGTCTTATTACTCAGGGATCTGATGACCACAATGACGTGTCGTCCTTTGACACAGCGACAGACGATATCGTGAGCTCAGTGAAAGACGCCTTTGACACGATCTTCAAACATGTCAACATTCGCAGCGTCGTCATCGGTTTCGAAGGCGAATCTGATGCTGGGACTTCATCGCCAGGTCGCATGCCTAAGCCCTCTTACTTTACCATCAACATCGAAACCACGTTTCTTCAGAACGACAAGGTGCCATTTCTGACCTCTTTGAGCTGGTCTCAAGGGGTATACTCTCTTTCGTGCAAACTTTGGCATCATTCCTCTACTTTCGACGTAGGTGGAACTCCGCTCGCAATCCAGCCTTACAGCGACTTGGGCAATTTGTCGGACATCAACCCAATGACCAAGGGCTGCATTGGTTCGCTGTCAATAAAAGATCTTATCGGTAAGCCTGACCTCGTGCTCCCAAGTGGCATTCCCTCCACTGTTAGCGAGGCTCGCCTCGATATGAGTTTTGGCGGTGGGCGAAAGACGATTTTTCTCGAAGGGGCTGTCGAATGTCTGCCTGAGATCCCTGAAAGGGGCAGTCTTCCTCCGGTATTTCGCTTCAGTCAGCTTCATGCTGCTCTAAATATGACTTTTGCTTCCGGCGGAACCGACTTTGACCTTGCGTTCGATGCCGTGACCGAGGTTCGACTGCCCAAGAATTACAAACCAGATGAGTCTCATGGGGCTGTGGACGATGTCATTGCCATTGAGACCAGGGTTGAGTACAACAAGGAGCGCTCGGATTCGTCGTGGACTATAGCTGGAAAGGTCAAGAATCTCAAGATGGCACACCTTTACGATTTGTTTGCAGCTGATGGTTCCAATGACGCCATCAGAGATCTCATGGGCGGAATACACCTTGACTACGTATTCATCAGCTATGAATATCACAAAGAGTATCCGGGCAAGTTCGAGCTTGACGGCATCATAGTTCTTGGCAGCCCAAACAATGGTCTTGAGTTGAAGCTCGAATACACACACATCGGCAAGTCTCAGAAAGGCGAAGAGCAAGAAGACAGCAGATGGTTCTTCAGAGCTGGTGCCATGGCTGCTATGGACAAAGAAGGCCCTACTCCCAAAGATAGGACGTTCAAGATTGCCACACTTCTCGAGGGTCTGGTGGACGATGTCGATGACCTTCCGGAAATTGTACACAGCATGGAAATCCCCTTGTCGGCCTTGGAAGCCAATCTTGCCTGCAGCCGCGTTCCTGGAGCAGAAAAGGGCGAAAACCACGCCGTATTCGCGCTTACAATCACTGTAACTACACAGAGTGGCAAGTTTGCTGTCACTCTGGCGCAGATTCGCTCATTTGGTGGAAACAAGAACAAAGACGAATCGAAGCCTTTGCCAGGAAGGCTCCTCCGCTTCTCCTTGTCCAACTTGAACAGTATCCAGGTACCGGTAGTTGGCAACGGTAAGCCGCCGTTCGATCAGGTCGGAGTCGTGTGGACGAATCGCGACATAACGCCCGCTGAGATTGCAGTACTCAACGAGCAGGTGTTTACAAATGACCCGTTGCTGGTGAAGACGCCTGCCGGTGACGCCGGAGCAGATGCTGGTGACAAAGGTCTCCTTCTTAAGGGCTTTCACTTCCAAGTTGCGCTGCTCGAAGGATCCCGTCCGAACCTGATTTTGGACCATGTTGTTGGCGGCAAGGTAAAAGAACCCAAGAAGAACATGGCTCTTACCGCTGTCGGAGAAGCAGCCGCGGCTCCCTCGAGCAAGGACAAAACAGTTGCTCCCATGGCCAAGACCTTTGGTCCTCTCACGGTTCGCAATATCGGGCTTTCTGTGTCAGGGAAGAGATACAGCACAATCAGTCTGTTCCTGGATGCCACCGTTCAACTTGGGCCACTCTCGTTCGCCTTGCTGGGGTTCACCATCACCCTTGACCTCAGCGTTCTCACCAACCCAGATAAACTGGCCTCAATCATCACAAAGGTCGGCATCCATGGCATGGCTGTCGCATATGACAGACCGCCCACCAGAATTGCGGGTATGGTGAGTGAGTTTGACGATCCGGGCATCTCCAAAGGCTTCCAAGGCGCCATTGCCGTCAGCCTCAGCACATGGTCAGCTCTAGCCGGCGGCAGATACGAGGAGTTATACCCGAAATTCACCACCAAATCCTTTTCTCTCTTTGGCATGGTTCAAGGACCAATTGCTGAATTTGGTGCTGCCGAAATCAACGGCTTGACCGGCGGCTTTGGATATAATTCGCGGCTCCAGATACCTGCAGATGCGTCTGGAGTTGCCAACTTTCCGTTCATTGCCCTCAACAGGAGCGGCTCTCAAGGAGGCTCAGCGATGGAGCAGATGAATCTCATCTTGGACGGAGGAGCCAGAAACGTCATTTCGCCTGCCAGGGAAGCGATGTGGTTTGTAGCTGGCATAGGCATCAAAGCATTCCAGACATTTGAGGGGCAGGCAATCTTCGCCTTGACACTCGACGAACATCCCAAATTTGCTGTCCTAGCTACCGCTACAGCCGTCTTCCCAAAGCCCCCTAAAGGGATCTCGTCCTCGGATGATCCCTTTAAAGGCGCGTTTGCCGTTGTTGACATCGCTATGTCATGTGTCATCGACCCCTTTCATGGAACCGTTATCGCGACCGGCGAACTAACGCCCATATCCTTCGTCATGGACAAAGAGTGTAAGCTGACAGGCTCCTTCGCATTGGCCTACTTCCTGCCCAACTCTCCCTACGATGGCGATTTCGTCTTCTCCGTCGGCGGCTACCATCGAGACTTTGAAAAGCCATCGCACTACCCGGACGTCAAGTACCGCGTCGGCATCGCGTGGAACTTTGACAAACATTTGTCCATCAAGGGAGAGTCGTATTTCGCCATCACGCCTCATGCAGTCATGGGGGGCGGCAGACTCGACATGATTTTTGACAAAAGATTTCTGGGCGATAAGCTTTGGGTAAACATTACCTTCACAGCATACGCAGATTTCCTCATGAAGTTTCACCCGTTTTACTTCCAACTCGACGTCACCGTGGTGTTCTCGGCACGCGGATCAATCGACCTTTGGCTTTATACTCAGAATCTTGGGCCCTTGTCTCTGACTGCCAGCCTGTCATTATGGGGACCGCCATTAGCTGGCATAGCAAAGTTGAGTTTGTGGACGTACAAGATCGAGGTCGCCTTTGGCCCAAGTCTCTCCAAGCCGAGGCCCTTGAACCTGGAACAATTTGTGCGAATAGCGAAGAATCTTCCAGCCGAGGAGTCTGGCAGCGCAAAGAATGTGCCGAACCATATTGTGAGCGTAATTGCTGGCAAGGTGAAGGCAGGTGAAGGTGCAAACACGGGGCCTATCGAGATCTCTGCAGCCGGTGTTCTCGTCCAAGTGCAATCCAGAATACCTGTCCTCAGTTCTGAAATAAGCGGCTATGCAGAACCTAGAATGAGCACCGTCAAGAACAGCAAGGGTGAAGACGTTACGCCAAGAATACTTGCCAGACCAATGCTGCTGGAGCAGCCGTTCAAGCAGTCGCTTCTAAGGGTCACTTTACGACGGAGCAACAGCAGCGATACCATCGATTTGGACGCGAATCCCCTCATTCAGAGCCTACCGCCGGCACTCTGGGGAGAGAGTAAGTTGCCAATCACCATGTTTTGTTCCTTGTGTGAGGTCCTTAGCTGACAAGCTTCAGATATCGAGACACCAAATCTGGCTTCTCTCAAGGCACCGATGATTCCACATGTGGTTGGCTACACTGTGTCGCTACGTCCAAAGTCAGACCGCTCCGAGGACATCCCCGCTGTCTCGGTGACCGAGTTCAACGCGGTCGACGTTGGAAAGGACCCGGCTTATCATGTCCCGCCCATCAAGCGAGCGACGCCTTTCGAAGATGATGAAAGCTTCCGACTGGCCGGTGATGCAGCCACAAAAGTTGAGAATGATGGAGACGAGGAGGAGCTGAAGGAGAAGAAAGCTAAGAGAAGGAAGAAGAGGGATGCTTTTGCCGCGTGGGATCGATTCAAGAGGGAGTGTTCCGGCGGTGGCCTCGCAAAAGAGGTGCAGCTGGGCAAAATATTCTCAGCTACTCAGCGAGTAGCAACATAGTCATCATCAGCTGTTGAAGAATGATTCAAAACTTGTTCTACTGAATGCCGTACAGGTTTATCGCCCGAAGGTGCATACACCTAAGGCTGAATGGAACCCCTATCAATCAAGCATCCCAGAGACGTTCATCAGGCTCAGTACACATCCCCAGCCGTCATCAATAGCTTTTAAATGCGCCTCGGCTCGTGGTATCCCGAATGAAGTCTACTTGGTTCGGTCGACATCGTGACGAAAGCAGATGATTAGCATACTTCTACAGCGTGAATCCTTTGAGGGCACTAGTAGGACATCCCGTCCCCCCCTTTCCATCTTCTACCATAACTTTCAAAGGAAAAAAAGAGGCGTCCCCATTATCAAATAGACAGCCGTTAACATGAAGTTCACATGACTCTGAATAAGCCCTAGTTAATGCAGCTGCAGCTACAGCTCCTCGCGGATAGTTAAGCTTCTCCACTAAGTAGACTTGACACTATAAGACAGGATTGTGTCTCAGTTGGCGAAAGCAATACGGGTTGAGTTGGTGTGACAAGAGGTTGTAGCTCCGAACTATTCAGCTTACCTCGCTGAACTTACTTGAGCATCGGGGTAAGATGAAGCTTCCCTTATGCCCGCATCAATTCAAGTTTGCTGTCTCATACCTACTATGTAAGACCGCACTACCCGCCGGTTTCTCAATCGCAATAGTTTGTCTCCTCTCTAGTTTCAATCTGAATATGTCCTTTGGATGAAAGCCTAAAGGAAGAGTCAACAATATGCGGTATGAACTACTATGTCTCGCATCTGCATCGGCGGGGATTCTCTCCCATCTCCTCTATTTCATCCGTGGGAATAAGGCTATCCATGCTCCGCCGTGGATCCTCGTCTTCTTCTTAGTTGCGGAATGTTTTCTTTACACGCGAAGCATTCACTATCTAGGCGCTTTGCAAGGTTTCCTTACGGCCACTGTTATATCGCTCTGCTACTTCACGGCGCTCTTCACCAGCATCATCATATATCGCATCTTCTTCCATCCTCTTCGTCACTTTCCAGGACCGTTCTTTGCAAAAGTCACAAAGTTTTATTCTCCGTGGATGGCCCGGGACGGCAAACTCCACGAAAGATATGCAGAGTTCTTCGAAACGTATGGAGACATCGTTCGAGTTGGTAAGCCGCCTTCTCGATGCCATTAGAGGTTCATGAGAGCTGACTTGATCTCTTCGTATGCCGCTAGCCCCCAATGAGCTCATCGTGTTATCGACAGATGCGCAACAGAAAGTCCATAGAGCAAGCTCACGATGCTCAAAACAAGACACGGTCTATGAGGTTGTACATTATCAAGGTTACAAAAACTTGGAGACTGTGGTAGATCGCGATGAGCATCGATCGAGACGTCAAGTTTGGGACAAAGCATTCAACACAAAGGGTCGGCTGCTCCATCTTTTCACTATCGCTTCACTGCTCAATCTAACATCTTGATAGCCCTCGAGGCGTACGAGACCTATGCTCGTGAGGTCGTCTACGAATGGCTCGGCAAGATGGCGTCTCTTCAAGGCCAGCCAGTCAACACCTCGCTGTACTCCCTCCTTATCCCCTTCGAGAACATGGGTCGCATGGGCTTTTCAGACAACTTTGGCTCCATCCAAAAGGGCAAAGAGGATCCCATGCTGCATTACCTGGAGGTGACACTGGGCAGCATCGGCAAGCTCGGCGCCATGTACTGGCCCATTGCTCTGCTGAATGCCATCGGTGGTAGCAGCGACCATGTGGCGTTTCAGAAGCTCGCATGTAAGATGGTGGACAAGCGAGAAAAGGTATGTGTTGCAGGCCATAATGGTTCATACGCGACGTGATTCACTAAGGTTCTCATAGATAATGGATGAAGAAAAGGAAGACATTCTGAAGTATCTCATCCAGGATTACCGCTCAAAGGAACCCAAGGCCATGCGTGACCATATGATGATATACGCGGAAGCGCAAGCTCTCATGGTCGCCGGGACAGATACTATCGGTGCAGCGTTGGCATTCGCTTTTTACGTTTTGGCACGCGATCCTCAAGTGCAAAAGAAACTGTATGCAGAACTGGAGCCTCTGTACGGCCGCACGATGTCCGGAGAATTTGCAAACCACGACCTGGGCGAGGCAGAAGCGCCGTACCTCAACGCAATCATTAACGAGACGATGCGAATGTACAACCCTACTTGCTCAAACGGACCTCGTTCCACTCCGCCTGAAGGACTTGAGGTCGACGGAGTGTTCATTCCGGGTAAGGTTGATGTCTATGTGCCGATACATGCTATGCACCGAAGTGAGTATACCTACCTTCTATTGCAACTCTTTTGCGGTTTCTACAATCTCAGCGTATGATGGTATTTCTAACGACCTCTAGGTGCCAAGTTCTTCAGGGAACCAAACAAATTTATCCCTGAACGATGGACTACACGGCCGGAGCTGATCATTGACAAACGCGCGTATCACCCCTTCCTTCTCGGCCCTCATACTTGCGTCGGAAGAAGGATCGCGTTGATTGTCATACGCCTTGTTCTAGCTTATACAACTTGGTATTATGAGTTTGAGTTTGCTCCCGGTGAAGATGGAGTGGCGATTGACCGGGATGCAGTGAATGGGCAGATTCTGAAGGCTGGTAAACTAGAATGCGTCTTCACTCAGAGGGCTTGATGGCTGTATTATTACCCTAAAAGCCATTTGACAACTTTCAAATACAGCTGAGAAGCTATGGAGCCGAGATTCGATTGTCTACACTCGATATTGAGTGTTTCAGACAATTGTCTTCAATGAGTTTTGCCTTGGTGAGAAGCTGTATGACCATGGATGAGCATATATGGAGTAATGTCATCACAAAGGTTTTAGAGCCTGGACGGAAGCATTCTGAGAAATGATTGGTCAAATTGCTGGATTGGCAATTTCTGGATCAAGGAGCGGCTGTCGTGGCATTGTCAAAGAAAATAGCGTATGTGTGGCGTCTGGTAGTGCTGAGTTCATCAAGTCATGATCCTCAATATCGCCGAAGGATTCAGTAGCATTCACATAACCGCTATGTCCTTGAGTCCATTCTAGTGGTCAATAAGCAATGCGCCGTATGCAATAGAAGAGTTACCAAGTGTAGCAAGTTGCGAATACTAATCAGATAACTCTTTGAGAACCACCTATTTTTCTCGAAATCCTTTAATCGGTAGGCATATGCTGAGAACTGTACGGCGCTTCAGGTTCCGAAGATCCTACGGGATGAATGGCTAAATCTACATAGATTCAGATATTGATCTTCTAAGCGCCAAAGGGCTGCCTAAGCCTTCTGATACTAGCCAAACTCCTATCAAGATAGCCTACCATTGAACTTGATGCTGTGTATATATCACGCTACTGACGATGGCAACATAGAAATAAAAGCAAGTATGTCGATATTCGAGTAAACCCTTCTAACCGACATGGAGTTGCTGTGATGAAGGATCTGCTGTGCCGTGCATGAATTACAGCCACATGCTGTAGGGTACGGGCGCTTCCGAAGATATTGTGCTTCATGAGGCACTTGTAAGTGGATGAATGGTGGCACACCTTTCGGCTTGTCTATTAATCTGTCTTTATTCAGATGGTGGCTGACCCTTTTGAGGTACAAATATAAATGAGAGGTAGCGGATGCTCTGATTTCTACACATCCTGTTGCTTCCCGGCCCATCAGAGATATCACATTATGGAGTTTCAACCGAACACGATATCGGTCTAATACAGGGCAGAACGAGCTGCAAAAGCGGATTGGTAACAGGTTCATGATCTCTGTAAGCAGCTAATGAAACACAATTGACGCGAATACACAATGGATACACCATATTCATCAGCTTCGTAGGCACGCTGCCAATTCGCGCTTCATGTCTATGCCCACGTCTTTGCCTGACGGGACATGCCAAGTTCATCCTGTTTCTCTAGGACACGGAGTGGCTACTCGGCAGTTCAGTACGATTTGCCTCAGCCACAGACAAGGAGGCAAAGGGTCTAGACTGGAGAGCTTTGTCAGACGCAAAGCCCGATCCGGAGGCCCGGATCTGACAGCTACCTCAACGCCGACGGTCGGAGCTCTGCATATACCTTGTCCCATAGCTTGCGATGAGAGCATCCCCAGATTAAGTATCAATCCCACGTGAAGTCGGTGATAGTAGCCGTGCCGATTATGCGACATTGATTGCAAAGCAAAGGGGGCTGGATTGCGATAGCACGGCATCTCTCGCTGAAGCCCTAGTCAGAAGTCATGATGCCGGGGATAAACAAGTCATTGTCGGCCTTCATCCATTTCATCATCATAGGGTTTGTAAGCTAGTGGACTATTCTGCTAGAGTTGAGACCTTGATAGATTGAAGACTATAAGTTGACGACCGACTGAGAGACCGGCAACTTTGAGAAGGGTAGTGCACTGATAGATGAAAGGGCAAGTTAAATCTTGACTCAACCTCAATTAATGCCAGCCGTAGTCGAGATCTCCCCGTAATAGGCGAGCTGAAGCCAGTAAAGTTGAGTCATGCTCCCGGCACAAGAGAGTCGACACGATCAGTAAGCTGGGCTGGCACAAGTGCGCGCGGCCCTGAGATACCTATTGATGGCGAAAGAAATCCACACTCGTGAGATTTTAGACGCAAGTCTAACACTGGGCGTTGATGGTGGCTCTCTCTCTAGAGGGACGCAAGACACATATAAAGCTGGCCATGGCTGACCCTTCAACAAAGTGGCTCGTTTGGGGCTTTGACAGATTTGACCATCTTCCAAAACAATTCATTGCAGCAAAAGATGGCCTCTCTGAAGAATGGAATCAAGTCGCCAATCAAGCCGGCTCCTCGTGTAGCCGGCTCAACACAAGATGTGTGGTAAGTCCCCTTCATGAGAAGGTCATCAAGCATCTACGTACAAGTGACTCATGAACCCTCAGGTCAATAATCAATGCCGCGGCAGCATCTACCGAAAAGCAGCCTGTAGTAAACATGGGACAAGGCTTCTTCGGCTACAATCCTCCCCAATTCCTGATAGACGCCGCGAAAAGCGCTGTGGAGCGCCTCGATTGCAACCAGTATGCACCTCCAAAGGGTCGTCTCCGTCTGCGACAAGCCGTTTCAAATGCGTACTCTCCTTTCTGGGGCCGGAAAATTGATCCAGAGACGGAAATTGCCATCACCACCGGCGCGAACGAAGGGTTTCTCAGCTGTTGCATGGCATTCTTGCAGCAGGATGACGAGGTTTTGCTATTGGAGCCATTTTTCGACCAGTAAGCGCACCATTCTGATGGCTTCTTAAAGTAGCCGTGTCAAGATATGTGTGGTTTTCTAATGCATCAGCTGGGTAAAAGATACATCAGCAATATCGAGATGGCCGGAGCCAAAGTCGTCTCGGTGGCGCTACAGCCACCAAAGTCAGGAATGACGAAAACGCACTCGGCGGGCGACTGGTCGCTCGACATTGAAGCTCTGAAGAGAGCCGTAACTCCTCGGACACGAATGCTTGTGCTGAACACTCCTCGTTAGTTACTTTCCTTGGTATATTTTCAGGGGCGACCTAACGTTACTGACGTTTCCTTCCGATAGACAACCCCTTGGGAAAGATCTTCAATGCAAATGAGCTGAAACAAATCGCGGAAGTGTGTGTACAGAACAACATCCTTATCATCTCCGATGAGGTCTATGATCGACTATTCTATGTTCCGTTCACTCGCATTGCGACCATGTCGCCTGAAGTTGAGCGACTCACTTTGACCCTCAGCTCGGCGGGAAAGAACTTTTATGCCACAGGTTGGAGAGTTGGTAAGTAAGACCTTACACATGCGTCCGATACTCTCTATTTCAAAGGCTGACTGAGAGAACAGGCTGGGTATTGGGACCTCCAGAGCTGATCACATACATTGTAAAGGCACATGCACGCATCTGCTATTGCTCTCCATCACCATTGCAAGAAGCGTTTGCTATTGGTACGACTACATTGCAAAACTTATCCTGCACTTTGCGTAGCATGTGCTGACGTCACTTAAGGATTCGAACAGGCTGAAGATAACGGTTTCTGGGACGAATGCATCAGGGACATGAAGTTCAAGATGGACTTTTTCAACGACATCTGGAACGAACTCGACATGCCCTACTCAGAGCCAGAAGGCGGCTACTTTGTCGTCGTCAACATGAGCAAAGTAAAGCTGCCGGAGAACTATCCCTTCCCACCCCACGTTCTTGAGCGTCCGAGGGACTTCAAGCTGGCGTGGTTCCTGATTCAAGAACTTGGCGTAGCAGCGATTCCGCCAAGCGAATTCTACTCACCACCGAATCAGCATATTGGCGAGCAGTGGATGCGATTTGCTGTGTGTAAGCCGGATTCTGTGCTTGAAGCTGCCAAGGAGAGGTTACGAGGGTTGAAAGAGTACATGTAGAAGATGATTTGCGTTGGTCGGCGTCCCGGTCCTTGGGTTTCTTAGATCTATTGAGTATACGGCTTGAATTTCTCTAGAAGTTTAACTGTGATATTTGACCCTTGTCATAATAACTTCCATCAACTTTGAAGGCTTGTCATCTCCTGCAATTCAACAGCCTCATTGCAATACATAGCAGGCATGCATGGATCCATGGGCATCCCGCTTTGGACAAGGGCCTCGAAAGTCTGCCTTTCGCGGAGAAGTTTTCTTTAAGTGTTTCTTATGAGGAAATTCTCCAGATCATGAAAAGGCGAAAGCTTCTTCGGCTCGCAGAAGTCGCCCGAACAAACGGTAACTCCGACAGAAGTATTGCGTAAACTAAAGGCTATGGAGCTCACAGCCTTGCTCTCGACTGAGCTGATTAGACCCAAGTCGACATCCAAACGGTTCTGTTTCTTCTAATGTTCGTAACAATACTGATTATTTGTCTTCAACGCCCCCCTGCTGCCATTTTTCTCCGAAGACTACCTCTCTGTTGACGAGCTGATCCAAGTCCCAGCACTTCACACTACCCCTACAGCGTAATTACTCTTCTGCTTACAGAAACCGGGTTGGGCACATCCAGGGAGCATGAGGCGGACACTAACGAGGATCTACCCGCTGTCAGGTTCGAGATGCTGACGCCGTGCATGGCCGTACCTGGCTTCCATTCTCAGATGCTCAGACGCCCGGCAGTTGACATAGGCAACTGTGACTGTTCAGACACATGTCGTCGGGGTATTCGGACGCCGCTCGTGTCTGCATCATTTGATAGATTAGACCACGATGGACGTTACCAATTCCTTCAAACCAGTAACAGTTCTCTCTTCTGTGTTGTAGTTGCACGAGCTCTCAGACATCACAACAATGGCGGATCCCAACCTCTTCCAGAATGGAGAGAGCGTATCGTTACAAGCGACACATACACGACTAATGGAGGAGCTCTGCAACTACTTTCTCTTTACGCAAAAAGCCTTGACATCCCCGAGAGTCATCGACCTGGCGAATGAAGAGGAAGTCGTGTACATGCTCAATGCTGCAAGACCAGGCACACACGCAACACCATTGGGCCAAGTCTTAGGCGACATGATCAGGATCATGTCCCACCGAATACCCATGGATCACCCGAAATTCTTTGGCTTTATCCCCTCTCCCGTTGACGAAAACTCGTATCTCGGAAACATGGTGATGGCCATGTATAATGTTGGAGCAGGAAGCTGGATCCTGGGCTCGGGAGCCTGCACGGTGCAAGATGCCCTCATCCAATGGTTCGCAGAGCAAGCCGGGCTCCCATCATCAGCCGGCGGCATCTTTGTATCTGGCGGCTCAATTGCCAACTTGACGGCAATTGTCACCGCGCGTGATGCCAAGTTGCATTTCGAGCAGAGACACAAGGCAGTCATCTACGTGTCTGAGCAAACCCATTCGTCCATCGCCAAAGGCCTGTCTATAGTGGGCTTTCACCGAAAGCAAATTCGTCGCGTCGATCACGATTTGAGTTACAGGATTAAGCCTACAAGCCTACTGCAAGAGATTGAAAGGGATAAAAAGAGCGGCTTGGTACCCTTTATGGTCGTGGCAACTTGCGGCATTACCAACACCGGAGGCATTGACGATCTGAACGCTCTGGCCGATATAGCCGAGTCCGAAAACCTGTGGTTCCATGTTGACGGAGCATATGGAGCTTCGGTGCTTCTTTCGAAATCACATAGACATTGTGCGGATGGGACCGGTCGCGCCGACAGCCTGACCTGGGACGCACACAAATGGCTCTTTCAGACTTACGACTGCGGGCTGCTTCTGGTCAGAGACAAACGCCATCTCATCGAAAGCTTTGCCACGGATGCTTCGTACATCAAGGACGCAGCAGAGGCTTCCTCAGATAGAGTCAACTTTTGGAACCGAGGGATTGAGATGACTCAACCCGCTCGAGGCATGAAGCTCTGGTTCACTCTCCAGAGATTGGGCCTCGACAAGGTAGGGGAAATGATTGATCACGGAATCGACCTCGCAGAGTTTGCGGAAGGGGTCTTGCGAGGCTTTGACAACTGGGAGATTATCTCACCAGCACAATTGGGAATTATCAATTTTCGTTACGTTCCTCCCATCTCACAGCCTTCTGACGGGAACTTTGATCCCGACGACTACTGCGACAAGGTAAATACAGAAATATCGCGGCTAGCAGTGGAGCGAGACATTGCTGCGCCGATGACGACGAGGCTCGGCAAGGTCTTGAACCTGCGAATGTGCATCATCTCTCCCCAACTGACCAGGAATGAGCTATTCGGGGTTATGCAAAGTCTAGACGCCATTGCGAAGGAAGTCTCGGCCTCTTTGCTTCACAAGAAGATGTTCAAAATGTGACCGGGGCTTGATGGGATTGACGTACGTCAAGATTTCTGCATGTTGCTCACTGCCTGGATTGGTTCCACGTTGCTTGGGTTGGCTTGATGAAGTGCAAGTTTTGGGGTTGAAGGTGGACCAAATACACAAAAGCTGTCTTTGTACACTGCTTAACCCGAATAGATCAGTAGAGGCTATACCAAGTAGACAATCAACTTGTTGAAAAGATTTATCGTGTGGTTCTTGGTCAGTCACTCAAAAACATCGAACGGCTGGTGGCTATCGTTTCTTAGATATTAGGTCCGATAACTGAAGATAATATGACTGATTATTTAGTTCTGCAAGTACTGAAATGCTTGTCCATGACTATTCTTCGCTGCTGTTCACGCTCGAAAGATTCAATATGCCCCTCCGTTCTACTATCAACTCCCTTCAATCTGTTGGCGGAGACCCAACGTACACGGTCAAAGTATCCGGATTCCCCGAAGAAACAAGCCCCGAAGCATCCTCCGTCCCAGCAGGATTCACATCGTCATACGAAAACGCATATCCCCTGCCATCAACCTGAAGCTCATGCACAAGCCGACTATAATGATGCGTCGGGCTAACTGTATAATGATGCGAAGAGTTCAAGCTAGGCTGCACATCTCCTCCCGGCAGCAGCAGCGTCGACCTGACAAACGCCGCGCAAAGACGCGGTATCACGGCAATGTGAACGTCGTTGTCGCCGTTGACGCGGCCAAAGGGACCGCTGTCACAACCCCAGATGTCGGTCGCCAGGGGACGTGAGTAGCCGCGGGTGTCATTGAGACAGCGCAGGATGTTGTTGATGACCCGACATGTAACGGGACCAGCGGGCGTCTGCGTGTCGATGGTGAGGGGCTTGTAGGAGTAGTGACGCCAGACTTTATCTATGTAGCCGTTCCAGTAGCCTTCGAAGGCGGCGTCATACAGGCGGCGGTAGTAGTTCGGGGAGAGGATGCGGATGAGGCGCCTGTTCTCGTCGACGACGCAGAGGCCAAGCCAGGGTTGACCATCGACTTTACCCTGTCTCCAAAGACCCTCACACAACGCCTGGACTGCGTCGGCGCGGAGGCCGCGTGTGACCTGAGACCTGGATGGCTTGTCTTTGGTGGAGAGGGCCATGCTGAGAATGAGGCCGACAAAGTCAACGTAGCTGATATTTGCGTAGACTGTGCCGGCTGCCGTGTACGTGAGCTCGACGAAGCCCCAGTGGAGGGAGGCGCTGGGGTCGTCCATGTTTGTCACGGAGGGCTGCACGAGGCCCTCGCCGTATCCCGTGTCCAGCATGAAGAAGCTGAGGTTCCCTTGGCAGAAGTAGACCCTCCCAGAAGAGAGCGGGATGGGAATCTTGAGGCTGAGAGATTTGCCCTTGCGCGGGAGGGGGATGGCGAGGTCGTGGTCGATCTTGACGGGTTGTCGGGAACCGTGAGAGCTGGGGTAGATGAGGCTCCCGTTGGCGGCAACGAAGACGACGGCACCCTTGGAGTCGAGACCTTGGATGTAGGCGTTGACTGGGCCAGCGTCGAAGTTGTTGACAATTTCCAGCGGGAGGGGCTCAACTCTTTCGGCTTGGAGACGGGTGAAGTTGCTGTGGTACGAGCCATTGAGCGTGTTGTCCTTTGTGACCGTAACCTTTGTTCCAGCAGATCGAGCAACCGTGAAGCCTTTGTCGGGGAGCGTGGGACCTTGGTATGCGAGAGACATGGCCAGGCCAGTCAGGAGGGCGAGGACGAGTTCGAAATACATCATGTATAGTGGTGATGCTTCGAATCAGAAGAGACAGTTGGTGATATTGGCGGGTGCAGATGTTCTTTAAGAGTGCAGAATATTGAAGATGCATATGGAGAAAGGGGCCCCAGGATGCCTTTTTATATCTGAGAATCACCAGAAATTGTTGAAGGAGCCGTGACTTGATCCGAGCCTCGTGTGCCAGTTTTTAAGCTTTACGGCTCCATGGTGAGCAATCTGGATCGCCAATGGGCCGATTTTGCACGTTCGCTTCACAAGCCATCTTCTGGCAGCCTGACCAACTACTGGCTTCATCGAAGATCTCGCTTGGAGTTCCAAAAGGTAGCGTGGCTCTTACCATCATTTGATCGAACCGAGATGTTCCATGTCGACATTAGCCAATAATGCTCGGACGCTTGCAGGTTCGGATAGCAAGATGGATCCAAGAATGGCCCGAACCAGACTCTTCGCGGTATAAGGTAGCCCAAGCTCGTTCGGTCATAAAATAAGCATAAATTTAAGCTCTACCCAACAAACGATGATAAGGATCTGAGGCGACACATTGATGGCAGTTGACGAAGGAGTTTCACAGATCGGGTACAGGACGAGGCTTAGCCACCGCCTCATACGCAGCCATGAAGCGCAGAAGCAGCTCTTCCTCGTTTGCCCTGGCCAGCACACACAGGCCAAACGGGCGTCCATTGTATCTCAACTGACCGATGGGCGCGGTGGCGATGGGATACCCTGCCGAATTAGTAAGACCAAAGATCTCATCCTGGTGTTCAGAGGACTTGCTTACCTGCAGCAGCGGCATGTATACACAGAGAGCTATCGCCAGGGGCGACGAGGAGGTTTACGCCCTGAGAATTGAACGCGGTGTGGATGATCGCTTGGGCGGCACTTCGAACATCTTTCCTCAGCGCCTCAAGCTTCTCTGGCTCGTCGTTGTATGTGAGTGTCTTTTCGAGGTCTCCTTGCTCAGTGTATGCTTGGTATCAAGGTTAGATCTTGTGGTCTTCTTCTTCTCCTCCACAGCTGTCGAACTCACGTGCGGGCATTGCTTTATCGCTATTCTCTTTGTTAAACTTGACGATATCTTCGGCACTGCGGACGGGGCATTCGTCAAAGGCATCGATGAAGCGACGTATGCCTACGTTTTTGAACTCCCAGACTAGGTAGGCAACGGTGAGACGAGACGCAAGAGGGTGAGTGATGCCAGGGACGCTTACATGCGATGCGCATAGTGGCCCGTTCTCCATCTACACTTGTTCCATCGAGGTCCCCGACCTTGACGGGGTACTTCAATGAGCAGCCATTTTCTTGCAGCAGTTTGACAGCAGCTTCGTATTCTTCGACCTGTAACTTCGTGAGAACTCAACCTGTGCTGAGATTTGACCGAGCTGAAAGCCTGCTCACCATTTGTTCGGCAGTGCCCTCATGCTGTGGACACATTGTCTCGGCAATTTTCCACTCTCTAGGATCGAGAAATCCAACAGAAAGGCCTTCCCAAGTCCCCCACTTGTCACGTTTGAATGTGCGCTGCAGAAGAATCTCGGTCAATGTTCGCACGTCAGCAGAGCTCTTTGCCATGGGGCCCACGCTGTCGAAGAAGTCTGTCATTGTATACACGCCCGTCGTATCCAGAACACCAGTGGTAATTTTGAGAGCGTATAGGCCAGCTCGCGTGGACGGTGTGACGATCGAGCCAATCGTTTCTGATCCCATGGCGAGGGGACTGAAGCCGGCGGCGACGGCGACGGCAGAACCAGTGGAGGATCCTCCTGGGGACTGGCAAATGTGAGTATTGCATTCGCTCAAAGCATTGCATGACGTTGACGTGTTTGCTGACCGAATGTCCTATGATGGCTTCGTTCTCTTCAATGCTGCCCACGTATGGAGAGAGTGTTTGTCCGCCGTGGCTGGACCATCCTGGCATCATCGTTGCCATCTTCATGCCTGCAAACTCCTACCAGTTGGCACCGTTAGCAAATAAAGGCCTACTGCGCGCCGGCATTCCATACCGTCATATTGCCTTTCCCTATAATGATCAAGCCAGCGTCAATCAACAGCTGCGCAATCGCAGAATTCTTGGACGCCTTGGCTCCGACAAACGCCCATGATCCTGCGGTTGTGCTCATGCCAAGGCTGGAAGCCGTCATGAAGCAGTCCTATTGACCTTGTAAGTTTCTGGGTGTGCATATGGAGTTTCGGTTGATACTCACCTTGAGGACGATGGGGATTCCGTGAAACGGGCTACGAACGCTTCCATTGCTGCGCTCCTCGTCGAGGGCTGCGGCGACTCGTAACACTTTATTGCGAGGGGCGGGAGAGATGAGCGCGTTGAGAAACGGTTCATGGCGGTCTATTTGGTCAAAGTATTGCTGGACGATCTGGATGCTGGTGATTTGCTTGCTTGTGAGGAGCCGTTGCAGGTCCACGGCATTGGTGGTGAGGACATTAAACGGCTTGAAGGACATGCTGTTGAATTTTGGGATGCAGAAAGTGTGATGTTCGTTGTTGGCAAAAGATATCACAAATACACTCAGATAGCTTGAGATCTTGAAGGTCGAGTAAAGAGACACCTCTACATTTATACGCCGTCTGTGAGCAGCTGTAGATATGCCCATCACAATACGCCATACGCGGCGACCAGGGGGCCAATTCCTTCGACGCAGCTGAGGCTTCTTGTAAATTGCCATTCAGGGTAGCCGATCGTGTCATATTTGGCTGCCTGAGTAGGCTGCCGCTTTCCAGACGTGTGCCTGTTCGGAAGATACAAAAGTCCCAAAAGCCTCCTTTCTAGGCAGAACATTTATTCGACGAGATGTCAAAGGATGACGTGAGGCCTTAGGGAACTGGAGGCTGTGGTGATTTTCTTCTCATATGGTGTTCTCTAACAAGTTAAAGTAGGTGAACAGTCGGTAGCAGAGGATAAACGCGTACACTTGACAACGTCAATGCTATGTAGTAGCGTTGCATCCTAGATGAATGTCGGGTTTTATGTCCGCCCTGCTCTGCCACGGGTAGTAACAACAGTCCGTTCATTGGCTAAAGGGATGATGCGAGTCACTGAAAGAAGCAGCTTTGCTAAGCATGTAAAGCAACATCCACATAAAACTTTCCCTGTAAAGATGAGATGATGCTTTGGCGACTCCAAGCACGAGGACAATAACCTATTTGCGTCATATGCCCCCTTGTCCAGACACGGGAAGTATCGCATCTTCTTCATTGCAAAGGCTACATCTCAAGGAGATTATTCTCCCTATGCAATACAAAGCAACATTTAGCCAAGAATGGGGCAATCAACCAGTAATCCCCAGGTAATTCCTCACCTACAGCTTGGCATTGTCTTTCCACAGCAGAAGCATCAAACTGTAGATATTCCCGGCATTCCCACTTGAGGAGCAAGTCTTACATGTGATTGGTCTGCTCGCAATTTCAGCTCCCCCATTGGCTCGATCGTCGTCCAGTGGAGTTTCCAATGGTGATGCCTTCATTTGGAAACAGTTCGACAGCCACAGATTGGCCATTGCCCCACGAGTCTCTACTGCTGGAAGATGATAATTGACGGACTTAAAGAAGATGAAGAGGCCGAAGAATGGCAAGAAGACGGAGATTAGAACCAAGGAGAAGGCATTGGTATGGAGGATACTGGTTATAAAAGAGATCAATGAGCTGCTCGAAGATGTTCTCCTGGCTTCATCAGACACAGCTCAACAACAATACATTAACTGAACAAACCATCTTGTTACCGCACAGCTTCTATTATATTTAAAAAAGACACTATCCAACAGCAATGTCTCGCTACGCCGCCGTCCACGCCTGGGATAACCTCGCCGGCGAAGGCGACGCCCGTCCCACCGCCGCACAAATCATCAGGGACGCCGGCAAGACAAATCTCAAGGGCCAAGTCATCATCATCACGGGCGTCTCCTCCGGCACCGGCGCCGCCAGCGCCCGCGCCCTCGCCCCCACAGGCGCCGAGCTCTACCTCGCCGGCCGCAGCATCCCCAAGGCCAAGGCCGCGCTCTCCACCATCGCCGACCTGCCCAACGTGCACTTCCTCGAGCTCGATCTCGCGTCCACGGCCAGCATCAGGGCCTTTGCCGCCGAGTTCCTGAAGCAGTCCGGCGGCAGACTCAACGTCCTGCTGAACAACGCCGGCGGAGTCCTTGCCGAGCGCAAGGTCACGGTGGACGGCTTCGAGCAGCAGCTCGCCGTCAACCACCTCGGCCCATTACTCCTCTTCGCCCTCTTGAAAGACGCCCTCCTCGCCAGCGCCTCGCCCTCCAATCCCAGCCGCGTCGTCAACGTCTCCAGCGTCGGCCACCGCTACGGCACCATCCGCTGGGACGACCCCAACTTTGAAAAGGGCGAGTACATCCCCCCCGTTGCCTACGGCCAAGCCAAGACGGCGAGCATCTACACCGCCTCCGAGATTGACCGCCGCTACGGCGCGCAGAACCTCCATGCCTGGAGCGTTCACCCCGGCGCTATCCTAGACTCCGCGTTCCTGGACAACAGCGGCTGGGATAGGGGCTATTTGGACGGCATGGTGTCGGCTTGGCCCAAGAAGCTGTTCAAGTCCAGCGAGCAGGGCGCCGCGACGCAGATTTGGGCGGCTGTGAGTGATGATGTCCTGGCGGAGGGCGTGACGGGCAAGTATCTTGAGGATTGCAGCGTGGCAGTGCACATGTCCAAGTCGGATAGTGCGGAATGGAGGGGACATGCTGATCATACGTACAACGAGGAGGATGCGAAGAGGTGTTGGGAGCTTAGCGAGAAGTTGCTTGGAATCAGGGTCGAATAGGGTTAGCTGCGGACTGGAAGCTGGCAGACGAAGTGATAGCATAGCATAGCAATAAAGATAGGGGTATAACATAGAGAGTTGTCATATCTCATGATTCCGGAACTTGTGGGTGCCTCCAGCAACACGGCGATATTGAATGGGTTCTAGTTCATTCGGGTCGGGGTCTTCGCTCATAGGGTCTCCAATAGCTTCGCCGGTCTGCTGATGCCTCTTCGAACGAGACGCAGCCCGGGTTGAAGTGATCGATGCTGTCTCCAACCGGCCACATCGCGACAAGAAGAACCTCTTCTTCACTGCACAGATGTGGCTTCTTCCATGTGGTCCAGGAAAGTTCTCGAACGAGGGTGCGGGCAATAGCCTGGCTTTGGTCGACTGCGTTCCCCATGGCAGTGCTTTTGACTCCTCTCTTGATCAAGTATGCGTCAGGTGTGGCATCTGCTGTTGCCTGGAGGAGTATTGCTCGCATGAGAAATAGGTCATCACACATACGCTGCGTAACGACTTTGAGCGCGGTATGAATCAGGGCATCTGACAGAGTCCAATCCTGCTGCCTCAAAAGTGCCGGCGTGAGGTAGTGTGCAGCACAACGATCAATGGCTTCGGCAGTTCTGTTCTTGTCATCTTCATTCGTTGCCAGTGTGATGTCACCTGGGGCACCAGGAGCCTCATAGTACGTGAGCGTGGCCCCTTCCAACTCATCAACGAATTGATCCGCTGATACTCTGGTTGAAGCCATCGCCGCCAGCCTCTTGTCAAACCGAGTAATGATCATATCGACAACCGCCTGCCAGTTGACAACAAACTTTCTCGGCTCAATAAAGACGCTTTGTATGTATGCCTTTATGTCCTGGAGATGCTCCCGCTTCGCTGCCCCCAGTCTGATGAGGTCCGGCCGCTCGGGATCGGTACTGGAGATGTTGATGGGGAAGAAGAAGCCAGACACCATGGACGAAAAGTCCATCTTGACCCGGTCGCCGCCGATGCCATCATATCGCTCTGCCGCCGCCCTCAACCACAGCGGCATCAAGTCAGCGTCGTCTTTCAGCTTGTCCTCTGCTAGGAGCGTTCGAAGCGAAGAATCGAGGTGCAGCCCGGCGCTGAAGTTGCAGTATATGACTTCGAAGCCAACCTCCATGCGCATGATTCCGTCCCATCCCCATTGAGTCACCATGTCGCACAGCGCCTTTGCGCGCTGCATCTCGCCCTGGGAAATGCCTTGCACACTGTTGTTTTGACAGAGCACTTCATCTTGAGAGTCTAGGGTCCCAATATCGGCCTTGCCCGCCGATGTTCCGTCCAGGTAGAGCAGCTGTATGTCCCGCGTCGTATGGTATGTCTGCAGATAGCCTCTGACTTGCCCTTTCTCCCTCTCACAACTGCCGCTGTACATTTCTTCCTGATCTGCCACCGGATGAGGCTGCTCCCCCTCCGATGGACATGGAGGACGTCGACCAGGTCCCCCCGGTCCCCTCGGCATTGGCCTCGCAAAGTATTCTGCGTGCTCAACCTCGAAAGCCAGCCACTCGGGGCCTTTGGGGGGCTCTTTGGCGTAGCCTCCGTGGTAGAACGAGGTCCCGGCCGGCACGACGACGGGGATGAAGCCGAAGCCGTTGTGGTTCAGCGAGGATCCCCATTGGCGGCCGGCAGAGTGAATGGCGTTGAAGATGTGGTTGGCGTTGGCTCTTGCGCTTTCATGGAAGGGGAGGATGGGATCTCGGTCTGCTTGGACGGCCGCAACCGAAGCCAGCAGGGCAACGAGCTTGGCCATGATCACGGCCATTGTGTGTTAGAGCAACTCGAAGCTGGGAGAGGATTTCCTGATTCCAGATGGATCGTATTACGCGTCTGCCTGTCGGTCATTAGGCTTATTCCGCGCAAGCGGCTCGGACGATGGCAGCATTCCCCACGATTGGCTCGGCGATGATCCTTGCTCGCATCCATGGCAAGGAACGTTATCAGCAACGAATCAGGACGAGGGTCTGTTTCTATTGTGGTCTGTTGCAGATGTCAAGCAGACAGACAGCGATGAACTTGTCGCTCAAACTGGGACTCATAAGCTAAGGGATTGTTTTACATCGCCTTGAATATTTGGGAGCACATGTAGTGTCACGCATGGTGTTGTTCCACAAATCCAATCAAGAATACCCAGTCGCTTGCTTCCAATGAGTTGAAAGACACCTTGGAAGCGCTTACTTCACTGCTTTATATGGACCTGGTTGACTGCTTCCTCGAGTCCGATATTAAAGCCATATGTTTGCTTCACCAACACAGCCATCGCCTTCGCTACATAAGTAAGATACCTAGGCAAACTTCCATTTCCAAACAGACAAAGCTTTATCTTGCTTCACCAGGTCCATTTTATTAAATTTCTATTTCTAGCACATCAACACTTGACCTGCAAGCTACCGCCTCATCAATGCCGTCCACCAGAGAGACAACTGCTGGTGAGCCGCAAAAAGGACCACCCCTTTCACTTTTCTCTCACAATCTTCCATCTCCTTCGGAGAGTACAATGCATCAAAGGTACTTCCGTCTACTCCTCGAATACACCCAGATGGATGTATCCTGCTTCTTCCCGACTTGATACCGGGACTCGAACAGCAACTGCCCGCCAGCTGCCCGACAGCTGCCCCTTCCTCGATGCCGTTGCCCAAGCACGTGCAGCCATAGGTAAACAAAGACGACAAGCAGCAGAAGATCCCTAAGCTCTCGAAATCTCTTCCTTCTCTAACTTCTTCTCTTTCTTCAGCATCTTCATCTATGCACCAGAGTTTCCAACGCCCGCATCTCAAACTTGGGACTGAGGAACTTGAGTCCCCACGCTTGCTTGCTCCTCACGAGAAGAGGCTCATCGAAGCATCTTTGCTGCTGTGCCCAGTTGCCTTGTTCTCAGCCTGTCTCTTCGATTCTCTCTCTCTCTCTCTCGCCCGCGATTCTCACTGAATTCTAGCAGCTTCACCGCCCACAGTCGTTCAGATCGCCAGCCACAGGTAGGCCGTCATCCAATCGTATCGCCATCATGTATGTCGATTATAGTGCAGCTCTGACGCATCCAGCCCTCAAGCAAAAGACATGGCGGACGCGGAGACTGACAGCCGTCGGCTCTCTCCGGTCTTCGACCGCACCGAGGATCACCCCCTTGACAAAATGGAAGGCCTCAACCCAGAGCGTGCGATGCGGTTGCTGCAGCCACGCTCTCCGGAGAGGTCCCCATCCCCCGTCATCACCATCGGGCCTCGAATCTCGGGCAGCAACGCCGTTGGCCTCGGCGCGGCTACCATTCGGCAGCCCGCTGGCGGCAAGCCACAGAGCTCTCCAGCCCGGGATGCGGGAGCTCAGTCGCTTGTGCATGCCCCCAGGCCTCTTCTACCCCAGAGCCTGCCACTGGTGGTTGCGGGGGTCAAGCGACCTCGTAGTCATCTGGACGAGCCAGAGCCGCCAGTATCGCGGCGATGGCGTTCGACTCCTCCAGTTTTACCACCGCGTGAGTCTGACGTCCGCTGGCCATGGCCAGTAGCCCCAAGTGATGCTGATCATTCGTCCAGAACCGCCTCCAAATCCTCACACAATCTACCTGGAAGGCCTTCTTACGCCACGCTCTCTCCTGCTGACTCTCAAGTCGGGGCGTGGTGATGGCAGCCAGTTGATCTCGACCCAGTATCGCTCGATTACCAATGTCGGACTACTTCTGGGAAACGCAATCCAAAACCGCCTTGACATCCCCGTCCTGCAGCTGCCACCTCCCAGCGAGGCACAGGGGAGTCTCGAGCGGGTGATTCAAGGAGAGCTCCTGGAAGCAATATGGTACGACCTCACGCCTGAAGCCAAGTATGGCTACGCGCGCCAACTGCGGCGCATCGTCAACAACATGCGGGGTGGCATGACTTCGATCCGCACTCCTGCCACTACCGTTGGCAAGACGAACCTGCTGGGGTCTGCCTTTTCTGGCCCCTATTGTCTGATATTGGATCAGCATGTGCAGAACACGTATTGGGCAGTCCGAGCCAGGCCAACCTGCCGCGAATATGTTGCTTTCCTGGCAACATCATTCGTCCCGTCGGTCCCGACACCGGTTGCCCACGCTCTGACGTGTCAGTTCCAATCAGACTACCGCATCCGCTTCACGCACGGAGAGCTGAGCCCGGGCAACATTGTAGTCCACAATAGCAAGATTGTGTGCATACTCGGCTGGGATAACGGCGGCTGGTATCCGGAGTGGTGGGAGTACGCCAAGTTTTTTGAGGCCCGCACTTCCCCTGAGAACCAGGATTGGTACGATTTTGCCGACGAGATCTTCATGGATGCCTATCCCAACGAGCTTGTGGCATATCAGGGCATTGCTAGGTGCCAGCGACAGTGAGGGGGGGGCGTGGAGAGGAGGCATGGAATCACTTCTTGGCTCTCTTTGCGCCTGCATTTTGGGGAATGCTTGTATATTTCTGACCAAGCCATGGATGCTATGGACAGTCATCTATCGGCCGCATGTGAATTTGAAGGATGGTTTGCCGCTCGTTCGTCGGGGATTGGCATGTGACGTGCTGGAGGACTTGGGAATATGCAATCAGCGCTAGCTTTCTTGTATCTGTTACTCAGAAGGGCGTTAGTCGCCTTGCAAACCATAATGGCAACGAGCAGCTACATGAATACATCAGCAATAACATTTGCGAGGCTGGTAATGGAATGGGTCCGTCTTCATCGTATGTTGCCTTGCGGATACTCACTGGCTATAATGAAGCAAGGATCGCAAGCTGTAGGTTTCTTGAACACGCTTCGGTTAATTTATCCTATGTACTACTTATGGATACATGTAGAAACAGGCAACAGCAAGGATCGTGCCAGAAACTTGAGATAGATTTTAACATGTTAATTCTCTTTGCGCGCAAAACGTCTCTATTTGCCGAAGCGCTTGGCGACGGTGCCCCAGTTGATGACGTCCCAGATGGCGCTGAAGTACTCGGCCTTGCGGTTCTGGTACTGGAGGTAGTAGGCGTGCTCCCAGGCGTCGATGCCGAGGAGGGGCTCGTAGTTGCCGGTGACGGGGTCCTGGTTGGCGCGGGTGACGATGGTGAGGTTGCCCGAGGACTTGTCCTTGACGAGCCAGGCCCAGCCGGAGCCCTGGATGCCGGCGAGGGCGGCGTTGGTCTGCTTCTTGAGGTTTTCAAAGGAGCCAAAGTCTTGCTTGATGGCGGTCTGTTGCTCACACCAAAACCGAGAGGGAGAGAGCGTCAGTTACCGTTCTTTTCTTTTTGAGGCGATGGGAGAGGGAGAGAGAGAGAGTTGAAAGGGTGTATTTGATCAAGTGTGACGATGGAAAAAAAAAAACATACCAGGAGCTGGCCCTCGGGCTCACCACCACCGCCCTTGCCGTTGGGCGCGAGGTTCTCCCAGAAGAGAGAGTGGTTGACGTGGCCGCCGCCGTGGAAGTTGAGCAGCGGGGCCTGAGCGGCGGCGGCCTTGGCATCGCCCTTTGCCTGGGCCTCGGCGAGGGCCTCGGCGGCGGCGTTGAAGCCGTTGACGTACGTCTGGTGGTGCTTTGAGTGGTGGAGCTCCATGATCTTGCCCGAGATGTAGGGCTCGAGGGCGCCGTAGTCGTCTGTTATGATTGGCCTCTTATGTCAGCCGGTTCATGTTTCATTGGGGGGAGTGGTTGAGCAAGTCGAGATTTGGTTTGTTGCAGCTTACACGGCAGGTCGGGGAGGGTTGCTTTGCCGCGGACAAAGCTCGTCGAGGCCATTGCGGCGAGGGGCTTGGCGGCGGCACGGGCGCGGAGGCCGGCGCGCAGGACGGGAGTCGTGCGGAGGAGGGACGAGGCCATGCTGGGCGGTCTTCTGTGTGTGTGTGTGTGTGTGTGTGTGTTCGTTTGTAGTGTCGCTGGTGGTGTTGATTTGTTTGGAGGTCTGAAGCTATGCGCAAGATGAGAAGGTCAGGTAAGGTCAGCGGATATTCGTTTGTTGGATGCGCGCAAATTGGCTGCGGCGGGGTGAAGGAGCTCGTCGAACCCGAGGGGGGAAAGTGATGAGAATGGGAAACAAACGGGGAGAGGAATCAGCGCTGAGGGAAGAAGTTTGAGGATGGACGTATTATAAGGCGATGGAATGTCAAGGAAAGGGAATTGCGAAAGGCTCAAGAGCGCTTACCAATTGGCTGCTGCTAGTATGCTCGTAACGTCGAGGCAGACGAGGTTATTCCGGAGTTGAGTGTCTCTGGGGGAGCAAGCGGGAATGATGTCAAAAAAGCTGCAGCTCTTTATCGGGTCGGGGCCAAAAAAGCAATGGATGGAGCTTCGCGCGTTCGGATTGCCGAGCTTCGGCTTCGTTCGTTCGTTCAGTGGCCCCCCGGAAGGACGGAGCTGAGCGCATCGTTTCGTCACTTTGGTGGGGGTGGACGTGCTGCTCTTGTCGCCGATTTGATAGGCTAGAAGGTACAGCTGCTGCTGGGGGTACTTCTAGCGGGGGAAGCATGGCGCGGGGTGGGAAGGGTACTGGTGCGGCTTGGGGTACTTTGCGCAGTATCGTTGACGAGACGGGGAGTTACTTGGGTACCTTCACTGAAGCTGGATCGCGAATGTTCTTCGATGATGGTGTCTTCGTTATATGGGGAGAAGATGGTCGAAGGCAGTGCTGTCAGAAGGCCGCATGTTGTGGAAGTCTGGAGAAGTGCAGCTGCAGTTCCCGAGGTCAGCCATCGGAGCTCTCACGAGTCATGCAGCTTGCAAATCGTCTGGTCACTTAGGAGCTCCCGACAGCTACAATCACCACCACCCTACAACTGCGATACTTCTTACCAGACGGCATCTTCTCTGAATACCTTGCTCAATCACGACTAATTGCACCATAGATCTACACAAGTAAATGCATATGGTTCCAACATGTTGAAGAACAGCAGAACCAATATTGGATGATGTCACCAATGGAAATCAAAGGCAAATGACCTAAGGGACGGAAGAACAACACGACATGAACAAACGGACAGATAGCCAAAAGCGCAGCTTCAGCGGCAGCATACATGGAAGAGCCTTTGTCTAATTACCTCTCCCGCTTGCTCGGGGTCGACGATTCACTCCGACTCTAGAGTTGGAGCATGAACCGCGGCCATAACGCAGATTCCCCCCTTTGGCGTGCCAGCTTACAATGTATCACATGGCCATATAAACGCACATTTGTCGCAATTGATCTTTGACATACACTATATACATGGCATTTTCTGCCGTCTATATGCTTCAACAGGCCATAACAGATTCGCTTTGGGTGCCGCCCGTCCGTGTGCGCCAAGGTCATGTGAAGCCTCGTATCAATCAAGCGACCTCGGGCGGTGTCGTAAATACGTCGGCAGGGCAGCAGTCGTCGGAGCGTACGCTGACAACGTCTTCAAGCTTTGTCGAGCCCGATATGCACAGAAATTTCACATCCTGCTTCAAGCAAAAGTCATACGAAGGGTGTCTTTCAGACAAAGAGCCGAGGGAGTGACGCGGTCATTCGTATGTGACCATTTGAAATGGCTTCAAATATAATTGGTATGGTGCAATCCCTGCACAGTTGCGCCGTGATGGCAAAGGGTTTCAGTGGGCGTCGCCAGGGACTATTTCGCTATTTGGAAAGAATATAAAGGTAACGAGCGAAGCATCCAGTATCGCAGGAGCGAGCATCCAGCATGGTAGTCTTTCATACCATCACTACAAGGAACGGCAATATACACAAAACGAGAGCCGCGCTGCCACTTCGAAGCGATACAGCCCCCGAGGAGCCAGTGGTCTGGGTGGGCTGCGCTGCGCCTGAAGTCTCTTGGCCATCCAGGCCCATGGTTGGCTGTGCCGATGACGGTGCTCCAAAGGTGGCGGTGCCGGTGCTGGCTGCAGTAGCAGAGGCAACGGCGGTGTCCGTGCTTGTCGCCGTGACGAAACTCTGGCTGCCGACATCGCTGGATGAACGTTTGGCGAATCCTAGATCGAGTCAGTAACGCCGAGGCGTAATGGGAGTTCTTGCTGGATTCAAGCAACTTACCAATCCGCATCTGCTCTTTATCAAAGACGGCATATACATTCTTCAGAAACGTATCGCCAAAGAGCCAAGATCCAGAAACGACTTCGTAGCCGTAGACATTGCTCGTGCACTTTCCGCTGCTGTCCTTGGGGGAGATCCAGTCCTTGGGAGAAATGGCAAAGTCGACGCCGGAAAAGGTGACGACCAAGGGCGTCGTGGTATCGCAGGGAACCGTCCAGGTGATGCCGTCTGAGCTCTTTGCGCCGTCGATAACGGCATGCAGGGCCTTGACATTCTTGGACGGGCCAAACATGTACGAGGTGCCGGTGTCGATGTAGGCATTGATGCCACCCACGTTTCCCTTCTTGCCGTTATACGACATGTCGTCCAGGGGAATGGACCAATCGGTGCCGCTGGGGATGGGGGTGTAGGTGATGTCGCCAGTGTACCGCGAAGGGTTCGTGGCGCCAAACGTGACCTCGCCATCGTTGTGGCCGTCAGATGCTCGCGCCAGGGCGACGGAAAAGATGCTCTTGTCGAGCAGGCCGGCGCCTTCCAGCGCCGACAGGAAATTCTCGTTGGCGCCGCTGTTCATCGACATGCCGAGGATGCCGTCAAAGGCAAAGTGCACAAAGTCCGAAGAGGTGTTGTGAGCCAGCCCAAACTGATATGTCAGGCTCATGCCCGCCACCTCGATGGTATCGTTGACCAGAGAGCCGCTGACGGCCCCAGATCCATACGCAATGGAGAAGTCTTTTGTGCTAGTCTTCAGAGTGTCCGAGTCCTCGGGCCCGAAGGAGTCGTGCAGGGAGCACGCCTCGGACACGCAGTCGGTGCCCATGACCCAGCTCGAGCCGGCTCCCGTATCAAGCAACATGTACAGCTTGGTCTTCTTAGATCCAAGCGATGCCTGTACAAAGTACGAGTAGTCGGTGCCGTCCTGGGCGAGGCCGGCGGTGTTGGGCGCATCGGGGTCGACGGCCTTTAGGATGGAGAACTGATTGTCCCTTTTTGAGAGAGTGGTGTCAGGGCTGGGACTCGGGGTGACTGATTCGCTGTACTTGTGTGACAGAAGGGCCGCTTGCCAGGCAGCCTTTTCTTCTTGGGATGCCGGAGCCTGGAACCATGGTCAGCATACAAGTCAGGTATAGGCCGTGGGGTGTAAGTCAAGGGCTAGACTCACTCGTCGGGATGCTCTCCGCTTGATGTCAAACGTAAGACCATTGTCCGCACTCCTCTTTGCCTCTCCAGCATTGTGTTCTTCAAGCTCCTTCAGCCACGGCGGCGTATACGGATAGAAAGCAAGGGCACCCGAGGCATATAAAGCCAGGGGCGCTAGCAGGACGGAATTTGGGCGCATGTTGAAACAAGACGAGCAGAAACAGCAAGTACAAAATGAAGAGATGCCACAGCCAAATGGACCCAGATGTCAAGGTATTAGGTGATTAGAGATTACGCATATAAAGAATGCCAGACTACTGGAGGGGAGCAAAGACGACTTCGGAGAGATTGACGAGATTGAGGATGGCAATTCGAGCAGATGCAGATCGATATTCGACAGGAGGAGCAGGAACCGGACTTCAAGCAACAATGACGAGATGCGGAGAATGATTCGAGTCGGATCCTCGGGTTCGTATCGCGGTCAGATATGACGAGGAAAATCGGATTAGGAAGCCGAGAGCTTATGCAAATGCCGAAACAAGCAAAACAGACAACGAGACGCGCTAATATTAACGATGGACGATGATCGAGTGCAGGCCGGCTAATGCAATGCAAAGCAAGCAAGACAACGAGGAAAGGAAACGCAATTAGAGATTAAAGAAAAACGGCGAGTATATGGTAAAAAGGAAAGGAGGGGGAGAGGGAAGGAGGGGGGGGAAGGAGGGTAAAGAAAGAGAGGAAGAGAGAGGAGGAAATAGAAAAGGACTTTGGCGATGCGGCAGAGGAGGGAAGAAGAAGAGAGGAGAGAAGCGAAGAGGGGAGGCGATGCGAGCGAGATATGAGCGATAGCAGCGATAGTGGAGATTTGCACGAGGCCCTTATCGAGCGAGGCGCAACGCAGCAGGTGCAGAGGGCCACGGACGCTAGCAACGTGCCTGCCCTGAGTATTGAGGCTAGAGCAGTACAGTACAGTACAGTACCTGAGATTTGCAGTGCTTTAAGGTAGGTTGTGGAGAGGCTGAAGTGCGTTCAAAAGGAGGCCCGGAGAGCGAGGGATGCAAGCGAGATGTCCAAGATTAATGAAACCCCCGGGGGGCTTGGCCGGGTACAAGTACTTGCGCTACCTGAGCGGACGAGCCCGTTCAGCAGGCCTTGGAAGGGCCTTGGAAGGGTGCTGGGGGCACGATAGCGCGGGGAAGAGGCGCCAGCAGGGGGGTGGCACGGGTACCGGTACATCAGACCAAAGATGCACGTTGGCTGCAGATGGCTTCTCTGTTTCAACGCTTCGTGGTTGCTTCTGCCTTGATTTTCGTCGTGGTTTCTGCTTCTTCCATCTGATGATGAGCTTGACACGGCATCACCTGCTCAGCTCCTCCAAGCCCTGTCTCGAATCGGCCGCAATTGCCATCATCAGCTATTGGACACTTCCAAGTCTGATGTTGCTGCTGTTCTGCGTCTCCTCGTACCGGCATGTCAGCCATCTTCCAACATCTCCAACCCTCTGTTCCAGCATCATGCATCCAAGTCTGCCGACGTTGCATCCATGGGGAGGGTCATGCCTCACGTCCCATGCAAGGTAACCCGACTTTGCCTGAGGTCACCAACACATACCGGCGCCCTCCTCAGCAGACCGAGTACCGGTACGGCAGACGTGAGTGATATTCAAGCCTGGTCCAGGTGCAACTGAATCAGGGAACCGTTGATCCCAGGCCGTCGTCGTGTAGCGGCACTGCTAGGGGCTGCAAGAGGCCCTCTGATGCACGCTGCACCCCATACTGTTGCCCGTATCAACGCACCAGATTAATTGCACGCACATCAGTCAATCTCCAGCATGGGCCAGAGTGGCTCTCGGTCTGCTGCACAGCAGACTCGCAGCAGGCACTAAAGCACGACCCTCGACCTCGCTCAATCTCATCTGCATGCCAACCAACCGCTTGGGGCCAAGTCTGCATCGCTACAAGACCACTGCGAAACAAAACAAGCACCAAAAGAGAAGAGAAGCGAGCAGAAGCAGAAACTCGCCGTCCGAGACAGGCAACGAGCAAGGATCAAGCACAGAAGCAAGACGCAGCTTGCTGGCAGCCCAATCCTGGCTAGCAGATGCTTGGTGTCAACGTCTAGAACGGTTGCGACAGCTTCAAGCCGCCAGTTGAGGGTTCTTGCCTCTTGCAGTGACGTCGAGCGCAGCGATGTTGTCTTCGAATTGCTTCTGCGGCGCTGCGACAAATGACGACCTGTCTTCAATGGAAGCAGCCACCATCATCACCAGCGTCGTCGATTGGCGTGGCGGCTGTTCCGCCGTCATCGAGCTGCACCAACGTGCAGCTGAAGGATGGCATGCTGCGCAATTGCGGCACGCACAGGTGAGTAGGTCTACAGTACAGGCATTGAGGCGAAATCAGACATTGCACGCAGCATGAATCATCTGATTCATGGGTACATAGATGTCTCGTTTCGTTTCCATCCTGACCCCTTCCAAAGCCAACCGCCTCTGCCGCTCGCCTCCCGCCAGCCTCGTCCAGCTTCAAGACTCGCCCATCACCATCAACCACCACGACCACGACCACCATCACGACGATCAAATTGGTGCATAGCCGAGCGGGCCGCTAGAGACCACGCCGGCAGCCGCTAATAGACGAGCGCCAGGCCCCTCGATCCTGGTCGGTTCCAAGCCACATGCGCTCTGGCCCCCAAGACCACTCACTCACTGCCCTGCTCATTCCCGGCGCGCGGGAAATCCCATCATCGGTTTTACTTCTATGCGTGTTCCAGCGCGTGCATGTGGCAGCTGGAGGTGCTCATGTATGAATGAGGCAACAGAAGCAAGGAGGCGAATCAAATCTCGCGATCCCGATGGCCCGATCATCCAAGACAGACAGACAGACACCTTCTCGAGGCTTACCAATCGTGGCAGTACACGTCGACTTGATGATTCGCGTGTTGGTTGAAAAGCAACCTGAATCGTTCCCCATGGAGCGATATTATGACGAGTAATTCTGAAGTCTCCGGCTTCACGTTACAGCTTCATCACTAACAGGCCTGCGGTCCTTCCGTAGCTTCTCTGTAGGGGCAAGCCTCTGCAGATCTCGGAGCCAAGAGGGCGAGCCTCATGTCCAAAGGGCCGATCACCAAGACCAAAGCCGCGTCCGCACGCTACGGGGTTTAGGACGCTCCAGAACTCGCAGAAGAGCTCATTCATATCATTTCGATGCCGCGACTAACATGTTTATTACCGGTACTAACCTAGAATCTATTTCACCAGGATCCAGCGATACTTGTATTACCAGGTTTGTTGATTCTTTGGAGGTTGTCTTGTTGATACGTACCTTGGCTCTGCAAGACGCGTGTAATCTCGTTTATGGCCAACCTCGTCTCCATGCTTGCTCATCTCCGTAAATTTGGCAAAAATAGCAGCAGCAACTTAATCTCTATCTGAAAGCCTGCGGTGCATCTCGCTTCCCTCTCGCCAAATTCATGCAGCTTCAAATACCGTTCACGACATGCATGAGTTCCCCCTCGTACGTCAGTGACTTGGTTACTACTATGCGACTACTGCCACCACCTCCTTGATACACATCCAAATCGTATACCTACCTCTCTTGCTCTCGTCAAGCTGGCCTCTCTTTACGTAACCGAATTGAACAGGGAGTTCTCACATTTTGCCAAGTTTTCTCCTCAATCCATCATTCATTCTCGGCACTTGACGGCTTTCATGCACACAAGTCTCCCCGGGAGCTCGGGAATGCGGCCGACGCTGCTCCCAATCTTCCGACATACCTGCATCCAAAATCGTCCTGCACACGACTGTAGGTCGCTAACCTCAGTGGGTTTTGAGTCGTCAACAAGAGCTGGGGGGGAAGTGACTGGTCAACAGTGACTGAGAATGTTAACCTCCTGCATTCACGCCGGTGCCGCCCTGTACGGTCCGACCTTGCCTTGCATTCAGCCGCGCCATTCGCCCTCCCCTGAGCGATGGTCCGAGACTATCGTGCATACCAACCTGCCTGCCTGCCTAGGAGGTAAGGAAGACTGCGTTGAGTGTGCTGGCTCTAAGTTGCGGAACAATTGCACTTTTCGTCTCTGTCTCCTCTGTTGTTCCTAGGGACGTACTCTTCATCTTTCCCCTCTCAACTAGGTAGAATACTCCTCAATCCAGCTCGAAGCCTGCCTCAGTACCCTCTCCCCGTCCGACCTCGCCTCCACGCCCTTCAGCAGCGCCAGCCTCGCAGCCTCAACCCCTTCACGCGCATCCCTGCCGCACCACGGCCTCGCAACAATGTTTCTCAGAAAGTACCAGACGGCCTCATTCCGCCAGTGAAACGACACCGCCCGCCTCGTCGCCTCGCCCACCACCGTCCCAGCATACTCCGGGTGCCGGTCCAGGAAGAACATGAGGAACGCCCAGCCGGAGACGTCGTCGTGGTGCGCGAGAGCCCATTTCTGCGCGGCTTCGAGGATCCCTGCGAGTTGCTGTTGCTGCTGCTCTTGGAAGGGCGTGGTTTCGGCGACGGCTTGGGTGAGGTAGCGCGCGTGAAGCCAGGCGTAGTAGTTTCGTGGGTGGCGCTCGGCGGCGATGAGGATGACGCTTTTCATGGTGTTTGTGGGATCAATGGCGAGGTCGCGATGTTGGAATTGCTGCATGAGCCATTGGCGGTGACTCCATAAGGTGGGTGACTTTGTATGGCGATGAAGACGACTTGTCAGAAGGCTGTCTATAAAGTACAGCTCATCTTGTAGTTTCGACCCAATGTCTGTCCCGGACTTGATGGCATCCCGGAGCAGCCTCTTTCTCGTGTTGGCAGCGGTGAGATGCTCCGGGTCCATGAGCAGAATAACGGCCGTTGCTCTTGTGACAAGTCCATCTCCATTGCCCCCATCCAGCACTCCTCCCACGTACTTCTTCAGTAGCCCGCGGGCATACAGGAAAGCCTGCACCAGTCGTAACTTGGGCACCGCTATCGCTGGTCCATCCTGCAAGATAACCGTGTGCTCATCCACCATGTGGCTTCGTCCCAGGAATTCAACCTCCAGCAGCTCCGGTAGTCGCTGCGTCAGCGCATCCGCGACTCTGTGAAACACCTGCTCATGGTCGCCGTGCTTTAACGCCCTCTTGACATCATCGTCCAGCGCTCTCGACATTTCATTTCTGTTCCTCCAGGGTTGACGTTGATGTTCGCCGGTGTTTGATCGCTTTCAAGGTTAGTGCAGGGTAAGTGCATGGTGGAGCGGGCTGAGCTGGCAACACGCGCCGGCGACAGCCCACATGCAATGTTCCGGGGTTATGACATACGTCGTCTGTCCAGCTGGCCAGACAAAGCTGACTTGACAGGACAGGACAAGACAGTCATTCTGTCCAATCGTGGACTTTTGCATCAGATCCAGCTTCCCCCTTTTCGCTGTGGTGACTGAGAGACGAACGAGAGAGGAAGAAGAAGAAGAACACGACAAGCTCGAGCACAGCATCATCGCCATCGTCTTCATTTCTGCAGAGCTGTGCCCCTCGCCGCCAAAATGCCGTCCCTCATGCTCATCGTGTTCCTCGTCGAGGCCACTGTGAGCTTCATCAACGCGGTCGGCGCAGCAAAGATCAACGACATGGTACGTCGGCATCATCTACCAGCTGCAGGCTCTCTTGGGTCTCTTCGTTGCTAACAGCTGCCGCGCAGCTTTGGACCCTCATCAACTTCCTCCCCGTGCCGACCTCCAAGGCCGCCGCCGAGCAGCGGAAGCTCCAAGCCGAATACCTCGCCGTGCGAAGGGAGATGAACGCCACAAGCAGCCAGGACGAGTTTGCAAAGTGGGCTAAGCTGAGGCGCAAGCACGACAAGCTTCTCGAGCAGCTTGAGACAACCAGTACGTACACCTCCTTGCCCTCACCCCCCCCCCGAGACATTCACATTGCCCCTACATCTATCTGCCCTGCCCTGGCATCTACGATTGTGGCCGCTGACCCGTGTCCCCGTGCTTGTGTGTGTACAGAAAAGAGCCTCGAGACGGCCCGCTCCCGATTCGACAGCACCCTGACGGCCTTGCGCCTCCTCATTACCCGCGCGCCGCAGTACATTATTCCTTTCTGGTACGCTACAGAGCCCATGTTCTGGCTGCCATATGGCTGGTTTCCCTACTACGCCGAGTGGATCATCTCGTTCCCGCGTGCGCCGCTGGGTAGCGTCAGCATTGCATCGTGGCAGCTCGCGTGCACCGGCATTGTCACGCTGCTGAGGGACCTCTTGACCTTTGTCTTCAAGCTGCTTTTGGGCGCGAAGCAGCCGGAAGCGCCAGTCCCGGCTCCGGGGGCTGAGAAGAGCAAGGATACGAGTACTACTACGGAGGAGAAGAAGACTTCATAGACGGCGCTTCGATAGCTTGATAATAGACGAACCCTATCCCTCCCCACTTGTGGTTTTGGCAGGGCCGGAAAAAGGTTGGGAAGAAAATGAAGAATCCCAAGTGAACTTTCGGAAAGGATGTATCTCGTTGAATTTTGACGCAAAGTTCTTCATCGCAAACGCTGAGACTTTGTAACACGACAGAGATGACCTCTTGCAAGGATTTCTATAGGCATCATATTGACTCTGGCGACCATGGAGAGAAAGATCGCTAAAGCTTCGAATGTGCCATGGCAAGACATCACGGGTTGCACGAGGCACGAGATCGGTCAGTCGGGACGCAAGTCATAAAGTGTCTCATTGAGGGTATGTAAAGCTGCTAGCAGTACTGATAGTCGGCGATCAGATGCGCGCGGTCGCAAGAATGTCGACAACTCTGGAGAAGACAAGAGAAAAAGAATGGGAAGATGTAGAAACGAAGAAAGGCGCTGTGAAAAAAAATCTGATTAAAGATATAGAATTCGCTGATTTCGGAACTAGCTAAACCCGCTCCGGTCTCCACCCCTTACCCAAGCCCGAGATGCTCCTCCGTCCTTATTAGCTGCTTAGTCCAACTCCAACCGACGACTGACGCCAAATGGGGGGATTCCGTCCACCCAAATCCAGGAACCAGGCACATAATCGGCACCCGTTGCCCGTATAGCCTGGCCTTTATCCTCGCCATAGAGCTCCCTGATGCTTCCGTCCATGCGGCAGGCGGTTCTTGTGCTGAACACCCTGCTCAAGTGCGAGCGCCAGTAGGGATCATATGTCGTTCCCTCTGGGCCAAAGTCCTTCCAGGCGCGCACCGTGACTCGCTCCGGCGTGGCCTTGACGGAGAAGTCGGTGCCGCAGAACTCGCACCGGCCACAAAACTCCCTGCCCGGCGACTGGAAGGCTGCCCTGACGGTGATCAGGAGGGCGTACAGCGGGTGGAGGTCGTTGTGGGAGTCGGACAGCTGCCCTCGCCAGTTGAGGACATCGCTGGCTTGGATGATTTGATGACCGCAGAGAGCGACGGTGCCAAGGTACTCCCTGCAGACCTTGTCGTAGCCCTCGCGGAAGTCAAAGGTCGTCTTGACGAGGAATCTGCCGTCGACGACTTTGGGATGTGCCGAAAAGTCGGCGTCGACGAGGTGCTTGCGGGTGTAGCGCGAGCGAATCCGCTTTTGGTACGGCTGGAGGAGTTTCTGGAGGTATGTCGTGTCCAGAGCCTCGGTGGCGGCGAGACGCGTGTGCTTCAACGCCAGCTGAACATGTCTATGGTTCAGCTTGAAGCCATAGATGGAGTGGAGGTTGAGGTCTTGTCGCTGACCATAACCGGGGAAGAAGCAGGGGAGGTAGCCCTCAGACAGGGGCTTGGCGGGCGTGTCGTGCATGTAGGCCCAGTGCAGCTCCGTGCACTCCTCGCAGACCCATTGGCAGGGGCTTCCGCGGGATAAGTGGAGGAGGAACTCAGTTCGTTCTTCCATGGAGAGGTTCACCGGGAGATGGTCGTCTCCTGAGAGCACGCTGTCGCAGAGAATGTTTCGCAGTGCGCGGCAGGTCTGCGAGGCCAGGATCTGGTCGGGCCGAGGAACCTGGGCAGCGATGGCAATTACCAGCTCCACTGGCAGATCGAGGAGGCGCGAGGTGAGGTCTCGCTGAGCACTGGGCTCACCGTTGCCAAGCTGGAGTCGCAGAGTGAGAGACATGGCGACTGATGGTGGTAAGTCTTGAATATTGACTTTGTTGGTATGTGCTCGTCTGAGCTTGAAGTGTCCGAAAGTGAGTTGAGAGTATGAGGATTACTCGAAAGCAGGTATGAAAGACTTGGATGTAAGAAATCCTTTGAAGCACGGAAGAGTAAGAATGTGTGCGAGTCCGAGTATCTCTGCGAGTATGTATACGAGTATGCCTGCGAGAGAAGTTGCCGGTCAGTTGAGTTGGGGCACAGCTTGCTTTATATATGAGTCCGAGTCCAGGCTTGTCCTTTGTTGTCTCGAGTTCAAGTGTCCAGGTCGACAGCCTTGAACCTTGAAGCAAGAGACTATGAAAAGCTAGTTTATGAGGCGTCAGCTGTGGACTTCTGGAGGGAAAATATATCTTGCCCAACAGTTCTCCAAAGGGTAGTGGGAGTTTTATGTTGGGCGTGGCGCACTGCTGTCTGTCTCATCCAGGCTTAGAGGACGAGGAGGAAGTTGGCATGGCTTCCTGCCCATGGTGGTGATGTGGTATTGGGGTTGCCATCAACATGAAGATGGATTCCTCATAAGTAGCATCGTGACCACACGATACGATCCGCTTTACGAAGTACTTTAGGATGAACATCGTTCATGGGCTACTGAAGGGAGCGAAAAGGGACATCTGCATGGAGACCTGCCTACGAGGCTGAAGACCATATAACCTTTGAGGCAAGAATTAGGTTTGAGATACGGTGACTTTAGTTCCGTTGGACTCTTCGGGGTTAGAACCAGTCCGGCTTGGAGAAAGTTGATGGATCTGGTATGAGTTGCTAGGGAGAGGCCGTTACTTTGCTGTGGCGCATTGTCAGGCGAATAGATGTGTACGCCATTTATTTGCATCTGGGAGACACTCGCAGCGTTGGCGTGGTGACAGCTTGAAGCCATACAGATGCAGAGGGGAAAGATGATTGAGGCTGTAGTTGTGTATGGTATAGCGGCCATGGATGCTGTCCTGCTATCTCTACATCCTGAAGTTTATGAAATGGGCTTGAATATGTTGAGACACAAACATTTGAGTCAGTGAACAAGGCACTCAGTCCATATGACACCCGAAGCTACGTAGCTGATACACAATTACTCTGTCTTCCGAACAACGGAGGCTAACTTGAAGCAATGGAGCAATCGCATCGTGCGAGAGGAGAAAGAAGATCACATAGGGCACATGTCATTGTCTGCCCCCATGTATCTGCCTATCATGGCATACAATGAGTAAACAGTTGAATGGGTAGCTTTGAAGTCAGCTCATACAGAAGCGGATCACTACAGCTCCAAGAGTACAGCCTTGAGCCATCTTGTCCCCCGAGAAACACCAAAAGCCCAGCCCTACCTCATCGATGCTTTACAAAAACCACAACACACACTCCAGCCCGCTCACAGCTTTGCCTCTCTCCAACCCACAGAAGGCATCACAATATCCTTCTTGTTCATCTCGCTCTTCTTGGGCCTCCACATCAAGTAGATTGACTCAGACAGGAAGTCGTCCATCAGAGCCTTGGTCTCCTCGCTCGGGTTCTCAATCTTCATGGGAAAGTTGATGACGTTAAGGACCAAGAAGCCCATCCTCTCGAGGAGCCCTTTGCTCAGCAGGACGCATTCCGCGTACCCTTCGACGTCGTGCTTGTTGAGAAGTTCTTCGAATTTGCTCAACAGGAGGGGGGCGGCGCGGAGGCCGCGGTATTCAGGGAGTATCCACATGGCTTGGCCGTCTTGAGGGCATTTGCAGATACATCGTTAGAATGAGATTCTTCACCAAAAGAGATGGAAAATTGAATCGTTGTTGCTGCCAGAAAGAGAACTTACACATGTGCTCTCGCTTCTGCATTGCTCGACGATGCCACTCATCAACCTGCCCATACAGTTGCTCCGACATCATCCGCCGCTGCGACCCGGGCTCGAACCCGTGATGCGGCGCATCAGGCATGTTCCTGGGCTTCTCTTCGTGCTTCCAATGCGTCATGCACAGCCCGCCCACAATCGACTCGTCGGGCGTCTTGGACGTGTCGACCAGCTTGAACCATGTCTGCCCGGGACTCGTCCGCGCGGCGGCCAGGTACTGGGCCTTTTTGAGCTCGAATGCGGCTGCTTCCTTGGGGCCGCCTTCGCCGATGTGAGGGAATGTGACGACCATGGGGGGTTGGCGGGGGATGCTCCATGATTTCCAGAAGCCGGCGAAGAGGGGGTTCCAGTCTTTTGAGAAGTTGACGGGGAGGACCTTGAGGTTTCTGAGGGCGGGCATGTTGAGGATCGTTGATGGAGATCTGAATGCATGGGACCATCGATCTAGGCTTGCGAAACTTACAGGACGGCTAGCAAAAGCGATATCCGATGTTTGAAGCTTTCCGAGTGGTGGAACCAAGAGGTTTTTTGATGGACATTTGATTCTAGGATATGGAGCCATTGAAGCGAGCAGACGACCATCAATTTATCTGTCTAAGACTTGACGTTACTCTGAGCATGAGCCTCCACCGGGTCTTACACGCCGTTACCACAACGGGATCGGCATGCAACCACGGCATCAGCACCTTGCCGGATCCACGCTGGAGGGTGATGTCAGTGGATGTCTAGTACCCGAGGAGTCAACAAGGGAGTAGGTTGATTGAACTGAGCTGTTGCACCCTGATGTCAGGTAAGATGAGTATCTACGTCAGCCGCCAATAATGACATTGTGCAGCTGTGCCTGTCAGGGACCATATTGAACGGGGTGGAGAAAGGCCGCTCCCGCGAGCCGTTTCTCAGTTGCTTCTCTCCCTAGGCGGCTCGGACATCCGTGATAGAGAGCCAGGGCGATGATGACATGAGTAATAAGCCGCATCTGTTGTTCGGAGTTGCACGAACTCGGCGACGGAAGGGATGTAGACAAATTATCGTCCGGGCTGGCTTGATCTCTCTTGTATCTGATTGGTCTATTAATGGATGGAACTCGGGTGAGATGGGCAGAATTGACAACAACTGGCCAGCATGGCAGTACGGGTTCCACGGAAGCCGAAGTCATCAATTGGATCAAAGATATGCCTTATGTTAACCCCTGCTATAAGCTACATACATGCGTCCCAATAAACGCAATCCACGTCACAATTAGAGATCTCGGACACGGCAGATAAAGCTTTGCATATGCCTTTATTGCAGTCACTGCACGGACCTTTTACGTCCAGAGGCAGAGTTTGAGGAATATGTCCTACAGAGATATCACAACTATCTATGAAGGTACGAGTGACCCAAGCGCATATCAAGAAATTTGCACTTGAAGTGCTGCATGTTGATGACCTACAGGTTTACTAGTCACCTGAAGGGGAGACAGGAGGCAGGATTGCGTACGTCAAAGCAGATAAGCGTGACATAGCTGTGATGAGTGTAAGTCTGTAAATTTGTTTCACAAGGAATGATTGAGTAGCAACCTACCTACTGTCTGATATAGACTTTTGGCTGTCCGACTGCTCGGCAAGCTCCGTCAACGCACGCTCATACGCTTCTTGCGAAGTTGCAACACCGGACTTGTACACGCCATTATTGACGTTGTCGTAGTGCCACGAACGGACCTCGTCGACCTGTCTCTGTAATTACTCAGGATACAGAGAGACATTGTGGAGGCAAAGGAGGCGATGTCTTCTAGGCCTTTGAGCTTTCGAGGGCAAGCAAAGCTGACAAAGAGGTGACATCTGCCTTTCGCAGCCGGAAACTTGGATCAGAGCCACTTGAAGATTGTGTCGTGAACTACGGTAGCAGTGCGATAGAAGTTGCCAGATTTGCCAGAAAGCTCTTCCGATTACTCCCGTTGGGATGCTTTTGTCATATAAACATCAGAGATTGTTGTGGCCATGTTCAACTGTCCCCTGCTATGTGTGGGATGATAGGTGTACAGTTGCCAGCTTGGTTGATTCGAACCAAAGTGAATGGAACAATCGCGAGACGGCAGAAATGGTCTAACATTCTAAACCATAGTCTAGAGAACGTGAACAATCTCGCAGATAATCTGTGCTGCAGATGTAGTACTTATACACACTTATATATCAAAGCAGGACACTGACTCATGCCACGCGGTAATAGGCACATCGCCGGGCGCAAGTTCATCGTGCTCACTTAGGCAGTATACTCACTATCCAACCTGCGATGACCATTGGTGAATCAATGGACGGAACGACCTTGTGAGTGGACTTGGGTGAAGAGGGTGCAATAGGTAATACTGGACTGTGGAATGTGCTCCTGGGGGCGGGCCGCGAGGCTTTTGCTCATTCTGGCCGGGACGGACGTTGAATGTGACTTTTCTTATGGCCCTGCTTGACAGTACAAGCATCTATATAAGGTAATTTGTGGATAGATATGTATCTGGTGGCAGCTTGCTCTTCGACAGATACTCTCATTCCTCTCTAGCCGGGAATCTAATCATCCTACGTATGTAGTTAATAATGGAGTATCTGCGAATGGCCATAGCTCATGGTTGGCACAATGCTTCATTATCCTGTACCATTTTCGCGTGCTGTTCCTTTCTTGTAGTATCATTGCTATTTCATGCATATCCACAGCTTTAAAAAAGCAACATTTCAGATCGACTCCGTTAAAGTCTCAGCAAAATCATCTTGCGTTCTGAATCACGTTTGGTGTCTATGCATATAGAAAGATGACTATGCAGAACAGCTCTTCTGATATATTCATCTCGTCCCAAATTGGCCATTATAAGGAGATGCTCATGGAAACTTGTACTATCAAGTCCAGCTTCCGTAGCAAATTACTATTAGTCCAGTGGTAAGCTGTAGGCTTACCATGCTTCTAATTAAGCTCAACATTTCTTATAAGCTGTTTGGGGAACCCTAAATTGTTGATGAGAGACGCTAAGGACCTAGTATAGTGATGCAACTGTTTGAAGAATGCGTCGTCAGGCATGGCGTAGCTGATTTATCTAATATTCCTTTCAAGCTGTGTCCCGAGGCCGGATGCGCCGTCTGAGTCCTACATCCGTGATATATATCCGTGATCAAGTGCCCACATTCGCGGAATGATTACACGTTACACTTGAGGAGATAAAGTAAAAGAGACGATGACCATGTATTGTGTGTCCTACTTTGGCGATTTTGAGAATCGTAAACATTGCGACTGGATGACTCAACATTGCTCAGCGAACAGTGTTGAAGGATCGAGCTCAAATGCTCCAAGAACGCGTAGTGTTGCAGTGACAACGGAATCCCAGGGCAGCACATCATCCTGCAGTTACAATCAGGAAATCGCTACATTTCTCCACACCATCTCCCGGGAATAAACGAAAAAGGCCGTCGCTAATTGTTTAAACTGTAGATGCTCGATATGTTGTCACGGCCACTGACTATTTTTGCTGTCCCTCTCATCCGCTCTCTCTGAGCAGCCTTGACCCTATTCTCTGATTAGGGCAGAACAGGGTTCTCTAGTAGTTGCGGATATACATAAAGAGAATTCTGTGTAGATGATAGATCAATGCCGCATGGGGGTTTTCTACATTTCTTGGCATAGTCCTTAGAATGGTAGTTGGTGGATTTGGTGCTTCCAGATGGTGGTTGGATTTTCCCCACCGGGTGAACACGAAGATACGACGTTGAAAGTCCTTCCCGTTATGGTCTGGATCTGTTGCGATATTTATCAAGCTTGGATGGGATGTGCGTATTTTGCTGTTGGCTGGCTTATAAATCTGATATACCCGAGGAGCACATGTACGGCAGCGGTGCCTCTTTATGCTCCTCTCCGCGAACGGTGAAAACTACCCAAGTTCACGGCTTTTCAATCGAAGCAGTATTAGACTTATCGATGGCTACAGTCAACGAGCATTCAAGGTAGCGTGGGAGACTGTCTACTTGAATCTCCTACTTAGGGTATCTTTCCAGAAATTATACCTACTTCACCATCTCCAGCTCGAGCAAGCAGTTTCCACCTCCGGAATATCTTGGCAGCATGGACAAAGAGGACGAGACAGCGTCGGACTCAGTCGCGGAGGAAAATGTCCTTGTTGAATCGAAGCGAACGTTTCCTTCGGCTATGACATCTCCCGACGAAGCGCCTTCATCATCGCCTCCTCCTGCTACTCCGACTGCGGTGCCAGATGGCGGACTCAACGCTTGGCTCCAGATCCTTGGCGGATGGGTGGTGATGGCGGCGACTTGGGGCCTCATCAATGCCTTCGGCGCATTCCAGACGTACTACCAGACGGTGATGCTCACGTCGGAGTCGGCGTCGACCATTTCTTGGATCGGATCTCTGCAAGCATGTCTCTTGTTCCTTGGAGGATTCGTTGCAGGACCGCTGTTTGACGCCGGATACGTTACGTCGCCACTGATCGGAGGACTGCTTTTGATATGCTTCGGGATGTTCATGACGTCTCTATGTACAACGTACTGGCAGGTTCTGCTTGCGCAGGGAGTCTGCGTCGGCATCGGGATGGGCTTGACGTTTCTACCCTCCACGGCCATCCAGTCGCAATATTTCCTGAAGCGACGAGCGTTCGCCATGGGCGTTGCCGGAACGGGCTCTCCAGTTGGCGGCATCATCTTTCCAATCATCTTCAGCCATTTGCTTCCCAAGATTGGCTTTGGGTGGACGACTCGAGTCATTGCATTCATCATCTTGGGGCTTTGTGTCATACCGGTTGTGTTCATGCGCCCCCGTGTGTCGACCTCGGGTCGCATCCGCTCTCTAGTTGATAACTCGGCTTGGAGGGATCTGTCGTTTATGAGCTTCGTCGTCGGCAGCGTTTTGAACTTTCTCGTCCTTTACACCGCATTCTTCTATCTGCAAGTCTATGACGAGCTCAACCATCTGTCGAGCTTGGATTTTGCACCATACACGGTCACGTTGCTCAACTTTGGAAGCATATTTGGTCGGCTTTTGCCCATGTACCTCAGCGACAAGTACGGAGTGCTCAACGTCATGATCTTTTCCACCTTTGCCTCTGGAATCCTGGCCTTTGGCTGGATGGGCATCAAGAACCTAGGCGGCATCGTTGTATTTGCCATTCTCTATGGAATCACTTCCGGGGCAACAGTTACTGGGACGCCGGTTGTCATCATGACCCAGACCGCAGATATATCACGAGTCGGCACTCGCTTGGGAATGGCCTTTGTGTTTTTCGGAGTAGCAATTCTTGTCGGGACGCCTATCGCAGGGGCCATCTTTGGGGATTTTACACATACTCGCTGGCTGGGTGGTATTGGCTATTCGGCTGGTGGGCTCATATTGGGCACGGCCTTTATGTGTGTGGCCTGGTTCCCTTTGAGAGAGCGGAAAGGGACTTGGAAAATTTAGGATCGATAACACCTTACTGTATGATGGGCAATTGTATCGTTAACTTTTAATATTGACCTTTGCGCTAGCAAACTTCCGATATAGAGGACGAACTGATCAATGGACATGTTGATAGTCTGAGACATCGTTGTCATGAGCGAAGGCTATTAGAATTCTTTAGGCACAAAAGTCAAGGCAGGAGTATAACCTTGTCTGTCGTAATCACCAGCCTTGTGGGCTCAATCGAATCCTCGAATACAATCAGCTCTCGACGGTTGTCCGTGATCTTTCTACGTCTCCGTTGGCCTGCAGGTCCATGAACTTATGCTATCGGCCATCTTCAAATCCAGTCTCTCAATTATACGAGCAGATGTAAGGCCCGGACTGGTAGAGGGATACATGGAATGTCCGAAAGGGAATGCCAACACAGTCTCAGCTCGGTTATCAGATCGCACTAACAACCCGACGAATAATGAAACAAATCGAACATAAACCTTTGGTAGGAAGCAGAGCAAATCTGGAGCCGATCCTTAGCGGCAACATATTAGGCTATTCTTGACAAAGTCGAGGGGCTTTATGACTGTCACAGCAAGCATGTTGAATATAAAACTGCAGCTCAGGGTCGCAAAGCTCCAAGTTCCTAGTCACACCATCTAACCTTTGTTTACAGATGAGTCTGTCTACCAGTTCATCCTCGCCAGAAGCTGCTTGATCGCTTGAGTGAAGGGTAAGGAGGTGATTCCCCAATCTGGCTGGCAAAGCTTGAACCCAAGAGAATGAATCTTATGGAGAAATGGGTGCACTTTGACTTATTGATTGCTTGCGCGGGCAAGGGCATGATGCAGAATGACAATAGGAGGGTCGGTCCACGTTGCATTCGGCTGCGTATTAACCGCTGATCCATATTCCTTTCCCTATATGGCTCTCTGGGTGGAAACAATTCCCAATGCAAAGCTCCACCTCAGGGTCTGTTCGAATTCATATCATTCTCTGGATGGGGTACTCATACGGTATATCGATTTGAGTAATTACAAGGAGGTATCGACAAGGCGGGCAGTCACATTCGATCTGCATGTAAAACGACCAGAAGAAGAGACTTCATGTATAAAATCGTCAGGATACGAGATATCACTTCAGGGGAGTATGACTTGGAATCAGTGCCATGGCTACATGTAACCGAGGGGCAGATTCGTCAAACTGGCAGATCATCATGTTGACCGGCGGCCCTCCGTCCTGGGTTCGTTCTGATAGCGATCTTCTTCGAGCTTCATGTGCGCTATTGAGTAAGCTGTAAGATGACCTTTCGAGAGAGTGAATGTCTGCTTCCACTCCGGGGATGAAGTAAACTTGCTGTGAAAGTGAGCAAAGCTCTGTTAGCCCTTTGTGAACTGCTAGATAGAAGGTTCAAGATCTCTTGTAAAGTGAGGCTAAACAAATGAAGGGAATAAGATAGGGGATCTCAAAAGCCGATGCTTCCAAGCGATTTTGTTTCCTTTGATGTATGGAGAAGGGGAAAAGTCAAATGACTCCCCAACTCGTCTTGCATTCAGTCACTTTCTTCTGCCGTTCAAGCTCAGCCGGCGGTGAGCGAAGCCGCGTAGCCGTCAGCATCGGCTATTTGCTTGTGCGTGCCAGTATGCGCGTGAAAGGCATCCAATAGGCCCCCCATACAGCCTTGCAACTCGTTTGAGTTTCCGTATCTTGAACATCGTAACTTGACAGCACACGCCCTTTGACGGGCGTCCCTGCCAGGGGAAGTGGCTGGAGTGCGGGTGCCACAAGCAGACGAGATTGACGTTTAAGGAGGCCTTCCAACGATTTGGATAGCCTAGCTGTCTCACAACATGCTGCTTGTTACCTCGGAGAAGGTAAGGCGTTGACGCAAAGGTAAGACCTCCAAGCAAGATATGGCCTTTGAGTATGCAGAGTAGGGCTCTCAATTGTCCATGAGCATCGCAACTGAACAGAGCCAAAAGGCATCAGAGGACTAGCCACCCAGAGGTTGAGAATTGCTTTCGAGAAAAGGACACTGTCATTCCTCTCTTGACTTCAAGGTTGGGAACAAGTAATACGGATGGAGGCTCCTTATCGAGAGGCACCAGAGTTATCGTCCATTGTCATTCCTGATCGAGGTCCGGGAAGCGGGCGGATTCTCCCCTGCAGCCCACAGGGGTCTTCAGGGCAAGCCGGGCCCCCCCCCGTAACGCCGACTCTTGCCTTTCCAAGCATCCCGGACGCCTCGCTGTGCCATGTGAAGACCCTAGTATATCGGCAAAGGAAGACCCAGCACACAATACTTGGCCGAAGGATAACCGCCGCGAATAGGAGACTTGCGGCACGCTTTGGCCGCCTTTGGTGGGACCCAATCGATGCTCCTTGCGTGATCCTGTGGATGTTAGGAATAGCTGTCATCGGCCGATGCGGCACCATATCGTATGGCCGTGGCAACGCTTTATTATGCGGGGTTCAGCTGCGTATTCAGCTGGTCTTCAACATGTCTGAGGCGGGCCTCTCTTTCGAGGCCTTCTTCATCGGATGCTGGTCGACCATTCGGTGGGGGCTATGTATAAGCCAGCGATTGGACAGCCCCTTTGTCGCAATTTCATGTACGTGCAATCACATTGCAAAGCTGTGATAGGGGACGGCATCAAATTATGGGCGAGTGTGACTGCACGCTGCAGCATGCAGGTCCGGAATCACACTGCCTCTAAGTATGCTGCCTACGAAGCTTCCATGACTCGGAGACTGGAGGTCCGGAACAACTGCGTGGAGGAAGCGTGCGTATCGGAGCCGCAGAACTGGTTCCGGATGCTACCGTGTCCATGAGGCGAGCGAGCTAATGGCGCCGGGGATGCGGGAGATGGGACGGGGACGTATCAGTGCTAAGAGCATAAGATTAAGGAACCAAGATTCCGACCTCTTGTCCGCAGACCATTGGCTGGCTCGTACGGAGATTGGGGGTTGCGCTAGTATAGTCTGTATGGAACAAACTGCGTTGTGAATGGAGTCAATCCCACCTAATACTAAACCCGCGAGTAGGTATGTACAGCCACTACTACTATATGCCGACTGCTCAACGTCTCGGGACTTGTTGCAACCGAGTTGGTGGGCGTCGAGACCCTGCTGCTGCTCATAGTAGTGCAACTACTATGAAGAGCTATGGCCCATCCGGATATCGTCTGCCGACATGGTTGATTATGGGCCTTGTTGTTGCTACCAACACGCCAACGAGTGCCGGCCGGGACCGCTCCTGTAGATCCCTTCCGGATGCTTCTCGACTTCCACACTGTTTCCACAGATGGGTTCCTCTTCTCTCTTCTCACCAACTAAGCCCAGACGAGTGCTGGCCGCTTGCACGGTCCGCGGCACACATAAGACGGTTCCGCGGCTGGGGCTCGACGGTTCGGCTGAACGAGGTAAGACTGTGTTTCACTGCCATGCCGAGGCAGGGATTTCGACAACGGCTCTAAGCGTGGCATACCGTTAGCTTGGTGAGTCGGAGAACGTTGCAGAGTGTGTAATACAGCCGACGGTTGCGGAAGTTCTGAGGCAGAGCAAGAATTAATAGGTGAGTCGATTAGAACTGCAGGTGATAGTATGAACCAAAGCTAAAGACCAGATTAACGCCCCCCCTTTAAAGCAATAAACATGCAACATGAACCTCCAATCAGACAAGCAAAGTATTACCCGATGAGTGCTTCCCCACGCCATTACTGCTTCTCGGTGATTTTCTCAGTCAGCCGTTCGTTGTCCGGGTTCGGCAAGTAGTTGAGCCACGGCCCTTCGTTGATGTAGCCAACGAAGCCGCCAGCCTTAGTCTTGTCGCTGACCCAGGGAGACACTCTCCGCAAGAGCCTCAGCCACCACGTCTCCATGGCCTCATACTTGGTAACATATCCAGACATGGTGACAATGGTGTTTGCGTGCGGCCGCTGCTTCGCCTCATAGGTATCCAGAACAGCCGTGACCTCGCTCTTGGTTGGCCTCCGCCCATCGGCCTCACAGCGCCGCACCAAGGGCACCAGCTCGTTCATCAAGTGGACAACGCCCTCGACGGCCAGGTTACCGCCAAGGCCAGGGTTGATGGTGGCCTTGTGGACCGCATCGCCCATGAGCACCACTCTGCCAGAGTTCCACTTTGGCTTCAGGACGCCTTCCTCGAGGGGCAGCATGTTCGCCCGGACTCTGCTCTCCCAGAGATCCTTGAACGTGTACCCCGGACCAACAGCATGGTCCCCGTACTTGGCGATTGTGGTTTCCATATCCTCCTCTGTGAAACGTGGCGTATTAGGCGTGTATGTTGTGCGGTCACTCTTGACAAAGAGGAACCAAAAGACAAGGCCTGGAACACCGGCGGCGATGACACCGGAGAAGCCTGAGTAGTAGACATTGTGCACCGCTCCGTCAGGCAAGAACGGCTTGCCATCAGCCGTGGCTTTGGCGTTCTTGGAGGTTGCAAAGATGCAGTGATAGTTGCTGACGAAGCCACTGCGCATCTCCTTGGCTGCTTCAGGGTCAGTTGAGGCGATGTGATCAGCCATCAGCGTGCGGATGGTGCTGTGGATGCCGTCGGCGCCAATGAGCATGTCGCCTCGGATGGCCTCGCCCTTGTCTGTGATCACCTCGACGCCATCTTCCGTCTCCGTGTAGGAAGCCACACCGGTTTGGGCCCGGGTTCTGGACTTGTCTGCGACCTGGTTGTAGATGCAGCTGAGCATGAACCTCCGCTCCATGAAGGTGGTCCATCGGTTGAGGGTCCTGCAGGTACGGCTTATGATTAGCTTTGTCTGCCCGCCTTCGCTTATACTGACAACAGGGATGCTGTAATATATGCTGAATGAAGAGTAGGTAATGGAAAGGGGGCTCGGAACGGGGGAGGGGCGCGGGACGGAGACTAGAGAGGATTGTGGCGCATCGTCACACTTCATCACACGCACTTACATCTTGGAAATCTCCTTCAAGATGGAAGAGTCCTCGAACAAGAAGCCGTTCTCATCATAGTGCTGCCTCGTCTCCAGCGGCACGACGGCCGCCTTGATCTCGGGCCAGACTCCAAGCTGCTCCATCACCCGCTGCGTGTGCGGGTGGATGGACACCGACGCGCCCAGGTGAGGAGCAATCTCTCGCTTCTCCAAGAGCACATAGTCGATCCCGGCCTTTTCCAGCGCCACCGCTGCTGTCAAGCCGACCAGACTGCCGCCGGCAATGATGACCTTGAAAGGCGATGACTTTTCTGCCATGGTATCTCAGGGGATGTGTGAAGGGGAGGGGTCGAAAGAGTTCAGATGCTGTTCGTTGATGTTTGGTTACAAGGAATGTGAGGAGATTCCAACGGGGGGAACAGGTGCGACATTTAAGTCTCGCAACACCAACAGGCGGTCTTTATGGAAGTCCCGATATGCGAACACTTTGGCCCAGTCAGTAATTACAATAGCCTGTATTCTGTACCGAGACATCGCATTGATAAGATGCAAAGCAGGCTATTCATGTTAGTAGAGCCAGGATCTTTGCCGTAGTGTCCATCAGCTGGGCTGCGAGTTAAGCCCCTCCAGACATCTCTCATCTTAAAAAGCTGCCTGCTCGTCTCCTGGCCCATTCCCCCGAACCTGTCCAAGAACGCCCATCTCAGATCAAAATGGTATTATCTCGTGCCCCGAGCCTGCATGGTTAGCGAAAGCCTCGTGTGTTGGCTGGAGCCGGCCAAGTTTTGTTACCTGTCACATTGCGCGGAAATCCGGATATGTCAAGAGGTGTGCCTGGACCCGTCTACTAGCAAGGCATTCCGCGCAAGGGTCCCCTGCTAGAAGGAAAATTGAAAGCATGCCGAATATGGGGAGGGGGCCATGAAGATACAGTACAGTAGTACACCAGAGAGACAAGAGCCATAGGGGATTCTCCTCCTCTGAAGCATGTCAACGCGTGGTAGACAGCTTCTCCATTCGGCAAGGCGACAATTTTGCTCCTTGCTCTCTTTGCTCGCTACCAATGAGAGAGCATATGGGCTGGTCAAGCATTTCTTCAGCTGCGCTAACTGAAAGTACGAGGAGGCGGCTTGTTCGTCTCACGGAGCTCTATGAGGAATTGATAGGCCTTCCAGGATGGCGAACCCGTGGTCCCGGACAAGGAACATGGAAGCTTCTCTCCAGTGAGCTTTGCAGACTCCTCCCGGAGTGCTACGGGGTACCTTGTCTCTGCTTGCTTTTTTTTTTCCGCGTCTGTACGAGGATGAAGAGCCTGTTTCGGCAGAGGGACTTTGGGTGGCGGCAATGCCGCTCTTGTGGTCGTCCTATATAGTCAACAATGCCGTCCCGAAGTCCTGTGCGTTGCTGAGAGGGATTCTGTAAGTGCCGTCCAAACTCTCATCAAGTTTTCAATATGGCGGCCCCGGGACCTGTAGACATGACGCTGCTGCCGGATGAGAAGTACGAGATTGCTGTCTCGTATGGCACCATCATTGGCACGGGCGTCTTTGCCATTGTGGTTTGCAGCACCAAGCTCTACATTCGCAAGTTTATGCTCAACTCCTTTGGTATTGACGATTGGGCTTGCTTGATTGGATTGGTAAGGCTTCCCATGTCTCTTTTGCCATCGACAAAGTCCTGACGAGTCATTGCAATATAGATCTTTGTCACGACGTTCAACGGTATTGGCTTGGCGGTGGTGTACTATGGCGCTGGAAAGCATATTCAACATGTCACGGCTGATGAGCTGAAGCACTGGTTCATGGTAAGTTGCCCCATGTGTCTGTTGGCACAACGCAAGATTGAACTAGCCAATTGACTTTCTAAACTATAGTTGTACTACGTCTGTATATGTCTCTATCTATCCATCTCCTTTGCCGTCAAATCGAGTATCCTTCTCTTCCTCCGACGAGTCTTCCCAGTCCGTAAGTATTACCCGAGCAACACCACCTCTCAGCCTGCTCTGTATTGACGACAAACCTTTCATCCAGCATACGTCCAATGGACCACCATGATACTGCTCGTCTTCTTCACGCTCTTCACCATCTCCGGAACCTTTGTCGCGGCCTTCCAATGCAACCCGCCCAAGTACACATACGACATCAACTTCCTCATGTCGCCCGATCGCGCCAAATACTGCTTCCCGGCAATGACCTCGTACGGCATCTTCATGTATCAGGCAGTCCTCATCTTTGCCTGCGACATCATCATGTTCGTGCTGCCGTTCCCGGCCCTGATGAGCGTGCAGCTCAACAGCCGCAAGAGTCTTGCTCTGCTGGCCGTCTTTGGAAGTGGCGTTGTCGCCTGCATCGCCCCCGCGATTCGATTCAAGAGCTTGAACTTTTACAAGACAGGAAGCACAGATACTACATGTAAGTTGCCCCCTCCCTTTCACACCCAGCTGCGAGAGCACCCCAGCTGATCATGTTCCGCTGTAGTCGAGGGCGCATCGTCTCTGTACTGGATGGCCATCGAGTACAACATGGGCCTGGTCGCAGGCTCTCTGCCAGCTCTTCGCCCTCTCTTCTCTCGCCTCGGCATGCTTGGCAGCAGCAACGACCCGGCGTCCAAAGACCCCAACCAGTTCTCGCCATCATACCAGCTCGACGACCAAAACAGCAAGCACTGGGCCAACAGCCGACGCACCCAAGCCAGCAAGAACAGGTTCCAAGGAGACAGCGTGCTGGACGCCACAGTCATTGACCACGACGACCGAGACACTTCCTCGCGGGACAGCGAAGACGCTCGCATCGTCAAGACGGAAGTCTTCACCGTGACCACCGAGGCTCGCAATCCCGAGTCGCGAGGGAACCCGCAGGCCTGGAGCCACTTCGATTAAGAAAACACCCTTGAGTGCCACCCCCGTGACATTCTCCATGGGGTCATGCGGTATTACAGCTTTTTATCTTTTCTTTGTAATATGACTTTCACAACGCTGCTAGTATGAGAGCTTTATTTCATGGAATGTGGTCGGCTTCGGTACGGGATAGCGGCAGGATTCAGCTACGGAAAATTTACCTAGGTATTGTTGGATGGCAAAGGTTCCCTTCTCTACGCCTGGATTGAAAGTGACCTCAGTTGATGCGTCAACGGATACGGGACATGGCGGCTTCTGGATCAGGATTCTCATAGAGCTTTAATACATCTACCATGGACACATACGACCTGGAGCAGAGGGATTGCCTAGCTTGACCAATTGATCGGTTTTAAACCCCATACATACTCCAACGGCTCCATAGCCGAGTCTCAATAACATCCAGGATGTCCCGAGGCGAAGAATCTGTAATCTGTCTTTGCGCCAAGCACCCGCCAGAGCAAGGGATCGCAAACAAACAAGGGGTTCACCGTATGTACAAGTATGTATGCTCATGATATAATGAGGCTATTCCGTGCCTCTTATGCGTGACCATCAGACCATGCGCTGCTCAAGCGGCGGCGGTTCCAGCTTAACCCTTGCTGGAGTTTATAATAGCCTGATTCACTAGGGAGTGTAAATTGCAAACTTGCTTTAGGTACAGCAACTTCTTTCTCCTCGGAGATGTGGCCGAGGTCGACGAAAGGGCCGATTCTTGCGACAAGATACCAAGAGCAGTGGTCGTTGCTCTTGAAGCGCTGGAGGTTGCTATAACGTAGCCGACTTCGATGTAAAAACATTTTTAGAAAGTCGACTGCATGCAACTCTTATATTGATCAATAATTATCAGCGTCAAAGTCGCATTTGGTTCCGGCATTTTGGTTGCTTTCAGTGTTAATACCACCTCGTATACAGTCAGAGGCTGATAACATGGCCTGCAGGTAATAGTAGAAAATATGCCGCCGTCGTTATCGCCGTCTCAGTGCTGACTGGTCAGCATCTTGGGTTAATTTGAGTCAGATTGATGCAGTAAAGTGGGTAAAACAGAGTCAGCACAGGGCTTCTTGACTCGTGGAGGCATGGGGTTCATGAGATGCCTGATCGAGACTCGACAGGGCTATGAACACGCCTGTCGAGCAACCATGTGGAGTGGTTTGAGATCCTTGAGGGGATGGGGAAGGCCTGCCTTCTCATCCTCGGACTCACATGCAGAGTGCTTGTAAGGAGGTAGAACTACTACTACCGTGAACCACGATGGTTCATTAGCATTGCTATCGGGCCGCTCCTTGTCTAATATCCTCCTATGTTGTTTTCGTGGAGTCGGTCTTTATTACTGTTTCCCGCAACCCGGTATTTGTCTCTCTGGTCCCCAGCTCGGTTAAGGCCACCACTTCCCTTTTGTCAAGCCAACTGCCTGGAATGCTCATATACCTTAGGTATTATCTAGCTACATATAAAGCTGGGTAGCCTAGGCCGACCGCTCTGCCCCTTGAGGAGATTGCCTTTGCGCATGGTCATTAGTGATAAGGGAACAAATCCGCAAACGATCGAGAAGGCAGTCAGTTGTTGATGCAAACCTGTCTCGCTCGCACAAGGCAATATGAAATTCGATAGCCACAGGCTCTGCTCCGGCGTCTTCACGACTGGAGACTACCAGTGCAACATGACGGAGGTCTTTTGTCTCGCAATGTGGCAAGAGTAACTACCCAGGCTCCCTATTCCTGTAGAAGACAAGTCGATGTGTAACAGGCGAAATACCTCCCTATGAGAATAAGTTGTGCATTCACCGAACCGAACCTCGAATGCCTCGTATGAGCCGGGAAGTTAGGAGTGAATGACCCACGTCTATAGCCCAAATGGGAACAATGAGAAGCAGCATGAGGACAATTTCTGTAGAATCGTCGCTTCAACTGTATCCATAAGCTACGTCCTCTAGTTTCTCAATCGGCAGCCTCTGTCTATCATTGTCCTCTAGGGTTAACGCATGACCAGCCAGGTCATTCTACAACGACAGACCCAGAATATTGCATTGACGAAATTACAATGTAACTTGACGTGTTCTGCCTTGGCCATGATTGAGATGTTCGTGAGGCTGATAGCTCGAAAAGGGACAATTTGCCAACAGACGGTGTCGTGCTCCATCGAAGTGTTCGCAAGTAGGAGTCGCTCGATAAGGTATATCTCTCAGTCCTGTTACTGTCCGTCTGTTGTTTCTCTGTAAAGTAGGTATGTTCCGATATACTCGTCGCATAGACGATGAACAGCGAGAAGCTTCATAGGCTTGGAAATGGGGTCTTTCCAGAGGCTCGCTTCGCACTGGGAAGGAATCCAGGATACACTGACACTGGTCAGTTTTTCTCGAAAGAACATGCAAACTCGATAAGGAACCAGCCTAGAACAAGCCATCAGCTCAGATACCACCACCACTATGCTAAACTGTAAGGAGGGAGTGGAGGGCGTATAAATGGGTACTACCACATGGAGCCTCGGGCAAGCCAAGGGCTGACCGAACTCCAGCTGACCGAACTTCAGCTGAAACTAGACGAATCCATAGGGCTGAGCGACCACTTTTAGGCATCTGCCGTCCGGTATACACGGCCAATGACATCGCGAGATGCCCGTGTCACACACACACACAAGCGCCGGCTGGCTGGCTGACGGATGGATGGTTCGCGGGATTACCCAGCCCGATCCGCTTGAGGCTTGTCAAGAATGTTGGCAGGGCGTCAGCTGGCGTCTCGGGGTTATCCCTGGAGGGTGTCGCGATAGCCATGTGTAACTACGTGTGGTTGTAATTAGCTGAGAATATGCAATGGATATGATTCAAGAGATGAGATGGTTTTCTTAGCCTTTGAACAAGTCAAGGGATTATCGGTCATAGAGATGGAATGGTCAAGATGTAGTCTACAATTTTGAACACTTCAGGTGATGGTTCGAGATTACACGCAAAATGGTTCAGGTCCAGAAAGTGAAAGAGGGCCACGGTGTTAAAACTTGGTGGATAAACAAAACGATCGGGAATTGTCCCTTGTGCCCGTAAACAAACGCCAATACTCATATCGTTGCCCCCCCCAAACGCCATACCATGATCATATGCCGAGTGAACACCACACTCCACAAGCCCAATGAATCCCATCACTTACGCCTTACCAGCAGTCGCCTTCCCACTATCATAAATAAGAGGCACGAGCGCCGAGCCATCCGCCTGCAGATGCTTGCCCACGCTGTACCGCTCCGAGCGAAGCATCCATTCCAGCAACCCCGTCGTGATGGTCTGGCAGTTCTGGATGTACTTTTGGATATCCTCTGAGAGCTTGGGGTCGGGCGATGCGAGCGCCTTGAGGAGCTGGTAGGCCTCTTCAAAGGTGTTGACTGAGGTTTGGAAAATGTCCATGAATTCCTGGGTGACGGTGGTGATGTCGTCGGTTCCGCTGGCGTAGGCAATGACGGGGATGATGTTCTGAATGACACCGCTTCGCTGGGAGAACATCTTTGTCAGTTCCTCCTTTGAATGCTTGTGATTGAGATTTCGCTGCATTTACTAACCAGTTCTTTCTGACACGAGTAAATGTCGTTGATCCTGTGTAAAGTCAGCTTCTACCTCTGTGCAAGAAATCCCATCTAACCCTTACATCATGCAAAGCCGGGTAATCTCCCTCCAGATGACTTTCATCGGAGCGGACTCGACAATCTCATCCGGCAGTGAGATATCCCTGGTGAACCTGTTGACAAGTCAGCAGTTATCGTATAGCTATGGCACGATCTTCCTTACTCGCAAATGGCAATCCCTGGAGTGATTCCGGACGTTCCGAAGCGCATGGTGGTGTACTCTTCCTGCGAGGGGATGGAGTCGTCCTCTTGCTGCAGATGCTCAATGAGGCAGCATTTTACATAATGCTCAATCTCGCTGTACAGTCTCTGCGTTTGTCCTGTGAGAATCGTTGTCAGAATGTTGTTCGGCAATGTTTGTTCGTTGATGAGACAAGACCAACTCTGACTCCAGTTCACCGACATCAAGGGTCCAGCAGTCTCGTCAAACATGGACATGCTGGGCGCAATCTGACTGGCAATCTCTTCACAGGAACCGCCCAGTTCGAGCTTCTGGCTAATATACTCGAGCGACTGTTGGCAAAAGACCCGCGCGCGGTCTCCGTTGGAGATGATGCCGCTGGTATCCTCTCCGTGGTCGATGATGTCGTCCCATGTGAAGATCCAGACCAGGAATGCTGCCGCAGCCTTGAGTTGCTCCCAGTCGGCGTCTGGAAAACAACTGTCATAAGGACGTTAGTACAAGGGCAATGGTATCAATCCGAGAATTGTTGGAGGAGTCTTACCATGCGGCGAGATATCCAAAGTCACAGCGCTTGACACCAATGCATTTTCTCCTGTCATGAATGTTCCTGTGTGCACATGTTAATACATGACCTCTTTTTTTCCCAAGGAGACGAAGGCGCTTCCACTTACTCCTCAACCAGCCTATCCACCCATCGTCGGATTTCAGCCGTATACTTGCTCTGTCCCCTCGCAAACTTGGCCAGCGGCACCTTCAGATTGGGGATCGTCAGCGTGCTTCCGCTCAACATGGAAGCAAGCTCGTTGGCTCGAAGGGCATATCGTCCGGGGGCCATGATGTGGATAGATATAATGAGACGAGATGCAGCAAACTTGCAATTGGGTCTTGAATCGAACCCCGAAACGTGCGAGTCCCATCCGCTCTCTTATATCCCGCAGACACACTGCAACACTGGAGGCAGCCATTGCGTCTGTCAGTCTCCATCGTAAAAGCTGTCGGCACCGATCCAACAGGGGAATGGTCCAGGATGGGCATGGCCGACCAGGCTCAAGGCTCCCTCTGGGCGGCCCATGCGGACGTTCCACGGCTCCCTCTCTCTTCCTCTCTCTTCCTCTCTCTCTTCCTCTCTTTCTCTCCCTCTCCCTCTCTCTCTAGTACACTACTACTAGTACTATTATCTCCCTCTCCGTGCAAAGCCTGGGGCGGTGCCCGCAGCGGGAACCGATCCATCTACGCACATCCCTAGCGGTGATGGAGTGATAAACCAGTCGGTCGGGAGCGATTGACCCTGGCGGGACATCAGATGATGCCGTTTCTGGATCGGCCGCCCCATTGGACGGACACGGCCAACAGCACGTTGCCGCTGAAGAAACTGGGCATCACCGAAAGAAGCGTGGGTTCGCAGCTCTCTGGGTCGCACCGAGATCCACCGCCCGCAGCAGGACTATCGGACGAGCCTCGACCAAAGCGTTTAGCTGCATGGCGAGTCGGCCTCGATGGGGGGACCCTCGACGAAGCAGCATCACCGCCATTGTGGTCTGCTTTGGTTCATGTGCTGTGCTGTACGAAGCTGGGAACAGCGCGTCCGCCGAGCGTCCCTTCATAAGCCCCGAACCATGTCCGCGTCCGTTCGCAGACGCACGTTGGCCTCGGTGCTTCCGAGGAGCCATGAAGAGGAGGGAGGGGGGTGGTCGAAGGGGGAAGGGAGCAGGGCCGAGGCAAACGGGATTTGCCTTACAAACGGAGCGGCCCATGACGCTATTCGCGGCCGTTAAGCCGTAACGGACAATGGGCAAAATAGCTGCATGGCCAGTTCTCGCCAATCAGGCTCTGCAAGGCGAGACGACTCGCCAGCCCTGACGTGCAGGCTCTCCCCTAGAGCTCGGCTCAGCCTGCCACGTTGCTGATTATGATCTCACCTGTTTCCCTTTCAGCTTTTGATAAACAGATAGTGCCGACATGGGCATGGGCTGTGCTGTGGGGAGAGAGTGCGTTGTAGTCGCCGAGCAAAGAGATTGGAGAAGGAAAAAAAAAAAAAACTCGTATTGATTTTTTTTCGTCACTCCAGGGTTTGACTCGTGTAGGCTGTGTGATACTAGTAAGATGGATAATGAGAGTTATCGATTTCTTCAGCACCTTCTCCTCATGAGGAAATACAGCCCGCGGCTACAGAGGGCAAAAAGAGAAGAAAAAGAGAAAAAGAATTGTGATGGCAATTGTTTGACTCATGGTGACTGATTCAGTAGCCATCACAGACATCAACAAGCGTCTTAATGGCTCATAGATATGGAAATGGTTCTTGAACCTGGAGACCAGTAACACGTAATTGTACAGCCAGCCGGCATTCCATCGGTCTGAAGAACACAAAGACAAGGGCACTTGAAGATAGCCCCGGTTAAAAGTGGAAGTCTTCGGGCACCATGATCTTCGGTGAACCGGGGCCATGGCATGGAGGCTGGTCGGGAGATATGCCTTGTCCGGTAGTCCATTGAGCGACATTGTGCGGCCAAGACTGTTTCCAGTTTTCGTGTCACGAGCTCAGGGCTTTGTGTGACTTCCTAATCAGTCCGTCAAGAGACTTGGAACTATCAGTTTTCATCTTGACAAGGCTCCTTGCCTGGTATACCTACTCGTAGGTACTGCACATAGACGGAGGCGCTGGTTCGCCCAGCCTCAACAGGCCCGTCAAGGCAATCACAGCGACCAGGGCAGGGCAAGACAAGGTGCACCTTGCAAATGAATCATAATGACAAAACACCCCCAGAATCACACACTGCCTGGAGCATCGTCATGCGCATGCGTCGGCTAACGCGCGAGGTGAGATTCCATCACACTGCCCTTCTCCAAGCTTCGACTCTTGTCGTGACCAAGGAATCTCTCTATTGCGCAATTCGCATTTCGCAGCTGAAAATGGCTTTCCTTGTTGAAGAATCAATAACTCCGGCTGCGCGTTCCCGTCTTTGTGTGCCTGTGGTGAGACTCGGTGCCTTGCATCGTCAACACCAATAGCTGCAACCTCAGCTGCCGCGCCACCCATCCAACCCGTCCCGATGGGAAGGCTGCAGGGATGACGTGCATAGTCGAGTCTCACTGTGTGCCGTCTTGACATTCATTCAGAGCCAATTGGGGCCTTGTCTAGATATTCTCGCAGGCCTCTTCAGCTACAGTTGCATCTCGTATGCGTGGGTGACTGGCTAGTCAGGGTCTTGTGTGTTTCGTCGTACAAAGACCACAAGCCTATTTGATTGTGATTGCTCAATTTGGCAATCACATATCTGCTGACTCTGCTGCTAAGCTTTGTGGGCATCCAATCGCTTATCGAGGACTTGAGGCCTCGAGTTGCTGTTCAAGGGCCTCAAGTCGTGAGCCAGTCGCAAGGTCGCCTTGGGCAGGTTGACCTCAATAGTCGCAGATGAGCAATGGAACTCAAGTTAGTTTTACCTCAGCGTACGAGAATAGCGATATGATGTAATAGACCGCGTATTCTCATGTTCATTTTGAGAAGCGGGCTTGCTCACTTAGAGAAAGCCTTGTCCATTACATTACCAGCATCACACATACCCGGCACTGGTTCCTATTGTACTATTTCCAGCCAAGCATCATATCAGTACTGCTGATTCTGAGCCCTAACGCCCGCGTCTCCCAGAGGAACAGCAATACTATAACTCATAGGACTATTCCGCTCCTGAACCCCCGTCGTCAACAACAGCGGCGTCATCTCCCCATCCTCGGAGAAAAACAGCTCCGGCCTCTCCCTCCGAAAGAAATCAATCGTCGTCCCATCATCGTACTGAACCTCGGTGCCGAATGCCAGCGTCTTATTGCCAAACGTCCACGGCCCAGTGTAGTTCCTCGCCCAGGCATGCCGACCAACCTGGGGCCCCCAGCCGAATCCTCCGTCAGGCTCAAGCGAGTGCAGCAGCATGTGAAAGTTGCCTCGCTTGTCGCGCCAAACAAACGGATCCTCGTTGGGATCGGAAAAGATGGGGTCCGGCTCAATCTTGGTATATGGCCCCTTGTAGCCCGTCTCCGAGACAGCGACATTGATCAGCTCGCTGCCGCCGCAGTTGAACGGACAGCCGCGATAGACCAGAAGCATGGCATCCGTGTGGCCGGGACAATGCCCATGTTCAGCAGCAGCAGCTGATGCCTCGCGACCGCAAGAGCTCGAGGTATACAGGGGGAAAGCAGTAGGATTGGTCACGTCGGCGTCCCAGTCCGTCGAGTTGTCTCCCTGCATGACCTGCCCCTTAAAGTCCCAATGGCGAAGGTCCCGGCTGCTGAGCACCGAGACGCCGCTCTCGCCGTTCAAGTCGTTGCCCGGCCCGCACGTGAAGCTCTGCGACTGGCACGTATCCGAGACCTGCGTCGGGCAGCCGATGTAGTACAGCAGCCACTCCTTGTCCGCAGGGCTGTACACGACCGTCGGGTTGTGCGCAAAGGCGCCCATGACCTCGGCGGCGAAGCGGTAAGGGCCGGCGGGCCCCGTGCGAGACTCGGCCCTGATGATGCGGCTGTAGGGCGCCCAGTAGTCGAGCCCGCAGCCGTGCGTGAACTCGGAGGCGAAGAGGTGGTGCAGGCCGCGGTCCCACGGATCCTGGACTATCTTGGAGCACCACGACGACGTTCCCTCGGCCGTCATGTTGTAGCCGCCGTTGCGCTTGGCGGGGCGGACGTCGAGGGCGCCGCAGTCGTCGCCGGTCCAGGCAGGGTCACATTTGCAGGCGCCGGTTCTGCTACAGACGCCGTTGAGGCTGCAGTCGTCGTCGCTGACGCATGCCTGGTGGGACAGGGCCACAGATAGGGCTGATAGGAGGAGCTGGAGTCGGACCATTTTGACGAGGAAAGTCTCCCTAGGGGGGAGGGCGAAGTGAGCGAGACGGCCGACCAAGCAGGGGGTCGAAGCTGGACAGCTTGTGATATAGATGGTCAAGGAGAGGATCTAGATTGAGTTGCTTATTCCTCCTTTCTGTGAAGCCCTAGGCATGGGCGGATGATCATGGTCTCATATCAGAGAGAGGGACAATGGCTGATGCCAGACTTTATATCCCATGTGCTGGCATGAAGCAAGATATAGCTTCACAATGAACATTGCATGGAGATGAAGATCTGGGGATGCGGGGGGATGCCGACGGGAAAATGGTCCATCACTTTTAGCGATGGGAAGAGTGGCAGCGGAATGAGAGTAATATTCTATTCTATTGTAAGTGAAGACCGACTTGTCGAAATCCGAGGTCGTGTTGATCGTCTAATGCTCCGCATCGTGGAGGAGAAACCGACGGATATTATCCTTCACCATCCTGCTGATGGGGGGGGGGGGGGCATTTCAATACATGTATACTACCATTGTATACATAGCATTGCACTCTCGATTGTTCTCTGTGATGCGAGGAAGACCTATGATAGGTGGAAGATCCTCGCGTCGAGTTTGTCTGTCGAGCGGAGTTGGATGCCGGCCGGGGTGATCTCCGCGATTCAGCGATTTCCCGTCACTAGTCAAGGCTTCGGCAGTTGATATTCTCCCCAATAGCACCGTTTTCAAACCTGGCGAAAGAATATACCGTGGAGTACCTTGGCGAAGGAAGCCCCTCACTCAGTGGCTCGTCAAGCTCGTGTAAGTCTGTTGGTGGCCAGGAAGAGTAAATACCAACCTATCTATGTAGCTTGATGTGATAAGCCGCTGAGGAGAGCACCACGCCAAGTGAGTTCGGTACTACACTGAAATTTTCTCCTGTCTTGCAATCCATCAGGCAATCAAAACATGTAGTTCAAGGCCTGCTAGAAACGGCGTAGGAATGAATTATCGAGCCTCGTGCAGTTACTCGATACCTAAGTACCTACATCTGCGCAGCACAATGACCTCCGCATGCATGAGATCCTGATTCCAAATCGCCCCACGCATTGCCAGCAGACCTAGACGAAATCAAGAAATACTTACGTTGACTCAAAATCTTCCTCTTTTTTTCATAGCAGACGGATCTTAACTTACTGGGGCAATGCTGTTCCCCTCAGCACGCAGCTATCAAACACCTTTGCCCTCGCGTACAGGTATCTCACGGGCTTCGCCAACTCATCGATCCACCTCCAGACGAACATTGATGTTATAACCGACGGCAAGACTTGTTGACTGTGCTGCCCCAAAGGCTAACGGGATCATACTTATGTTTGTCGATGATGAATAACACCAAGCATAGTACTACGAACGCCCTGGAAGCATTCTGCCACATCACATACATCTGGCGTGGGGATTGATCGTCTCGACAGTGAGCGAATATGACTAAAAGACATCATTGATGTCTGAATGCCTTGTTACTATGTACTGGCATATCATCCATCCACGACTTGAAGCATAAGCCATGGATAATCTACACGAAGATAGCTTATCCATATGGTCATGGTATAATCCCATCACATCTCCTCAACATACTCTGCATACGGCGAACCCGCCTCCCTCGCAATCCGATCCAACAACCGATGCAGCCTCAAGCCATCCTCAAAGTCCGCAACTCCCTCTCCCCCTGACGCAAATGCCTCCCACACAAACGCCGTGTTCTGTCCCGGAAACGGCACGCTCTCGACATGCTTCGGCGTCTCCCGCTTCCACTCGACGACGCGCACCTCGCTCGGCTCGTGCACAGTCTTGATGCGAATCTCCCTCTCGCTGTGCCCAATCTGCAAGTGGCCGTCGAGCGTAAACTCAATCTCTCCCTCGGTGCCGGAGATGAGCCAGCGAAAGTTCTTGCCGAGGAGCGTGCCGGGCCGGTGGTAGTTGATGCTGGCAATGGCGCCGCTCTCGAGCACGCCTTGGACGAAGATGTGGTCTGGGGCGGTTCTGGGAACACCAGGGTTGGTGACTTGGCCGTTGCTCAGGTCAAAGAGCTTCATGACGGGATACTGCTTGGAGAGCGACGCCTTGACCTGGTCAAAGTCGCCCAGCACATAGAGGAAGCTATCCATCACTGGTTGTCCCTTTGTCAGTTCTCTTCGTCCACGTCTTCTCACAAGGTGGCAACAAGCTTACAGTGGCCAAATGAAATGTGAAACTCGTTCCCGCCGCTCTTAAAGTCGAGATAATACCGCGCAGAATCCATCCACATGTCCGGCGGCCCCAAGGAAGGCGAATACTGCACCTGCGTGCTCGTCACCCTGCCAATCGCGCCCCCGTCCACAAGCTCCTTGACCTTTTGCACCGCGGGATCGGCCCGGAACTGCGTGCCCACAATCGTCCTGACGTTGGCCTCCCTCGCCAGCTGCGCCAGCTCCTCGGCTTGTTTCAAGCTGGCTGCGAGCGGCCACTCGACAAAGAGCTGCTTCTTGGCCAGGAGGACCGGCTTGGCGACCTTGTGGTGGCTGGTGACGATGACGGAGACGACGACCAGGTCGACGTTGGGGTCGGCGGCAATGTCTTCGGGCTTGCCGTAGGCCTTGGTCGTGGCCGGGAGCTTGTGGTAGTCGATGGAGCGCTGGGCGGACTCGGCGGAGGAGTTGCAGACGGCGACGATGTCGTAGTTGGGGGAGGGGACGAAGGAGGCCAGGTGGGCGGCGACGGCCCAGGCGCCGGGGCCGAGGGCAGGGCCTGTGGCGCCGAGGCCGATGATGCCGACTTTGATGGGGGCCATTTGTGGTGCTTTGCAGGTGCAGATGGCGTTGCAGTCGACTTACAGGTGATGTAGATGTAGACGATGATGACGATGATGATGTGCTATATCCAGTGCTTCACGACCGTGGGCATGCCGCTCTATTTATACTTGAACATCCCCGTCTCATAGAACCATAGGCAATGCAACAGTCCGTCTCTCTCTCCCATACAATCGGCGATTCATCATGCCATCTCTGCTTCCACCTCCTTCTCCCTCTCATCTCCAATGACACCATACGGAATTCCGTCAGTCCCCTCCAAAGCCACACATCCCGCCATATATATTTGTCTCCTCGACGATGAATAATCAAACTCTCAGCCTCAGCTCAACCGGCACTCCTCCCTGTCTAAGTCGCCTGTGTCTCTCATCAGAAGCTTAACCCTTGCGCCTCTCGTAGATCCAGCCAAGCCTTTACACTCAACCCTCAGCCTCCGGCTCTTCATCCCGCTTCCTTCGAATCCCCTCCCTTGTGCCGCTCCACTCGAACTCCGGCGCAGCTCCACCCAAACTCCGAAGCGCGGCCCCTTGAGTCGGCATGATGCGAAACCGTCCGCCTCCTGGATTAATAAGTCTTCCGGGGTGTCTAATTCCGGCACCTGCTTCAGCGCTTCGTCCCGTGTTAATGCTGTAGCTTCAATGATTTCACATCTCCCCCTTTGCCATGTAAATGCAATGCCATCAGACATCTCCCTTTCTCCTCCAGCATCATCACCATACGAGGTCTAATCAGTAAAGAAAAACCAAATCAAAGGAAACATGCCCCTATCTAGGAAAAAGTCCTGCGTCCAGTGCCGCAGGGCAAAAACCCGCTGCACCCTCTCCCTCCCGCGCTGCTCCCGCTGCATGGCAAAGAGCCTCCCGTGCGAATACACCGGCGCCGCAGTTCCGCGCATGGCCCCTTACTCCGTGCTGCCTAGGAATGCTCACACGACTCACAATGACACGCTGCCGCACGCCGGACATGTGCGGGTCCTCGCCGCCGCCAGCCACGGAGGACATGCCGCTCCTGCTGCTCCGGACTACGCCGTGCTCGATCCTCTGGACATGGTCTCGTCGTCTTCATCAGCTATGACAGGTTCATCCTCTTCCTCCACCGGACAAATGGCTGCTGCCCCCTTGCCCAGCCCTCACGCAGACTGGCCGCCGCCTCTCCACGTCAACCTCAACCCCAGCCATGACACCACCACCCTCGACGCCGCCTCCGCAATGGGCCTCATCGAACCATGCCACAACGTCTTCACCTTCCTCAACTCCATCACCATGGATCCTCCCCCCTCCTCCGACTACCCTGACGACGAAGACACGCGTCTCCGGAACCCCGTCACCGGCTCCGGCACGCAGTCCGACTTCCTCCTCCACGACAAGGCCTCCCGCGTCCTGACCAGGCGCCGCGCCCTCACGGCCAGCAGCGTGCTCGCCACGCGCACCATCCTCGGCCAGGTGTGCTCGTATCCCGCCATGATGGTCAGCGGCCACGCGCTGCCGCCGTTTATCCATAGCCGGTGCAGTCTCGACGATGGCCTGACGTATGATTGTGCGAGGGAGGGCAGGCATGGGTGCTTGAGGAAGACGCTGAGTGTTTGTGCGTCGTTGGTGGGTATGTGGATGGATAGGACGCCTGTGAGCAGCGAGTTTGTGTGGGAGACAATTTATCATGAAATTGGGAGGATGCACAAGGAGGTGATTTTCTCGATATGTGTCTCATATCATGGCTCAGATGAAAAGGAGATGTGGGTGATGCTGACTTTATAATGTTGCAGCACGAATCATTTGACTCGGAAACAATGCTCGAGTCTATTCAAGCATTGACGATATACATGCTCCTACAAGCGCAAGACACAGAAACGCTGGTCAAGAACAACGTCAAGCTCCTCCTCATCACCATAGGCGTACGCACAACCCCCTCTCTCCTCATGTTGCTCACCACCACCAACGCCCAAACACAGGAACTCGGCCCAAAGCTGCACACTAGACTCGAATACAACACCCTCATCGACACCATCGAAAATCCCCTCTGCCGCTCAACATGGGTTCTCTATGAAAGCGCACGAAGGTACACTGCACCACCAATCCTCCCCACCCTGTACCCTACTCCTCAACCGCCAGATTCGCATCACTCACACGCAAAAAGAACCCTCTGCCTCCTCTACATCATCGAAATGTTCCTCGAAATCAACCTCCGCCCAAGACCAATCTCAGCCCGCTGCTGCCAATCCTTCGCCGCCACGCCCCTCCCCTGCATCCGCGACCTCTGGGAAGTCCCCTCCACCTACGACTGGAGCAAGCGATACTCTGCCTTTTTGCGCGGCCGCTCCGTCGCCAAGATCCTCACCCTGAGGGACTACAAGATGACGCAGCACTTGTCACCAGAGGAACTTCTTGACGGAGTAGCCGGGTTGAATGGGGTTGCAGGATCGGGAACAGGGCCAGGGTCAGGGGCCGGGTCGGTGACGAAGGATGTCATGAGGTGGTGTGAGGGCATGGATTCGTTTGGGACGCTGGTTACGCTGGCGGCGACGCTGCTCAGATATGATGTTGCGCCGGCTGGCGTGGGCGGCAATGGGCTTAGGATTGCATGAGATGTGTGTGTGTGTCTGGCTGCGAAGTGCTCATCAGCAGCTACATCTTTATAGCGATGATCCTCAAGGGACGCTCTCGGGGCTTTGCACAAAGCAAAGAATGATCATCATGAGAAACGAATCGGTCGTAATATTCATAACCTCTAAAAAATGCCATGTATGCTTTTTATTTTTCCTCCAAAAGTCCTTTTTCCCCCTTCATCAATCCATCATGGTATCTTCATCCGCTCCCTGCGCCTCAACAGCGCCAGCGTCCAACAGCGAACCCCTGACAGGCACGGCGTGTCGCGGCCAGACTCTCTTATACAAGCTAATACCAACAGAGTCCTGAGGGTTGATGCGCCCGTCAAACGTCGCCTTGAAGTAGCCGTGCGTGCCCAGAGGCTCCTTGATGAAGCCGCTGCGCCCGCGCTTCGTCCACAGCGGCATCGCCTTGAACCACTCCACGTCCTCGCGGTTGAAGAACATGTACCGGATCGTGACAATCTTCTTGTGGATGTGGTACGGGTGGCCCGCCAGGATGACCCGCTTGGCAACGACACGAGACGTCGACGGCGGCAGCGCCGTGCCGGTGGCGACCAGCGACAGCCCGCCGGCCGACGTGTCTTGATCCTCGGCGCCCGCGCTCGCGGGGGCCGTTCGCTTGAAGAAGAGGACCGGGACGGCACCCCATGTGATGGGGCCCATGAACGTGGCAATGGCCGACTGGCCCGGGTGGAGGTAGCGGCAGTACTTGTGCACGTCGTTTGGCGTCGAGCCCGACTGCGAGAAGAGCGGCTTGATCACCATCCTCCGGGGGCCGCACTGGGCAATCAGCTCCTCCTTGGACTTGATGGACGTCGTCTCGTCGGAGCTGAGGTTGATCAGGTAGTTGACCGCCGTCTTCTTGTTCTCGTGCCGCAGCAGGGAGACGAGCTTGACGGGGGCCTTGAGGTTATAGGACTGCGCCGTAGCCGCAGGGATGCCCTTGACGTAGACGTGGACGCGGGTGCCGGGCTGCACGCCTCCGACCAGCGCCTCGCGGGTCGCCCTTGATCGCGAAGCGTTGTAGTCGGGAACCTGCAGGAGCCGGCGCCATTCCTCCGGCTCGTGAGCCCGATCCTCGTCCTCCAACCAGGGGCTGGTTCGGAGGCTCTTCAGACCGCGATACCGGGCTAGCCTTTCTCTGGCCAGCACGTGGGGGTGAAGCTCGATTTCGTCGGGGAACTCCTTGTCTTCCTCCACCTCGTCGCGCTTCCGTGCTCGGTACTGTTCCAGCTGCGCGGCGTCTTCCTCCTCGTCCGGCATCATCTCGGATTGAGGGTATTCTGAAGGACCAGCCTCCGTGGGCTCGGGTTGAGCGAATCCCTCCACGCCGTCTTCGGGTCCCACTTCCTCCTCTTCGTCATTCTCATCATCCATCTCCATGTCTTCCATGTCAGAGCCCGAGTCGGACACATCGTCCAGATACCAAGCCGACTGGTACTTTGAGGTTCCCTTGGGCACTTTCTTGGTCCCAGCTGTGGCTTCGTCTTCCTCGTCTGAGAAGTAGTGGTGCTCGTCCAGCAGCACGCCCTTCTTTTCTGAGGGCGCAACGGACATGGCGGCATCATCCTCTGCGTCCATCATGACGTCTTCCGGAGCAAGGTCGTTCAAGTCGTCCCGGTCGGAAGAAGGCTCCTCCAGGACCTTTTCTTCCTCGGCCTCCATTGTAATCTCTTCGCCCTTCTTCTTGATGTGTTTCGGTAGAGGGGCGGCGACAATCTTTTCGATTTGGAATGTGCCCCAGTCACCAACCTGCACCAGCCGATCCGCCTTCAGCCCCTTGCCGCGCACCACTCCGGTGATGATTGTGGACTCTGAGTCGTTGGACGCAAACTTGACATCTTCCGCCAACATCCAGCTTCTCTCGTCTCTCCACCTGATGCCCTTGGGGGTTGTGCTGCACAGAGACCGCATCAAGTTGGCGCAGTCCTGTCGGTTGTCGGTGCTGTAGAGCTTCTCCTGCTCGGGGTGGAAATGCGTAATGAAGGACTTGAGCGAGCCCATGATGCCAGGCCGCTGCTTGGCAGGCTCAATCTTGTCAAGGCCCTGCACCATCGTGAAGAGCGTGGACAGGCCCTGGCTCTCGACGCTTCGAAGAATGAGCTCTCCCAGCTGGTCGACCTCAACAGACGCCGAAAGGACGATGACGACAAAGTCGGCGGTGCTGGCAGCATCCAAGCATGCGACGAGGTCTCGCTCGAGGGCGACATATTGCAGCTTCTGCTTGAAGCGATCGACCGGGACCTGGAAGTTGTTGCCGCTCAGGTCGGCTTCGATGTCGAGGCTGCCGTTGAGCGACTGAATGGCCGCCTTTGCGTCGCCGTCGGAGCACAGGGGGATGACGGCGACAATTCTGGGGGCGGCATCCTTTCCGGAGAAGATGGACGTCTCCTTGAGGTGTTCGCGGTGCTTGGTGAGGCGATTCTGCTTGGCCTGGTTCCGTCGGTCGAACTTGGACATGACTTGCTGGTGGGGAGTCTTGCGCGATCCCTTTTCGTTGGGGACTCGGCCTAGATAAAACCAGGTACTGTCAGGATGCTGCCATGGTATGGGCAATATATACAAGCACTACTGCGCAACCAACCTTTTGCGCGGTCTCTCAGCTCATGCTTGGACGCAGCCTTGGACTTGAACGGCTTGTGGGTGACTTTCGTCGTGGGCCGGTGCGAGTGCACGGCGGCAGGCATTTTTCCGTCACCGCCAGCCTTGAACCGAAACGGTAGCGATGCCACTTTGACTGTCGTGAGACTGACTTGAACAGCAGAACTCTCGCGATGCCCTTTGTATCAGGTAAGGCAAGGTGAGGTAGGTATTCGTCTGGACCAGGCGGGCGCAAGACAATGCAGAATCGCCGGCTGGTGGGGTTTTTGGTTATCAAGATTTTTTCTGTTGTGGCGCGCTATCGATAAGCGTGATGGACACGGGCAGATCAGGGTCCGGCCAATGGGACCACTGCGATAGGCGGCGACAAAGTGCTTAGGCGTTGGAAATTTTGTTTCTTTTGCTTGCGACTTGTGATACGAGTCTACCAGTTGCCTCCATCCAGCCCATGTTCTGCGAATAGCCCAGCATCCTCGTTGTCGAATCTCGCCGTCTCGTCCTCGGAACAATTATCAAGAGGCCACTCACTCCCACATGGCCGCAATGGAAGGCGAACCGGCAGTGGCCAGAGCGCCCACAGCGCGCAAGAGCGACGCAATCGTCACGCACAAGCCCCGGACAGACATGGCCACCCGCGCCGAGCGAGAAAAGGCGCGGAGGATACGAGACGCCCAGCAGGCATACGGCCGAGGCAAGCAGATCAACACCAAGCAGATCAAGGACAAGAAGCTGCGGCGGAACCTCAAGCAGCTCGAGGCAAAGTACCAGAGCGCGACGCTCCGGGCCAAGGATGCCGAGATCCTGCTGGAGAACACGTCCGGCTTCCTCGAGGCCGAGGGCGAGCTGGAGCGGACGTACAAGGTCCAGCAGGACGAGATTGTGGCCAATGTCGCCGTCGAGACGGCCAAGAAGCGCTTCGAGCTCAAGCTGGACCAGCTGGGGCCCTACCTGTGCGACTACTCACGCAACGGACGAGAGCTGCTGCTCGGTGGGCGGAAGGGCCATGTCGCGACGATGGACTGGCGGGAAGGAAAGCTGGGCTGTGAGATTCAGCTGGGCGAGACGGTTCGAGACGTCAAGTGGCTGCACAACAACCAATTCTTTGCCGTGGCGCAGAAGAAGTACGTCTACATCTACGACCGGAACGGCGTCGAAATCCATTGCTTGAGGAAGCACTCAGAAGTCACACACATGGAGTTTCTGCCCTATCACTTTCTCCTAGCCACAATGGTATGCATCTCCTCATTTCCCCTTCCCAAAACTTCATTCACTCTCTTAACACTTGGCAAAATAGAACACAGGAGGCGTTCTCAAATACCAAGACACATCAACCGGCCAAATCGTCGCCGAGCTCCCCTCCCGCCTCGGCCCCCCGACCTCATTAACGCACAACCCCTACAACGCCATCATCCACGCCGGCCACCAGAACGGCACCGTCACGCTCTGGTCGCCCAACTCGGCCGAGCCGCTCGTCAAGCTGCTGGCGCACCGCGGCCCCGTGCGAGGCGTCGCCGTCGACCGCGAGGGCCGGTACATGGTCTCGGCAGGCCAGGACGCGCGCATGGCCGTCTGGGACATTCGCATGTTCAAGGAGGTCAACACATACTCGACGTACACGCCCGCGTCGTCGCTCGCCATCTCGGACACGGGCCTCACGGCCGTCGGCTGGGGCACGTCGACGACCATCTGGAAGGGCCTGTTCGACAAGAACCTGGCCGAGCAGCAGCAGCGCCAGTCGCACCCGTACATGAAATGGGGCCGCGAGGGCAAGACGGTCGAGCGCGTGCGCTGGTGCCCCTTTGAGGACGTCCTGGGCATCGGCCACGACAAGGGCTTCTCGTCCATCATCGTCCCCGGCGCCGGCGAGGCCAACTTCGACGCCTTCGAGGCCAACCCCTTCGAGACGGCCAAGCAGCGCCAGGAGACCGAGGTCAAGGGCCTGCTCAACAAGCTGGCGCCCGAGATGATTGCCCTCGACCCCAACTTCGTCGGCAACGTCGACCTGCGCTCCGACGCCCAGCGCCGCGCCGAGCGCGACCTCGACGCCAAGCCCGTCGACGTCGCCGAGGAGATTCGCAACCGCGCCAGGGGCAAGAATGGCGCGCTCAAAAAGTATCTGCGCAAGCAGCGCAAGCGCAACATCATCGACGAGAAGAGGCTGCGCGTCGACGAGCTGTGGAAGGAGCAGCAGAAGAAGAACGACAAGAAGCGAAAGGAGGTCGAGGAGGATCTGGGGCCGGCCCTGTCGCGGTTTGCCAAGAAGGAGTGATTTTTGGTTCTGCTGTTTGGAGTACGGGTAGCGGCTGGTATATAAGATATCTATCAAGACGCATGTTAATAATACAGGGCCCTGAGCATGACAAGTGCTCGTGGAGTCATTGGCGAATCTGCATCCGTCTAACGTGAAGGAAGATGTAATTCCTCGTGTGTGTGAAAACATTATGCTTGCCGTTTCTATGTTTGATCCCAGTATGCCGTTTGTTTTTTTTATATCGCCCGTGTTCCAATGCGTTCATCGATCCCCAGACGCCCGTCCCTTTAGACCACATACTCTATACCACATCCCGTCTCACACACAAGAGACCATATATGCTCTCCCCCTCCTCCCACGAACCATATACGTTCCCCCTTCCCCTCCTCACAACAGCTTCAACCCCCCCGTAACCTTATCCACCAAGCTCTTGGGCGCCGGTCCCACGCCCAGCACCGTCATGCTGCCCGCCTCAATCTGCGTCCGCCCAGCATCCTGAATCACCTCGGCCGTGAGCCCCATGGCGCGCGCCTTGCCCCGCAGCTCGAGCAGCTCAGCCTGGCTCTTGACCTGCACGGCAATCTTGGCCTGCCCGGAGCGCTCCCACCGGGAGAGCACGCGGCGTTCGGGCGACGACGGGTCGGCGCTGGCGAGGGCCTTGTAGCAGGCGAGCGTGGCGTGCGAGCATTGAGCAGCGATTTTGCCTATGTTTTTCCATCCCCCCCCCTCAAATGTCAGTCCTCTTTTTCCCTCTTGACAATTCCGATATCCATCAGAAGAAAGAAGAAAAAGAAAAGGAAAAAAAAATACCTTTTGTCATGCCCAGATCCGTCCGCACAACCAACACCAGCTTACACTCCTCGCTGCTCTCCCCCATGAGGCTCTTCCTCTCCGCAACCCCCGACTCCCGGAAGCGCAATCCCTGCCGGCGGTCCGCGTCCAGCCCGTTGGCCCAGTTGGGCGCGTGGTCCAGCGGCGTGCCGTCGACGTCGACGTCGCTCTCGTCGCTCTCGACCGGGTCGTTGTGGTACCGCCGGCGCTCCTCGGCCAGGGCGGGCGAGATGAGGTAGCCACGCGTGGTGAAGATGCCAAACATGTAGCCCGTGACGAAGCTGGCGAGGGCCGTCGTCAGGACCATGCCCGTCTGGTAGGCCTGTTCGTCCGAGGACATGGTTTTGCTAAAGTTGGCGGCTGATGTGTTTGTGCTGTTTTTTGTTTTGTTTGTTGTTTGTGGTGATGACGTCGGTGATGTAGGCAGAGGGTGACGAGTGTCGGAGAGCAGGCAGGTTGAGTGGTGGACTGCGAAGGCGGTGGTGCTGGTGCTGATGCTGATGATGGTGCTTGAAGGTGTATGTTGGAAATGGAAAAAGGCACCACGTAGAAAAAAGCACATGCAGCCGTCACCAAAAAAGCAATGCCCTGTAGTTCCCAGGGACTCAAACGCTGTCATGCCCTGTATCTTCCATAGTACAGGTAATGTACCCCTCCAACCCCCCACTCCAACCGCTAAACCCCCCCGTATCTGGCCGGTCTCGTCGATATGTATCATCTGATTGATCATCAACTCAGCTCTCAACTCAGCCCTCGAAATATCAACTTAACCCTCAAGCTCTCAACTTAACCCCCTTCTCATCTCACCAACACCACCACCACAAACCTTCCCCTAACAAAACACCAAAATGCCCCCCAAAAAGGCCCTCGTCATCGCCCTCTCCGGCTGCTCCTCCAGCGGAAAAACCACCCTCGCCCGCCTCCTCCGCGACATCTTCCCCAACACCTTTATCCTGCACGAGGATGACTTTTACCGCCCCGAGGCCAAGTGAGTTTCCTTCCTCTCGTCCCTCTCTTCCTCAAACACTTCTCTCTAATGAGTTATAATCCTCTCATGTGAATCATGTTTAGGCTCCCTATAAAGAACGGCCTCGTGGACTGGGACTGTCCCGAATCCATCGACATACCCGCCATGGCAGACGCCCTCTCCTACATCCGCGAAAACGCCTCCTTTCCCGTCCGTAACCTCCCCTACTTACATCCCCCCTCTTTCCCCCCTCTCAATCCCAACTCCATATTCTCTCTCCAAAAACTTCAGACTAAAAACATCCAATCCAGCCAACCCTCGACTCAAAAGAAGACCAAAACTCCGTCGGCCCCTGCCCCATCCCCCCCTCCCTCACAACAACCCTCAAATCCAAAGTCCTCTCCTCCCTGCCTCCCACTCACCCCCTCTTCCTCCTCCTCTCCAACGAACCCAATCAAACACCACCACCACTCAGAATCTGCATCCTCGACGGCTTCCTCCTCTACACCCCCGCCATGTCCCCCATCCAACCCCACCTCGACCTCAAAATCTTCCTCCGCGCGTCCTACGCAAAGGCGAAAGCCCGCCGCGAGGCACGAGACGGCTACGTCACCCTCGAGGGCTTCTGGGCTGATCCCCCTGGGTACGTGGACAAGATTGTCTGGCCGAATTATGTAGAGTCGCACGCGTGGCTGTTTGAGGACGGGGATGTGGAGGGCAAGTTCAAGAGGGACGTGCTTGAGAGGGAAGGGATCCGGGTGCCGGAGGGGGAGCCCCTGGATGGTGATATGGAGGCTACGCTGACGTGGATCGTCGACTTGTTGCTGGAGGAGCTGAGAAAGTATGCCTAGATTCATCAAGAAAAGGCATGTGTTGAATAGTCATGTTGGATAGGTACCTAGATGTAAGATTCTATATAAGTCATCATCATCTTGAATCTAGGTCATATATCATCATCATCATCGAAAAACGAAAAGTTGCCAAAATCAAATGCAGGCAGTCTAGTCCATCCCTTCATCTCTCATGATCGTTTTGGAAGGTCAAACGCAAAATGCTCATCCAACATCAGTCTTCCCAAGACCCTCATCATCTTCAGCCTCACTCGCCCTCCCCAATCCCACCTTTATCCCACCATCACCACATCCTCAGCACCGCGCCTTTTCTCCTCCCTCAAAATCCGCAACGCCTCCGTCGCACCCTTCGTCTTCACCTCCTCCTTATTGACCCCCCCACGAACCTCCACAACCTCCCTCTTTCCAACAAACACCTTGCAGAAATACTCCCTCTCCCCCGCGCTCTCCTCGCTCCCCTTCATCTCGAGCTCGTACGTCACAGTCTCTGTGTTTGCCCACATGCCCAGCTCCTCCTTAGGATGCTGCACGTGGACTTCGTCACGCAGCAGCCGATCCATGTACTTTAAGATCCCAAACTGCGCAACCATGCCCTCGCACGCCGCCAGCGACCCGGAGTCGATCCACACAGCGCCGAGAACCGCCTCGAAGAGGTCAGAGTAGAACTTCTTCGGGCTCAGGGCGGCCAGCAGCGCCCAGGGGTAATGATCGTCATTGTCCATTGCTTCGTGAATCTGCTCTCTCAGGGCAGCGTGCCGCTTGTTCGTCTCCTTCAGCTCGATGGCAATGGGAAAAGAGGCCTGCCTCAAAAACGACCACAGGTAGGAAATCGTTTCCGGGACCTCCACCGTAGCTTCTTCTGTCACCACAGGGTCCGCCGCCAGTTGCACTCCGTGCTCCATTGTCATGAAAGCAAGAAAGTCCCCATTCACCAGGCCCGTCTTCAGCGTATGCATCCTGAAATGGGGCAGCGCTGGCTTCAGCCTAAAGAGCTTCGTAACGATAATGTTGTCCAGGACAGCGTCTCCTATGAATTCGAGCCTCTCGAGAGATCGCGTTCCGAAGTCTGCAGCATACGAGGCATGCGTCAGAGCCTCCATCAAGAGCGCCTTTTTCTGGAACGTGTAGCCGATCAACTTCTCCAGCGGCTCCAATGGCGGCGGGAGAGGCTCGCCGTCTGGCACTCTCGCAAAGAGAGACTCTCTATCTGCATCAACACTGGTCCACGAGCCTTCGGGGACGAATTTTGAGATGCAAGTCACTGCCTTTGAAAGGCCTCCATCGACGTATGAGGCCCCGATCAGCGCCTCGACCACGTCTGCGAGCGTCTTGGTCGATAATTTTCTCTTCTCCGGCGTAGCGACGTCCCCTTGCTGGAGGACCTCGTCCAGGTAGAGTGGGCGCCACTTTTGACCGGTAAAAGGTTTCGTCAAGATGAACCTCGGCAGCCCAAACTCGAGAGCGGCTTTGTACAGCCTCGAGTTGGAGACGAGTCGGTCTCTCCAATACGAGAGATAGCCCTCGGGATAGTCGGGTTCTAGGCAGTATCAAATGTGGTCAGCAAAACAGTTCCATGTCAGAGGACAGGTGCACACAGGAGTCATATATGAGTAAAACGCTTGAGCAACTTACTTTCAGCAGCGGCGCGCATACAGGCACAAAACTTGAGAATCGAGTCGCCCAAAAACTCCAGCCTCTCGTAATTCACCGGCTCCGAGGCACTCCGCGCGCTGATGGCCTCCTTGACCAGCTGCAGATCCGAAATGCCAACCTCGTCGAGAACGGAGTAGGCCAGCTCCTTGGCCATGAGCATGACGCCGAGCTCGTGGATCATGGTCGGGATCAGCATGCCAAACTGGGCGTGCCTGGCGGGGATGGTATCGACTGTCGCCCACGACAGCGGATATACGCGTGCGTATGGCTTGCTACTAACCTCATTCTTGGCGGGATTCCCTTGGAGGCGATGCAGAAAGTCGGTCCGCCGCGTCCATTTGGTGAGCACGAGATACGGCACGTCTTCGGGCGCCTTGTCGTACTCGTAAAAGGTATTCTGGACCTGGCTCGGTTCGGGCTTGAACGCAATGGTATCCTTGTACAGGTAGGGGGCTCTGGTGTTGTCCCGGATGAGAAACTCTCCCCGGCTGACGCTCTCATTCTGTGGATCGTATGTGAGCTCGCCAATTTGGTTCAGCGATAGGGGTTGATCCTTGGCCCAGACCCGAATGACGTGCTCTTTCTGCTCGAGAGGCCATCGATGACCGAAATGCAGCGCCAGCAAAGTCGATGTATGATCTGGCAGGGACGCAACTTGCTCGTGCGGCACGGGTATCCCGGCCTTCAGCTGCAACTCCACCTGGTGATTGCGGTCGAGGAACATTTTCAGGGGCTGAGGCTGGTTCAGCCAGACTGGCAGCAGAACCTCGTACTCTGCACTTACTCGGCCGTCCTCCTCCACGCAGCTCAAGGAGTAAAGCCACTTGTCGCCAGCTTCCCGCCACGCAGGAGCGACACGATGCCATGGCTTCATCAACGGCTCGACCGGCACCTCGGATACTCGCTTATCGATTCCGAGCATGTCGCTGGACTTGAAGGGCAGCAGGTTCTCGTTGACGAGCTTCGCGTCATACAGGGCTATATACGCCTGATACGCAGCATCCTTGGTGGCGTTCTTCTCGGAGCGCCAAGGAGAAGCACTGGTGTGCTGCCTCAGATTCACCGGCAGAAACGGAGGGAGCAGTACAATGGCAGTCAACAAAGGAGAGTCCTGCTCCCTGCGGATGATGTAGTCCGGGCGGCTGTCCACAAAGTCCGACGGGCACAAGACTCTGCAGAAGTGCTCGAGGTGCTGCTTCGCATTGTCAAAATCTAGCCTTGCGCCGGTAGACGGGACGGTGAAGGAGATGGTGCTCGGACTCTCCGAATCTTCCAGTTTGCCGAGTTCGCGAATCGCCCTCTCTTCGTCTTCGAAGATCCTGTTCATCTCCTCCTCTTTCGCCTGCCACTTCAAGATCGCAGGGTTGGCATCGTCAAAGAAAAGAAGGAGATTCGAGTCCTTGGAGCGAGCCCGTCCGCGCCGCTGGATAAAGGACTTTGGGGTCGTCGGAGTGTCAAAGCATATGACTAGGTTGCAGGCAGGCACGTCGATGCCCTCCTCCAGCACTGACGTCGCAATCAGCAGGTTAATCTTGCCGGAGCGGAAGCTCTGCAGGTCCTTGTAGTCCGTTTTCTGGTCGAAGTCATAAACGGCCTTCCGCCGCCCAGCGTAATTTGAGGTGCCAACCATGGTCCCGATCCGGTACCGGGACGTGATTGTGTGGTTGACAGAGAGAACCTCGGCCAGCATAGCAACCATGACTCGTTCCTCGACGAAGATGATGCCCACCGTGGGCTCCTCTACCGACAGAAGCTCAAAGATTAGCTTACCGACCTTGTCGGAAATGTCTTCAAAGACCTGTGGCACATCGGAAGGACGTTGGACCTTGACTCGACGATAGATGTCGGCCAGGTGCTTCTTTTCCAGGAAGCTTGTCGACCCCGACGACCACTTGTTGCCATACTCGTCAACTCCATCCGTCTGCCTGTCCACCTTGTCCAAGTGAGCTGAGATGGCCTTCCAGATGAAGAGGTCAGCAGCCCAGGGACCGAGTTGCTTGCATATCTCTCTTGATCGGGCGCAGAACGACTTCATCTGGTTCTGTGTGTAGGTATCGTACTTTTCAATGGCTGTTAGCAGCAGGCGGTTGTTTCGGTCCGTAGGGTTGTTGCGCAGCATGAGTATGTAGGGGTCTTCGAGAATGTCCAGCGCCCGGTAGACCCGATCCAAGTCGCGCATGGTGGGCGTCGTGATGTCTTCTTTGCCGGCTTTATAGATGATGTGCTTGATATTGGGCCTCTTGACGCATTTGAGCAGTTCGTCGCGATGGAGAGTGGGCGAGACGCATCTTGCATCCATCAGCCATTCCAAGGCATCAATATCGGCAAGCTCAGACTGAATGCTCGGAGTTGCCGTCAGACCCAGAACAGCAGGCACGCTTTCACCAGCCAGCTTGCGCGGATGGTAGTGGTGGAGCATGATTTTGCCGCCTGGACTTCTGCCAATGCAGTTGTGGACTTTTGCACAAGACACGTCAGCGATTTGCAACTTCTGGCGGCCCCTTTGCCTTTACAGAGTGAAGGCAGGTCGTCCCATACCTTCATCAAATACAAGCAGCGCCAGAAGACCCAAGTTCAGGTAAGCATGGTCAAGGGCATCGAGCAGAACCTGGGGTGTGGATATGACAATTCGAACCGTGTCGAGAAGAATGGCCCAGATATCCGGCCCCCAAGCATCGATATTGGAGTTCCCGGCCAGTGTCATCATGGGCACGGCAGGTATCTGCAACTTGAGCACATCGTGTTGCTGATGACACAGCGAAACTGTTGGCGCGATGAACCAGATGATCTGATGCGTGCTGCGTCAGTGCAGCTGTCCAGGTCGTTGTGCAACTGTATCCAGACGGCAGACTCACCTTTGATGCATCGCAGATTTCCAGCTCCTTCTTGATACGAAGCACAGCTCTGATGCAAGCGCCAAGTCAGTCTTTTGCGAAGAAGGGTGCTAAGGGCTGGCACAGGTTACGTGGGCTGCCGATGATGAAGATGCACAACTTACACTTGAGTCTTGCCACTTCCCGTGTCCATCTAGATTTATAACAACGCCCCTTGGTCAATGGACATGTCTTTCAACGTCGAAGACAACGACAGCAAAGGGGGAGACGGGGGATTGGAGAGAAACTTCAACATACAGCAACAATGACATTTTGCTTGAGGCTCTTGTCGAGCATCTCGATCTGATAGGCCCTCATGACTTTGACTTGCTCTCCCTCCTCGCCCAGCAGTGCTGCCTGGGAGCCTGAGGTTGTTGTCGGGATGGCTCCATCTTGACCGGGCGTAGGCTGCTTGATATCAGCTCCAGGCACGGCAGCCTCGTCGGCGACATGGCCATCGGGAGCACCATCCGACCCCGTGGCCGCGCCCGCCCCTTTCTCGACGGCGTGGCCAGTCACATAGTTGAGCGATGGAGCCACGTCTCCAGAGGAGCAAGACGACCATGAATCCGCGTCCGACGACGACGACGAGCGTGGGCGCACCCGCGGCACGTCATCCCCAGCGCTCGCCAGGCCCGGAGCAGCAGCCGAAGCAGCGCGGACAGGACCAGGACCAGACCCAGGCCCTGACCCTGACCCTGATGGCAGCCCAGGGCCAGCCGCCGCTACTAGCTGCAACATGGAAAGGCGACGGCGGCAGTTTGGCGCTCCCGCGGCGGCGGATCCCGGGGTGTGACTCAGGCAGCGGCCCCTGCGAAGCACCCGCAGCCTCAGGGAGCGTATTCTGACGTGTCGGGCAGACGCAACGAGTGCGTATCGAGCGACTAGCTGCGCGTGAATCCCGGCTCGCGATGCCTCACGGCGACGGCGGCGGAGTTGGTTGCGGGGTTGGCGACTCGACGCTGGCGGGCTGGGACGCGGATTTGCACCTGGATCACCTGGATCTGGAGCTGGAGCTGCTGGATTCATGCCCCTGCTCGGCGGGAAGCCGGTGATTTGCGTGGCTGCCACTGGGGAGCTAAGAGAGAGGCAAGCCGTAGTCTTAGTCGTAGTTATATGTAGTTGTAAGGTAAGGCAAGGTACATGTAGTCGTCTGTAGGGCCTGTCTAGCGAACCTTGAGGTTTCCTGGATCCACGGCGAGCTTGGCCAGCATCAGAGAGAGGAGGAGGAGGCAGAGAGGCGTCAACAGCTGAGGCGTCACGGCTCGAGTGTCACAGGCATCGCTTCCCCGCAGGTGGAACAAGGCGTGTGTCCTTTCGTTGGGCTGCTGAGATGCCAATTGCTTGCTTGCTGGGGGTGAGAGAGAGGCCGCAGAGGTGTAGGAGGAGGAGACGCAATTGGGTGACGTGGGGGGAGTGAATGAATACAACGTCAAAGCAGGACTGCGAATTCAATCTATGGCAGGCAAGGACACTCGTGCACGACAGGCTACATAGCTACTATTAGCAAACGGAGGATGTTGTTTTTGTGTTGGTTCATGCAGCCACTCATGCAGAGCCCCGGCCTCTTCTCACCTTGTTTGGGTTGTTGAAGCTTGTTTCGTGGCTTGATAGTGAGCCGCTGCGTTAAGATTCAAACTGTCACCGTTAGCGTCGGCAGCCTCGTTCACGGCCTCTCCTTGGTTTCTGGAACTCTCACAGGTATGTCAAGCAAGAATGTGTATCTTGACAATTTACCTCGATTCAACCAGACCCGGTGTTATCTGTTCTGGTTATTGCTATCTTATAGTACTGTTGGGCCCCACGAGTGGCCGCTGCCTGGCCCGTCAACTCACCAGTCTACCTTGCCTTGTAGTGTGTCGGCCTCCCACATGAATGCGTTTACCCGGCACAACATGTGAGCAAATGCTACCTCTACATTGAAAGCTTTCCAGGTCATATGAGCCAGGGATCAAGAAATCCGCGGAAAGGTCAATAAAATGGGAGTTACTGAGTATATTCCGTCCCGTGCCTTTTCTTCATGCTGGTCTCTGGAGGAAATCTCACGGCTATCGTCACGAATGGCCGAATAAGTGCGACCATCTTCAGAGCTTCGTGTGACTGGCGACCATCTTTACCCGAAGTCAGATAGACAGGAATCACCATTGGTAGCAGTGACTAATTAATGCACTGTTACAACACATGACTGACAAGTTTCGAAAACCAAGAATAAGGTACTATCAATATCATAAGTACCTAGGATCTAAGGTATGTAGGCAGACCGTCATCATCACCTTCAAACCCCCGACAGGACAGGCCTCAATCCCCGGCAGTAGGTACATACTCTATCTCCGGGACTTGACGACCCACCATTGCGATTGCCGCCTCAATGCCAGAAGGAACTTTTGTCCTCCCAGTGCTTTGTCCTGCTACTGTCATTACCAAGCAAGCCTTAGGAGTCATAAGAGTCATACTGAACCTTAGGTACTTGTTGGGCAGAGCCATGTGGCCTACACTCCCAAACTCAAAATTACTGGTCCGTTCATGCCTTGGATCATGTATCTTTCCATTTGCCAATCATAGGCCTCCCGGAACTTTCAAGCAATAGAGAGGTCAGCTCGATGCTGGACAGGGCAGACCGTACTTACACGTACCTAGGTAGCCTCTCTGTAGAACCTTTGACCCTCAAAAGGTTCATCACCAAGTTATTGCGTAGCATGACCTAGAATACTGAAATTAGATCGCGCAAGTAGCAATAATTCGCTATACTATGTATGCGGCAAGTCGCATTTCAGAAGCCGGTTCTGTTCAACCACAGTCCAACCGTCGTCAATCTGGAGATGCGTCACAGGAGCCGCAGGTGACTGCACAGCGATGCACCGTGGTGATGACATTGAATCTGCCTAGGTATAATTACCTACATTTTCAATGTCTGTCTTCAAAAATAGAATAAAGTGCCACTTGGCATTCGACAATTGTTGTGTTGAACAATTGGGAGTATCTACGTCGTGAATCATGTTGCAAGCAAGAGGTATAGGTAGGTACCTTACCTGTTGAAGCAGCTAGCGCCCTAGAGGCAGCCTCTGATGTCGTCTTGTCATTTTTTGATCCATCTCAAACAAGTCTCAACAACGCATCCCATGCACCATGGAGCTTTTCGCAACAGGCTTCAACGCCTGGAACCAGCTCACTTTCACCAAAGGCAGCCCCCAAGAGGCCATCCCAGAGGAACCAGATGACCTCTTCGGCTTTACAAAAGTTCTCTCCGCCACATCCATTGAACGGCCAGTATCGCGCCTCACTTACACCATCGGTACCTTATATCAAATCACAACCTATCTCATACCCCATCACACCTCCCTTTTACGCCCTATAAAAGACCATTACCGCCTAAACCTCAACAATCAAACCACAAACTGACAAAAGATTTCCCCCCCCTCCAGTCCGAAAAGACGACCACCTCATCCTCGCCGGCCATGGCCCCTCGCAGCACAACCTCGAGCACCTCTACGCGTCCGCCGAAACCGCAACCGGCCAACTCCTCACCATCATCCATGAAGATGAAGATGGCGACATCAACAACAAGCTAGCCAAGCACGCCTCCCCATCCTCCTGGTCATCCGGCGCCAACCCAGACTCAACCTTCACCTGCCGACCCAAAGCAACCCAACTCGCCGCCTTCGACACCGGCTTCGTCATCCTCCACTCCGACGGCACCGTCTCGACCTTTGGCGACCCTCGCTTTGAAGCTTGTCTTGGAAGAGACACCGATCCGCCCAACCCGTAAGTCTCTCTCTCTCTCTCTCTCACACACACACACACACACACACTCCTATTCATCCTCCCCCATCAAACGAATACCGGATGTGCATTAGGACGTTCCTCCTACTATCCCGGGAATCGTAAGAGCCGGACGACTAACCCGGGCCACGGAGTTAACCAGCCCACCCGACCTTCCGGGCCCGGTACCCGATCTCCACGAAATCGCCTCCTCGGAGGACCCCATCAAACACGTCACGGCAGGCGGCTCCGCCGTCGCGGCGCTGACGACCAGCGGCAGCGTCTACGTCTGGGGCTCGCGGACGCTCTCGTCGTCATCATCCTCATCATCATCATCATCATCAAAGACAGCGGAAATATCTCGTCATCATCGCCTAGGACATGGCTTCACAGAACTCTCTGGTATCCCAAACTACACGGAGATTGATGGCGGAAAGGATGTCGTAGATGTTGCCCTGGGGGAGGGCCATGCCATTGCGCTGACGGCTGATGGGCTTGTGTATGTCGTTGGCGAGAATGCTAATGGCCAGCTGGGATTGGGCGAGGTTGGTAAGGGGGTGTCCGGCACAGATGGATGGCTCAAGCTTCGATTCGAAGCTCCCGAGGGTTCCAAGATTGTGGGAGTCGCGGCTGGCCCACGGTCGTCCTTTATCCTTACAGCTAAGCTATAGCCTCAGCAGGTTCTCAGCCAAGAAAAATACCAAGATTCATGAAAAGGAAGAATAGCCGACATAAGACGACGCTGCATGCCAAATTCTTTTGTTTATTAAGCTTTATGGTACATCAAAGCCTGCTCATCATCATTCCGCGTGCGGCATGTCTATCATAGACTTGACAGGTAATCCTCAATCTCCTGAGGAGTCAGCTTTCTAAACCGGGGGCCCGTGGCACCCTCAACTCCCTCGACACCCAGCAAGTGGTCAGCTGGAGGGCCAACGATGCCTATCAGAAAGGTCAGTATGTGATCCAGCCGCACATTTGCAGCACTAGGCAGGGACGTACCGATCTCGATCGAGTCACCGTTCATCTCGCCTTCAATGTTGTCCTTGAGCGTCAGCAGCGCAATGTGGATGGCGTCTTCCAGCTCGAGCTCCTCCGAGTATCGCTTCTCCAAAAAGGTCTTCGCCTTGGTTGCGCTCTTGCCAATGGCCGTGGCCTTCCACGGGAAATAGCTGCCCGTCGGGTCGACCTGGTACAGCATAGGTCCTCCCTTGTGGATGCCGCCCGTCTTTTTTGTCTTCTTCACCTCCTCACCCTCCTTGACCTCGGTCTCCTCCTCAGGGTCGATGCCCTCGTCCCAGCCGGCAATCAACATGCTGACGCCGTATGGCCGGACACCAGCCGACTGAGTGGCCTCCTGCATGACTCTGGCGACATCCTGCACGAGTATTCTGGTGGGGGGGTATTCGTTGTAGATGCGCTTGTAGCCGGTGTGGGAGACCTTGCGCGCTCTGTCGACAAGCACTCTGTAGTCGGGGCCCATGCCGGAGTAGACGGTGCCGATGTTGGGCGTGATGTGGCTGATCTTGGACAGGCTGCTCTGGTCGGCGAGGGGAGACGAGGACTTCTTTTCGGTAGCGAGGACGATGCCGTTGGTAGCTGCGTGGTTGCCCTCGTTAGCTGGTCTGTCATGTCACCTTCGAGGGGTAGCTCAGCCTACCTTTGATACCCAGCGCTGTGATGCCCTGGTTGACGGCATTCAGAGCATACTCTGCGAGAGAAAAGCTACATGTCAGCATCGTCCTAGAGCGAGCATTCCACTCGGTGGGTGGTCAAGGCCCGCGCAGGCTGCCCAGGGAAGTGCATACCGATTTGCACCAGCTTGCCGCTATCAACATCACAAGCAGTCAGTAGAGGGGTCTTTCGCAGCTGGAGATGACGTCCACGACGTACCTGGGCGAGAAGGTTGTGAGGGAGAAGGAGTATCTGTCCGCCATGGCTGGAGGGGTGTCGACTGATGTGCGGGCTGGTCGGGCGAGGAGATGCGGTGCTGCAATGCGTTTGCTGGAGTTGAAGCTGCTCTGCCCTGCTAGAGGTATGCCATAATGCAATCCCACCTCCGGCGTCAAGGCCAGGCACACTGAAGCTGCGCGTCAAGCTCGGGCCAGCCTAGCTGGTGGCGGACTTACTGTTCTGCCGGCCTCCGGTGGGGAGCTCCCTCTTTTCCCACCCACTGAACTTTGGTGCAGCTTTTTCTGGCTCCGACAATATCATTACTATCCCCTAGCACAAGCATCATCCATCACCTCTCGCGGTCACGCAGTCGGAGGAATCGGCTAGCCGGAATGTGAGGCAGAAAGTGGTGAAGTGGCCTCTTTACATTCCGTCTCTGTGAAGACTCGAGCGTGCCTTTTCCCCCCTTTCCTCTTCAGTTTGTCCTTCTCGAGCTGGCGCTTGACCGACAGCTTGCTGAGCACTTCTACCATGTGAAGCACACCACTTACCATCCATTGACTTCTATATCTGCTTTTCTCGTCAGTATATTGCAGGAGCGATACCCCAGGCTGTGTCCCTGTTGGCGCGTCAGAAGTTGAAACCCAGACCGGGCACTACTTCTGCTCTTCTATTCTCTGCCGAGACATCAGCCGTGATGGAATGGTTTGGAGAGAGGGTGCGAACCCCGTACCAGGCGACGGTGCACGAAAGGACGTCGGCGGCATATCCCGATGAACGTTCGGCATCTGACAACACCAGAGAGCACCCGCGTGCACAATCTCAACCGCCCCCAGATGCCAGGCATGGGCACAGACGATATAAGCCACGAACATGTCGGATCTGCCTGGACTCAGTGGAACCAAGATTTCCTCCCAACTCGTCCCAGTCGACCAAGCCAACCTACGTGTCCGACGACCCTGAGCTTGGAAAATTGCTGTCCCCGTGCAAGTGCAAGGGATCGCAAAAGTACGTCCATGAGGGGTGCCTCAATGCTTGGCGCCTATCGAACCCTACTGCCAAGAGGAACTACTGGCAATGCCCGACGTGCAAGTTTTCCTACCGGCTGGTTCGCCTCCATTGGGCCTCGATGCTAAGCAGCACATGGGCCCAAGCCGGCCTGACGGTGGTGATTCTCTTGACGAGCATCTTCTTCCTGGGTTTCATGGCAGATCCGCTTCTCAATCTCTGGTTCGATCCTGTCGGTACCGTCACCGATGCCGTTACGAGCGTGGTCACAGATATTGAAGCGTTACGGGAGCCAGACTGGGAACCACCGACAACGTGGACCGAACACTTTGTCAAGGGCTTCTTCTCCCTCGGTCTTGTTGGCATCTTCAAGTCCATGCTGGCCCTTTCACCTTGGCACTGGTGGAATCTGCGTAGCATGACGGGAACCGGCAGACGCCAGGGCACTGGAAGGGCCAGAGTGGAGAACATCAGTCTCCTTTTCGTTCTCATGGGAGCCTTTACCACTCTCGTGGGGATTTGGAAAGGCGTCAGGAAGTTGAGTGAACGTCTGCTGAAGAATGTGAGTGAGAGGGTCCTGGACGTGGACGGCAACGACGGTGATGCCGACGAAGACGACGACGACGGAATACCCGAAGCGAAGAAGGATGAATGACGAATCTAGCCTTGTCATTTCTCTCATCTGATCTGGAGACGTTCCTCATCATCCTTATGTTACTGGACCAAGCGTCCTGCTTTTGCTCTTTTCTCTTGCACACTCTTAAGTTGCCTCGAACTCGCTCTTCCGTGTCAAGTCAACTAGTCTGCGTGCAGATAGCGACGCTCTGCCAGCGCCTTGAGCAGAGGCCGTCTTGGCTCTCTGCTCGCTGGCCTGGTGTGAGATTTGCCGGTGCGTCTGCGTGCGTCGAGGATGCCCTCGGGTGTCCAAGACGTTCGCGTTCCTACAAGTATCTGCTCCGTACGCCTCAAGTATGTACACTTGTCCTGAGCAGCATCACTGGGACAGCCCGGCACATTCTGTAAACAAACATGAATCTTCACTATCAAATTAAAGTGATACAACATTTCAATAAGCACAAGTATGATTGTCTGGTGGCCGTGATTGTTCTACTTTGAGGTATATCTGCATATCGAGCTTCATGTTGCTCACTGGCTTCACCAACCAACCACAACCTCGTCAGGGCCCCCCCTTTCATCACCCAGCTCACCCACTCTCAACGGCACCGAATAACATCTCCAGCTTGGTACTAGCCGCAACCTTACCTCCGTGTTGCAGCATGTAGGCAGCAGTAATACGAGAAAATCGAACCAGCGCCGTCTGCACTCGCAAAGCAAATCACAGCCCAGTGCTAATCTTGATGGCATCAATTGGCTGGCCCGGCGATTCGTACCTCCGGCGCCGAGTGCAGCCCGGGCGCCTCGTGTTCCCAGGTGAAGGTACCCCCAAAAAAAGCACCCCTAGCAACATGGCCACAAATGTCATAAGCATAAGGGATCGCCAATCGCCTCACCGCGCGCGAACGCCTTTCGCAGCGGCCCGTCAGACTTATTTTCCCTTGATTTCCTCGTCGCCTCTGCCACTCGTTTGATGAACTGCGAGGACCGTCGGCCATCGAATTAGGACTCTCGGATCCCCGCCCTGCTTATCGCAGTTGTCGCACAGCTGGCCTCAGCCGCACGATCGAGAGCGGCTCAGGAGAAGACGACAGACTGGTTCCAGCCGCCTGCATCCCGCAGTATCCGCCTCATTGATCGTGATAACCGCGGCGCAATTCGCTATTGCAAGAACCCGCGAGGATTGGAAGACGACAGAGACACGCCAGAGTCGAACTGACCGCAGTCGATATTACCGGCACTCACGGAGCCGAGCCGCCCACGATCCTGCCGCTTGACCTCGTCACATCTCGCCTCGACCGACAAGATGCATTTCGCATATCCCTCCCGCAAGAGCTCGAACCCGCCGCCCTTCCGCCCTCGATCCACGCGGCTGCCCGGCCTGCGGAGGAGTCGCATCAAGACGATTGGCATTGTGCTGTTCCTGGTGCTCGCGACGCTCTGGTTCTTTTCAAATCCACGGGTCCCGCGCCCCGATCCTGAGCGCGTGCCTTCGGGCCGGCCGCCAGTCGTGCTGGTGACCGTCATCGACCCGACGCAATATCCCAATGCCTACCTGAAGACGATCAAGGAGAACCGCGAGCAGTATGCCGCAAAGCATGGTGGGTAGCACGAGTCTTCTCCATTGAGGGTCTCACCTTGTCTACATTGCGCCCAGTCGCTGACATGCATGAATAAACATAGGTTACGAGGCATTTATCGTCAAGGCCTACGACTACGACACCCAGGGAGCGCCGCAGTCTTGGTCGAAACTCATGGCTATGCGGCATGCGCTGACCAAGTTCCCGGAGTGCCGCTTCGTCTGGTACCTCGACCAGGACGCCTATATCATGGATATGAGCAAGTCGCTGGAGGAACAGCTCCTGAATCGGCAAAAGCTGGAGAGCCTGATGATCAAGAATTACCCCGTTGTGCCGCCGGACAGCATCATCAAGACGTTTTCGCACCTGAGACCAGATGAGGTCGACCTCATTGTTAGCCAGGACAGCTCAGGCTTGGTGGCCGGCAGTGTTGTGGTTAGGAACAGCCAATGGAGCAAGTTCCTGCTGGAGACGTGGATGGACCCTCTGTACCGAAGCTACAATTTCCAAAAGGCTGAGAGACATGCTCTGGTGAGTCACGCAGATCATGGGGGGACGCAGGATGGGAAAGACGGGGAGACTAATTTTCAAAACCAGGAGCACATTGTGCAATGGCATCCCACCATCCTCTCGAAGCTGGCACTCGTACCGCAACGCACGCTCGGCCCCTACACGCGCACCGACCAAGGCGACGCCTACCAAGACGGCGACTTTGTCGTCATGTTCACCGGGTGCACGAAGTCAGGCGAACAGAGCTGCGAGACCGTGTCAGCAAGCTATTATCAGAAATGGAGCTCTTCATTGTAAACGACACAACAACAGAGTAGGAGAGCTCAAATCCATCTATATGGGGCGAACATGGAAAACGAAAGATTGGGAGGCAAGTTATGGGTCAAAAAATACATTGATAAAACAGAAACAAGGGAAAACCATGAAAAAGAAGACTGGGAACTTATGGAGGGGCGGGCGGGCAGGCGGACGGCGGCGGAGGCAAGGAAATCAGAAACAACTTGCGTAATACCGGCGTTCGTTCGGAGCATATATCCTCTGGAGTCTATATCCACGGCGTTATCTGGGTTGGACAAACGTGTTGGTGTCGTTGGCGGCTTATTGGAGGATGAAATGGTATAAAACCAATGAGAATTCAGCAGATTTCGGCATGACTGATAGATTGAAGCGTGCGACACGAATCGCGGGAGGAGCGCCAGCGAGTTGAATCCATCGAAAGCGTTGATGACTGGAGGTTCGATTGTATTGCAACTTGTTGAGTATGGTGAGAAGAAGAGTGAAGGGAAGGGGAGGCAGTAGGATGAAAGCGAATAGCTGCGCTTGTCTGTTTGTATTATTCTGATGAATCATGTCTTTTCGCCTTATTCTTGTGTCGAGTCGTCAGCGCGGTCAAGTTCCAGATGATATATAGTATCCTATGATGTTATTAACATCTGCCAGGTTGGGCCATGTCCATTGTCAGTGATTGTCGTTGATGTTCTTGAGATACAGTGATGTAGTGGTTGCCGAAAGCATGAACAAATATTGGTGGTAAGATCTGATGACAGCCAAGGTATCGTGGAATGAGCCTCACTGATCAATTCCGTGTAGTTCCGTGTAGCCCATTGCGATCAGGAAGCACCCTAGGATCAAGAAATGTCAATGACATACTGCCTCCTTCAGTCTCTAGACAACATATCCAGTCTATTACCGTATCTTTCAACGAACAGCTGCAACTCCCGGCAATACTCCATACACTGATCAGCTGCAATTTCTCTTTCATGTCTGACAGGCACAGTAATACAGAGCAGACTTAATATCTCGACCAGTCATTCTCCTCGTATAGTAGTATTACAGAGGGCGTCTGTCTCACGCCCTATACATCAACCTTGACATGCGGTATTTGCTCACAAAATCAATGTCGCTCGTATATATCACTCAGAGCAAGATCAAGAAATCCATCTCATGTCATCACCATCAAAACTCAGTTCGTCTCCGGTTCTTCCATTGTCCGGCACGGCGTCCGCGGGTTTCCCTCTGCCCTCCACTGCCATCCCCCTCTAGGCTTAGCCTGGCTCCCCTCCATCCACGTGAAGACGCCCGAAAATAGGACGCTAGACCCCATCGGGAGGCCACTGGACACCTTTCCGCAGCTCTGGCGCTTCTCATTGGCTCAGGCTGCGAGCTGGGCGAGACCCATACTGACAGGTTTAGTCTGTCTCAGCCGAGGTGGCAGGTTGCTCTTTCCCGAGCACGCATCATGTGCGGCAGAGCTCAATTACAAAAGTACGTACGAGTACATGCGCGCGCTATCAACAACGGCAGCGGGAACAATGTACTCTGCGGCAGCAATGTGGCGGCAGCGGTACTTTTGTCTGACGTAGCTCGTGTTAGTGGCAAGGTGCATCACCTCTTGCTGCTCGCAGACAAGATAAACCTGCCTCTTCCATTCCTCAGCCATTCGATACTCTCATCTACACAGAAGCGCTGGGCCTCTCTTTTGTGCAATGCTGGCTGCGAGGAATTGACCTGCTGCTTCAGCATAATACCTTGCTTGTCCTCCATACTCAGTCCCAGTACGTGACTCTGCGGTTGCAACGACTGATCGAGTGAGTACTCGACAAACGGCCGCCACGATGCCCGGCAGCTCGCGCATTCCCCAGAGCCTCCGCGGCAGTCTGGAGAGCGTCAAGCGCCGGAGACAGGCGCTGTCGCTCAGCCTTATCAATATCGACCTGTGAGTTTTGAGCCCCTTTAATACAGTCTCTGCTGCTTTGATTCGGTCCAATTGCGTGAGATGGCTTCCTGCTGACGACGCCCGTCTCGTGAAATAGCATCAAGAACATCATCTTCTTCTACTTCGTCCTCCGCTGGACCCGGCGCCTGTGGTGGAAGCTCAAGGGCCGCGGCATCATCGGCGCAATCCTCGAGCTGTACCGCGACATTGAACGGACCCTGTATGGCTACTTTCTGCGAGCGCCGGGCGTGCGCGGCCAGGTGCAGAAGAAGGTCCAAGAATCGCTCGACAAGATGGCCAACAAGCTGGTGCCCCCCGGCCAGACAAAGTACCTGGCGCTGCCCAAGGAGGGCTTGACGGACGAGGCGGTGCGCGCGGAGCTCGACGCCCTGGCCAACATGGACCACACCCGCTGGGAGGACGGCTACGTCTCCGGCGCGGTCTACCACGGCGAGGACTACCTGCTGAAGCTGCAGACGGAGGCGTTTGGCAAGTTTACCGTAGCAAACCCGATCCACCCGGACGTCTTCCCGGGCGTGCGCAAGATGGAGGCCGAGATCGTGAGCATGGTGCTCAATCTGTTCCACGCCCCCGTTGGTGCTGCCGGCGTAACGACCTCGGGCGGTACCGAGAGCATCCTGATGGCGGTGCTGTCTGCGCGCCAAAAGGCCTACCACGAGCGTGGGATCACAGAGCCCGAGATGTAAGCTGCGAGTGCTTCTGCAGGCGCCGTTTTACAGGATACTAATGTCCGCTATCCTAGGATTCTGCCGTCAACTGCACACACGGCTTTCCGCAAGGCCGGCGAGTACTTCAAGATCAAGATCCACTACGTAGACTGCCCTGCCCCCAACTACCAAGTAGACGTCCGCAGGGTCGCCCGCCTGGTCAACCGCAACACGGTGCTGCTGGTGGGCTCGGCGCCCAACTTCCCTCACGGCATCATCGATGACATCGCGGCCCTGAGCAAGCTGGCGCTGCGCAAGAAGCTGCCCCTGCACGTGGACTGCTGCCTCGGCTCGTTTGTCATTGCCTGCCTGGACAAGGCGGGCTTCGAGACGCAGCCGTTTGACTTCCGGCTCAAGGGGGTGACGAGCATCAGCTGCGACACGCACAAGTACGGCTTCGCGCCCAAGGGCAGCTCGACGGTCCTGTACCGCACGGCGGAGCTGCGGTCGTACCAGTACTTTGTCTCGCCCGACTGGGCCGGCGGCGTCTACGCCTCGCCTGGCATGGCGGGATCGCGGCCTGGAGCGCTGATAGCCGGTTGCTGGGCCAGCATGATGCGGCTGGGCGAGACGGGCTACGTGGACGCCTGCGTCAAGATTGTGGGGACGACCAAGAAGATTGCCGAGGCGATCCAGAGCGGCCCCGTGCTCAGCAGCGAGCTGGAGCTGCTCGGCAAGCCGCTCGTCTCGGTGGTGGCCTTTTCGGCCAAGAACCTGGACGTGTACGACATCGCCGACGGCATGTCGGCCAAGGGCTGGCACCTCAACGCCCTGCAGAGCCCGCCGGCCATCCACGTCGCCGTGACGATGCCCATTGTCAAGGTGTGGGAGCGGCTGGTCGGCGACCTGGAGACGGTGGTGGAAGAGGAGCGCGAGAAGGAGAGGGCGCGGCTGGTGGAGGGCAAGGGGGCCAAGGGCAAGGCCATGGGCGATTCGGCTGCGCTGTACGGCGTGGCGGGATCGCTGCCGAACAAGGGGGTCGTTGTTGATCTGGCCACCGGGTTTCTCGATCTGCTGTACAAGGTATGATGTGACTTTGGCGTCGTGTAAGCTACAGAAGGAACAAATGCGTCTTGCGTGATTTGCGCTGCGTGTCTGATGGATGATGGTTGATGGCGGATGGCGGATGGCGTTTTGTCATGGGCTGTTTTTGTTGTCTGGTTCTGCTGATTCGGGGCTGCTCGAATCACCCTCTCCTGTCCCCTTGATCCCCTGTTCTCTTCTCTTCTGTTCTCATCTCTTGTCTTGTCTTCTTGCTTCGCTCTTCCACGTCCGTTTCGTCAACGTCCTTGACTACTGTTACTCATTCACATGTATGTACTTTTTTGGATAGCTGAGCCACAACACGGCAGCACATGAAGGAAAAAGGGGACAGAAACAGAAACGGGGATCATTGTGCAAACCTGGCGATGCCGCTGCCGCTGCCGGGTCGCACAGCCCGTGCCTCCTGCTAGACACAGACACAGACACAGACACGAACACGAACACTTACATACATACATACCGCCACGACACAGGCACATGCTTGATGAACAACAAGTCGATCGATTGACTCCCCCCATCTACTGCATCTCCCTTCTGCAGGTATCCGTGCGTCCCATCCACCGGTTGACGGTCAGTCCCCTTGTTGGCAATCCATGGCCCTTGCCTGCTGCCTGCCTCTCACGCTGAGCTGTATGTAACGCACATGCATTTCTCCAAAAACAAACAGCACAGAACATACATGTGTATGTATGTACAGCATCGGAGGGATGGAGTGTATGGGGGCCATAACGGAGGAGGAGGAGGCAAACAAAGGTGGCCAAATGTCCAATCAACGCGAGACAGCCTCATTCTTTTTTTTTTATTATTATTCTTCAGGAAGGTCATGCTGCTGCTTTGTCGTTTTCCAGCTCTTGCTCCACATGCTTCACCGCCCCTCTCTCGCTCTCACTGTCTCTCATCGCTGTTCTCCGGGTTCGTTGTCTTTTTTTTATGATCGGATGTTTGTCTCTCTTTGGACGATGCGTTTTTTTGTCATGGACTTGGTGGTGGTGTGTGTCTGTTTGCAGCAGATGCTGCGTGACTGACTGACTTGTCCTCGCCTCTATTATTACCAGGTATGCAAGCAGACCACTTGAACTTGCCACAGGTAATTGTATGCCTCTTTTCTTTCTTTCCCCCTGCGTACGCCGTTTGTGAAGAAGAGTGGCGTGTTTGTTGGCTGGCCTTGCAGGGCACGGGCAGACTGGATGCATGAACTGTCTACTGCTACTGGTACTGTACGGTCTATATCGTATGCGAGAGACGGACGGAAGAAGTCGTCCTTGTCCTTGGACCCCTCTTCTCCGCCTTTTGAACCCCCCCCCCCCCCCCCCCCCCCCCCCCCCTTCATCTTTTTGCTCTTCATACAGAGTGCACTTTGAGGGATGGGGAAGGGGGGGAGGGGTGCTGCATGATGCTGTTTTTGTGTGATTTGCATCTTTGTTCTTCACGATGGCTGGGGATGGGGGGGGGGGAACCACATGCTTCACGGAGGGACTGTAAGGAAACGTCTAGGTAGATAGGTTGATCACTGTATGTATGTATGTAGGTACGATGGGGACGGATGGAGAAGAGGTGGTCCTCTATCCGCAAGTAACGGCAGCGGCCAGTACAGTGTTGCATGTAAGTATGTAGTGAGAAGTACAACACATGCATGAAGCAAGCACGAGCTACGCTACGATCAGAGCGAATCTGCTCCAAAGAAATCATGTGCATCGGCCCGGGCGAACTGGGCAAGAGATGAGAGAGTGAGAGCAAGAGAGAGAAAAGGACAGGGAACAAGGGTTAGGGAGTCAAGACATGAGGCGGCGCGCGATGGCCGATTTGGCTTAGTAGAGACGTCGCTACGTGGACGCCTGAGGAGACGGCGATCGGCGAGGGTGCAGCTTCGTTGAAGAGGTTAGTAGTAGGATGTAGTTGGAGTGATGTTATCTGGCGATGGCGAACTTTGGGCTTTCTTTGAGGGGGAGGGGGATGACTTGTGCACAGTTGTGTGTGTGCGTGTGTGTGTGAGTGAGTATCTTGAGACTGCAGATGCTGTGGTCTTTCGAGTTGAGAAACTAAAAAAGTGGCAAATTTGACTTGATGAATGGATTTAGATGGAGAGAAGGCAAAGATGTGCACGAGATGGGCGTGCTCAAGGGGGGGACCACTACGAAATCATACTGGTTTTCGACGGGTGGATGGGTGGTGGGCATCAAGAGTTGGTACATCGTAAGAGGTTGAAGTTGTGCTGCTGACGATGATTATCCCGTCGATACTGCACATCACATGCACATCCAATGCGCACATCGTACATCCCTCCATGTGCTGAAGAAGGATTCCATTGCATGAGAGAGAGACTGAGGCAAAGACGGACGAATCGAAGCAGCTGAAGCTCCCACGACGATACGATACGACGACGCTCAACTCCTCCCCCATCACCACCATCATCATCATCATCATCATCCACGGGGCCAAAAATAAAAAGAAAAACAAGGCAAGAAAGGACAGCTTTTGCTTGGGCACGTGTATGACGACATGGTCTTCCTTCTCGCCCTTGGTTTGGCTCTTTTGGTACCTTGCTTCACCTGTACCGTACATGTGCAGTAGCAACTAGTATCTACTAGTAGTAGGCCCAGGACAGGGCCAGGATAAGACAGGATAGGACAGGACAGGGCAGTGGTCAGCGGCACAGTAGGCAGGGCAAAGGACGAATTATCCGATGGCATCGTGAGAAAAACTCTCGTATTTTGGACACATCCCTTGCATTGATCAAAGGCCTCATACCGTACGAATGAATCGGGGCTTACTTCATCGTTACACCAGCGATTGGGAAACGGGGGATGGGGTCGTCCGTCGTCCGTCGTCGTCGAAACATGATGCTACTATTCCCTTAGACCAAAAACCAAAAACAGGGCTTCAGGGATGTTGTGGACTAGAGCCTTGTTGGTGCTAGCACAACGGTACTGGTGGAAGTCTCTAGTGTGCAAAGACAGCCGGCTAGCTGAGGAGGAGGATGGGGGAGAGCAAGGGGGGGGGGGGGGGAGGACGACAGACGAAAGGGAAAAGTGAGGCTTGCAGATGTGGCGATGGGCTTGAGTGGACAGATGCCGGTTTGGCTACTACTATCTCGACTTGGGCGTTCGGAGAGAGCTGTTGAGATTGATTTAACCGAGGAAGAAAGCTAGCTGACGGCGATGGCGAAGACGCAGAAGACGAGGAGGAGGAGGAGGAGGAGGGGGCTCTCCTTGTCCCCGGCTGTGCTGGTTGCTGTGCTGCTGCTGTGAAGCCGGGACTTATACCCTTCTCTGCTTCTGTATAGTTGGCAATAGTACACGTATACCCATTACCTGGCCGTGGTCTGATAGTATAATACATAAACGCACACGTACTCGTACACATCACATATCGCTCCTCCTCCGTCTTGTAACATACATACATGGTACAGGTATATGAAATCTCAGCATGATATCTCCCCTACATATTGCATCCTGCACGATACAGCCACAAAAGCGACAGGAGAAAGAAAAGCCACCCAAAGCCGCTCCTATCACATCCCCCAGAACCCCCCGAAGCCATCACAGCAACGCCAGCTTTCAGCCTTCCTCTCTGACACTGGCAGGGGAACCCCCCCCTTGTCGGCCAACTTTACATCACTTATCATGCACGTCGACCCAATTCCCGCCACAAAAGCCCAACCAACCCAGATCGTCCACGCATCAGAAAAGAAGCGAAGCGAAGAAGAAAAAAACAGCCCATGATGCAAATCCTGCATGGGCCCCCCCTGTCGTTGTGGGACCAACGTACCTCCCCCCCTGTCTCAACCAAACAAGCCAGAGATACAGTAGTATCACAGCACACAGCACATGAAGGAGAGAGAGAGAGAGAGGACGACGACAGCCAGCAGCAACAGTTCAGGCCAACAGCCTCCCCCCCAGCAAAGGAGGACGAGGAAGGCGTATCGCCCTTTGGGCCCCGAAACAAGCCAGGAAAAACTTCACCTCGAGACCAATGCAACCCTGCTCTGTCGGCAACTCCCAATGCTTTTTTTTTTCCTTCCCAAAGAGGACCCTTGCTCGTCTGTCTCGTGCTAGGACCACGTAATAGTGCGCCTTGTCAAGAAGGCCAGAATGAAGCCCAAGTGGCCAAAACCCAAAAAGCCAAGGCAAATCGAAGAAGAGAAACAACCGAATGAGAGAAAAAAAACAGCTTCTTTTTTTCTCCGTCCTCTTCGTCCAACTGGGTCCCATTATGCCAGGGGCAAAACGAAGATGTACTCGTACATGCATGTTACAGACAACGCGCAGCAGAGCCATGTACCGTGAAGAAGAAGAAGTAGAAAAGCGAGAGGATAGGATAGGTAGACGCCAGCCCGTTTCTTTTTTTGGTGCGTCTTGCTTTGTCTCTGTTCGCGCCCAAGACCCCGGGTGCAAACCGACGGAACAGACGAATGACAACCCAAAGAAAGGACAAGAAAACAAAAAGACTGACAGAAAAAAAACTTTTAACCCTTGAACAGAAAAAGAAGAAAAAAACAAGGGCCCGCGATGTCATCATGTTGTGCTTCCCTCTCCCTGTGCCACTCCAGCTTAACTTGATCTCCTCCCCCCCTTCCCTCCCTCCCAGTCCAACTCTTTTATATACCAGGACATACACACACACACACACGCAAGATAGGCTTTTCGTTCCACAGACGCCCCCCCTCCCCTTCTTCCTCCGCTAAGACCGATTGACACTTCATCAAGCCATATTAAAATATCTCCGTGTGCTTCCCCAACTTCTTCCTCTTCCCTACGAGTATCTATCTCAACCAGGCCCCCCCCCTCCCCTCTCCCCTTTTGTGCTCGTGTTTGTGCTCGTGTACAAATATTTGTGCAATTCTGGGTTTCACCGTCTTGTGAAGCCTCAAAAGACGGACGCAACGCTCCTCTCTCGTCGAAGCTCACTACACCATTCTTCCTCTTGATCATCGCTCTCACAAAGAAAAGGGACACACTTACACTCGCACTCACGCTACTCGCCCTCGAACAACTTCCTCCTCGCCCTCTCAGAAGAGACGACGTTTGTTTCGTTTCGTCCAGCCTACAAACTCGCCACCGCCTCTTCTTTCAACCAAAATCTCACAATCTCAAATCTCATCTCTCTCTCATATTACTCCATCTTTTGCTCAACCACACCACACCAAACGTCAAACACCGTAAAACCGGTCCAACCAACCATCACCCACCTCACCAAGTTTTTCAAAACTTGGACCTGGCTGCTACACCTCTTCAAACGCGGTGTTCCTAGAGTCCGAAAGGACATTCCTTTTGCGTCTTGTCCTCCCCCGGAACAAAAGACAACAACAACACAGCAACAACATGTCTGCCGAGGCGACCGTCCTACGCGGGCCTCTGCCGTCGGCACACGGAAACACAGCCTCGCCAACGCCGCGCGGCGGTGACGAGAGGTTCAGGTCCCTGCACGCCTCCCGAGAGCAGCAGAGGCGGGACAGCCAGTTGAGCTACTACCGCGAGCAGGATAAAAGAGAGGGCCGGTCCCGGAGAGATGAGGACAGAGACTCGACAAGGCCTTCATCATCATCAACATCAACAACAACATCATCATCATCATCATTTCCGTATAGGGACATTATCAAGTCGGTGCTTTCCGTCATGACGAGGAGCGACTTGTCTGCTTTGACTTCAGCTTCGGCTTCAGCTTCTTCAGAAAAGAACCCGGACAAGGAGCGTGAAAAGGAAAGAGACATGAAGGACAAGAACAGGAACGTCGAGGACGTTGTCAGGGGGCTTGCCATGGAGGAGTGGAACTCGCGGTGGCTGGACGAACTGGTGGCCAAAGTAAAGGGCGAGCGTAAGTCAAAATCACACGAGGAAATCCATATATATATATAAACTGTACTGACATGAAGAAAAATAGTCAACGACACAGCCTCGGACCACAGCGTCTCGGAGAATGGCCCTCCCACGCCCCTCTCAGACACATCCTCCAAGGACTCCATGAAGCGCTACCAGCCCACCGTCGAAGACTACGACGAGAGCGAAGACGAAGCCTCGTCCATCTTCGAGCGCAGCTTCGCCGCCGCCGCCCAAGACGAAGAAGACGCCCAGCACAAGCCGCTCACCCGCACCTCATCCTCGCTCTCCAACGCCTCCTCAGACAGCTCTTCCTCCTCGTCGTCGTACTCGGCTGCCTCGTCCGCGTCTTCGTCTCCCTCGCCCTCGGACAAGGACTCGGTGCCTTCGCCCCCGAGCTCCGTCTCCTCGTCCTCCCCTCCGCCCAGGCCGACCGTCCGGTTTGCCGACAAGCAGCCTCCCGTCATCCACTACATCCCCGAGCCGCCGGAGCCTGAGGAGCCCGAAGAAGATCACGCGCATGAACCCGAACGAGAACGAGAACGAGACCGAGACCGAGACCGAGACCGCGAGTACGAGCGCGAGCGTGAGCTTTACCGTGAGCCCGAACGCGAGTCCTACCGTGAGCCCGAGCGCGACCTCTATCAGCCCCCTCTTCCTCCTCCTCCTTCTTCCTCCTCCTCCTCTTTGCACCAGAGACAGGGTCCCGCATGGCCAGCGCTTTTCAACGAGAGAGACGAGCCGACGCCTGCACTGGGGCGGTTCCTGCGCGGCCTGGCAAACCACATTGTATGTAACACCCGACTCTTCACTCAACTTGTTCTACTTCCCTCCTCCTCCTCGGGAGATGTGTCCTCCTCAGTCTTTCTTTTGTGCTACACGAAAAACTAACGAGATGGACATCTGCAGATTGCCGAGTACGCCCCCATCGACTCGCTCGTCATCACTCCCGACAAACTCTTCAAGTTTTACACCCGCTACCGCCTCGACAATGAATTCTTTCCCTTCCAACGTACGCCCTCTCCTCCCCCCCGCCCCCCTTAATATCCCCCCCATCATCTTCTTCAAAACATGTAAACTCATCTGACACAACAAAAAAAACAGGCGTCTTCGACACCCGCTACCACAAGTCCCTCCGCGGCATCTCCTTCCTCTTCACCGACCTCCGCTGCGAGCACCACCTCGTCCAGCACTCCATCGCCTCCAAGCCGTGCATCCCGGCCCTCACGCCCACCGGCTTCGAGGACTGGATGACGCTCATGATCCGCGCGTTTCCCGACCGCGAGGCCCGCCGCCTGGACCTCGTCCTCGCCGACGTGCCCCTCTTTGCAGACGACCGAACCTCTTCTTCTCCTTCGCGATCCCTCGGAGGAAGAGGACAGAGGTTGCCCCCAGAGCTCCCGCGCGAACTCTTTCCCGAAAGGGGCCACGCCCGAGCATTCGACCTCTTGGCCTCCTCCTTTGCAGAATGGAAGAGCATCACCTCCGTCGTCGTCGTCCCCTCCGAGACAACCTCTTCCTCTTCTTCCCTGGCCCCTCCACCAACATCAACAACATCATCATCATCATCATCTTCCTCCTCCTCCCATCTCCATCTGCACCCGGCCCACACATACGCATCATCCTCCCTCATCCCGCCCTCCCTCCAAAAACTTCCCCCGGCAGCCACAAAGGCCCTCAAGGAAGACACCCGCCGGCACAAAGACCCCTGCTACATCGACCAGTCACGCATCCGGCCTTCGTCCCTAATCTACCCGTCTGCTGCTTCTTCTTCGTTGCCGTCTTCGCCTTCGTCTTCGTTTTTAAACACTTCTTCTTCTTCTTCTGCGGTAATGCCTCCTTCGTTGGATAGCAAGGGCGCAGACAGCATTGTTGTTTCGTCTGCTGCATCGTCGTCGTCTTCGTCGTCGGGTTCTTCCTCGGGTAGCTCATCCTCGAGTTCGAAGCATCGCTCTTCGAGGTCTCGTGAGCGCGAGTCTCGGCATAGGAGCACCACCTCGGAGAGGTCCTCGCGTCCGAGGGAGCCTTCGCCGCCGAGGGAAGGGCGGAGACATCATAAGAGCAGGCGGTACAGAGACTCTTAAGGAGTATGGAGCTAACAGAGGTGTTTCTGGTAAGGGGGTTGAAGAGGGGAAGTGGCTGATTGCTGTTTTTTTTCTTCTTCTCAAATTGTCCTTTTATTTCAACTCTTTTGGTGTGTGCTTGTGATGGAGAATGGAAAACAAGCAATGATGAATCTTTGGATATCAAAGGATGCGGAAGTGATGGGCTTAATTATGGGATAACGCAGAGTGTATGAGACAAGACGACAAAGTCACACGGGTTTTTCAAAGGACACAAGATTGGCAGATAGCTCACATAGCAATGTCCTTCACCTAGATACTAACCAGCACAAAAAGACAAAGCAAGAACAGAAAAAAAAAATACAAAATCTTTAAAAATAAATCTTGAAGCATAGCAGCATTTCAGCGATGGCGTGATCCGAATATGGTCCCATTCCAACTTTGTCCTCTTCCAAGAAGCCTCTTTCACGGGACAGTTCACATTCTCTCTTATGAGGACACTTACTTTAGCAGCACTTTTTCTTTTAACGATAGTGATTTCAATCTCATTTACTATTCTCTGATTTCCTCCCCTTCTCTCTCCATTCAAAACGATAAAAAGAACAGCCAAGATTTCAGTCACAAATAGAATCCTTCCATCTTTTTGTGGGCAGATCGGGCAACAAACAAGGCCCCGTCCCTCCAATCGCCAACAAATGAAAAGACACCACACAAAAAAAAGAGGATGAAAAGTAATGGAAAGCTTTCATATTCCGCTCGCAAACACAAACACTTTGTTGATGCGAAGCCCTTTGCAATACTTGAGAGGTGAAAGAGAAACGCAAAAAGCACGCACGATAGATACAGGCAAAATAATAAGGTAGGTAGGAAATGAAAAGGTTGAGGGAAAAAAAAGGCAGAGAAAAAGCAAAAACGTCCTTGGGAATAAACAGCCTTGCGCCCATCACTATGCCTGCCCAATTTGTGCATTCTGTTGTCCATCAGGTCCAGGGGTAAAAAACAAGAAAGGCTCACCATGGCTCCTCTCACGGCCGTGGTGAGCGTTCCCTGGACCGGACGGGGTGAGAAACCAGATAATAAAAGGTAACTAAAGAGAATATGTGCATGATTCACTCTGGAGCCATAGAAAGGTCGCAGAGCATCTGTATGCCTTGAGAGGTGGTAGAAGAAGAAATTGAGAAACGAAGGACACCATTCCACGCAGGACACGGTGCGATGATGAGTTTGTTCGTCCGTAAGCCACACCCCGTCGACCTCCAAGCTACGGCAGAGACGCCGCAATAAAAGAGAAATGGATCAAAGAATGAATCGTAGTTCAATCAATCTGGATACTCGCTCGCTCTGCTGAATGCTCTCGCTCGCTGTGCTTCGGATATGGATGAATGCATAGTTGATGCCCATTCGAAAGAGGGGCATTATGCTTTTTGTTGTTGTTGTTGTTTTGTTTGTGCTTTTTTTTGTTGGTTTTTGTCAATTTCCCTGCACAAAAGAAAAGAGAAAAAATAGACAGGGAAAACAATCCATCGGTCGGGGTGAAAACGATGCATAAACCAAAGAAAGAAAGTCATGGTAGGGCTGGGAAGGGGGATTAGATCCGTGTGTCGTCAATCGTGGCGGGCTGAGTAGCGCCGTCGTCGTTCCAGTCTATCATTCCGTTGCATCCAAACAAAACACCGTCGCCTTGCGTATCGTCGTTAATCCTATTTGGCATGGCCATCGTAAGTGCTGCCATGTCAGGCTTGGCTTGCATGGTCCTGGACGTGGTGCTCATGCAGTCGTCGGCTTCAAGTCACCTCGCGGGCGAAGAGGCGGCTATGGACGTGTCGTAACCCAGGTGGCTAACCATGTTCGATCGCGCAGCACGCTTCTTCTTGATGGCCCTGTAGCCGTCCTTGAAGACGGCAAAGCATCGCTGCAGTTCTCTGTCTGGGTGTGGCGGCAACTGCATCTCGACTGCTTTGAGACAGACGCGGAGATGCGTCAGTTCGGTATCGTTTTCCGTAAGTTCCTCTTCCCTGTCAAGGTGTAAGCAGACTGATGATGCAGGGGAGTGATGAAGAATTCTCGACACTATATAAAAGAGAATCGAGGACAAGAGGATGGAAAAGGAAAATCACCTACAGATAAGTGATGCGGTTCTGAAGCCAGATGATGCGTTGGGCAGCACGCTCAGCTCGGTCCACCAACAACTTATGAATGTGCTGCGGCGAGTCAGCTTTGCAGGCAACGAGGACAGAAGCGATGAGAGAGGTTGAAAAACTTACATCCGATTCCTCCTGGCGGGCTTTGAGATTGGTGACGGTGGTTTCCAGCTCCTCGTTGAGCTTGACCAGCTCGGCAATGACCCTGTTGGATTGCGCCGCAGTCATGCCCTTCTTGGGTGGCGGGGGCTCCTCATCCTCGGACTCGTCGTGGCGATGCATCATGGAAGCCGAGGGCGTGGGGGACAGCTGGTCGGCGAAGCGGTTGCGGAACGAGGACGAGGGCGAACTGAAGATGGCGCTGCCGTCGAGATCGCTGCCCCTGTTCTTGCGGACGGGAGTCCCGAGGCTCAGCGGGCGAGGCTTCCGCGACAGCGGCGGGCTCCCAAAGATGCTGGGGCTGGTGCCGCCGCCGAGGGCCTGCTCGAGCTGGTCAACCTGGCCGTGGAGGGCAACGAGCTCCTCCATGCTGTCGCCGTACGTCAGGCGCTTGGCCAGCATGCTGAGGCGGTGGGCCAGGTCCAGCTTGGCGGCGGAGATGTCGCCGTCATGGCCGCGGGTGAGGTCCAGCTCCCTGCGCAGGGGGCTCATGACGCTGCTGCCGGAGAAGGCGTAGCTGGAGGAGCCGACGCTGGGGCTGGACCGCATGAGCGGCGGCGGCGTCTCGGAGCCGGCGATGCTGTTGTGCCTGGTGGTGCTGCTGGTGGTGCGGGTGCTGGCGCTGGCGCTGGTCTGGCTGCTGACTCTGCGATTGAGGCTGGCGCTGGTGCGGCTGCTGGAGCTGCGGCGGCGCAGCGCCTCGAGGCCCGTGGGCTTGTCCTCGTCGTCCCGGCGGCCCATTGCGATGCTGGTGCTGGGAGCGCTGAGTGCTGAGTGCTGAGTGCTGTGTTTGCTGGCTGGCTGGCGGATCGATTGACTGGTAGAATTTGATGGATTTGATTGACGGGCTCCTCGAGGCTGAACCACACCGACTATGCCGTCCCAACAGCGCCTGATCACGACGGCAGAAAAAAAATAAAAGGAGGAATCAAGCGATGCAAAAGAAATCACAGAGATCGAGCAGCTGTTCTCCGTAATCTCGATGTCGGTGTCGGTGTCGGTGTCGGTGTCCCAGCCTCTTCGTCGCTCCTATGTCGAGCCCCCTCCTCTCTCGTTCGTGGTGTATTATTTTTTTTTTTCTCTCTTCTCTTTCTCTCCTCGTTCTTTTGGCTTCCTCAACTGTCGGCGCTCCCCTCGGCACGCGTCACCGGGACGCCAGGCGGGCGCAGCAAAAGGCGGGCGTGGAAATCGAGAGTCGCTTCGGGCGTCGATGATGGCGAAGGGGAAGAGCTGCCCATTGGCGATGCCCGAGAGCTGGCGGGAGTCGGTGGCCGTGGCGCCTCTGCGGGTTGTCTGAGTGTGAGTGTGTGAGTGTGTCTCCCTTAACAAGGTACGATTCAATCAGATCGAGGTGGTGGCAGCTGGAGAGGGTTTCTGGGCGAGCTTTTGGCGGGCAATTGGCGGGCGCAGGCAATTCGTACAGGCACTGAACGGCACAGGTACCGTGCCGTACAGTACTGAGTAGCAGTGCAGCTTAACCGCTTAGCCATCAATCGACTCCAGCAAAAGACTGGACGCCATTGAGAGCTTCAGGTTAAGCCCAGGTTAAGCCCAGGTCGAGCATCAGCCGGTGTGGAGGCGGATCAATGGGGCCCCGTGGCTCCGAGCCTTGCTGGGCCTCAGATCGCAAACGGGGCCTTGACAAGTCATCACCTACCTTACCTTACCTTAGTATTACCTCCCCCAGGCCAAAAGGTCACAAACACCACACCCTCCCTCCTCGACCGGATTTATCGCCCTCGCAAGCACAGAAATCGGTTCGCACCGCCACAGACCAGCACGCCATGCATGGGCGTGGACACAGACTCGGCCTGCCGCCACACGTCGGGCGATGAGAGGCCAGCTGCTCCTAATCGCGCATGAGAGGGAGCGAGCGTGTGTGTGGCCATGATGCCTGATGTTGTGAGAGGCCTGGGTGAGTCTGTCATTGGCGGGCTGCGTCTGCATCCGCATCTGCTCTGCGTCTGCGTCTGTGTCTACTCTGCTCCTGCTTGTGCCTCATAAGCGCCTTTGTAGGACAGGTAACGAAACATTGGGACGAGGTCGAGGCGACCATGTGACGTTTGCATGCATCGACAGCGACCTGCATGGAGGTGTCTTCTGTGAGGAGGCCAAGTAGAGATACGCGATGAAGAGAAGAGGAACAGGAGACAAAATCGGCGGATAACAAGAAGAAGGATGCGATATGCTCCTGATGCATCCTGCCTTGGGCATCCATATGCCCGCCACCCCAGGTATTTCTTCTCATTACATACCTACAGTACCCTTCTACTAGGTCCCCCCCCTCCCCCCAGAAGTGTTCTCAACTCGTCTTGCAGCCCAGAGACGACTTCGTCGTTATCGTGGCCCCGGACTGTGCACTTTCTCTTGCAATTCGTCATCGACAAGGCACAAGTCAATCAAGCAGGCGAGGCGAGCGTGCATTGGGAACTTGAATCGGGTCGCTGGGCTGGCCGCGTTGCCGCCCCTGACTGGAACCAGGCGAGACGCTCCTCCAAGCCACCATGCACCTCACAGCAGCCAGCAGCCATTCATCGCCCGAGTGCAAGATGCAATTCAAGACTCGCAGTGGGTGTGGCTTTAGTAGGCACGAAGCAGCGCGATTGGATGATCGGAGCACAACCTGAAGGGAGAGGTGCCTCGTATGTATGTACTGTATGTAAGGTCTTATTATTATTCTGATGCGTTGGGTCGAGACATCGACATCAATACACCGGTTATGCACACACATCCAGCAGAACGTCTATTATTACCGGGCAGTACATCAGCACCTCCTCGCCATGCCTCTTACAAACAGCCGTCGATTCCCCTGAAATGCAGAAACGGGGTCCCGTCAGCTTCATCTTCAAGTGATGCGGTGCCACAGCATGTTGGCCGCATCAAGGGACGCCCCTCTCTCGTCCCCCTTTAAGCCCACAGCAAGCGAAGCCTTTGCAGACGGAACCAGGCCCTGATGGACACACAACATACTACCTAGTAATAACACACACACCGCCCGGACTGACGGGTGCAGTAGCTCGAGCGTATTCTTGCATTCTGCGCAGAAAACGGCGGGGGTGACTGACCCCTTGCCTTGGCTTCATGCTGCCTACGTACTGTACGTACGTACATGTGATGGGATTTGATCTCTTGCCGGTCAACACCGCTTGTTTGCTCGAGTGCGGCAGAGGCGGGAATGGCCGGTGGCTTATGCCGGTGCTGATGCCGGGTCTGCTTGTGCCAACTTTCAGTTGATGTGGTGCATCGGACGAGGGATGATCCGATGTCCAATGAGATGCGACGGAAGCTGAAGGAAGAAGAGAAGCCATCACGGGATGGTTCTGTGTCTTTGCTGGAAATGATCCAAGACGACGACTGGCATATTGATCTCGTAGGTCGGTGACGCAAACAGAACTGCATCTAATAACTCACTCGGGGACCGAGATCCGAGATCAAATATGGGACCGATCCCTAGGCTTCTTTTCCTTTTCCATGCCACCTCTCAGAGGACAATCATATGTCATCCAGGGAGTCCCTGGAACACACCTATCCTTCTAATAGCTGGGATGACAGTCAACGACTCATAGTCTTCCCAGCGCTCAAATAAGCATGAAATCGGATCGTACCACGAGGCTGTTCAGAGCCATCCAAGCCATCCTAGGAACCCCCCGAATGCTGGGTTTTCTTACTACATGCCTTGCCAGGAAGCGGGCAATGATCCCCTGGTAGGTAGTCGTTGGAGCTGACTCAGGGCCATCAGATGCCATACACCAGATCCCGATAAAACGTGGGCTGACCAGCCATGCCTGGTATCCTATCCCCTCTCATTTCCTCCCTCACATCGTGCCATTCTCTTCATGATCCAAGCCTGTTGAATTCCCAACAACCCAGATCAGCAATGTCCATTGAGAGTCATTCTCAACTCTAAGGACTCCGTAACCCTAGCTCAGTAGGTAGGTAGTACGTAAAGGCATAGTAGTAGACGCACTTGGTACCTGACAGCCAACATGCTGCAGGTGCGGGCTCTCCCGTTCGTCCGTGGCCCTGTTTGGGGCTGGGCTGGCGGCAGTTGGGGCGCACTGTGAGGCGATTGCTCCCTCAGCCCGAGTGATGGCATGAATTGTTAGTTGGTTGCAGGTGATGATGAACCGCATTGGACATGTCGTCTTTCTATATTGATTACGGCGAGTGCTGCGTGTATCAAGGCACTGCAGGGAACATGGCAACCCGGATGGATGATGGTCGACCGTCTTTTTTCCATCCAGTGTCCGACAACGTGTGTAGTATGTAACATGTGATTGTGTGAAAAAAGCGTCGATCAACTGCTGGTGAAGAAGAGGGGCAATGCAGCAAAAAGGAGTCAAGACTCAGCACCGCTGCATTGGCTGATGGCAAGTGGATTGTGGCTCCAGCCATGATGCGAGAAGTGGCATTGAAGCGTTCCAAGCCATGCCCGATGGTCCATGTTGTCCAGGTTCAGCTCCATCACAGCACATACTGCCTACAATACAGTACATAGGTAGCTCTCTCAACCTGCCCTCCCTCTGTCGTCTGATGTTAACCGCCTGGACCGCCAGCAATGGAAGCTCTCTATGTAGGTCCTCCCAAGGGCACAGCAGCCCCCATGCGAACCCCCCCATTACAGCGATCAAGTCCCCTAGAAAGCACAGTTCGATGGATCGTATAATGGAGAGTGGGGGGACCCCGAGAGACGCCCGGGTCTGGCTGCAGCCTCTCCGTTCACGCGACTCGGCGCACACAGCATGACCACGACGTCACCCTCTATTAGACAGCCGCCAGCCTCGCTTTTTCTCCCCCCCCTCCCCTGAAGGCTGCCCGCTGATTAAACAGCGCTGCTTGGATGGACAATTGAAGTTCTATAAGAAAAGAGCAGCAGGAATAAAATGTAATAGAAAACATCAATACTTGTCATATAGAGAACAGCCACCCACGTGCCTCGTCTTGTCCCGGTTCAGTCCTTCTTCTAGCTCTTCTCCAGTTCGTCTCAACTCTCTCCCGCACATCCTCGGCTACTCTCCTCCGCCATCCCCAGCTTATTTTAGCCTTGGTACAGGTAGCTTCCGCGGGGCCGCAATCGCTCGCCACAAGCTTGAGTCAGACGAGCCACCACCAGAATCCGCCAATTGTCCATTTCTCTGCTTGCAACTCCTGTCCAAGAGCACATGTCGCCTCGTCTGCGCATCTCTTGCAATTCTCTCGCCCTCTCTGGCTCTGGCTCTGGCTCTGGCTCTTCCTTGAGTGCATCTTACATGTGCCGATGACGAGGCTGCTCTAAGCACCGGCAGCTCAGCCTCTCGGCCCGTCCACCTCGAGGAGCCCCTCAGCTTATCCCACCTACAGCACCAGCACCTCATACACCACCTATTCTCCGGCCTATCCTCCAGCCTATCTCGCACATACATCTCGGCTCTCTCTCTCTGCCTCTACCTACCGACTGACCTGCAACCTACCGATCCTTTCTCCAACTTCGCCGCCGCGGACATCCGGTCGCTTTTTCGCCCTCTCGCGCGTCGTCCTCCTCCCTCCCGCCGCTCGTTGCCATTGACCGCCGCGGCACTGCGCAACGCTCGCATCGCGCGCCCTCCGACACACACACACACCCAGCCGTTCCCGCCGCTTCTCCAGGGACGAGCGCCCATCATGTCATGGCGGGCGTCCGAGACCCTGATGGACACCATCCGGCACTACGCCAAGTTCCCTGCGACTGGCGTGAGCCTGCGCCAGATGGTCCAGTTTGGCGATAAGCCGTCCACAGGTGCGTTGAGCTCTGGTCTACGGGGTAAATGAAATTGGATTCAAGAGCAGCTGGTGTTGGGGGGGGAGAAGAGCAAGAGAGAGACAGATTCCATGCTGACACGACGATGCCCTCCCGCCTAGGAACTCTCTTCCGCGCTTCACAATTCCTCGCCGAGGAGCTGCCCATCCGCCTGGCGCATCGCGTCGAGGAGCTCGAGACGCTGCCCGACGGGCTCAACGAGATGCCGTCTGTGAAAAAGGTCAAGGATTGGTACGCTCAGTCCTTTGAGGTACGTCGGCGACCCTGAACCCCAAAAACTCTCACCGAAAGGAACCCTCCCCTCGTCTAATCAAATCAATCTCTCGCCACAGGAAATCACACAGCTTCCCCGGCCACGGCTGGCCAAGGACGTCAAGGAGCGCCTGATGAAGCCGGCCAAGTTTGGCAGCCGCGGCAGCTACGCGCAGCTGTCCGAGGCGACGCCGAACCCGTCCATTGACGAGGGCGATGCCTCGGGCTGGGGCGGCCTGCACGCTCACAACCACGGGCACGGCCACGGGCACGGCAACGGCAACGGCAATGGGCACGGCAAGGCGCGATCGGTCGCGCGGCGGTACTTTGCGACCGTCGACGACACGGGCGACTGGCCGCCCGAGCTGCAGCTCTACAACCAAAAGTTCGCGCAGACGCTGCACAAGATCAAGCGGCGGCACGACAGCGTCGTCACGACCATGGCGCAGGGCATCCTCGAGTACAAGCGGCGCCGGCAGCGCATGCAGATCGACTCCAACATCCAGTCCTTCCTCGACCGCTTCTACATGTCGCGCATCGGCATCCGCATGCTCATCGGCCAGCACATTGCCCTGACGGACCAGAGCCACCACCGCGACCCCACCTACGTCGGCATCATCTGCACAAAGACCAACGTCAAGGAGCTGGCCCAGGAGGCCATTGAAAACGCCCGCTTCGTCTGCGAGGACCACTACGGCCTGTTCGAGGCGCCCCGCATCCAGCTCGTCTGCAACCCCAGCATCAACTTCATGTACGTCCCCGGCCACCTGTCGCACATGCTCTTCGAGACGCTCAAGAACTCGCTGCGCGCCGTCGTCGAGACCCACGGCATGGACAAGCAGGAGTTCCCCGTCACAAAGGTCATTGTCGCCGAGGGCAAGGAGGACATTACCATTAAGATCTCCGACGAGGGCGGCGGCATCCCCCGGAGCGCCATCCCCTTGGTCTGGACCTACATGTACACCACCGTCGACCGGACGCCCAATCTCGATCCGGACTTTGACAAGAGCGACTTCAAGGCGCCCATGGCCGGATTCGGGTACGGCTTGCCCATTTCACGGCTGTACGCCCGGTACTTTGGCGGCGACTTGAAGCTCATCAGCATGGAGGGGTGAGTAGTAGTCTCCCTTGTCTTCTTCTTCACCTTGCTTGTCCCTCACTCTCTCTTTCTCCCTTTCTCCCTTTACAGCAACAGTACCCTCTCTCACAAGTCCCATGCAATCCAACCCCCCCTCCCCCCCTCAAATCACAACTTCCTCCTCATTCGACACATACTGACTTTATCCCTCGCAGATACGGCACAGACGTCTACCTCCACCTCAACCGCCTATCCTCCTCCTCGGAACCCCTCCAATAGCAATTAAGCACCGCCCACGCAAAACAATCCCCTTCCTACTCCTCCCATCTCTCGTCGTCGCAAACGTCGTCAATGACGACGACAAAGCCGCGGTCGCTCCTCGCCATCCGCAGCAGGCTCAAGGACCCCGCCCGGCGAGAGGTCACCGAGCGCCGACAGGTCGGGGACGCGGAGGCGGTGGTCAATGCGCCCCCGAGCAGCAGCTTCCTCCACGGGGACGACAAGCAGCTGTGATTTTATACGCGCAAAACAAAATGAAAAACAAGAGCAAATGGGAAACAAATGACAGAAGAGAGAAGATAAGAGAGAGATGAAGCGCGTGGGAAAAAAAAAAAAAAGAAGAAGGGCAGAAATTTAGTGAAAGCATCAAGGAAACATCAGGGAAAGTTGGGGTAAGGGGGGGTAAAGGGGAAAAGGGGGAGACCTAATGCGTCTGTGGCATATCAAACCTACCTACCCTTACCTGACCTACACGCATTGTAGAACCTACAAGCACTCAACAAATCAAACGCCACACACACACACACACACACACACATACACACAAACACAAAGTCACGACACCTCTCGAAGTGAGAGGCCACACAGAGTCAGCAACATGCGGTTTCTTGGATCACGACAGGACAATGGCGAAAATCAAATGTTGGATATCTTTCTCTCTTATACCTCGCCAAAAGGGCTCCTTTATGACGCCAAGGAAGCCAGAGCGTGGTGCGTGTTTGAGCAGTCATGGATAGGGAAGGGGGGAGCACCAGCACCTCAGTGGCTATGGAAGCACTGGAGAAGCCAAAAAAAAAAAAAGGGGGGAGACACACGGAGAGCATCACAATGCACAAATGTATACTACGAGTACGAAGCAATTGTCTGCAGCAGCACGGGATGGGCGGCACTGGACACCAGCAGGTGGAAACTGAACGAAATGTACATCATCCACATCATCATCGTTAGACTAAATCTCAAAATCATGTCCCATGCTGCAAATATGCCTGTGCCCTGTCCCTCCCGCTCGATATAACGAGCACGTGAATGACATAGAGACCAGGGGAGGAAGAAGAAGACCCCTTAAAAGAACCAGACGGCATCTACCAGAGGAGGCTACACAACCCGCCAAACCCATTTCAAGTCACCAAACTCGCAATCAATAAAGGTCGTCATCCTCGTCATCCGGCTCGCAGCACACGCTCGGAACTTGCTGCACCGGGCGATGTCTCACAGGACCGGGATCTCGGGCCGCAACGTGATGGTTCGTACCGACTTGGCGCAACTCCGTCTGGGACATGCGAATCTAGAAAAGAATCAGCTGCCGAAGTGTTTGGACCAGTTGAACATGACCTACGTCTTTAGTCTTTGGCCACTTGCTCTTGGCCGCCATCTCGGGGGTGTGAGAGCTCAGACTTGCACCGCCAGCTTCACTCTCCGTCGCCTCCGAGGTCGCTGCCGCCGAGCTTTCCGTCGCTGTCTTGGTGGCTCGATGGGCCACTCCCTTTGGATCCCAAGCGTTGAAAGAAATGCGGCGTACTTTGGCTCTGGCCTCCCTCGCTGTCGTGGCCGTCGAGATGCTGCGAGTGTCACCAAATTCACTGCCGATGGCGCAGTCGGAAGACGTGTCTGGCAGGAGGGCCTGCTGCACAAAGGGGCGAAGGTGAGGAGGCAGTTGCTGCACAAACGACGACCTGCTGCTCGGACCAGCATGCGGTTGGTCGATCGAGGGCGTCGGGGACTTCTTCGAGCTGGCAAGGGAGCCTCTCAAGTGAGGCGGAAGAGGTCGGCTTGAGGATGCCTCAGAGGCCGCGTGTTCCGAAGGGGCGCCAGATTGAGACCTTGAATCAAGGAGAGAGGCCACGTCGTTTTCGTCCAAGCCAAGCGACGAAAGTCCCGTGACAGGAGCCTAAGGTGCAGTCAGTATGACGATCTGCTATGAATTCAAGTAACAGCTCACCTGGGGGTACACGTCGTCGGAAAAGAAGTCGGTGTCGTCGATAAACTGGGCGGGCCACATCTCTCCACGCTCTTCTTCGATGGAAATGTGGCCAGTCTCGAGAGGCGCGGGAACGACTTCAGGTTCCTGGGTTTCCATCCAGGCAGTGCATCTCTTGCAGTGCTTTACATGGTCAACTGACGTGTGTTCAACAATCATGAGGCGGGGGGTCCGTTGGGGAAGGGGCATACAGGACTACCATTCCTCTTGCTGGAGCCGCTGAACTCGTCCAAGGGCTTGACCAGTCCACACAGCTCGCACGTCATTTCCGTACGTTGGCCAGAGGAGTGCTCTCGGCAGGTCATGCCCGAGTTGGCTGCATCGATGCGATATCGGCCGGCGAGGTTGGTCTGGATGAACCTCTGCTGGTTCTTGGAGAACTCTTCAATGGACTTCCATTCTCCGCCTACTTTGCATCGAAACCTGTGGGCAGTGTGAGAATTGTGGCCTCGTGAGCACGGAAGTAGGTACTTGGCCGTACCTTGTCGGGATGGTTGCCTTGGTCGCCCTGAAGCAGTCAGTCAACACTTGCACTTTTGACATGGATGAACGAATAGGAAGAGGATGAGGCAGAGAGCTCTTGTTTGCGACTCGAACACGAGAACAAAACACAGCGATGGTAAAGGCGACGATTCTTACAAATTGAAGTTGCTGTTTGCCTTCTTGCTGGCCATGGCTGGAGGAGGACGGCTGCTCGCGATCGAGACCAGCAACACCAAGGAGTTGTGCGATGTTCGCTGTAACGACGAGAAGAAGAAGATATGCGAGGCTGAGGCAGACGAAGGAGGAGAAGAAGAAGTGCAAGAAGAGAAGAGAAGAGAAGAGAAGGAAACAGGGCCTTGTCTGGTCTGCCCTGAATCACGGCAGGAGCACAGCCGGTCGAGGCTGCTGTTTATGTTGCCTCGTGGCGCTTCAGGCGTCAGATTCAGGCATCCAGATGGACAAGCGACACATGGCATCGATGCCTCAATATCTGCTGAATAGTGTATCTGCTGAATAGTGTATCTGCTCAATAGCCGCGCTGCTATTGTTCTCCTCTGCAGCTGCAGGTGGCCGAAGGGAAGAGGCCTCGCGCCAGTATCTAGAGATGGGAGATGCGCACATGACGTGCTCAGCAGTGTTTCAGCTTCATCTGAAGTGTCAATAGAGCGCCAGTGAATGCACTTTGAGCAGTCGTGAGAGTTGCGATGTCGTTCTAGGTGCGCTCGAGTGAATGCAAAGAGGGTTGCACATGACTTTGGGCAAATTGTATGCTGAGCAAGTAATCTTGGTCATGCTGCAGATAAGGTAAGAGGGGGTATGACGATGCTTGGCTACTTGTACAATCACCATAGCCTATACCAACCTGAGTTAACTGAAGACGATTTTAACATCTATGTCACGATACCTAATGTTTGTTCAGAGGTTGCATCTTTTAGCTGATATGAAGCCAAGCCATGGGATTGTGCATCCCTAGGATGCTTGCAACAAGCAAAGTTGGGACTAACTTTGCATTTCCCACCATATATCTCACTCGGCTTGAATTTTACTGAAAGTCGTGTGCTCACTTCTGCAAAGATGATGAGATTGACGGACAGTTTCGCATTAGATTGTCTATCGACAGCTAAAGTTGCGGTTGTGGTTCATCTACCCTGCATCGAGTTTCGAGGGTCAATGAACACTTCCACGTGATACAGAGACCAAAGAATACGGTATACAGAGTCAGAGAACAAAACACACCAAATCTACAACTCGAGATCACGTTAATTTTAACAAGTAATAGGCTGCACCTAAACGACCCATCACCCGAATCCCGAGATGAACAAACACGTGCGCCGTGCCAACGCAACCTCGACTACTATTGAATCCCATCATTAGAGATGCCCTGGGCTCCCCAGGCCGGGGGGGGGGGGGGGGGGGTTGAATCATCATCTAAACGCAGGCGAGATGAGTGGCCACCTGTCACGCTCGTGGAAGCGCTTGCAAATAGTATCAACAATCCCAATTGTCGTCCTATTAACAGCTGACAAGGCGAAACGAGACATTCCACTCTTGTTTCGCACACTTCCAGCACTCAGACCACACTCAGCAGATTTGCGGCATCTCAACGCCAATTACTAGACAGGGGCAAAGCTGGACTACCTGATCACATATGTGCAGTAAGTTGATTTGGCTGCGCCCATGTACCTGGGTATTCAGCTACAAGGGGCATCACAACTTCCAGAAAAGAGACGGTAATACCTACTACACTGCAATCGCGTGTTTCATTCCCGGCAGTGTTTCGACTTGATTCTCATGCTGACGAGGAAAAAATCTGGGCGACTGGCTATGGGAGGCAAATGGGCGACCTTGAAGATCAACGCAGAGCAGCGCCCGTTGGGCTGTGAAACGGGCAATGCCGTTGACTGACTCGATCACAGGCCCCCCCTTTGACGTGCTGTCAAGAGAGCTGGTACCATTCCATGCTGAAATACAATGCCTTCCTTACATGAACTCCTAAAAGTAGCGCCAATATTGGCTGCCCTTCGATATTACCATTGCGAACGTCAAGAAAAAAAAGGGGGGGATGAACCAGTTCCAGCCTTGCCAACCGAATAGGTGCTACCTATGGACTCATCTACCTACTCACCTCTCTCTCCCGCCTTCAGACACCCAAATCTCCACTCCACCAACACAGGAACAAAAATAAAAATAAAAAGGAAACACACGATAATACATCGCCACCCATCTCAGGCACCGAAGCTGACGGAGTTCCATTGTTCCCTCACAGCTGAAGCAGCGGCATCAAGCGCCACAGCGGAAGGCTCTCCAGGTACGGTGTGTGTGTGTGTGTCATACGACATGACAATGCACATACCACACAAGTAATAACTCGCTCCAAGCTCCACGAGCCACACCCATGGACTTGAGCTGTTCCTTCAGAGCGTTTATTAGCCATGTAGCACACCAAGCGCTCTGTGTCACGACAGCATTCGCATTGTCAAAGTTCCGGACGCTTTCTCTCCCCCCGGGCCGATGACATGCAGCTCAGACATGCGGGCGGCACCCTTCCCCGGGCCACCCTCCCGCATGGATCCGCTCTTCTCTCTCTCTTTCTCTATCCTTCTCTCTTTCTCTCTCTGTCTCATATGTCAACCATCTTCTCTGTTATTTCCTCCTTATAACAGAATTTGCCTATGCCGCGAGGGGTGTTAACATACGACACAAGTAAAGGCATGGCTTGTCAGGGGGGGTTTGCCCGTCCCGCGGTCAACCAACACTACGAACTAGTGGATGCGCAAAGAGAGACATCGGAATCGCAGCCGCTGCAGCCCAGATGCAGGGGAGTGGGAGAATAGGACCAGACCCCGGCAGCAGCAACATCAATACCGACCATGCGGAACTACTGGCACAGGTAATGGGGGGTTGGATCCCAGAGTGCTCGACTTCACCATCCCATCACTACGTACGTGCCGCCTGCGAGGGCTGCGAACAAGGTGCATCACTGGTGGCGAGCTCTGATGCTCTCTCTCCCTCTCCCTCACATCACACGGGACGTCACCGGAAACGAACCGTATACAATGTATACCGCTCACCAAACGGAACCTTCTCCTCGAACAGGCAGTCCGGCCCTGGCCGAAACGACGACACAATGCAACCCCGAATCGTGCCCACGGACACGGCAATGGACCTTGATTCCTTACCTACCTCCAAGTCATTTTCCAATTACCAAGCACACGCTTCCCATTAATGTCTCTCGTCAGCCCCATGAAAGGCACAGAGTGAGACACGGCTCCCCCTCCCCTTATAAGGTCACCATGTAGGCTGGCGCGATAGCTTTTGTTTTGGGGCTGCGCGGCAAAACTGGACGCCCGCGGGCTTCGTAGTCGATGTAACGTGAAACGCGTCTCGGTGTTTGAAGGTAGCCGCCACTCAGGCACCCTTTTGTTTGCATTGTGCACTTGTAGACGTGTGACAAGATGGTTCTGGCCGGTTCCAGGCTCTCCGGTCAGGCTTTCATGCGAGGCTGCACACAGTCTCGAGCAGTACTTCGCAAACACACAAGCAAGGCACACGCAAAGCTGCAGTTGATGCTGACGGGAGGGCAGAGACATACCTCTCGGCCCCCAATGCCAAGTAAATGTGCCTGTCCTCTCACTCTCATCGAGTCCTCCTAGGAATCGACGCTTGTTGCTGCTAGGCAATCGAAAAGGGGATGCCTAGAGACACACAGACACAGACGAGCGACAGGAGGAGGCGAAAAGGCAAGAGACTTGGAAAAAAAAAAGGGTCTCCCACGATCATCAATACATGGCATGGCCTGTCAAAGGCATGCTTCCGTGCCGCGGCAGCGAGCCGTCACGACCCGGAGGGCTGGAAGACACCGCCCACTTGCACCCAGTCAGACCTTGTTGCTCTTGACTGCTTTCTGCGCATCCTTGCCGTATGTGGATTGTTTTGGTTGGATCAGTGCGGAACACTGTAGCTGAGAGATAATGGATGAGAATTTTCCTTGTTTCTGGGTGCTGGGCGAAGCTTGGACCACCGCTGGATTGAGTGTTGTTTCGATCAATCTTGCCGCGAGTGGCTCTCTGCTATGCTGGCTCAAGCTTCGCAGAGCTCAACAGACAACCAGAATTGCCTCTCGAGATGTACCTACAGAGAGTACAGCTCAGCATGGCAAAGCAAGGCAAGGCGACGCCGTGATGAAGCCGCGCCGTTGGAAATCAACAAGGAGCTTCGTTGGGGCCGACCAAATGACCTCCAATCTCGCTCCCTCCCAAGCGGCCATCAGAAGTACTACTAGCCGCATCGCCTCTAAAACGAAACAGCAGAACTTGCCTTGCCTTGGTGAGAGACTTGACGCCGGAATATTGGAAAGAAATCCGCACAGCTCGGGGATGGTGACAAGATACCTCGTACGGGGTCATGGCAGGTAAGGTATCTCTGTATTTTCGCACTTGCGCCGAAATTGAAACATGGCAGGACCTTCTAATGCGATCGGTTATGCCTGAAGGAGGTTAGAGAGCTTGAAGTTGCTGCTCTTTGAGGATTAGTGACGGCGGGGGCCCCTCTCGCGTTTTAGCAGCGTCGCGTGTGAGTGCCTTCGCTTATGCAGCAGGTGGGAAGAGATGAAGTCGATACGCCTTGAAGTGAAGAGGTTGCGGTGTCCTGAAGATGGAAAATACCGGTATCGCCATGATAACGACTTGGCATCCGGTTCGAGTGGTAGCTGCCGGCAGAGTATCTGTTGCGCGGCTGTCTGTATCCAGTACCAGCACATGTCCAGCGACGACTCCATGAACAACTTGATGAACATGGCGAGCGCCCGCGGGTCCCGGCATTTCACTGGCTCGTGGATCCCAGAGCAACCCCCGGCAGCGAGCACAATTATGACGAATAGGAGCGCGGCAGCGTGTGCCCCGGGAGCGCTGGCTGCGTCCGACTCTTGCTGTGCTGGCACCAGGACGGGCGCCCTGGCCGAGTCGGGTCCTCTTCTGCACCCTCTCGTGTGGGTGTAGGAGCAAGCACATGTTGACCGTGTCAAGGCGTATCACGGAGGTACTCAGCGCGGCCGTTCGGATGTAGCTTCGACTCGTCCAGTTCACGGCCGCTGCGAGTACGAGCAGTGCGTGTGACTCGCACGTGTTGGCACTTTGGCTGCTACACAGTTGAGGCCGCTGAGTACCTGCTGGTATTAGCACAGGCTGGCAACGTAGAAGTATCTACTCGTACATACCATACCTATCTGGCTCGAGATATCATTATGGACAATGTCCTCTCAGTGATGTGCTTGCCGTCAATGACCCCGATAATAAGGCAGGTAGTCAACAAGCATGCCGCGGCAGCAAGGTATTAGATCACCGGCCCGGAGATGCTCAACAGACCATCCCTGTCAGAATAGAATGACTGGAAGAACAATGAGAGAAGAGAAAAGAGATTCATCTCACAAGTGGCCTCTTGAAATTTTCGATTCTGTGCGCTCCCCGTGAATCCTTGTCGGCCACGCAAATTGGGCAATTTGAGCGTGACAAAAGGAAGTTCTGCGATAGATTCCAGGCCCACTTGATAAATTGCAGAGCCCGGAGGTCCCCTTTTCGCTCTTGCTTTCTTTTTCTTGGAATAGTGTGGCGCTACTTCCCGTCAGGTGCTGCCCACGTTCTCAAGTACAGATACGGGACTCTAAGGCTGATTGTGCGCGGTCGAGCTGGTACAGCTACCGGCGTGCGGCTGCGGGAGACGGCGTGGCGCTGGTTAGCACTGCGGCACGGGCTTCAGTATCGCACCAAGGTATCTGCACCTGTAGCTGCACATAACTTGCACATTGGCATCCTGAGGCGGGAGGCTGGGAGATGATTGAACCGAGCAATGCGCAGATGAGCTTGATTGACGAGCTTGAAAAGGCACCAGACCTGTACATATGTATCAGCGTGGAGTAGCAAAGAGAGCTACAGAGGACTAACAATGAAGCTACTGCAGCGTCGTCGACAGAAAGTGCGGTCAACCGCCGTTGAGCAGCTGCACGTCAAGGTCACTGAGCTGTGCGGGATCGCGTAGGTACCTGTACCGGTACCGGTACTTGCGCCGCCCGCCGTCGACGCCCAAAAGTGCGAGGTTGGCAGCCAGCTCCAAGGGTCACGATGCCATTTTTCCTACCACCTTTCAGGTCTGTCAGCGTTTGTGCATCTTGCTGGCCTGCATGAGCTTCGTACCACCGCTGGGCGCCCTCGAATCACGGCAGCGCTCAACCACAGCAGCCACAGAGCTGCCCATTTATGCGAACGGCGGCGGCGGAGCCCAGGCCTGAATCCCTGCCCTGTCGCGCCCATGGCATGACCGACCACCGGCGGCGACCCTGCGGTCACCCCATGATAGTACTTACAGCACTCGTACATACCTAGGTAGCCAGAGCTGGCCTGGACCGCTCGCTTGTCTGGCTGCAGGCAGCGTGGCGCCTCTCGCCGGCTGTGCGGATTTTGTGTAGGTACATGTAATATCTGCAGGTTGTGATACTCATACCAGGACATCTAGTGGGGGGGAAGCATCCATGGATCAGTCAATATTACCTTACCTCTCTTCTCACCGTGGACATTGTGTGTCTTCCGGTGTGCTTGCGCCAGGCTGTGAGGACGCACAAAACGCTTAGTAAGAGGGAGGAGACCGAACTGAAAAAAATTCACGATAAAACAGACGAAATGCACGGGCCGGGAATACAGCGACAGATGTACTCGTAGTACCTCGAACTCGGTACCAGACTCTCGATGCTGCTCGCTCCTCCGTCCTCCTGCACCCTCGTTTTCGCCCTCTGGAGCTGCAACTGGCCACTGCCCATCTTTCCAGCCCCCCCTGTCGGCACCCTCGCCCAGCCTGGCCTGGCCTGTTTCTGCCGCTGCTCGTTCTTTGGCTCGTCTGCGACACGCGCTTCAACCCCCCCCCCCCCCGGCCCTCACCTGGAAATGCGCTGCTGGTGCTGGTGCTGGTGCTGTTGCCGGTGCTGATGCTGGCTCTGCAGAGTCTGCCTGTCTGGTGCTCTGTACCCGCAGATTGGCGGCCACCGGCCAATGTAGCGCCTGTCGAGCGCTGGCCGTTGCATTTCGTCTCTTGTCCCCCCCGCGAACCAAGAGGCAGGGAGCCAAAAGAAAAGAAGGAAAAAAACAAGACGGAAGCCGGAAAAAGGAACATTGGAAGAGAAATTCACACCCTGGCGATGCCTTGACCCTCTTTTGCTCTCGCTGCTCCTTGCTCACCAATCCTTTGGCTCGCCCTCTCCCACTCTCCGATCGCTCCCTCACTCATCTGTGCCTCATCTGTGCCTCATCTCTCTCGTTGACCTCATCTCACCTCTTCATCTCTCTCTCTCTTTCTCTCTCCCCGCTCTTCTCTCTCTCTCTCTCATCTCACCTCTTGGCGGCCCCTCTCGCTCACCTGCTGCTCATCATCAACCCGAGCACAACCTCAATCTTGTCCCTTCGTATTGCCAAGCCGAAGCGGGCTCCCCAATCCAGCCAGGCCCAACTGCTGCTAATTTAGCGGTCCGGGGTCTAGCCACTGTTGGCAGTCTGGTACCTCGCCGGTACCTCGAGCGCCTGAAAGTACTCGTAACAGGCCCAGCACCACTTGAGCACCCCCCCTGGCCTGCCTGGCCCGTTGACACTGCAGAGCTCCCCTTTTCATAACCTCCAAGCCTATCCACTTTGAAATCAATCCTCACTTCAGTCACTCCTTACACTGACCTCCTTTCGGCTTTTTCTCCCCCATCTTTCTTTTTTACTTTTGCTTTTTCTTTTTTGGAAGTTCACGATTTCGAAATCCTCTCCCCCTCAAGCATCTCTGTCAGCGACCCGCTCCGTCCACAAACATCAACCTCAACAAGCCTCGACCAAGCTGCCCGCGATTTTTCTCTCTTCTGCCTCCTTTACCCGACCTGAATGCCACGATAAACGATCCGTAGCTCTGCGATAGAGCTCATCTCTTGCGGGCCAATAGGTGTTGTCTTTTTGCCGGCTGATTTTGCTTTGCTCTCTACTCTCCCACTCAGACGATTCGACTGGTCGTTTCTGTCCGCCTGTCGAGCTGCGTTGCGCCCTGATTGATAGCGCCGCCACGATCCGTCTTAGTCGTGAACTCTACCGGCCGGCAGCATGACAGCCACGGTCGAAATGACGCTGCGGCAACAGCCTCACGGCACCATGGCGCTCGAGGACCGCTTTGAGGTGGTCAAGGAGATTGGCGACGGCAGCTTTGGCAGCGTTGTCCTGGCTCGCACCCGAACCGCAGGCGCCGCCGTCGCCCGCCGAGGCACTCTTGTAAGACACCTGAAGCTTGGGTGTGCATCTGGATTCCCGTTGCTGACGCTCCCCCCCCAGGTGGCCATCAAGTCCATGAAGAAGACGTTCGAGTCCCTCTCGCCGTGCCTCGAGCTGCGCGAAGTCGTCTTCCTGCGCACCCTCCCGCCGCACCCCCATCTCGTCCCCGCTCTCGACATCTTCCTCGACCCCTTCACCAAGAAGCTGCACATCGCCATGGAGTACATGGAGGGCAACCTGTACCAGCTGATGAAGGCCAGAGACCACAAGTATCTCGACAACGCCAGCGTCAAGAGCATCCTCTTCCAGATCATGCAGGGCCTCGAGCACATCCACTCCCACAACTTCTTCCACCGCGACATCAAGCCCGAGAACATCCTCGTGTCCACCTCCGCCCACCAGGACACCTCCAACTCCTTCCGCCGATACTCAGCCCTCGTCACACCGCCCTCGACCCCTCCCACATACACCGTCAAGCTGGCCGACTTTGGCCTCGCCCGCGAGACGCACTCCAAGCTGCCCTACACCACCTACGTCTCCACCAGATGGTACCGCGCCCCCGAGGTCCTGCTGCGCGCCGGCGAGTACTCGGCGCCCGTCGACATCTGGGCCGTCGGCGCCATGGCCGTTGAGATTGCCACGCTCAAGCCCCTCTTTCCCGGCGGAAACGAGGTTGACCAGGTCTGGAGGGTGTGCGAGATCATGGGCAGCCCCGGAAACTGGTACAACAAGGCCGGCGCCCGCGTTGGAGGCGGCGAGTGGCGCGAGGGCACCCGGCTGGCCTCGAAGCTGGGCTTCTCCTTTCCCAAGATGGCCCCCCACGCCATGGACACCATCCTGCAGACGCCCCAGTGGCCGCCTGCCCTGAGCCACTTTGTCACCTGGTGCCTGATGTGGGATCCCAAGAACCGTCCCACGTCGACGCAGTCCCTGAACCACGAGTATTTTGCCGACGCCACGGACCCGTCACGGCCCAAGTCATCGGCCTCCAAGATCCTGGGACGCAAGCAGTCCGATCTCAGCCGCACCTCCAAGGAGGGCCTGGCCCCTTCCAACTCCGTCTCCAAGCCGTCATGGTTCCGCAAGTCCCTCATCGGCCGCAGCGACATCCCCGAAACCGTCGTCGTGGCCCCCTCTCAGCAGTCTCCCGTCCAGACGTCCAGCACGCTCGATGTCTCTTCCGCCAAGCAAGCCGCCAAAGCCAAGCGGAGCACGTGGGCGAGTGGCTTGTCGGGAGTGGCGCCGATGCCGATTCTGCCCTCCATCAAGCCCATTTCGCCTCTTTCGGACGCAGTGACGGCGCGTGCCAACAGCAACGCCGACAGCCAGGACAAGAACAAGAAGCTCGGTCGACAACTCTCTGTCAACTCGAGCAACAACAACTACACCGAAATGCACCGCGCCCAGGCCGAGCGTGCGCTGAATGGCCAGTCGGGCCTTGCGTCTCCCCCTAGCGCGCACAAGGAAAGCTTCTTCTCTCACCTTCGCAAGCGGGCGAGGCGCTTCTCCGGGCGCCACCAGACCCCCGTTTCCCCTGCGTATGACGACATGGAGGCCCAGGTCGGATGCGGGCCCTGGAACAGCAATCGCTCCTCCATGCTTGTCGACCAGCAAGTGAACCCCGTCCCAAAGGCCGAGGGCTTTGAGTCTCTGGACAAGACTCTCAGCGACGTTTCAGGCGCCGAGCCCCGCGTTCCCGTACCGCCATCGCACCAGGCCGCCGGGAAGCTCAAGCGCCACCACTCGCTGCCCTACCAGCAGCCTAGGTCCGTCGACAACCTGATTGGGGCTGCCCGAAACGGCCCTGTCTCGAGCCGTACCCGACGTGCCCAGGCGGCGCAAGGCGTCCAGCAGTACGAGGCCCCCGCCGAAGAAGACGAACTCCTCGACGAGGTCTTGACCTCTACCCAGCGGGCGATGAAGCGCTTGGAGGGAAACGCCAAGTCGCTGCGACAATCGGCGAGCAACCTGGGCTTGTCCACGTCGCAGCCGTATCCCAGCCCGTCACCGTCGGCCAACAGCAACCAGCTGCTCTATGCCGATGGCGCCGAGGCCCTGGCACCGAAACCCCTAGATCTCAGCAAGAAGACGGCCAACCAGTACAAGTGGCCCACCCCGCCATACGAGGGTGGTGAATGGAGCGCCTCGGCCTCTGCCAGCATCTGGGCCGCCGGAAACCGTATCTAAAGGAGAGGGAGAAGAACGACCTTAATCTTTCTCGGCCGGACCCTTCCTCTCCCCCTCCTCTTTGTCAACCTTTTCTCCTTTTTACCACTTCTCTCGGACATGTCGTTCAGCGGTGAGGCGGAGGAAAAAAGTTTTTATTAATATGGCGTGTACTATTTTTTCTTTTCTTTTCTTGCATGATACATGGTGTTTTGGTGTTGGATTGCGGCACGTGTTTCCTCGCTCATTGAGCCTTGAGTCGACGGGTCGACCATCATATCAAGTTTTTTCTCGAAATTTCGGCTTGGGGTATAAAAATCTCGCTGTCTTTGGTTTGTTCTGCGCGTTATTTCGGTTGGCACAGACACACACACACGTCGCACACATTGCACACACACTACTCTCTACTACATACCAGGTACCGTACATCAAACCTTGGGGAGGGTTTTCGAGGCCACGCCTTGAAATTTATCTTGATTGACTTTTATATATACCTTTCTTTGTTTGTTTTGGATCTGATTTGTGTTTCCGCTTTTGATATTGGCATATCTGGACATTTTTTGAGCAAGACTTTTCTGTCATGGCAAGACTCGAAATACCCCCTCCTTTATATAGACTGAAAAAACAAGACAGGCGAGCTTGGCTCTCGCCTTGCTTGAAGCCAGATTTACCTCACATATACCTCACATAGTACCTTGTGTATCATTTCTTTTCCTTTCTTTCTATTTTCCTCTTTTCTTTTTCTTTCTTTTGTTACGTGTTTTTCCTCTTTTTTTTTCTTCCATTATACCAAGAAGGCAGAATAAGAATTGAATGGAGTATTACATCAAAGTAGATGCGAGAGTTGGGGAGGGAGTGTGGCGTTTTGAAGATGTAAAAGCTGCTCTCTTGCGCGTTTTAAGTCACACCTCACTGAGCGGAAACCAGGGAGTTGACAAGATATATAGGAAAACGCATTACTATATTCATTGGTAATGTATTGACTTCATGCATGCAGAGTTGGAGGTTTGGTGCAGTGGTGATGCCTCCTGTACAGTACTTGACCTTTATCTTACCGACTGACCATACTTTACCTTACCTAATCTACCTTATTCTATGTAAGGTATGTACCTATGTAGGTAGGTAGGTAGGTAGGTAGGTATTACTCGATACCTTACTAGTAGCTTTACCTGATATAGATGCTCCGTTTTTGATGCCAGTTTAACAGCTAACTCAGAGTTGAGGCTCCGTTCACGCATATCGTGCATGTCTGATACTGTAGTTTATGGCTGGGTTGGCAAGTGGGACGATTGTTCGTTAATGGTTGGAGGTGTCAACGATGATGATGATGATGAGGGGCGGTGCTGTTGCGTGTTTCCAAGTCTTTGGTTCCTGTCCAAGTCTTTGATTCCTTCCTATTTCTTTGGATGGCTTTGTCTTGGAATGGGGGGCCCGCCGGGTTTTGGTTGGGGTGCGATTTGGGTGGATGGATGGTTCATGGTCGGTTTCACTTGGGAGTTTAATCTTTCTTGGAAGAAGTTGAGTGGTGCCTGAAGTAAGACGGCTGTTGGGTACGATGCGATGGGGAGAGGGTGATGGACTGCTATTTATATGTGGACATCATATCTCTTCCATTTTTTTTCTTCTCCGTAGGTGTACCATACTTTATCAAGGGACTAGCCTTGTGCCCACTGACTGGAGGGAACATTGTGAGTGGAGTGAGAGTACCTATATATGGACTGAGGGGGTTTGGAGTGTGTGCGATTTGTCTATTTTCAGGTGTCTAGTGCACAAGGCTTCTGGTTTCACCTTGATACATGTTGACTTGGAGCCTTTTCCAGGCAGGGAAAAAACGAAGATGAAGACGTTGAGCCGTTTACTCTACGAGGAGCTTCACATAGGTAGGTAGTCTGGGTCCCTGTGCTTGGAATATGAGCTTCAGTTGTCGAGTGCCTGGTGAGCATCGCTTAGTCGGCGACTTGACAGATGTTGCTTTTGAGGCTATGGTAAGAGGGTCGCAAAGGTTTCTAGATGTGTAAGTGGATGTAGCTTGATGATGACGGTTGCCACTGCGTACGTTACCTTTCTGAAGCAAAGCAAAGGATGGTCTCTTAGAACGTTATGCTCCGGAACTCGGGCAGCCGTCAACCCTTTTTTATATGCATCGTCTCTAAACCTTGAAACACCACAGAAGAGCGTCACTAATCTGAATCCCAGGCTTCACTATGTGGGTTTCAGTATATGGAGCTTTCTCGGAGCTGGATGCGATGAGGATGAACGAATATATCACTGACGACATCGTGATGTGCTATGTGTACATGCGGTATCAAGGTCTCATTACATTCTATGTGGTTGTAGGTGGCCATGGTGGGATTGAAGACGGAGGTAGAGGTCTCACTTGCGCTTTATTTAGTGTCTCGGCTTCGTTGGTCACCTTACGTGCCCTTTGGTCCAATCCACTGACTGCTCATCAGTGTAGTGGTACAGCTTGGCCACCAGGCCTTTTGTTTTAAAGAAGAACTGGCAGAAGGACATGTGAAATCTCCCTTAGAAGATATTCTACATATGGGCTATATGCTTTGCCGCATTCTGATAACAATGATGAAGTCGCGCTGCTTTATTGGGAAGTTGACTCACCAATCTCAAGCCACCGGGCTCGCCTAGATACACAAAGAAGAGCATCAACGTTGCAATCCCCTCCCAAAAGCCTAAAATGGGGTATACAAGGCATATCGTCTACAACTCTAGGCTGAGTCTCTTTTTTTCTTCTCCTATGAATACCAAAAGACTGCTTCTCCAAAGCCAAATCAAAAGTCTTATGCACCTCCTTTAGGGCCGGGGGGGTTCCCCTCAGGAAATCGGGATATCCCGTTGCCAATGATGATAAATTGCCCGGAAGGTCGGAGGCTAGGGATGTTTCTCTTTTTCAGAGATGATTCTGACGAGTCAGCCAAAGGCTGAGTGGGCTATAAGTCTCTCTGCAGACAGATGAGAATCTTCGTTGTCGAATATGCCAGCATCATCGCCGAGGGTCCTCACCTCAAGATGAGGGAAGTGCTGCTGCCAATGATGGGAGTACCTGAATGGCTTTTAAGGCACTTCTCAACAGAAACTTGAGTGAGGGGTCAGACAATTGGCTGAGGGGGTAAAACCTTCGCTCCAAAGATATGAGGATGCACATCCTCGTCATGAGATTCGGAGAAAGTCGTAGCCCAGGAGCCTTGTCGTTGAGGATCCTCGAAATCGGCATGGGGGTCTATCTTTACTGCAAATGATGATGAACCTGAATAGGTCTGAGGCAGGCGGGTGCTTCCCAGCAGCTGAAGGAAGGCGCTGTTAATAATTGCGAGGTTACGAGATGGACAATGGTCGAGAAGATGGGATAGTAAACGGAGAAGTATTGACTTTTTCAAACCATTGAGACGATGATGAAGGCGGGTGAGATCTCTATAATAGACGGCTGGTACGAGCAGTCAAAGGATGAAGTCGCCCTGTGCAACGTTGAGTCAATAGGTTATTTTCGAGCCGCACCTGTCAAGTCATCAGAGGGCATATTTCATAGGCAACTCATGAGGATACACCAACAGTGACTCGGGGCTTTGGCACGATTCTGGTTGCTCTCTAGCATTCTCACAGTGAGGACGGTATCGCTACGCTGACCCATACGGCGTCCACGCAGCATACATATGTGACGATGGCTCAATTTCATCTTATCTAATTAGGGACTTATTCCTAGAGAGTTGTCCGTAGCATTTGGTCGGCTGTTTTGTTTGGACGGTTGGAGTGTAAGGACTCGATTGCTGATGCTGTTCGTCCAGTGGGATCTATAACCCATCATTCTGACCAAACCCGCACGGCTGTTTATGGTATGTTATCCCCATATGCCGCAATATCAGTCGAGTTGAACAGTTGGATGCCACAAGGAGCAGCAATGCGATCACAAGTCAAACGCGGCCTTCACACGTGGTTGGGTGCAGTGCTTTGTAGAGGGAGGTACTTGCTGGTCAATGGTTGAATCAGTACCTACCCAGTGGCAGGTTAGCTATGTTCAGGTGCTTTTACAACGTGCACTGAGGCCCCTACTTGTATATGCCACAAAGCTTTCGTTACGGTGTGAGAAGGGAGGGGGGCGGTGATGCGTATTTAGGCGTATTGAGGACAAGGGGGTGCGGCTGGGGTCACGGTGTCAGTGCCGGAGTTGGACGCATCTTTTACCGTGTGACGTATAATTCCACCTGTTAAAGCAGTCTAATTCTATGTATGCGAAATGGAATCAATTCCAGCTTCTTTCGGTTCCTCGGTCAGAGAAGGCAGCAATTTTGCGTCTGGACGCTGCAGAGTCCGTGTGTGTGTTTATTGTTGCCTGGCTTACGAGTATATATTTAGTAGTACTTACACGATGAAGGGGGGGGGGCTGAGATTTGACGGAGTTTGGGCAGTGCATGCAACTTCCGAAGGGTCCACGTCGAAATCTGGCAGCCTTGCAGCCCTTGTCTGATGCTGCTGTGCCACGTTGCCTCTCGATTTCTTGATCGGAAGTGCAAGGGGTTGGAGGAGGGTTTCTGTTAATGCCTCTGTTGATGAAGATGGTGATGATTTCTGTCAGTAAGGTACAGGTACCTGCAGGGACGGCATGCACTCCGCAAATGCTGCGTATCGGTACAGACACAGTGTACCTCAGTGTTGCACCAGATGATAAGGAGGAAAAAAAACAGGGGCAATTGAGGCTCTGGGGAAGACGGACAAGACGGGGAACGGGTGCTGAAGTAAGCAGATTTGAGGTCACGTGGTGGCGCTAAATTCGTCCAGGCGGAGGAACGGAGAGGCAAGAGGGAAAGAAAGAAGGAACAAGGGGCGATTCGATTCGATACCGGACTTGCGTGTGAAACCGGCAACTTCAGCTGAAGGCAGCCTTGACATGATACTTGGATCACGATAAGCGACGGGAAAAAGGGACCATCAGGCAACAGAATTATACAGACAAAGGGGCCGGATTTTGCTTCTTTCTTTCTACTTACTTGGTCAAGCCTTATTGGTCTCTGCCTTGGGGGGACCGGGGGGCTTCTTTTCCGGCGGGAATATCTGCTTGCCTTGGCTTCAACGGGGACTGGAGTTTTTCATACATGGGCATGGACATCTACTATATCTGCTGAGGAGCGCGGGCTTGACGGCGTCATTTCTGGATCTCTTGCTATATATCGGGGCATCGACTATCCTTGGACGGCGAGCGCTGCGACGATCACGATCCCTACGCCTGTGTTGGAGCAGTGACAAGTTCATCGGCATCTGAAGCCATCTTCTTCGGCATCTTCATCACCCAGCCTTTCAGCCAGCCAGCGACCGCACTGAACCAAGGCTTCATCCGTCATTTGAGATAATCATCGCTCGCGTCTACCATCTTTTGCAGCGGTGGGAGGAGAGTCGGGCGAAGAGGGGCTCAGCAGGTCGGGCATCTCAGATGAGCGGTGGTGTGCTCATCAGGAGCTAAACTTTCACCAAACTACCATATCTGAACAGGGCGCATACGACTACAACGATACACCCTGGCCGTACACTGAGATTGTACGTGATAGGCGGCACTCTCAGTCGGAATTCGAGAGATGCAGAACCTCAGTCTGCCGGTGCGTACGAGCACCAGCCGTCGCAATCAGGAAAGCAGGAGTTACTTCACGAGCTACACGCCGCCGAGCTCGACAGAGGCCATCAATGGACCGGTCAGAGAGCCGGTCAGGGAGCAGCCGCCGATGAGCGATCGGTTGATTGTGGGCGTGGATTTTGGCACAACATTCTCAGGGTGAGTGATGATGACCTTTGAGATGATCTGTCTGGATGAACAAGCTGGCTCTTGTCAAGCACCAGAGCTCATGCTGACACCACACCACACAGCGTCGCTGCTGTATACACATCAACACCAGACGATGTTGAAATCATCAAGACGTGGCCGGGCGGCAACGGCATCACCTCGGACAAGGTCCCGACAGAGATTGCATACAGCTTCCCGCCCGACGCCGCACCCGGGACTGAGCCGACGGTGAAATGGGGGTTCCAGTTCAAGCCAGACGAGTCAAGACTGCGATGCATCAAGCTGTTCCTCGACCGCTCCCAGAAGCTGCCCTTTTACGTCAGTCCGCTCGACACGGCGGCACAGCTGAAAAAGTTCAACAAGAACGTCATGGATGCCGTCAGCGACTACCTTACCCAGATCTACCGGCACACCATGGACACCCTGACGCGGCGCTACGGAGAGTCATTCATGGCGTCGACAAAGGTCGAGTTCGTCCTGACCTGTCCCGCCGTTTGGAGCGATGCGGCCAAGAACACGACGCTGCAGGCAGCTGAGCGGGCGGGCATGGGCAGCCGCTCCGAGATTCAGATGATCAGTGAGCCCGAGGCAGCGGCCGTGTATACGCTCAAGGCGATCCAGCCGAACCACCTGAACATTGGTGATAATTTCATCGTGTGCGACGCGGGTGGTGGAACTGTCGAGTGAGTTGATGTCCAACGATGTGTATCAGGCATAGCTAACGAGTCATCTACAGTCTGATTGCCTATAAAATCATATCCCTCAAACCGCTGCGGGTCGAAGAGTCTGCCGTAGGAACCGGCGGGCTCTGCGGAAGCGCCTTTCTCAACTACAGGTTCGAGGAGCATGTCCGCACCAGGCTGGGCCAGGCACGGTTCGACGAGATGAAGTCGAAGAAGGGCAAGACGTGGCAGATGGGCCTGCGGTACTTTGAAGAGTTTGTTAAGCGCAACTTTAACGAGGATGAGCACCAGGAAATCAACGTCCCGTAAGTGCTTGCTTTCTCAACGCAGGTGAATCTCTCACACTGACAACTGCAGCTTCCCCGGTCTCCCGGATGACGAAGAGGCTGGCCTCGATTCTGGCTTCATGGTGATGAGTGCGGAGCAGATCAAGGAAATTTTTGAGCCGGTGGTCAAGGAAGTGTGCGATCTGGTGCAGGGCCAGGTGCAGGGCCTCCGAGCCAAGGGCGGCATCGTGTCGGGTATCGTGCTGGTGGGCGGCTTCGGGCAGAGCGACTACCTGTACCGGAGGCTCAAGGCGCACTTTTCGAGCGCGGCGCCGCCCCCGTACAGCGAGCGGCCGACGCACGCCACCGCGACCGCGTCGCAGGACGTCGGGTCGATCGAGGTGATGCAGCCAGTGTACGCGTGGACGGCGGTGGTGCGCGGCGCGGTGCTCCGGGGCCTGGAGGGCAACATGGTCATCTCGCGCAAGTCGAGGATGCACTACGGCACGTCGTTTGCGACGGTGTACGACGAGGAGAAGCACTCGGTGAGCGAGCGGTACTGGTCGCCGCTGTGGGAGCGATGGATGGTGTCTGATCGGATGCAATGGCACATTGCCAAGGTGGGTGCTTTGCTTTGTTTTTTGATGGTACCTTTGATGGTCTCTTTGATGCCTCTGTCTTTTGATTCTTCCCCTCACTGCACCGCGGTTCATTGTGTTCTTCGGTTGCCTCTATTCATCACCAGATTGATACTGACATTCACAGGGCGAGTCGCTTTCTCCCCTATCGCCCATCGCCTTCCACTACACACGCAACTTCCGGCCCGGTCAGTCGCTCATCGTGACCGACGACCTGATTGCCTGCGACGCCGACGAGCCCCCCGCGGCATACACGAGGGACCTGATTAACGTGTGCACGCTGACGACGGACCTCAACGCCGTGCCGAGGAGCCTGTTTACCAGGCTGACGACGACGCGAGGGGTGGAATTCGACAACCTCGACTTTACGCTCGAGATGATTGTGGACAGCGCAGGGCTGGGCTTTGAGCTCAAGGTGGACGGGGTGCGGTACGGACGGGTGGAGGCCGAGTTTCACTGAGGGCGACTTGGACGTGTACTATTCATACGTATGTATATTGGAGCATTGCATACACCGAGATTCATCTGACTCCATAGCGGTTGTAGAAACTACCTAAGAAGCAGCCACTTTATGTTCTGCCTTTTCTGTATGTGACTACTGGTCTTGACTCGGGATTATTCCCGGTTGTTCGTTGGCGCGGCTCACGCTCTGAACCGGCAGCTAAAGGGGGACAGGCCGGATCAACGGCCAAAAGCCCCAAAGCCGCAGCCAGGAAGTACGAGCTTCGAGGCGTCAAATGGGCGTCCAGCGTCTGCCAGACCGTCGACGACAACGCTGCTTATTAACGCCTGCTCAGCTTATCCCAGTTTCGAGGCCGAGTCCATTGGGATTTGGATATGCTGACATATCCCGGGCTCATCCAGCATCTCTCACTATCATCAGCTGTGCTGCACTTCCCATCCGTCTAAAGCCAGGCATCGCCTTCACGTAGCGTTCCAACTTCGACTGTCGTCTTTACAACTCTGTCTCACTCAAATCTCATCGCCATTGATACCGCTTTCACAAAAAACCATCACCGGCCGAAACACTCTCACCAACCCGGTCATTTCTTGCCATCTGCCATGAGCCAAGACCAGGGCCAGACACAGAAACGCTGTTGGAACTGTCGCCGTAAGCAGACCCGTCGTCGCCTCTCCCAACTTTTCGGCTTGGCCATTGTATAGACTGTGCGTCACAATCAAACTTTGACTGACCACTTCTGGCTCGGGATTTTCGCAGAGCAAAAGACTGCCTGCGACAAGACGTTGCCGCATTGCGGGAACTGCGTGAAAAAGGGCCGCCGGTGCCTGGGCTACGGGCTGAAGCTGTCGTGGCCGCGCAAGGACGACCAGAGACGGTCTGCGTCGTCGCGCCAGGAGCACTATATCATTCCCATCCGGACCAGCGAGGGCGGTTTCATCAATGCGACGAGCGATGATGTGAGGGCATCGTCGCAGGAGCAGGGTACGAGATGTTGTGTGTGTGTGTTTGGTGTGAATTGGAGGGGTTAGGATATGCTTGAGGCTGACGACTTGAGCAGCGCTGAGTCGATATGATGCCACGACGTTTGGCGAGGTGTGGTTGACGCGACAGCCGCAGTTCAACATGGCGCGGCTGGATCCGTTTCTCGCTTCACATGGTAAGGCTGCTTGCTTCTGCTTTCTCTCCCCCCAGATGAACGGGAGGTGAGTACCTATAGAAGCAATTGGGGTGCTGACACATGGTAAATTGGGCTGCCAGCATGGAGTCCGGTGGCCCGGCTGGTGTCGTCGAGCCAGAGCGGCGACGATCTCTACGGGCTGCTGGTCAGAATGTCCTTCCAGGACGAGACCCTGCCGTCGCTGGCATCGCGATACGCCATCAGCGCGCTGTCGTACCAGCACCTGGCCATGGATCAGACGGCCGTGATGCATCAGACGAGGGCGATTCGGGCGCTGCAGACGGCGATTGAGACGGTGGCGCCGTCGGAGTGCATGCAGTTGATGGCGGCGAGCATGCTGCTCAACATATACGAGGTGTGTCTAACATAACAAACCTCAGATTTTTACCACTCATCTTGTATAATCCTCATAGTTGATTTTGCGAAACTGACTCTTTGGTGTGTGTGAGTGTGTGTGAAAAGACGCTCAACTTTGACACGTCGGAACTCAGCTGGTCCATCTTCTTCTGCGGCACAAAACGCATTGTCAATCTCGTGACCAAGACTGACGACACGTTCTTCGGGGACGAGGCGCTCATTATTGACTGGATCTTTTACCACGATGTCATGTACAAGTTTAGTATTCGGCACTGGCGGGAGAAGAATACGGATCAGATCTTGTTGGCGTCGCAGAGAAAGGTGCTTTCCAAGGCGGTGTTTTCGCCTGAGAGACAAGTTGTGCGTTTTGTCCCCTTAGCTCTTCCATCTCTCCTTTCCTTTCCTTCTTTCTGTCTCAATGCGGTAGGATATGAGTTGCTCTACTAACATATAGGCCCCCAGATTGTCCCCATCCTGGGCTGCTCTCTAGAGCTTCTCGACCTCCTCTGCCAAACCATTGACGCCGTCTACGAGCCCGACGACCCCAATCTCCAATCCGAATCGCACCTCAAGCAAATCCGGTCCCTAGAAATCCGTCTTAAATCCCTCCAGCAGCGCCAATCCTCAATATCCCCCCTCAACACCCCCGACTCAAACCAGGAAACCACCGTCGCCGAACTCTACCGCCTCGCCGCCATCATCTACCTCCTCCGCATGGCAAAGGGCGAGCCCGACAACGCAAAGAGCGTGCTACAAGTCGTCGACCAGGCCTACGAGACGCTCAACCGGCTCGAGTACTGCGAGCGGCCGTGGCCCCTGTTTGTCGTTGCGCTTGAGGCGCGCTCCGAGGAGCATCGCAGGGATATGCTGAGGGTTCTTGGTAAGTCGTTGGAGAAGAGGCCGCTGGGGCCGATGGCGTTGGTGAATCGGATGATTCCGGATGCGTGGACGCAGCAGGATCTGAGGGAGGCGGCGGTTGATCCGTTTACGCTGTATGGGATGATTATCAGTCGCCACCGAGTGCCGCCATGTTTTACGTAGGAGAGATTCTCCGAAGAAGTTTTGGAGACTTTTTTTCTTTTGCGCGTGCAATCGAGGGTGTCTGTTATTTTTTGTGTGTTCAGGGGGGAACTTTTATAAAGAGTATGCAATGCTATTTTCCAGTCTATTCACGACACATCTATCCGAACTAAAGCACAAGATCTTCCTTCTCTCTAGGTACTGCTCCCCTTATGCAGCGACAATGACAACCTCGCCAAACAGCTTCTCACGCTTCATCAGCAGTGCCGAAACAGTGTGCACACCACCCCCGACACAAACAAGGATAAACGCCTTTTGCATGGCCTTTGTGATGGCCAGGACGGCCGAGGCTCTCAAATCCCCCGTAATCTCCTCAAAGATGCGGCTCTGCGCACCAGCAATGGCGCTCTGGATATCAGCAGCGGTAAAGTCCGTCTGTGCCAGCGCAGCAGTCAAGTTCTTTGTGGCCTCGGACTGAAAGACCTGGCCGGCGATTACGAGGGCGATGACGGTGCCGCCAATTTGGGAGACGTTTTGCAAGGCCAGGGCGTCGCCCATCTGCGCAGCGGGGACCTTGAGCGTGGCGACTGCGTATCCAATCTGCAGGGTGAGCCCCGTGCCGACGGCAGTGAGGACGGTGAAGCCGTAGATGTAGGCGGTGGGGGTGTCCGGGTCGAGATAGGCGGTGAGCAGGGCGCTGCCGAGGGTGATGAAGAAGCCGGCGACGGCGAAGATGGGCATGTAGTAGCGCACGCGGGACAGCAGGTGGCCGGCGGCGAGGTTGAAGCTGACGGTGAGGACGACAAAGGGCAGCAGGCGGACGGCGGCCTCGATGGCGGAGTCGCCGTGGACGAACTGGAAGTAGATGGGGATGAAGTAGACGACGACGAAGAGGGCCGTGATGTTGGACGAGGTGGCGACGTAGAGCAGGATCTGCGAGCGGGAGCGCAGCAGGTGCACGGGGAACGAGCGGTTCTCGGGGGATGTGAAGAGGCAGAACGTCTGCTGGAGGGCGAAGCAGGCGACGATGACGACAAAGGCGACGATGGTGCCGATGGTGCGGCCGTCGTGCCACGACCACTGGCCGCCGGCCATGGTAAAGGCCATGCAGAAGGAGACCCAGGTGCCGACGCCGAGCAGCAGGCCGAGGAAGTCAATCTTTTTCACGCGCTCGAGGACGGAGACGCCGCCCGTCACCGGGTGGACCGAGGGCAGGCCGAAGAGGTAGACGGGGGCAAAGGCGCCGCCGACAATGAGGTTGATGTAAAAGGCCCAGCGCCAGGTCGCGCTCGACTGGACAAAGGAGCCGCCGACGACGGGGCCCAGGACGGCGCCGATGCCCCAGCAGAAGCCCGTGCCGGTGATGTAGATGCCGCGCTCGCGGGGGGTCGTCAGGGCGGCGAAGTAGTTGAGGCAGCCCATGAAGACGCCGCTGCCGCCGGAGCCGGCGATGACGCGGCCGACGATGAGGGCCGTCATGGTGGGCGCTGCACCGCACAGGGCGGAGCCGACCTCGAAGAGCACCATGGAGGCGGCAAAGACCCATTTCATGTTGAAGCTGGCGTAGAGCACGCCGTAGAGCAGGATGACGGAGACGGAGCCGAGCGGGAAGCCCGCGCCGATCCAGGCCAGCTGCTCGACGTGGCCAAACGCCTCCACCACGGCGCCCTGCACGTCGGCGGCAATGGTCGTGTCGAGGCCGTAGATGAAGGTGCCGATGTAGAGGGCGGTGCAGACGAGCAGCCAGCGGAGGCCGCGGACGTTGCGGGAGGCTGCTGGGTCTTCGAGTTGGTCGGGCGGTGTTGAGGACTGGGGGCTTTCTTCGTCGGAGGAGGAGGAGGAGGGGAGGGCTTCTTTCTCGGGGTCCATTGGTGGGTAGGGGGAGTCTGGTGTTGAGATGGTCATTGTTGGATAGGGGCTGGCGGTCTCGATGATGTTGATATTGATATTGATTCGGCGTTTGGTTGTTGGATTGACTCGAAATTGGATGTCTGGAATTAAAGCTCTTTCAATGCTGTCTATGAGTCTACTTGTATATATAGATGATGGCGATATACAAGCAGATATAAGTCGAAGCCGTCTAGTAGTCCGGGCGATGCTCCTTGTAAGCAGGTGTAAGTCGATCACCAGGAACAAGTACAGGATTATAAGCAAACTTAAACTAGAGGATACAGACCTCCTTTTGAACAACCCACTCCATAGGAATTACGCATGATAAATCTAGTCAGAGAGACAATCTTCGGATCTCAAAGGTCGTGGAATTTGTCAGCCCCGAGACGAGATGCCAACCATGGGCGGCGGCCCTACGACAAGCATCTACTAGCTTTCCCGATTGACGTTCGGCTAGGCAGATATGACTCCATAAGGGTCCATAACGGCTGGTCTACAAAAATTCATGAGAACTGAGCAGTAGTACTAGTAGTATCAGTAGCAGGTAGTACGGTGGTGTGTAGGGCGGCATGAATAATACGGAGCGAGTCCCTACGGATCTAGATATGCTTAAACCACGAGTCCCGGCTTTCACGATACCGAGCTCCACCAGAAGCCAGGAAGCGTTCTGGAGCTCTTTCGACCAATTACAATGCAAGGGTGAGAGATGCCGGGCTGGAGGAGTCCGCAGGGGCTTGGATGAGAATCTTTTTGCGAGGATCAGAGGGCTAGGACTGATGGGGAAGTAGGTGGGTGTGTGCAGCAGATAGTTGCCGTGAGCGGTACGTCTTGGAGAAGCTTTTGAAGGCTGAGAATGGAGTGTGAAAAAGGGGGGAATCTCTGCGAGCTTGGGAGTTGTCTTGCAGTGTATGAAGCGTGAATTGAATATGGGGAGAATTTTCGCCAATGGCCTCATGAGGCTCTATCATCCAGATACTATGCTTAAAGCGAATGGTAAAGGCATCGAGACATTTGCTCTTTACGCCCAAGTCGTTGTTCTATCCAGAAATGCTCTGAATACCATGTTGTTCCACCACGTGCTTGACGACATTTTTTGCCTTGTGCCATCATGTCTTGTCACATTTCATTCATTTTTTTTTTTCCCCTTATCGCCGTTTTTCTTTTTCGGATTTTGTCGAGAGCCAAGCTTCGGCGCTTTGGCTCCACCCGCTTCGGCCTGAAGCCCGACTCGGCTTCCTGTCGGACGGCGTTAGAAGATGCGTATTCCCTTCTTTTTGGTTGACAGCCTTGATGGTGATACTAGCTTCAAAGTGCCGAAAGGCCGAAGTCATAGTAAGTTAGTCTATGGGGGTTGTACGTATATGCGGGAGATGGAGGATAGTCCTCCTCGTTACTCATGTATTCTCCCTCCCTCTCTCTTTGTTTTCTCTCAATTCGTCTCTGTTCCTCCTACAGGCTTTTTCTTTTCTTCTTCTAAGGATTTAATAGATTATTGATTATTTGGCTCGCTGTGGGGAGGCTGCTTGTAGGCTAACTAGTAATGATGTCTGACTGGTTTTTTGCTCGTCTTGGTGAGGTCTACAGGAGTACTCTCATGGATATCCGTACGGCATCGGATCCAGGGCAAAGGCGTCGTTTAGCGTAGATCACCCCCCTTTTGCTCCGTGCTTCTTACGAATGCGGTCTCTAATACCACTCTGTACTCCGGTGATGATTACCTCAACATTGATGATTAATGGACTTAATGGACTTTATTCCGAGAGCGGAGCACAGACAAGACTTTGCGATATAGCTGTATGAAGGATGTGTCGTGTCTGTCAAACAAAGTCGTATTCGCAGATAAGAGGAGCGAAGAGCAGCGAATCAAGTAGAATTCAATCAAAAAAAGCCCTGTGAAGGAAAATGGAAACTTGGTCCCAGTGGAGGTGTTTTGCTGGGGTCGCCTTTGCCGTGTCAAACAGACACCATTTGCCTGTTTGGGGGTGGTTGATGTTGGTTGGGGCCTCATATCCACATGTGCTGCTGCTGTGCGAGTACATACGCTGACCATGGATACGGATTGACACAGTGACTGGGTTTCTTGATGATTCTTTATGGAGAATGGGGCTTGTACTGTAATACACTGAGTAAGGCTGTGACATGTGACATGTGATGGAGATTGCAAATGGAATCTGGCGGTCCGAGATGCCAGTGGTATTGAAGGTAGATATCTAGTGGTTAAAAGACGTGATTCACATTGCTCGCTTCTTGTCCCTTTTTCGCCTCCTATTCCTCTTCTTCTCTTGGCTGGATCTTGCAATGGTTCTCTACGATACTATCGACCATCAGTCTGATTGGCGTCGGACTCACGATATGCCATGTTACAGTCCAGGTTGAGCTCAAGAGGTTGCTCAACTGCGTAAAAAGCGAGACAAACATGAAGCCTCACAAATCGGGCACTCAATCCCGCACCTGCTAGGCAGATACTTCAATATGCATTGTCAATCACGGCTGAGCAAGTGTACCGCACTAACGGGCCCAAAACACTCAGCTCCCAGACCTGTTAGTGCGGGGGAAATTTTCCAATGCGCGACACGGTGGAAAAGGAAAAAAAGACAAAACCCAGACGCATATGCAACTGATTTTGCACGACATCTGCCCTGTCATTGGCGGAGCATCTCATCGTGTCTTTGCGGCCTGTTGGTGATTGTGTCCAGCCTTTGTCTTTCTTCTTGATTCTTGCTGTTGGCTTCGAGTGAGGGAGCGGGTGCTTGAAGGCATCTGAAATCACATCTGGCTGCTCGTGATAGCCTCGTCGACTTTGGCTTCAGCCTTGGCAACTCGACCTCAACTCGACCTCAACTCGACCTCATCTTGTCTCATCGGATCTCATTTTTTCTCACCGGCCTCACCTCGATTCACCTCGTCTGACTCAGCCTCCATGAGATAGACAACAACAACAACATCATCAACATCATCATCAAACCCATCACCGTCAACACCATCAACACCATCAACACCATCACCACCATCACCATGGACTCAGACGACCGCATCTCCCTCCTCCTCTCCTGGGCCTCCTCCAACGGCGCCAGCCTCCATCCCTCAGTCCAAATCTACGACGACCCAACCACCGGCCTGTCATTCCGCGTCTCCCCCTCCTCCCCCTCCCCCATCCCCCCCTACGCCCCCATCGTCAACCTCCCGACAAGCCTCTCCCTCTCCTACCTCAACGCCCTCCACCCCACGCCATCCTTCCCCCGGTCCTTCCTCGCCAAGTCCCCGCCTCACGTCGTCGGCCGCCTCCTCCTCATCAAAGAGTACCTCCGCGGCGCCGAGTCCTTCTGGCACCCGTACATCCAAGCCCTCCCGCAACCCGAGGACGTCGACGACTGGGCCCTGCCCCCGCTGTGGCCCGAGGAGGAGGCCGAGCTGCTCGAGGGCACAAACGTCGAGATCGGCCTGGACAAGATCCGCGAGGACCTCGGGCGCGAGTTCCGCGACGCGCAGAAGCTGCTGCTCGCGTCCAACGGCGACGCCGAGGACGACTTTAGCAGCCTGCTCACCCGCGAGCTGTACCAGTGGGCGTACTGCATCTTCTCCAGCCGCTCGTTCCGGCCGTCGCTCGTGCTCTCGCGGGAGCAGCAGGAGGCTCTTCTTCCGCCGGGCGTCTCCGCCAATGACTTTTCCGTGCTGCTGCCCGTCTTTGATATCGGGAACCACGACATGACGGTTCATGTGCGCTGGGACGTCACCTCAGGAGGCCAAGCAGACGCATCTAGTACAGGTGGCTCGGCCGCCGCCGCCGTCCAGCTCAAGGTCGGCAGGGAGCACAAGCCAGGCGAGCAAATCTTCAACAACTACAGCCCCAAGACCAACGCAGAGCTGCTCCTGGGCTACGGCTTCATGCTCCCCATCACCGACTCCCTGCACAACGACTACATCCACGTCCGCAAGCGCACGGCAGCGCCATCCTCATCGTCGGCTTCATCTTCGCCATCATCGCCCTCGCCGTCTCAGCCGGGCAGCACCTCGCCAGACGAATACCTCATCTCCCTCCGCCCAATCTCCCACCCGTCCTCCCTCCTCGCAGCCTCCAAGCAGACCCTCGCCGTCTTCCCCCAGGGCCTCCTCGGCGCCTTTACGCACGTCCAGCACGACATGGTCTGGGACATTTTCCTCACTCTCCTGCAGCACTCTTCCGTGCCGCTCATCAAGCTCATCCCGCTGGACAAAAACACCTTTCCGTCGGAAGAAGAAGCCGTGCGGCAGCGCCAGGAAAAGTTCTTCGCCGGACAGGTCAATGACGAGTGCCGCGACTTCTTGGAGCAGACCATTGCCATTATTCAGCATAAAGTCTTGCAGGAGCTCGAGAGGCTGAATGAGACGGACATGGAGGTCGTGGGCGAGGACGCGGAGCTGCTGTCGCCGAATCAGCGGCTTGCGCTCGAGTATAGGGAGAGGTGTAGGATGGTGTTGGAGAATACGCTTGCGGCGATAGGGGAGGATGAGGTTATGCAGGATGATGATGATGATGATGATGGGAGCGATACGGCGTGAATCTTTTGGTTGGTGAGGATATATATATACGCACGAGTAATGAATCATGACGTTGGATGTGTGATGGATACAGATGGAGATGTAGACGATAGATCTATTCTGTCTAATCTATGCCGTGTAATGAATATTCCGTCAAGCATCAAGCACGTGTTGAATCACCCCTTATTCTAAACACTCATCAAAGGAACATGGCGTGCAAAATCAACAATTACGACTGGTCAAGCGCATCCTTGAGCTCGGCCTGCATCAGCGCCTCCTCGAGCGGAATCTCCTTGAGCGCGACAATCTTGGTCTTTTTGACATACTTCCATATCAGATATGCCGCCAGCACCAGCGGAATGTCCCTGTCCCTTCAAGTCAGCTGAATGGAATCAAAACAGTTTCTGGAAAACAGGCATACTCACAGATAGGACGACACAAAGCCGCTGGGACTCCAGTTGCCCGTAGTAAACACGTAGAAGCCGTTGGTGAGGAGAATGATGCTGCACATGACGAGTGCCGCAGCCGAACTATACACTATCAAAGATTATCAGCACACACGTCTTCTCGTAAGAAAGACTGAGAGATTGCAACCCACAGGTCCAGCTGTTGTGCCAGGGCAGCCGCTGGTACGGAATGCCCTGCACCCTGAGCGCCATCCGCAGCCGCACGTGGTTGAGCACGATGCAGATCCAGCTCACCAAGACGCCGGCGCCCACCAGGTCCATGAGCCAGAAAAAGGCCGTCAGCGCGCCGCTGCTCAGGCTCATGAAGGCCAGGAACGAGAAGACGATGAAGAGGCTGACGGCCACGTACGGCACGCCCCACGACGTCGTGCGCAGGAAGACCTGGGGCGCCTGCTTCTTGAGGGCCAGGCCGTAGAGCACGCGGGTTCCCGACAGCAGCGCCTGGTTCGACGACGACCAGGCGGACGTGATGACGATGGCGTTGATGACGGAGGGCACGGCCGGGTAGCCCGCTGCGGACACGGCAATGACAAAGGGGCTCTGCGCGGCGGTGCCCGACTCGTCGTTGAGCCGCTCGTCGTCGGAGCTGACAATCATGCCGACGATGAGAATCGCCAGCATGTAGAAGAGCAGGATGCGGATGAAGACGTTGCGGCACGCCCGGGGAATCGCCCTGCGCGGGTTCGCCGTCTCGGCCCCGGCCATGGCCAGCGACTCGACGCCCGCAAAGGAAAAGACGGCGCCGGTCATGACGCTCCAGTAGCCCAGGAAGCGGCCCCAGTTGCCGGTGCCAATGTACTCGACAAAGGGGCCCGGGTGCTTCCAGAAGCGAAAGTAGGTCGGCGCGACGCCCGGGATGCCGCCCAGGTCGATGACGAGGCCGAAGATGATGAGGAAGACGACCATGAGGATCTTGAGCGTCGCGAAGAAGGCCTCGATCTCGCCGAAGTAGCGCACGCCCGAATAGCCCACGGCGGCCGTCAGCAGGATGAAGACGATGATCCACACGCTCGGGTTGAGGTCCGGCAGCCAGTAGGCGAACAGCACGCAGATGGCCGTGATCTCGCTCGGGATGGACAGCAGGTTGCCGTAGACGAGGTTCCAGCCGACGGCGAAGCCCAGCGCCGGGTCGACCAGCACCTCGGCGTGCCGCACAAAGGATCCCGTCACCGGCAGCAGCGCTGACACCTCTCCCAGCGCAAACTGCACCGCGCTGACGACCAGCCCGACGGTGCCGTAGCCCAGCAGCGCCCCCAGGGGCCCTCCGGTCTGCACGGCGCCGCCGAGGCCGAGGAAGAGCCCCGTGCCGATGGCGCCGGCGATGCCCAGCATGGACAGGTGCCGCTCCTTGAGCCCGCGCTTGAGGTTGCGCTCCTCGGTGGCGGTGACGAGATCGCCGTCCAGGTCGCCGAGGCCCTTGATGGGGTCGCCGTCGGCCAGCAGGTGCGAGGGCGCCCGCTCAATGTCGACATGGACATCGGCGGCCATCTTGGTGACGGAGGCATCTTTGCCATGGCCGTAGTCGGAGCTGGAGGTGTTGTATCCCGGAGCTGCAGCGTTGCCGCCGGCAGAGCGATCAATGAGCGGCGACATGGTGGTTGGCGGTATTGGCGGTCGTTTCCCGCTCGACATGCCCTGATGTTCGCTGGATCTTCGTCTCCGTCAATCTCTGGCCTCTGTGAATGTCTTGAGTCTCCTCTCCTCCCTCCTTCTTCTGGTGGCGTCCTCTTCCCCGCTGCTCTAATGTGGTGATGCAGAGCGGCAACGAGGCTCCTCTCCGGCTGTCAGTTTGTTCTTCTTCTGTCGCTCTTCCTATCGGCTTGACGCAGCTTGTCGTTTCCCTCAGTCTTCCGTCTCACTCAGCTAAAGAAGTAGCAGAAGGAGAAGCAGAAGAAGAGGCAGCAGAAGAGCAGCCCGTCATCGCATTTCCCTGCAGCCTCGGCCAACGGCCAGCCTCATATAACAAGCAAAAAAAGTTAATCGCAGCCGCCCTCCAGACGCGGCTTAGTGTAGCCCTTTTGCCCATTAGCACTGATATCGCAATCGGGCCCCTGGCTCACCCAATCTTGTCTGGTCTGGTGTCTTACAGAGTGCCACCGAGCGAGTCTGACCGATCCACAGTCACTCTGTCCTTCTGTCATTGTGCGTCTGGCTTCGAAATCTCAACGCGACATGGGAGGTTCAGCAGGCGAAAGGCTGGTGTCTCGTGTTGTTTTGTTCAAGTCAAGACGAGACTGAGCTGAACGAAGCCCCCCCCATAAACTCTGATTGCTGTGTCTGCCTCAGGCTTCAGGTAATACATTGCAATTTGTACTCCTTGACAGCTGTCAGTTGTTAACAAGTCTAGCCTGTCAAGGTCCCCCCGCGTCCACTGACTCGAGCATTCTTCAGCCGCCAGAGGAGCTACCTAATCCGGCAACAGAAGCCGTTCGACCTCGAATTGACATTTGATGAAAATGCATCGCTTGATATTAGCAAGAGTCCTCCTACTATTTGAACCGTAGCATATCTCTAATGTCGTATTTGAACCGTAGTGGTCTGTGCATAGGGTAAAATTCTTGCGCACACACCATTGAGGCCATCACTGCACACCCGCTTACAGTATAAGCTGATGGCAGGCTTGTTATCTTCACACAATAGGCAGCAGTAGAGGAAGCACTAGCAGATACCCTGGTGTTGATCCTGTATGCCCTCTACCTCACGATATTACCCTGACGCTAATGATTTCCAGTGTGCAACACTGTATTCTGGTGCTCGCGTGTGGGATATTCTCAACCCCCTAGGTCTCGCTGGTGGCATGGACCACTACGGTTTAAATAGGAAGACTCATTAGCAAAGCTGTTGTTTCTTAGTGACTTTATTTGTTGAGTTCACACTCTAGCTATCAAAGCTCGGCATGAGTCCTATATCAAGAGAGTATGCCTTGATATAATCTCAGTTTCGATGAAATCAATATCCAGGTAGCTACACTACCCAACGCATTGACTGTCTCCTTCATATATGGCCTCTCCAACTTCAACACAATTCAGCAGATTTCAAAGTGCCGGTTAACCACTTGTAATGTCTGATAAGTCGTCAATCATAAGTGCCCATTCAACAATTTAGGCTGCACGTAATATAAGGTACAGTAAGAAATCGGGAAGGAGAAGCAAAGCCAGATATCCATCTAAACGAGAATTCATCCCGAACCCTCGCCACGACCCCAAGCATATCCCCGGTTCTGATTGACCGCCCTACGATGAAGCGCTCTCGTCCTGTACAAATCATCCTCTTCCTGGCACTGCTCGTCTTCATAGTCCTCTCCGTCTCCATACCCTGGCCCTAGCTCGACTTCATCCGTGTCTTCATCGCCGTGCTGTTCATCGTCAGTGATAGGCATGGATTCTCTGGAACATTGGGTACCAACGCTGGTTGTTGCTGCTCCTTTGCTGTTCTTCAAGCCCCTCGGAGCCCTGTTATCGCCTTGAAAGCGAGGGGTTTGCATACGAGCTCGTTCCGTTGGTTCATACCCAACATACTCCTCCGTCGGACCCCATGGCGGCCTCTGTTGCTGCGGACCATCACGACCAGCGCCCTCAAGATATGTCCTCTGCGCTGATTGTCTAGTATCCCCTCGTCGAGACCGCGCGCCTTGCTGCTGAGTACCGGCACCAACGCCACCGGCGGAAGGATACTTCCGATCAAGGTGTTGCTGATGATGATAGACCGCGGGCCCAGACAAGTTGAAACCCTCGAAGCGCGCCATCTCATACGTCTCATCGTTATGAAAGTCATCCCGCTCACCGGCCATTCTCGCCATTGTATCGGCATCCGCGCGGCGCACTCTTTTCATGTAATCGTCGAATTCGTCGGTTGTTTTGGCTACTGTTCGGAAGTGTTCTGCTGTTAGTACCACGGGATCTGAACCATAATCTCCCGCTCCTCCCTCTCCATCACCGTCATCATCACCGCGGCTATTGTCGAGTTGGTTCTCGTATATGGCAAGACAAGCGGCGATATGTACCGCATTCCGTATCTGTCGTCCGTTCCAGGGCCCTCGTTCTCGCTTGTACTTTTCAGAGTACTTGAGGTATTCTTGGCGAATGTAGGAGCGGATCTCGTTGTGCCTTACGATCATTCCGGTTTCCTCCACTCTTCCTTCTGACAAAGTATCGCCACTAGCATCATTGCCATTACCACTGCTGGCGGACTTGGGATTGTGGCGTGGGAGACGCTTGAGGTGAGTGTCAAGAATGGCGATTGTCTCGTCGCAGTTGAGATACTTGTAGTTCAGACTGATGTGAATTCGAGAGCGGAATGCTTCGTCGATTGCGCCAACACGGTTCGTCGTGAGGAAGAGGATGCCGCTGTAGTACTCCAACACTCTGAGAAAAACTATAGATCATAACATCCCATCAGCCACCAGTCAGCATACACAAAGTCGGGTGGGAGGGGGGCAACACGAGGCCATACCCGAGACGAGCGCGTTCCGCTGGATGTCCGTAACATTTCTCCTCGTCAAAAACACATCCGCCTCATCCAGCAACAAGATACAATCCCACAGATGCGCATATCGAAAGATATCCTTGAGCGACTGCTCCACCTTGTCTGGCGTAAATCCCAAATCTCCACACGTGATGGGAAACAGGGGCTTCTTCTGCTCGAGAGCAACTGCCTCCGCAGTGAGCGTCTTGCCCGTCCCTGGCGGGCCATGGAGGAGGATTATGAGTCCATTGCCTTTGCCACGGACGAGGTCGACGCCGCGGACTGTGGTGCGGTGGCTTCGTTCCCGCTGGCGCTTTTGGAAGTGCGCTGCCACGGCGGACTTGATGATGCGTTTGTGCCCTAGGGGCATTTGAACGATGTCAAGACCGGCTTTTCCGGTCTCGAGGTCGATTTCGACATTCCTCGCGTTTAGGATGGCAAACTTGCGCTCCCGGAGGACGTAGCCGGGGAGGCGCTTGGGAAGGATGGCGAGGTGTTTGTCTGTGAAGTATATGCCTGCAATGTCTCGGTTGCGTGTGAGAAACTTGTCTTGCTTCTCTATGTCTTGCCAGATCTGACGATGTATCTCATCTTCCCTGGAGAAGAGGCTTTCACGTATACTTTGGTATTCCTCGCATATTGGTTCCCGCCAGATTCTGTACTCTGGCAAAAAGGAGTCATGTCTCCGAGTCTCAAACGATGGCTCATCAAGCCGTCCGTCCCCAGGCTCATAGAGCGCAGAAGGGAGCTGTCGTAGCCCTTCTTTAAAGTCGATAATGACTTCACTTTCAACATGTTCTGGCTCCGGGATGTTGCTAGCATTATATGACTTCGGCAACATGCCCGTCACAAGGGTCCATCCAGAGTAGTAAATGTCGCGAATGCCAACCTCGACGCACTTCCTAAAGTTCTCTCCCCCTTTAATCTGATGCTCCAACAAGCGCTTGCAATCGGGATGTAGCTTCAAGGGGTAGCACGGCAGGGTGGTAATAATCCCTAGGCCGTCGAAATGAGGGAACTGGATCGTCCTCCACACGGCCGTGTAACCTCCATCCTGGTAGTCTAAGCAGTAGACCGACCAAAACATGTTTCCCTTGCGCCGGCAGTTGTTGCGTAGGCTGCGGACCATTTTGAAAACAGTTTGGATGCCCGAGTTGGGGTTGTTGCGGATCTCGACTGGCGGCCGAATGTATGCAAGTTCTCCCGCTCTGAAAAGGAGAGGGATGTCGCCATAAGAAATGGATCGTGGGGTTTTATCGTTCACTTCATCAAATTGCTTCCATAGAGGCATGATGTAGGAATCGACAAACTCGATGTAGAGCCGCAGTTCTTCCACGGCGCGCTTGTTGAGAGCTCGCTCATCGGACTCCTCGCCAGGCTGCGGTGCCGCAGTCTCAGGTCCTTCAGGTTCAGGTTCCATTTCAAGTCGCCTCCGAAGCTCAGCGAGCCTCTTCTTCATATCATTCTGACAATAAAAGAAGGATGTGAACGGCCGTGGGAAAAGAAACAGTTTCCCATCCAAGGAATAATCCAGCGACATCGTCGGATTGCCCCCAAATTCAATGATCGCCCTCACGACCGCCGCAGACCGTATCCTCACCATCGATATGCGTCCTGGAGTCCCCAATTTACTCACTGGCAACAGTTTCTGGGGATCGGAGGTCCTGTGATCAAGCTCGTCTGATCTCAGCACTCCATCATTCAAATTGCGGTGTTCGTGGCGTCGGGAGATGATGCGATTTCGGCGAGCCATCTCCAGCCTGTTATCCTCGGTGGCGTCGGGGGAGCCGACGAGGGCTTCAATTGTGAAGTCGCCTGCGTCGTTGACCACTCTGTTGTAGAAGCCCCTGGTATCATAAAAGCGGACGCCGATGACTACATCTCGTTTTTGTGATTCAGGCGTTAGACTGGCTGATGATCTCCTGTCGTCTGTGGCTTTGCAGGGTACTTCGTAAGGTTCTTCGTAGGGTTCGTAAGGGTTTTCGTGAAGCTCTTCGGAAGATTCTTCGTCGGAAGATTCTTCGTCGGAATAGGCTTCGTCGGCATAGGCTTCGGCAGGTGTAGGTGAGGATCTTCCATAACGTTGTTGCACCCATTTCCTTTGTGGCCTTCCATGGGAACTATAATGGAATTGATCCGTCACGCTTTCACTAGAGGACTCTTCCATGGGTTCCTTTTCTGGCTCTGTGGCGGGCTCATCTTGAGATTCTTGTACTTGATCTTTGGCTTCTGCTCCACGAGTGTCATTGGCGGTATCAAGATCAATTTCCTCTTTGCGTTCGCTTATGGATGCATTCTTCGTGGCTGATGGCCTCAGGCAACCGGCCTGCGTTGGAATGAATGTATCCATGTGAGATTCAGATTGACTAAAGAAGCAGGTATGTGTATAAGATTTGGTCGAAAGTTGTATACTGAGCTCAGTCGTTGAACGCCCTACTGATAGAACTGGTGCAAAGGCTTGCTTGTGCCTAAGTAAAGTTGTTTGTATCAACGGGTGGTTCAAACTCCCGCATATGTCTCAACGAACATAAATAATTTGGTTCTGGACGAGTCCGTCTTGACAGGGGAAGCTGGTAGGTTGGGCACATTTCTATATACATGAGACACGGCGCATGTACTCAAGCGTCACGCCGGGCTCACGATTGGCTGCTCCATTGGGCTTCCGTTAAATAGAATTGAAGCACGAAGTCCTTGGGAGTTCAGCTGCCAGCTGAAAATGGTCACGCCGTCCAGTAGATGACGAGCGTGTGGGCAAACCGCGTCCAACATCCTGCATCTCAGCCTCAGTGGGGTCGCATCGACGCCCATCGGGCTCAATCCCAAAGCCTGATGATACTCTGGAGTGGCCAAGGTAGGGCATGACTGCTCTCTTCAAACGGGTCTCTATATGCCTACTCTGCATGGTGTCTTAGATCATCCGTCACTCGTCTTTGGTTCCTGGTAAATCGGGATGAAGCAAAGCAAAGGAGCCGTCCAAGATCTACCGGGAGCATCAATTCCCAAGAAACTCTCATGAAAAGCCCGACATGAAATAGGAAAGCACCCAGACAGCATACAAAACGTCCAAGAATTCCTCATGAAGCGAGGCAAAACGATTCATCCAGGACTCGGTGAGCCCACACAGTTCGTCGACTGGCAATTCAAGGCCGAGGAACGCCTTGCACTTGAGTCAGTTCCCCTCAAATCCCAAATTATATCAAAAGTTAACGGGAGATGGTTTATGTGTGCAGAGATCTAGAGAAGCTTCTCAACGCTCATGATGGGGCGTCCACCGGGGAAATTTATCGCGAGTGCAAGTGGGCAACTCTATTTGACGTTATGCTCCATGCGCGGGCCAAGTATGAAGGCGATGGGCATGTAGCCAGACGAGATGCTGCACGGTTTGGCCTTGACTTGACGTCTAAGATTGTGGAACTGATTCCTGAAGACTGGGGACTGGGAGTTCTCAGAGGCGGAATGGCCTTGCTGCTCAAGGTACGTATCATGAACAATCCATTGTCATGTCTGAATACGCGTGGAGATGCTCATATCTGCAGGTGGCCAAGCGTAATCTGGAAATCACAAAGAGGATTCTTGACGTTTTCCGGGATATATCACTAAGAATGGCGACGATCACTATGGCCTCTGACAAACTAGGAACTGAACAAGAGCAACTTCGGCGACAGCGAGATTTCTTCTGCACCGTTGTGCGGGATATGCCTGTTCTCATAAGGAGGCTCTTGGGCAAGGAAAAGTGTGAGTCCAAGCACGAAGACCGTTGACAAGCTCTGTGAAACCTGCTTCCCGTTATCAAGGATCCCGAGTAATCTAGTTGTACAGGGTACTTGAAGATCAAACATAGTCTGCAACTTCAGCTCTCTGAAACAGACACGGCGGATACAATCCTCGACAGGTGGAAAGCAGACATGTGTGAGCTCAACGAACACATGGAGAGGTCAAATATCGCATCAATGAGCGACATCAAGTCCAACACGAATCTCCTTCCCGGCATACTATCCTGCATCGCGGCTACGAACCAGTCGATTGGGCAGCTGACCGACCAGATGGCGGAGCTGCCTCAATTCCTGCAGCGAGCCTTGCAGGCGTTCTTTGACAAGATAATCGAGACTCTGTGTGCCAAAGATGAGGCAGCTCAGGCGCAGACTTTATTGCTCCAGCAAATGCATGATTCTTAGAGAGAGGTAGAAGATAAGCAGCAGCAGCTAGAAAGAGGTGAGTCGATAGTGTCGTCCGAATTGAAACTCGAGACGATTTGGCTAGAAGAGAGCTGACAGGTGGCGCGCTTAAAGAAAACCAACGTCTTCGCGAGTTATCAAGAAGTCCCCAGCCGGGATGGCACTACGTAGAAGACACGAACCCAGACACACACGACGTCACACCCGAGATCGCGCAAATAGAGCTGATCGGAGCCCTTGGTGTCCACGTATACGCACACGTGAAAGTCTTGGAAGACGTTCTTCAACAGACATCCGACTTTGACGTACCATCTCTCAGACAAGTGAGAGGCTTGACGCAACACAAAGAATTTGACCACTGGTTCAAGGCAGAGTCGTCCTCACTGCTATTTGTCGAGTGTCATCTGCAGGACTGCGGCCCGACTGTGACTGCGGCTTCAGTCTTCAGCTCATCGTTGATATGCACGCTATCGGCGCAGAGGAATGTCATTCCTCTTTTCTTCTTCGCTCGACTTGACGGCGGCATGTCTGATGCCGGTGGCCCTGCGTACATGATGAGGAGCCTCGTGTTTCAGCTGATGATGAGCACGGCTCAACCTTTCCTCAATCTCGGCTTCATATCATTGGACTTATTCGAGGCCTGCACACAGCAGACTCTCTCTGCGCTCTGCGAGCTGTTTGTCGAGCTCGTGTGCCAAGTACCTCCCAGTACAAAGGTGTGCTGCGTCCTCGAAGGGCTCGACTTGTATGAGACGCGGGAGTATCTGTGGGACATACAGGTCGATTATATTGCCGACATGTTCGAAGTCTTGACCGCGAGACTGGAAGAAGAAGATAAGGGGATGTTGAATGTTCTGATCATGATTCCAGATCGGAGTCAGAGGTTGTATAAGAGGATGTGGAGAAGAGACAGCCCGTGGAGCTGCATTGAGCTGATGGAGGAGATGAGCTTTGCTGATTGAGCGTGAGGATTGAATCTAAGGCTTGAGTGTGAGGATTGATTGTGAAGATTGAGTTTAAGGATTGAGTCCAGTGCTTGGTTGTGAGGATTGACTGTCAGGATTTCAGCATAAGATATAGTTGCAAATGAAGACGTAGTATCTCAATAGGCACCGCCCTCCCCAGAGGAACAAGACTCCCAGTGAAATCGACGAGACCATTTCTTCACGCCTATGTCGATGCCTTACATCGGTACCCAAATATTACCATCAACGACCAAATTGAAGGCACGCTGCATACTATGTAGACAAAATCTGTTCAACTACAGGCTGCCCCCAGTCCAGTCCATCTCTGCGAATCTCAGTCAATGTATAAGAAGGGCCCCTGCCCCCGACGCTTGTATCTGTTTGATCTAAGTCCTTCACAATTCCAACAGATATCTCCATACAGAAGTGCGTTCTGGGCCGTATCAAGGTGTTATGCAATAAAGAAGCCGTCCAGGCTGTGGAAGAAAAACACCAGACTAGCTTACCACACACACTCCACCTAGGTATATACGGATATATAGTGCCTATTACTCCTACCTACTATTACTACTAATATCTATGGAAGAGAAGAGTCTTCAAATTCTGCTACTATTGCTATGGATCTCTAGTCTTACTAAAGTATGGTTTATAGATCCCCGTCGATATCTTTATATAAGGTAGGATGAGGTACAGAAATCCAACGAGATTATTCTAGCGTTTTCTTTCCACCGCATGCCGTCCTGATATCCTCCCTTAGCAGCAATCGCAGTGTTACCTCGTATGACGAAGCCATAAAAACCTCCTGAACCCGTCCAGTCGACCGCTCGAAAACGCACTTCACACGCCTTGATGTTGGCAATTTTCTTCGTCTCACCACCTAGGAGGATTAAATTGGATAACAGTACTACCCTAACAAACAAAAGCCATAAAAGAATATATATAGATATACGGAGGGCTTTCAAAAGTAATATCCTCGCGTCGCTAACTATTCTGGGCCTGATGTTAGCAACGCGAGGACATTACTTTTGGTAGCTTCCTCCGTATAGACAGATAGATATATATATACCGCAAACTTGCAATATCAGAAAAAAACCAAAACACCTTCTTTGCAAACCCACAATACAGCTCCCATCTTATTCCCCCCTGCAACAATTCAACCAAGTCAACACCAACAAAGCAAAAAGACAAGAGCATCAATAAATACCCCTTACGCATGTATATAAAAGGTAGGTAGGTAAGTATATAATAACCAACACCCTACTTCCTCTAAAGCTCAACAAGTCTCCTTCACCAAACAACCCCCTCAACTGATCTCTGTCAAACCCTCTCGAACAAATATCAATATCAAATGTTCCCATGCGCCATGCAATGCTAGGCCGTAGTACACGAGCCCTCCCCCCCCCATCTCTTTCCCCCTCCCTTCCCCCTCCATTAACAAGATATAGAGTCCAAAAACTACACAAAAGATCAAAGCAAGGCGTATATGATAGATCCCCCGCAACTTTCTCCGCCACCAGTCATATAAGGTAGCTAGCTAAATGGTGACTTATTCCCAAGTTCCCCCCCTATTCGCTTCCTCCCCCCCCCCCTCTCCGCGCAGTGCCTCGCTCAAAAACAAAGAGACTTGGAAAAAAAAAAAAAAGCTTTCTAGATGCCGCTTCCACATGCGCCGTGTTTCGCAGTGTCCATCTTCAGTTTCAGGCACATCGTCCACGCACACGCTCAAGGGAAAACGCCCTGCCGCCATCTCTCCACGCGATCCATGCTCCCGTTCGGGTTCGACATTGGGATCCCCTGATTAATCAGCCCATTCGCACCATACAAGTTGCCCGCGCCATACATGCTCATCGTATTCATCCCGCCCATGCCGCCATGGAACCCCGTCATCGTGCTATACGACGGCTGCAGTCCTACCCCTTGCGACATGCCGTATCCTGTCGTGGGCGGCACCATCATCGTCGCTCGGTTCCTGGCGGGACCAGTGTTGGTGAAGCTTCGCGTCTGCAGGGTGTTGAGGGCCACGCTCGACCGCGCGCCTTCGAGACCGAGGCCGCCCGTTCCGTCATTGTACAGGCCGCCCTTGAAGCCGCCGGTGCGGGCGTTGCCCGGCTGGATGAGCGTGGTGGGCATCTGCGCTCGCACGGCCGCCATCCGGGCGTCCTGCTCGGCGATTCGCATCTGCTCCTGCTGCCGGCGTCTCTGCTCCTCGACGCGAGGATCCTGAATGTTCTGGTGCACCGAGAGCATGTCGGCCATGCTCACCCGACGGGCCAGCCCCTTTCCTGCCTGCAAGTTCGTCGTGTTGCCATAGCTGACCGGCCTCTCGCCCGTCAGGTTGCCGTAGCTCATCTCTCGCTCGCGAGCCTCCCGCTCGGCCTGCAGGCGGCGACGGCGCTGGCCCAGCGTCTCGTCCTCGACACCCAGGTTGTTGGGCGACTTCTTGCCGCTGCTCTTGTTCTCGGGCTCGTCGGGGCCGCCAAACTGGCTGAGGAGCTCCATGGAAAAGGTGCTGCTGACGGGACGGGCCTTGGGCAGCTGCGACTCCGCCAGGCGGCGCTTCCTGGCGCCCAGCGTCTCCTCCTCAATCTCGGGCGCGAGCGGTTCCGGTGTTGCAATGGTGGTGCGTGCATCTTCGTCCGCGCGCACGTCCGGCTCGACGATGCGCGGCGAGGGAGCCGGGGGCTGCACTTCGGCGATGCGCGTGGGCGGCAGGCTCAGGTTGCTCTGGCGCTTCGCGGTCATGGCGATTGAGGTCCGTCCCTTGAGACGGGCGGCGCGCTGGCTCAGCGGTTCGTTTTCCTCCAGCTGGCGGACTTCCATCAGTCCCAGGGGGCGTTCGACGTCGGCCATGTTCTTGGCTCCTTGGTGCAGGGCGGCGATGACGGCCAGCGGCACGTCTTCGTCGTCGGATAGGTTGTGCTCTGCGGCCGCGGCCTGGTCTTCCCAGGCGAGGTTGACGCGGCTCTTGAGGCGCTGCTTGCGCTGCATCTCGGCGACGGCATCCATTTCGAGGAGGGTGGCGCGCAGGCCTTGGGTCGCGACGTTGCCATTGTTGAGGACTCGCTGCTTCTGCTGCTGCTTGCGGAGGTGTAATTCGCCGAGGAGCGTGGTGGGTACGCCATCAACGACGCCGTTCTCGAGCTGCTCTTCCTCTTCCTCTGATTCCTCCTCCTCCGATTCCTCATCGTGCGCATCACCGTGACCATCGCCCTGCGCCGCGGCGGGGTCTGCGTTGCTGCTGGCTTTGCCAAACAAGCTGCTCTGGCTCCTCTTGGTGAGCAGCTTGATGGTGGACTTTTCTTTAGACCCTGACTCGGCAGACGGAACATCAAGCTGCTGTGACTTGCGCTTGGTATCCTTCTTCTTGGTCTTCTTCGTCTTTGCCTTGCCGTACACTTCTGAGCCCAGCTTGCCGGCGTATAGGTGGTCGGTAAAGGCACTCACGGGGGCAGTCGCCGAGGCGTCGAGAATGCTGTCGAGCGTCGCCATGGCGGACCCATCCTTGACCTCAATCTCGGGGAGCTCGGAGGGCTGCTCAAAGAAGACGCTGGCTCGGAGATGCGGTGGCAGGTTGAGGCCGCCGCCAGTCGACTTGTGCTTGTCCTTGTCCATCTTGGACAGCCGCTGAGGATGGCGAAGATCCTCCAGGGAGGGCGGATGGCCGCCTCCTACCTGCGCTGAGGCCTCCTCAAACCAACCAGTGGGAGTGGTGGCATCGTCGCCAACCCCCAGCCCGTCTGCCACCGACAAGGCGGCAAACGAGTTGCGGTGGCCGGACAGAGGGTCGGGCAGGGTGATTTTGTCGAGGTCGGGGACGACAGACTTTCTCTTGGGCTGCATCATGGCGTCCAGGAGCTGGGAGCGTCGTTGGTTGCGGTCGGCGGCCTTGGGCTTGTTGGACAGCTTGGGCGGCAGGTTGAGCATGGCAGGGACACGGGCTGGGTAGTACAGCATGTGCTGGCCGGTGTGCTCGTCGAAGTAAGACTGCGGCCTGACGAACTCGGTCGCGGGGGGTTGGGGAGTAGGTAGATGATCGTCATCAAGGATAGGAGGTAGGGTTGAGGATTGGGCGTGGGCGTGGGCGTGGGCCTGGTCTTGGGAATAAGATTGGGGCAGCTGGGGAAGAAGATGAGGCTGCTGATGCTGGTGCATGTCGGGATGGCCCTCTCGCTTGTGCGAGGGCTCCCCCATGTCGGCGGTAGAAGCGAAACGATCATCCTCGGTATCCGTCTCGCAGTGGGCGCCGTCAAAGTCGACAAAGGCGTCCTGGGCCACCTGGAATGTATTTGTAGAGTTGGCCGTCATGGGCCGGTCGTCGTAGGCATCGCGGTCGTGCTCGGTCTCGTCGTATTCGGAGCCCGACGGCAGGTCCGGGTTGACGAGGACCAGGTTCGAGGCCCGGTGGCTCCGGAAGCCGCCCTCGAGCATGTCGTGGAACTCGTCCGTGTGCGGCAGGCCGACGGCGTCCTGCTCGATGATGCTGCGGGAGCTGGCGGCGGCGTGCTGCTCGGCCGGGGGCACGGCGTCAACCTGGTCGAGGACGTGCTGGGTCAGGGAGATTGGTTCGGACTCGGAGATCTCGGCGAGCGACGGCTTGGCGGAGCGCACGCTCCTGACGGAGCTCTTGCCGGGCCCGTGGCGGGACAGGATGGAGTTGATGGCGTCGTGCTCCGGGCGGCCGGCGGAGGCGTTGGAGCCGGAGCGCATGCGGCCGCTGAGGGAGGAGGTGGGCGACATGACGTAGGCGGGCGAGTAGCCCCTTTGCCTGGCGGCGGCGGCGGCGGACGAGGTCGAGTTGGAGTTTGAGGGATGGCGGCGCAGGCGCGTCGAGTTGGGGTTGGGGTTGTTAGAGTCGTCGGCGGCGGAGGCGGCCCTGGCGGCGAGGATGGAGGATCGTCTGCTGTCGCTTCGCTTCAGTTCGCAGTGCAGCTCGCGGATGGCATCGTCGATGCTGCTGGTCATGGACAGGCGCTCGGCCGTGGCTTCGAGGTGGGCGACGTTGCTGACGGCGGACGCGGAGCGCGTGAGCAGGTCGGCGTGGTGACTGAGCCGCGACGGCGACGAGACGTCGGTTGCAATGTGCAGGATGGGCTTGGGATGGGCCAGCCTGGTGCCCGGCTGCACGCTGCCCGTGTGCAATGGCGCATCCTCGGGTGCAGGGATACGAGCGGTGGCACTGCCAGGACTAGTAGCAGCACCTGTAATATGATTACCGGCACCGCTGCGGCTGCTATTATTATTACTAGCCCTCAGGTCAGGACGACCCGTAATACTCGTCGCGATGTCCGAATCCCGGGCGGCGGTCGAGGGGCGCTCGTGTTGGCCTCGCCTGGCGCGTGCGTTGGGGCTCTGCGGCAGGGGAGCGGAAATGACGCCTCTGGAGCGGCCGGAGCCATGCTTGTCAATGTCGCCAGAGGAAGACGCCGCGATATTAATGTTGGAATCCAGGTTGCCGGCGCTGGTGCTGTTACTGATGCTGGTGCTGCTGCTGGGCGACCACGGCAGCGGCGGTCCTGTGCGTGAGTCTGCGCCAGTGGTTGTCCCTGTGCTCTTTTCCCTCCATCCTGTCTCATCCAGATTCTGTGCCTTATCCTGCTGCTGCTGCTTCTCCTGCTCTTCCTGCAATGCCCGCTGCCGCATCCTCTCCGCCTCTGCAGTGCCGTCCTCTGCGAGCATCGACGCTCCGTCTCTCGTGCCAAGCGCACCGCCGCCCGAAGCCGTGGGCGACATGGCCAGATAGCGCTGGCGCAGTTCCGCAGCGGTCTCGCTTCCCGGGCTGGTGGGCGACGACGGCGACAGCGGCAGCAGCCTGTTGCTGTTGTTCTTCTTCTTGTTGCCGCTGCTGGGCGCAGAGTCGACAAACAAGCTCAGGGGCGTGCTGACCCGGCCGGCGACAGATAGAAACGTCGGCGACACGGGGCTCGTGGCCGTGGTGGGAGTCGAGGGTGTCGAGGCAACGGGTCTGTCAGCGGCCTCTGTTGTTGAATCGTCATTCCTGGCGCTGGGCGAGGCTCCCACTACCGGCGAAGCAGCAGCTTCGGCGTCTGCTTCCGCGACTGGCATGGCGAGCAGCCGAGGGGAATGCGACCTCGTATTAGTATCTCGTCCAAGATTGGAATGCCCTCCTGCGATTATGCCGCCTCGCGTGTACTCTGTCCGCTACTAGTACTCCCAGCCAAACCTGAAAGGACCAGACCAGACTGCCTCCCCCCCCGTTGCGCCTCTATCCGGGATGGTCAGGTGGGCGAGGTGGTGCGTATCGGACGAAGCCTCTATCTCTCGATGGGGTTGCGCGCGTGATGGCCGAGACATGAGCAGCCCGCCAAGGGTCTGGTTCTAGGCTCGCGATGGTGCTGTGACACGGTGTATGTTGCCCGATTGCTGAAGGGACTTAGGTATCCAATAGGTAAGGTAGGCAAGGTATTGTTAGCTGATTGAATTAGTTGAGTAGCTGGTGAGGCTACTGGCAGTGATCGTCAATTGACGCCTCTCTTGCCCCTTCTGCCCTCTTCTTCGTCTATTCTTTCCGGTTCGCTCGAGTCTAGACTTTTGCCGGTATCTCGTGCAGGGGTGCTCTGGAGAAGCCTCCTATTGAGCCGATTACCGGGGATGCGAGGCTCTGTAAGTGGAGGAGCGCCCATGCGAGTGCAGAAGCAGAAAAGGCGGACGATGGGTGGGAGGTCAGCGATGGAGCGAAGACGATCGTCTGGACAGCTGCAGAACCCGTCAACCAGCCAGAGCCCACGATGAATCAGCTGCTCTTGTGGGCGAGTGGCTGAACCGGGAATTCAAAAAGAAAGGAAGGAAGAAAGAAAGAAAGAAAGAAAAAAGGTAAACAGAAGGAACCCCGAGGAGAAGGAGAAAAAGTAAAGAAGGCTTCGGGTCCTGGATTCGGCGACAAGATGCAAATAGTGGCCGAAGCGGCGTGGCCCGTTCCAAAAAGCCAGAACCAGATATGGATGGATGATGCTAAGGTTCAATCAAGTTGGGCCTTGCCTTGCCTGTGCCTGTGCCTGTGCATTGCATGTGCATGTGCATGAGATAGCGGTACCTCGTGTACCTGATGTGTAGGTACGAAGCTGAAAGTTGCAAGTTCTCGACTCGAGTCTCTTCTTCCTCTTCCTTTCTTTTCCTACCTATTTTTTCTTTTTTTCCTTTTTTGATGGCGCCAAACTGGACGTTCTTTGGTCTCTTTTAGTGGCGGATAACGGCGTGCGCTAGCGATGGCAGGATTTCAGGTTGATTGCTTCTGCTGACCACGGCTGGAGCTGATTGATGCCGGATGATGCTGCTCATGACCAAACGATTTGATGCTGAATCCTGAAGCCGAGCTGACTTGCTTGCTTGTTACCTAGTCAGTAGGTGACTTTCTGACCGTCTTGATGCGCACAGGGCCTGGCGGCACTGGGAGCTGTCACTTGCGTCTCTGAATTTATGCGTACCTAAAATGCATGCAACCCTGTGCTATCAAGCCCGGATGCGAGAAGCCGCAGTTACAAGGGCGGGTGGCAGCCCAGATGCCAAGTCAATGGATGGATATCGCAGCCGAGCCACACAAACAAAGAAAAAAGACGCTTCGATTCGAGAGATGCCAGCTGTGATAAGCAGGGGAGGCACATATTATCGTCATAGAAACAAAGACTACAGGTAGAGATACAGACAAGCAAGCGACCCGAGTTGGGATGCCTTGGTCCGAAAGCAGCCCAGCATCTGTCTGCTCCTCACCTCCTCCTCTTCCTCGCTCAGCCTTATCTCATCTCATCATCCTCCTCTCTTCCTCTTCCTCTCTGTATCACTTCATGTATGTACGTAGTACCTCCTTCGTACTGAGAGCATATCCAGCAGCCTCGACTAGCATCTGATCAAAAGTGCCAGTCGCACCACATCAAACCCACAGCACAGCTGACGGGCCCGGCGACCGCCTCAGCGGCCCAGCAAGCCGTTTGCCTGCCTCAAGACGATCTCGATGCTGGCTACCTACGTACTGTACCTACCAAGTACAAGCAAGCTGGGCGGAGCTGCGTTGGACAAAAGCAGCTGCATCTGAATCCTAGTATTTGCTTCCCGTCTTATTACTAGTGAGCGGTTTTAACTTTGCCAGAGCCGTCTGCCTGGCCGAGCATTCATTGGCCTCGTCTCGAAGCTGCTGCTCCCTCTTATTTCCCTCGTGTCACCACTGCAGCAAGTTAATACATGTACCTGCAATAGCTTCATCCCAATCCTGCTTGCTTTTGCCTCCTCTGCTAGACGTCTTCCACTCATGTCTCGAGATTCATCCCAGATCTCAATCGAGTCAGCCACTAGTAGCAATACTAGTAGTCCTTTGTCCTCCATGCTCAGCTGAGAAGCCCTGGTTGCTTGGCACCATGTCATACTGATGGCATATGGACGGGCCTCGAAGCTATTCACGGCACCTGGGCGTGCCGATCTCCAGGCCTTCTCTCGGTCTGTTTGCCGCTTTGCACCCAGGCCTTTTTTTTATTTTCTTCTCGGCACGTCCCATGCAAGGACCCGTAGCTCCTTGTCCCGCCATCAAGCACCATGGCACACGTATGTAGTTGTACTCACACACACACTCATCCAACAACGCATTCTCGGCAGAGTCAACATACCTTCATGCGTGCTGCTACTACGACGATAGTCCACCTATACCCAATCAAACCGCCATATTACAAGCCGTAACACTCATCACGCGGCAGCAGCACAATAACTCTGAAACCCACCACTGCTGCTGCGTGTCCTCTAAGCCCTCACTCTACCGTAGCATCCTATCCCGTACCTGCTTCTGTGGCTGCCGCTTTGGCCCTATTAGACCGAGGCTCTTTCGTGTGTCTTGGACGCGCAGCTTCACCGGATGCATGAACCGGGTTCCTCATGTGCCACCTCTCAAAATCAAAAGGCACGCATCTTGCTTTGTGCGACGACGGGCCTACATGGCACCAATTTCCCAGGAGCCGAGACTCTCATCTTACCTTGTTGTGCTTGTGCTCTCTTGTGCTTCCTTTAAGCCAGCTGACGTCTTTGCCTTTTTCGTCTCTCTTGCTGTCTCTCTCTCTCTTCGCTTTCTCCCCTTATTGGATTTGAACACTCACGATACTAATAACTCTCTATACTAGATTCCTGCTCCATCCCATCACCACCTTAAAGGGAGCGCCTGAACACATATAGATAAATCCTAAACACGCATAGATAACTAAACCGCATCTATCCTAGGTCACTTTCCTATATAATCTAGCAGTACTAGTACCTGTAATTATAACTTAGCTATTTTATAAAAGTAGCTTTAATTATCTTATAAGTATATAAAAAAAAAAGGCATTATAACTTATAGTTATATATAGCTATATAAGGCTAGCTTTAATATATTATAATATATAGCTTTTTTTTAACTTTAATATAATACTATTAAGATTATTATTATTATATTTTTTATATATTATTTTATTATAATTTTTATTATAAATTTAATTATTATTATAAATACTATTATTAGTTAGTAATTTTCTATATTTAAAGCTATATTTAAAGCAGTTAAATATGCTTAAAGTAATTAAAGGTTTATTATTATTAAGGCTAAGACCTTTAAGCGCAGCTTTATTATTATATATAGTAAGCTATACTATTAATATAATAAAAGCTATTATAAATAGGGGTAATAAAGCTAATAAAAAAGGTAATATTAAATATTAATATATAAAAATAACTGCCTATTTACTATTATTATTAACTTTTATATTAAGATCCCTGCTTTTATTATTAACTTATAAAAAGTCTAATATAATTATAATTTAATTTAAAATAACTTTACTTTTTTAATCTTATAGCTAGAATTATAATATAAATTTAGTCTTAATTAACTTTAAAATATTATAAAAACAGCTTTTAAGGCAGTAGGATTTATAATAAAAAGTATTACTTATAAAATTTACTATAATTATCCCTTAATTAAAATTATAAAAAAAGATATTTAAGTTATTTAGTATAAGCTATAAAAAAGTAAGTATAGCCTGTTTATATTAATATAAGCCTTTTTATAAATGCTATAATAAAATAATTATATATTTTATTATATTATAAATTATAATAATAAAAGGAGATTAAATAAGATTTTCTAAACTTATAAAAATAATATTACTAATTAAAAATATAACTTAAAATTACTATCCTTTAATAACACTTATAAGGTAAATTACTTTAATATACTGCTATTTTAAATTATAAGTATAATAGTATTATATATAAACTTTAGCGCTAGCTTTAAATTAGTAATAAAAGAGGATATAAAGACCTTTTTTTAAACCCTTAGTTATTTAAAGGCAGCTATAAAGATAGCTAAGATTCCTAATCCTTATATTATTTTTACTAATTTTAATATAGCTTTAAAAAAAGCTATTAATAATATCTTCCCTTATACTTAGCAGTAACTTTATATATAGTATATTATAAAAAATATTTACCTTTATATTAAAAAGAATTAAATTAAAAGTCTTACTAGTATATAGCTAATTAAAAATATAAAAAAAAATAAAGCTAGGTTAATAATAGGCTTTACCTTTAAGAAAATACCTATATAAGATAATAAGATTAAGGATATAAATTTATAATAACTTACTAGCTAAGCTATTAATAATATAATATAAATAGCCTTATAGTATTATAATAATATAAGACAGGGGCTAGCCTTATCCTTTAAAGAGATTTACTAAAATAAAAAGAGGTAAAAGGACTTTATAAATAATATTTATAAAGCTTAGTAAAATATTTACTAAGCTAATTTTAATAAAGAATTTTATTAAAGCCGGTATATAATATAAGGAAGTAAAAAAAGAGAGAGAATAACTAAAATTATAAAAAGTTAGTATATAATTATTAATTACTACTAAGTGGTTTAAAAGTTAATTATATAATTACTTTTAAAAGTAGGTATTTATAAGTAATTATATTTATTTTTAAACCTTTTTAAAATAAAAAAATAGTTTACTTTTTTTATAGCTATAATAATATTATAAAGTTATAAGCACTTTATATTAAGGTTATTATAACCTTATATATATTTAATTTAA